TCAATCCTGTCAAATGATATAGGACAGGTGCTGTAGTTAGACATCTATGCTCAATACTTATTTACAAGCAAGAAAACTAAAAGAATCACCAACACTAGGGTCTAACAAATCGATCTTAGACTACATTATTTTATTTGTTTTTTTATTCATTCATGACCGTGCACTCTTGGAGACAGCACACCAATGCCAGTACTGAGAGGGGAGGAGAAATACAATCATACATCAGTTTTTCCAGACATGTAGGATTATGGAGCTGTGTTATCACTGTTTGTTTTATTTGTTGTTATAAGGCAAGCGTTTTACTGGATAATATCCTGTGAGCGACAGGATTGTTAATTCTGTTTATTTTCTGCTATAAAACCAGTACAAACAGAGCACAGCCCTCCTGCCACTCAGTGCAGTGTAAATGTCATAAGACTTCATCCAGATCAGCCTGTGGGAGACCGTAATGCTGATTGATGCAATGCTCTGGCACTGTGGATTCACTGATGCATAATAATACACTCTGAATGACCGTTAAACCTCCTCCTGTCAGTGTAAAAGTCACAGTTTTTATTATTTTTCCCACATAGAAAAAAAGTTCAGCCTTTTTTTTTTCCTCTCCCCCTTTAAAAAAAAACCCTCTTATGCAACAAGTGGATCTTTGACAACAGGGGCTACCATCAGACAAAAAGATCATATAAAAGTGCACTGTACATCATCTTACAGTATTTACTGTTTTTCCACACAACGTGCCCAGCGCTCACTGCACTGTAAAAATGCAGTGAGCGCTAGTGTCACATGTCAATTCTCAGTGGTGTGCGAAAAAAGAAACCTAAATGGATCAAATAGTTTTTTGATGTAGTAGTACTTAACAGAAAAACAGTGGAGAACTGAGGGAGCAAAGGAAAGTTGAATATGTAAAGACCCTCTCTGATAAAAATCCTGTTTTTCTAGTTGTCTACATGTTCATATGGCATTTTTCTGATGCTACAGGACATATGAGAAAAATGAGAGCGAGTATTTCTGCACTCAAATTGCTGTGAACTTCTGGCAGACCCAAACGGCAGGTTCAGACACAGTGAGATTTCCTATGTCACAAATCCAAGCTCCGCCCCCGGTGCCCCGCTATGCAGGCCAGACTCTGAGAAGTAGAGAGGACGATCACAAAACAAGCATGTGTATTAGCGGATTGCAATGCTTGTAAGAAAGCTAATTATGATATATACCTTCATCATGTCCCCAAAGACATTAGTGTTCGAGACCTCCTATGTTACCTGCTACTTCTTCTGTTACTCCGATAATGTTAGGCTACAAGCTAGCATGAAGAGAAGTATGCAGAGCAGCGCTGTCTCCGCCCACGACTCAGAAGCAAATTGCTAATAAGCTACTGGAGCTCTGCAGAAGAAAAACCCTTGAAAATGACACTGGAAATATGATTTTAGCTAAAAAACTTCATCATCCCAATTTTAAGACCACTGAGAACACTTTAAGTCGTTAAAAAAAAAAAAAAAAAAAGGTCATAGTGGGACTCTAGGGTGACTGAATTCTTGTACCTTTTAAAACTGACCAGCAGGAGGTGATAATTTTAGTGTTACAGCAACCACAACAATGTGGCAAAAGTCAATGAAATAATCAAAATTATTAGATTTTCTAACTATGACACAACACATTAAAAGGATCCTTAACACTATGGATAAAAAAATGATAATCACATTAATGTGATAATTAAGTTGGTTCAAAACTGCAGTGATAAAGGAAGCTGCTGTTGCTTTAGCTTAGACTGTCATATTTTTTACATGAAGTGACAGAGTAAAGTAGAAACCTCAAGAAACCACAACACTTGATAAGATACTTGCCAACTGCTGAGTATGGTTTAAAAATAAGCCACTCGATCCCACAGCAAAGTATGTGATCAACACTGACTGTGAAAAGTAAGATATTACAACTATAGGCATACTGTCCGTCAGACAGATGGTGATAAAGTGACAATGACAGCTGCTCTTCCCCAGATACCCAGATAGTTCTGGTATCTTGAACAGCCCCTCTGAGACCCTGAACTGACTCCAACTCCAGCCCTCATCTCCATCATTATTTCTGTTTGGGTATTTGCACATGGCTACCCACATTCAGGAGAAGCCCCATTCTCCTCTGTCTAATCAACTGAGAGATGTGTTGTCAGGCAACACTCAGGGGAGAGTGAGGCACATTTTTAACACACCCTCCTTTTAAGAGTATTCCTAACACAACATTAACAATCACACTGCTCTGAAGAGGGGCTGCACAATTCATTGGATTTCAATCACAATTATTTGGTTTTCTACAATCAAAGGAACATGACTGATGACTATAATTGATTACTGATTATTCTTTCTGTGTGCTTTCTTAAACTGATATCAATGTTTGTTTGTTTTTTGCAAATTACCTATTAAGCATTACTGTTTTTAGGGAGGAAAGGAGAGGTCTGTGTCTGCTCTGTTGACAGTGTCTGACAGTCTGTGACAGCAAATTAAATATGTACAGTAGAGCTGGGCAATAAAACGATAACGATATATATCAAAAATTAATTTCCCTCGATATCGATATAAACAATGGTCAATATGCTTTTTGGTAGCTGTCATTCTGTCATGTTTTGGTAGACTATACGAATAGCCAATGAAAAGGGGAGTTGCTCTGGGTCGCACTGCGCTGAACCAATCATGTGCTGAATTAGAACCAAGTAGCAAACGACTGTGTAGTAGCAGACTGCAGCTACACGCAACCGTAGCACTTTAACACGTGAAGCCGACAGCACTGTCTGTGAGAAAAAAAAAAAAAAAAAGAGTGCTACCACCAGCAGAAATGCAGATGAAGGCTCAACAGATGATGACATTGTTGACAACACTGGTACAAAAACATCAGTGGTGTGGTGGTATTTCGTTTTTTTAAGTCGTAAATGAAGCAGAGTAATGTGCACTGCAAATTATGTCGAGTACATGTTAAATTTCATTTCAGACTGACAAGATTGACAAGTGATTTTTTTATATCATGATACTTATCGATATCGACTGATAAACGATCGTGATAAACTTGTTCCCATATCGCCCAGCACTACAGTACTGAGTTCATGTGACCTCTCCACCACTCCAAACTAGTCAAAACTAAAGGTAGATGGTTCATTTACCCCTACAAGCAACCGCATAAATTCTGTGTTTCTTTGTTACTGTATATAACAAAAACCATTACACACTTGGATTATCTTAATTAAACAGCACTGTATTTTTATGTATAATGATCCCCTTACTTCTGATGTGCCGAGCTCCAAACATATTTTCCCCAAAGAGACACTAGAATGGAGAAGTCAAACATCTGGTAGAAAAAGCATGTCAATTAGAGAAGACAAGCAGCTATGAAGTTCAGGGTCTGTTACACAGAGACTCCAGAGGAAAAAACAGGTACACAAGGGGGCTGTTCGGCGTACAACAACTGGTTCCAAAAGATACCATTTGCCTATAGGGAGTCAGTCTTGATGTGTATGTATCCTTAGCCACGTATTGTCATGAATGGGGAGGTATCATTTCTATCATAATACAAGAGTAATTTGATAGTCTTTAATTCTTTATTTTTCAAAACAGGGCGCAAGCAACCCTGCCGACAGTGGACAGCGCCTGGTGCTGAAAATATGCCTCTGCATCAGTGAACGGCCAGATGGGCCATGGGTACGGGCACCTGAGATAATTTTACTGGCATGGACAATCATCTCCAAATCAATGTCAATTAAACAAAGGAATTACTGTTGAGACAGTGGACACCTTTAAACCTACCAATAAACTCCCCTTTGATCAGCACACCACGAACATTCAAAGAAAGAAAACAATAAAGACTGTCAGCCATCCGTAAACTTAAAAGGACTTAACGTTGCACCCCACCTTCTGTTGCTACTCTATCAAAGCATCATTCAACCCATCCTTCTGTACTGTTCCATATGCTTTCTGTCACCAACCAAACCAAACTAGTCAATCACTCACCCAGCAAACTCCATAGCGCAAGACAGCACTAAGCCACTGAACCAATACATCATCCCACTACCCTCAGGGCGCAGGTACAAAACCATTCAGTTCAGGAGGGGTCGGCAAGGGGAAAACCTGTTCCCTGCAGCCATAGCCACCCGGAGTAGCTGGCCCCACTGATCTGTCTGTCCACCATTGAGTCGTCATGTAAGTTTGTCATTATTGTTGTAATGTATGTCATTTATTGTGATGTGCAATGTTCTGTCAGTGAGGACAAACCTTCCTACAGGACAAATAAATCAAATCATTTGAAAGTAAGGTTTTATCATGTTCTGATACTTTACTATTAAAGAAATTAGGCCTGTTTTTGATCAACAAGGAGCTTTTTATTGACAAAGTACTTTATAAGTACAGACCTTGATACTTAGTTTATTGTTATGTAAGGCTGTTCAGGGTGATAAGGGGGGGGGGGAGTATATCGTCATGATAGCATTTTATCCATATTATTCTGTCACTAAAATCAAACAGGTGTAATTTCAGATGAGTATAGCTTATATACTGTTGAAATTTGACAACATATGTCAGTCAGCTAACCCACAAATGAAATGCACCACAGTTCATGGATTAACTTTCACAACCCAAGTGAAGGCCTCAATCCCTCACCTCTGTCAGAAAACTGAAGACCAGTGAAAAGATACTCAATATTTCAGCATGTTTTTCTTTCATTGTATTCCTACAGGCCATATACAAAAACAAGAGCACACACAAAAAAAATAAAGTTCAACTTACTTTGCTCAGATGTTCTGTCCTGTAAAGGTGAGTTTCTGCGGCCTAGCCTCCTCAGATGCGTCCTCTCCTCAGTCCGGGTTCGTCCTTGCCATGCGCTGTAGTTCATTGGTCTGTCCTCCTTTTGGCCTTACATTCTCATTATGGCCGCGGTCTCTTTATGTCCCCCATATGCGAACTTACTATCTACTGGTTGATTTCCATCCATCCATCCATCCATCCATCCATCCATCCATTTTCGACTGCTTTTCCCGTTGGGTGTCGCGGGGGAACTGGGGCCTATCCATGCGTCTTGGGGCGAAGGCAGGGGACACCCTCGACAACCAGTTCATTGGCAAACTTTTGAAAGCCTCTTATCTTCCTTATGTGAGTAAATTTTGTTGTCTAGTGCTCTTGTTTCGAGACTCACATGCTGGTTGGGTGTTTTGATGCCTTTAACAACATTTTCTGGTGGAAAGGAACCGAATATTTTCCAGTACGGTTTACCAATTACGCGGTGAAAAGCTTACAAACGCCATTTCTCTTTGATTTCCTGGTAAATTGGCGCCATTAACAGCTGTAGTCCCGCCCCCTCTCCTTCACAGGGTTAAAGGTAAATTTCACCAACTTCACTTTTCTAAACCAAGCAGCATTTTCCTGTGTTTACAGTTTTTCTCAGTCGCTTTGGTGCATTTCTCAGATCAGAATGAAAGTTTTCACAACTATTAGTTCAACCACCACAACACTGAGTCATTTTTGCACATCATGGTAGCAGTTTCTCATTCCTCTGAACAAATTGCAAATGCTTTTGGACGTGTATCAGTTACTTTCGTACAATTCTCTGCTGTTTTATAACATTATCATTTGCTTATGTCAATCCAGTCAAAATGAACTATACTTTTGAATGCTGAATAGTCATTCCCTATAGAACTTATAGTCCTCATTTCATTGCTTGAGTCATTAAATACACAATTGTTGAATTAGCTCTCAAAATCCCTTATCATTTTATTTTTTGAAAATGTCTCCTAAATTGAACAGCTGCTCTCAGGTGAACCTCAGCTTTCACTCTTCACATGAAGAGGTAGCCACTTGTCCACAGTCACTCAGAGCTGATTCCCATGAACCCTCACTTGGCAAGCGCATATAAACCAAGCAGGACATAGTGTGTACCATTTCTACAATTCTGTGACACAAAAATGGAGGGTCAGTGTCGTGGAGGAGAGGGTGAGAATGCAGGGAGGAAGGGGACAAAACAGGGGCAGAGGAAGAAGAGGTGAAGTACATAGACAAATCCCTGATGAAATTAGGGTTACACTTGTGGACCATGTTGTCAATCATGGTCTCATTATGGCTGAGGCTGGTCAATGGACAACCAAATGTAGGGAGAACTACTGTGAATCTTATGTTTGTTCTATGATCCAAACCTCTCTTGTTAGGTTTCATAAACCTTTATTGAAAAAAAAAATCTGTACTTTTTAATGATTGAATCAAATTGATTTCTGCCATGTTTCAACAAAAAGGACTAATGAGATCAAAACACTGTCGGTCATTTATTTGACCATATGATAGTTTAGTGCTTAGTGGCATGTTCTTAGTTGTGTTGCCTGCACATATTCAAAGCTAAATAAAGATCTTGTTTCCGCAGTTTAACAGAAAAAAAAAATCACTTTATTGTTAAATTACCATCCCAAAGCCTCAAGATATAAAGATGTAGGTTATAAGCTTTGGTGATGGAGTCATTACGAAGATAAAGACGTCCAACAAGAAAAGTATTTTTAAAAAGGGCTGTAATTTTTGTGTCAGTAACTTGTTTGAACTTTGTTGAAAATACACAAACAACCTTTCTATTTATGACAGAATGAACATAATTATTTCTAACACTCTGAACTGACGTTAGGATTTTTCCAGAAACCAAGGCATGGCATGATTTTAAAAAATCCCTTATTTACTGCAAGATCCATTTTTGAGAAAAGCTTTGAAAATGCTGTAACCTAATATAACCACTAGAGGGCAAAGTAGGTCAGGTATAGAGAGAAAAATCAAGATCAAGAACATCACTGACATGATTTCAGTTGCTTAAAAATTAGCTAGTTTTGTGTGTTTTAAGAACATCTCATCCACCAAGTATACTTAGTTTTTTGTTCAACCTTATGTGCCCTGTTAAAATAAATCAAGGCTTCTGCGTTGAGCTTTGTTTATACATGATATCATCAAACTTGGTAGAAATACAGTAATACAAACAGCCTGATGTATCTAAAATACACTTTATTCTGCTTTCAGTTCACAATTATTACAATATTAAGAACCTTGCACATTTTTCACAGTTGCATTTTGCACCACAATGGAATGTAATATCATGTTTTACAGCAATGAACAAATCAGCCACAGTTGTTGAAGGTTTTGTTGGACGGCAAAAGACATCCGGTTCCACGCACTGCGCTACAGACAGAGGCCAGTAGTACAGCTGAGGCTCAGACCAACACAAAGAAAGCTATCTATATTTATCTATACTTGAATCTCTGAGCAAAAGAAACTATCTTTCTCAACTACATTTCCAGGATGACAAATATACCAACGCTAGCTATACTCTTTATCAAAGCACAGACTAACATTTGAATACTGACAATTTTCAGGTCATCGTCTCAAAGCAAGATGTTAGCCCATGTTTGTGAGGAATATATGCGATTGTTTCCAAGGGAATGGAGCCAGATGATGATAATGATGAGGAGGAGGATGCTGTTTGTCACTTGAAGGAGGCACTTGGTCCTAGGGAGCCAAAGAGAAGAGTCAGTGGAGTCAGTAGTGCTTCCTTTTTGTACCTGCCGACCAGGTTCCAACAGGTTTTACTTTCAAGGTTCACCAAACAACAGATATTTCACCGTTTTCTTCACAATGTACACTCTATAGACAAAGTTGTAGAAAAAAAAAACATTGATTTTGTGATTGTGCATGTTTTCCCAGTACTAATATACCTTGCATCAGTCTTGTGCTCACAAAGGTCCATGCCTCTTTCGTCTGCCAAACGCCTGGGCGCCCACATTGGTGGGAACAAAGTTTGCATGTCCCAGCCCTCCTGACCGACTCAAGAAGTCAGCCAAGCGGTGAGTTACACATGTGGCGGTGTTGCACGCCCTCTTCTGTGCTGTGGCATTACTTGTAAGAAGAAAAAGGATAAACACATTTTTATAAACCCCAAGGTTCAAATCAGACATCAGATTTTAACAACATCCCAAACATAACAGCAATAAGTAGAAGAATATACCTTTATAACTGTGAATGAGGTGCAGATGTGACTATACTTACCCTTTTCTCCATTTGTTTATTCATTGGTTTTTGTCTGTTATCAATCTTGACTGCATTAAAGTGTAATGACTTTTAAAAGGCACATAGTCATAAAACAATTTAACATTAGGGAGATTTTAGTTGTCGCTACATTTTATTGTATTTTAGAAATTTGCAAAAACAGCTCTTTTGGCTGATCCATAGTTTTGAGGTCTCTGTCATATCTCTAATGTCCACTGGTGGAAAAAAAAAGCACAGGATTCACATGCAAAAGCAGTCTCTTAAAAGAATAAAGCTAAATGGACGAGCAAAGGTTTAAGAAAAACAGATACAAAAAAATTAAAAATTCAGGGTTTCAGTTAAGAAGGTTGCTGAAGTTTTCATATTGCCCAGATAGACTTCGCTTCTTCCCAGGCGTCCCTGCTCCCACGTCGGTGCGGGGAAAGGTTTGTAGTTTGTGAATATCCTGGGAAAGTTTGCCCAACACACAAGTGCTCAAGCTGGTGCAGCGTTTAGACATGGGTCTATCTCGGCTGTTAGAGACAGAGACAAACATGCAGAAAAAGGCTTGCAGTAACTGTGACATGCAGATGAACATCAACAATTACATGCACATTGTTTCTCTAAATTACCATGCATAAACAGGAAGGCTGTGATAAATAAACACTTACAACGCATGCTAACAGATTCAACAGGCATGTGCATACAGCCCATTTACCAAAATATCACAGTTTAGTCATCATGCTATTATGATACGTTAATTTTTCTGAACACAATGTCAATGTTTTTTTCTGACAAGGTACTGTCTTGAAGGAGTGTGAGATGATGAATGAATGAATGAATGAGTCACTGCCATCCATGCAATGCATGAGAGGGTTATGACAGAGTAGATCTGCATGAATTTGACTGTCTATACCTTAATAGTTTTGCAAAATGGTAGAGCTGTTGGGCTTATAAACATAAGCGAGTTATATTTCAACTAATGGTAGATAGATAGATAGATAGATAGATAGATAGATAGATAGATAGATAGACAGATAGACAGATAGATAGATAGATAGATAGAAAGCACGATTCTTTGCGGTACAAGGACTTTGAACTCATCATCATCATCTTTAGGTTAATTTGAGTAATATAATTAATTATCTAACAGCTGTAAGTCATACCTGTTTCCATCAGCTGTTTGGGGGTCCTGCTCATCAGAGGTGATCTGCATGAATTCCTTGATCGCTCTGAGCAGCTTTTGTGCATCATCATCCGACAGTGTGATTCCATCTGACATCAACTCCTTACTAAGTCCAAATATTTACAGTGATAGGAATTCAAGGCAATGTTAATAAAATATTGATGCAACATCTCTCTTAAAATCTGATCAGAAATAAAATGGTTCTTATTCTTTTACTTTAGTTCACTATATACAGAATCTATGTGATGTAAAATGTCAATAATTTTAACAAGTGCTGTGTTTTGACACTCTTCAGAATAATCCTACATCTCTTACCTGGAGGGAGCTGCCTGCGAGATGTACATCTGACAAACCATCAGCGCATAAGCAAGAAGGAGAGTCCAAACTTTCAGCATTATCATGCTTGCCTGCGGAAAACATACACAACACCAAACAAGGTAGTACAAAATGTTATAAGGAAAAACTTGTAAATGTATTCTGTACAGCTTCTTTTTTTTATTTTACTCCATGATCTCACAGTTAAACACACCCTCCTTCCATCTGTCTCTCTCTCCCCCTGCCTCTCTATTAGTGCCACTGAAGATAAGAGAATTATTAGTTATAAAGGGACACTTGAATCTTTGCCAGCAGCTCGGTCCATTAGCAGAATTGGGTGCAGTCTACATAATATAAGAACACTAGACCGGCAAAGCTGTTTCTCCCCTACCCGTTAGAAACTTAACACTGGTACACTTGCTTATACAGTTCCCTCAGTCCTCACCTTCACAAAAAAAAACACATCATTGTTCATAACTTACTTGTTATATATATTTTGAACAATCATCTAAAACAGCAAATCTGGATTTATACTCACCTTTAGATAACAAATCCTGTGGTGATGAGGAATGAAATGTTAGACTCACTGGTGAATCCACTGAGCGCTCCCAACAGAACTGGGTTTTATATATGTTCCCCATGGGTTTCTGTATTAACCTGTAAGAACTTGATTGTACTCTATTGGCCAGTGATGCATTTTACATCTAACTGTTAGCCAATCAGAAGTCCTACGTCACTTACAGTGAGCCAATAAAAGAAGGGGTACACAAATGACATCAATGTATGTTTCTCAGTGTTTTTTTATTCACACAAAAAAAAATACTGATTTATCTGAATCATTTTGAAGAAAGATGAGTGATCCACCCATCTTTCAAACAGAAAGTGTGGGGCTCCGGAACAAAGGGGACTGAAAAAAAATCCACTTTCAGCTTATTTTCTTTCAAAATTAGATGATATTATCATGCTGTACATCCTCTGCAGTTTAATATTGTGTTATCATGATGCACCCAGAATTTAAACATAGTATAATAGCTATTTTGTCATTTGTGTATAATTTGATAATATATAGTGGTTTGATGCAGCATCACTTAATCTTCAAATGGTAAAGAAGCAAATGGCACACAGAGGATCCAAACAAATACAGTCCCTGTTTTGATCAGGTATAGAATAGTAAACAGATGAAAGATATTAATTATGTCTACAGTAACAGATTATCAGTCAGTAAAACAGCTTCATGTCAGCAAAGTAAGTTTTAGGTAACAACTGAACCCATTCGACCAATAAGCCCCTGTTGCAACCAGTCAAGATGTGGAGAAGCATTTTCAGCAAGCAGAGGTGAACAGGGTCAAAATGTGCAGTGAAAACAAGGTTATCTTTGAATAGGAAACAGCTGTTTTCCCCCAAAAGATAGTCCAAAGAAAGTTCAAACCACTCAGAACTGCAGCCTGCAATAACAGGCTGTAGTTTTAAAAGCTCTGAACACCATTTAGACAAGAACGTGTAAAACAGTGAAGCATCTGTAAACAAAGACTGTTAGGTAGCAGATATGCACTGATGCTGTTCCTGATTGTCTTGAAAATGCACAGTTTTGCATGTGACAGTATGTTCACATTAGCCTCCAACTTGTCCAACTTGTTCCTCTATAGCACTGGTTCCCAACCTGGACTCAGGGCCCCCCAGGAGGGGTGCCAAAGATCTCAGGGAAGGCACAAGACTTTGCCTGCTCTGAGGTTGTAAAAATTAGATTGCACATGTGAACTAAAACCCTTAGAAAACTCTTGCCAGACAGTCAAGTTATGCCAGTGTACAAAACTGCAAAAGTTTTTTTTGTTTTCTTTAGTACAAACATTAAAATTGATGCGTCTTTTGACAGTCATGCACCGCTTTTTTTTCCAGTGAGGGCCTTGCAAGGGGCTCTGCTTTTCTATAAAACAAGAAAAGGGGGCACTAAGGAAAAAGATAGGGGTCCACTGATCTATAGGCATAGCTTTACAATGAGTCCTTTCAATGTATAAACCTTCCCACAGATTTCAGTAGTGTCCATCCGGTTTCACTGGGCTAATTACTGGGCTGCTGGTTTCTGGCCATCTTCTAATTCCCCCTTATGTAACAATATTGGATGATGCATCATAAAGTATCCAGCCGCCCAGTTAGTTTTTGCGTCACGAGGAAACTCATTAGTATGGATGAGCCTTTTAGTGCTATTGAGCAGACCTGCAGGCTCAGTACCAGGGGCACTAAATTAGTCCCGAGAGAGTATACATTCAGACTCTCTGCTGAAGATTCATATTTATTGTCTCGATCTTACTTGCCAAGAGGTATTATGTTCCCAAATTCAACTTAAAGGTAGCATTAGACACCAACCTAGAGAAGCAAATTTGTCAATTACATGAGCCACATTTTAACGGCTCACGATTCACGTCACCCCGGCGGTACAAAAGTACTGTAAGTCCCCGCACACTTTTGGATCGGAGCTGCTCTCAGGCCTCAGTTCACCCCTTCATTCTCCGAGCAGGGACATGAGTCGACGCCGAGAAACAGCATTCCAAGGGGAAAAGTTTATTGTCAAGAATGCAATTAACTCACTCTGTTCACATTCTCTAATGTTAGGCATGAATTGGCCTGGAAAGTTAATTACAACACAGGAGAGCATTCATAACAGCGAGGGCAATGTTATGCTCACTGCAGTGCTCATCAATGACAGCCTCAGCTGAGTCAGTGTGAATGTGTCTTCACCCAAACAGAAGCAGGGCTGTTCCTGGCAGAGACTCAAACCCCCCAAAGAGAATTTCATTTAAAACTCTCTTTTATTGACACCTCACGCATTATTGTGTTTGGCAGCAAGAGTCGGTAATTAGCTAGAATTGCTTCACAGTAAAGTTGTGTTACATTTTAACATTTAAACATTTGGACGTTTTAGTTCAATGCGCTGTAAAATGAATATCAGTCCTCCAGGCTCATGTGATCATTAGCACTTAAAGGAAGGCCCTAAATATGTTTGGCATTAAACCAGAGATGGTCCAAGGCATAAGCGAATTATGCGCCCGCTCAGGGTCCCGCAGCCAATAGGGGGCCCCGAAGAGCAATCCAAACAAAAAAATTATAATATTTTTTATTTTTTGCATGTATGAGTGATGCTTTCTGTATGATTAAATATATATCATTGTAAAAATAAAATTAAAGTAGAAAACATTTTAGTACTGCTGCTGATGTAGGCCTATGGTTCTTACTGCCGATATGTCAAAGCTCCGCTACCATTTTGTGCCTTTGCTGTGCAATGTGCGCTGAGCATCCAAAGCAAAAAAAAGGACATGTCCTTCAGGAGCAGAGAAAAGAAAGAGGAAGAAGAGAAAAAAAACGCCAAGATAAAGGTATGTTTGCATGTAATGGAATGTTAATGAGATTTGTTAAGGTGTGTGATTGATCAACAGTCACTATTATTGGGAGAAATAGAGGGCCCCAAAATTAAACTTTGCTTAGAGGCTTTGGCCAGCTCTGCATTAAACAGATCACTGGGTCATCATAATGTCTTTTTAGGTCGAGGCAAGCTGAGTCATGGCGTGGGACACAAAAAGTGCAAAAATAGCGCCGTGCGACCCAATCTGCACGAATACCTCAGCATGACAGTCCAGTTCAGGACTAACGGATTCATTTAGAGCCATTTAACAGAGATTTGTTCGCATGTTGAGACAAGACTTCACTTGTCACCTCAGGACAGAGAATTTCTTTCTTTAACTTGTATCAGGCACAAACTTTAACAAATGTGGTTCACTGCTGCTAATTTCTCAGTCAGTAGGTGGTACCATGCGTGCACAAACTTTCAGTTTAGCCATATTTTTTATCTATGTATTTATTATTATGATATTTAAGTTCCCTCAAAAACACCAAGGCAGAAGGATATTAGTTTTTGCCTATGAATAAATTAGTTTTAGTAAATGGATAATTGTCTTCAACAATAAAAGGCAGTGAGAGGAACATTCACAAATGTTGTACAGCTGTGTGGAGAACCTGAATGTGCCGCAAACAATCGTCGGACTTCTGTTACACCTCCGAGAAGAACATCAAATTTACAATGAGGCTCATGGAACTATTAGCATAAGGTCAAGTATCCATTAGCAGAAGACCTTACACCTGTTTGCTCTCCATTAGAAAAGTTGACTGAACCTAAGCTAACATTTAAACACCTGGTTAGCCGCTGCAGAGAGATTACAAGACCTCTCGATCTTTCCGTAAATGCTATTATGTTGTCAGGAGAAATAAGTTCTGGACAGCATTAGTATTTCCAGAGAAGCTTTGTAATCACATTTTCCCCGTACACTGATAAGTCCAGTCATCTGGACGGTAAACGACAACAGTCAGGGGACCCTCCCAATCAAATATGCACATACAGTATAGAAAACAAGAGGAGCAGTATGATTTATACACCAACGTATCTGTTCTTTTGATAATTTGGGTTTCATGGGCCCATTCTTTCTCATAAAAAACAGATTCAATTTTATGTGTAATTGTAAAGATTAAATTGTAGTACTGGGCAGGTGCCAAAAGTTCAACATTTTATTTTCCCATTCGTTTATTTTGACTTATTTGGGCAAAGTCACGGTGCCAAACAAAGATTCAAACCTCTGTTTTCTCCAGCTGTACATACTGGACACAGAATTCCAAGCAGATGAGCTAAACGATCTCTAAAACGTGTCCCATCTCAGCACTTTGTTTCAGCTGGACACACCTCCTAACACCTCAGCTGTCTCTTTTTGATGCTCTGAATCAGCTGTTTCATTTCAGAGTGACGTCAGGGTTTTTTTTATTTATTTGGAAAGTCTGTGGTAACCATTATGAACATCTCCAATTATCACACATTATTCTCCGTTTGGAACCAGACCATAAAGCTTTTTCGGCCCTTAATTAGATTTTCCTGTGATAGCACTTGAGATGATGTCACCCCATGTGGTTTTAGATACGGTCCGTGTAAACCACCTGGACCCCTGTGTTTGTGATATTTTTATGAACTAAACAAGAAAGCACAACAGTGAGAACACATTTACAGTATTTGATTAAACCTGACTGATGTGTTTAGTGCTTCCAGAATAGCGTTTGAGTCCAGGGAGCTGGCAGGAAGTGAATAAGTAATTTGCAAGAATGTCCTCATTAGGTGACCCTAACAAATCTGAATGATTGGGAGAGGTCTGTAAAGACTATTCAAGGCATCTGAGTAAATGAAAAAGTGGCTTACCAGCTGCCTCAGCAGGAAGGAACGGCTGGATAAACAACATTATGTCTAATGAGGAATTAGTCATGATGACATGATCACACAAAAGATTAGAGAGCATGGTTTTACAAAAGTGCTAATTGTTTATGCTTAAAAAAACCCTTAATGAGATGACAGTGTTTCTGTTCTTTCTGTCTATCATGCAAAAAGGTTGTAAATAAAAGAGTTAAACACATTATTGTGTAGTGCATGTAGTCTATGGATTAAAAAGCTTTTCTGGAAAAAAATCACTTCTATTCCTTTCTTACACAAAGCTCAGAGTCGCCAGACGAGATCTTCTTTCGGTTACAAGCTTAAAAAAAATCTCACCCAACTTTGCAAGTCTGGAATGTGGTGCACACCATGACCTTTAACCCCTGAGTGTCGTGCATGACCTAACCTCTCTCATGTTGAGGTGAAGGAACCTGCAGAGGCTTACTGGGGCAAAGTTTATTTGCTTAAAAACAAAACAGGATAAGACACAAACATGCTTCACCGGGGCTTTTGCACTACATAAGGTAATTGATTTGGGGATTTATTTGGAGACTGATCATCCCTTTAAAAAAAAACAAAAAACTTTTGTAACCATCTAATGATCTTTGTGGGTGGAGTGTAGGCTTTTTTTCAATAACACTTTATTTATCATCATCCTGTTAATGCTTTGGATGCTGTCAGTAGATATGTAGATGCATGTCAACAATGTGTCTCTTGACATTCAACAGACTGCATGGGTGATAAACTTATTGTCTGGCGCATTATAACTTCAAACTTTTTGCAAAAACTCTCCTCTGACCATCGGTGTGCTTTTGTGCTGTAGGGTGTCGACCAATATTCAACAAGCTATCAGTACATGGTCAACTTCTTCTGTGTTGACAATAAACTACATGAAATCAATCTGTAAGTTGGAACCATCTGTACACAACCCACTGTTGACTTACAACTAAGTAAGTACTGATAGCATGTAGAGAATGAAGAGATGGACTAACCAAATAAAGTGTCACTCTTTTTTTCATCAGGACGGAGGCCCTGGATGATGTCCTGATGATCACCTTGTAGTCTGGTTCCTGGTAGTCCCAGCAGTGGCTTCAAACTTCGCTTTTTTGATAAAAATTAGAAGTAGTGCTGGCACAGGCGTGGACTTTGTAAACTGCTGAAGCTTCTGTTTGAGGTGAAGCATGTTTTGACTGTATATTTCCTACAGCTGTTGTGTTGTCTCATTTCACAGATTTCCTTGGATCCTTGTTGCAGATCAGCCGCCTCTATAGACCTGTTGAAATAAGCACTATTGGTAATGATCGCTCATTCTCATTAATTCATTATATTTTAATTACCAACACTGTTATTGGGGTTGCATAGATCGCTCTGTCTCTTTTTGGCTGTCAAACAGTTGATTTGTCCTTGTCTGTTTGTCCGTCTCACTCCATCTCACTCTGTTTTATTTTCTATCCCTCTGTCTCTGTTGACTCTGGTTCTGCTCAAGGTATCTGCCTGCTGGAGGACGTTTTAAAGTGACAGTACTGTGAGGTGATCTCTTTACACTGTTCATTGCTGGTTCTCAATACATGAATACGGGTATTACTAATACTAAATAAATTTATTAGCACATATTGAATTCCTCTCATCCTTTTATATTTGTTTATTTGTCCTATCTCCATCGTACTATCACTAGAAGCCTTGCATAATGAACCTTTATGTAACAACCAAAATGCTGTCTCCCGTCTTGGTCCTCCTTCAAGCAAGATTGTTGACTTTATGTACACATAGTATTATCAGAATAATCTGATTGTCTTGAAAAAAATACCTGTCCTTGGCATGCGACAACTCAGCAGACTTAGCCAACACTTTTAATACTTTGACCATTACACTGATGGAGCACAGTCAACACAGTCGACAATGACGACAAAACTATTTTCACGACTTTGGTGTTACTATCAATGGATTATATCCAGTTCAGTTTCAGTATCTAATTTTGCATGTTGCTGGTTTGCTAGCACACTGATCTAGCCAGGCATAGCCGGACTTAAGTGTCGATTTTAATTTCTATCACAAAATGTTCCTGATTGAAACACCTCTTGACCGACACTTATCAGACAAACAAAGCGTGAGACAAAGCGGACTGATGCAAGACTAGAAGGCTAGTTACAGCATTTTTACAGTAAATTACTGAACAAAGACATTGCATACCTAAATTTGGTGGTCATCTCAACAAAACTATAATGACAGCAGGTAATAATTACTGTCAACCACCTTAAGTGATTAAAAATGCCCCAGTCATTCTTTAAATCCACCCCACAGGCATTTTAAGTTTACCCTTCCCACTGCGTAATGCGACGTCGAAATGACATCTATTTAACCTATTTTTTCGACAATGACGTACAAATGTGGACTTTCAACGTCTAAAAGAGGTCCAATGATGACGTCTAAATCTTGGATCATTTTGCACGTTGTGCCAACGTCATAGCGACGTCTAAAAAAGGTCCAATTTGGACGTTGAAATTTCTAACCTATTTTGCACGTCCCACTTATGTCTAGATGTGGTCTTTGATGGACTGACCCAATACTGACTTGATCTGCGCGTCTCTTCAACGTCCGATGTTTGGTGGGGATCAGAATCAGATGTGGTGAATATCAGTCAAAGCATATCTTCAAGTGCAAATTGAACATCTGCTCATTAGTTCGTCTTGTTCTCAGGCTGCTTGAAGACTCTGTATTAAGTACTTACCTGAGAGGTAGTCTGTGCTCTGCCCTCCCCCCTCCCTTCTTTGAGTGATTGTTATGTTCTGAAATCTACTTTTTATTTGCTTCTTCATATGAAATTTTGTTTATCTTTGTGTCCTGAAAATACTTGTAAAGATCCTGTGAGGCACTTTCAGTTTGGATCAATTTTGATGCCTCCTGTGAACAGAGCAGTCTGTTATTTGTCCTCTAAATGCTGCATTATTATACATTTTGACATATAAATGTATCTTTTAATGTGAATACTTTTTCTTTGGCTGTCTGTCTGACCACTTGTACCAGTTTTAAACAATAACTATAACAATATGAGAACTGTAAATCTTGTCACTGCTGGTCTCGTTTGCTTTTGTACGTCATAAAAAAGCATCATTATGAATTTCAGTCTATTTTATGAACATAAAAACACTCTTCAGAGGAGCTTTAAACTAAATCATTATTAAGGCTCATGTAACATACATAACATTTGCATTAGGTAGCCCCTGTGATTAATGAAATATTGCTGAAAAATTAACTTTTTTGAATTGAGATGCTCTCCTTAATATCTATATTTAGAAAGATGCTTCCAAACTGCTGGTAAATCTGTCCGAGGTTTCCTGACAATGGGTGGCCCCAGACACCGTCGGTTCAGTCGACCCCATACTCCCCTACTGCAAAAGGAAAACGCTAAATCATAATTACATAATTGTCTGATGTTCATCTCTCTCTGAGTGTCATTCATGCATCAAAATTCTGGTCTGCACCTTTGTTAGAGCAAAAAAAAGACTCTTTACAACTGCAATTACTCAGCATTTTCCTTTTTACTACTGTTTAGACGTCGTGTTGGTTTAACTGGAGAATTTTTATGCTTTTACACCACCCCTCCGTAGGTGAGATAAACACTTCCAAAAGCTTAACCTCATATCTACCGAAATTATCCGGATTATTGATCAAGAGCAGAACAAAGTTCACCAACAGTTGACTAACTTTCTGGCCAATCTTAGCCTAAGAGGCGGGGGATAGAAAATGTGCAAGATGATACATATGTGCCTCAGTTACTCTGAGGAGAAGCCGAAGTCAGCAGGTTTGCTCCGGCAGTGAGGAACGATTTCACCAAAGGATGGTTTCTATTAAATCTCCGTCTCTCGTGCCGCTGTCCTGCGCGCAGGCTCTGCTCGGGTTGAGCTGCCTGACTGTCGCCCTCCTCGCCTTCCTGCTGGTCCGCCAGCTCGTCAAGCAGAGAAGACCCCCAGGCTTTCCTCCTGGTCCATCTCCCATCCCTGTGATAGGAAACATTCTGTCTTTGGCCACCGAGCCGCACGTCTTCCTCAAGAAGCAGAGTGAAGTTCATGGACAGGTAACTACCTACACACACACTCAGCCTTAAGAGCGATTTATGACTGCAATGCTTTTTCACTGAGTGCTCTGCAGACTGTGATGCTTTCAGACTTGAGGCGCTCTCACACATGCACTCCCACACACCCACTGAGAAATAGTTATGAAACGAACAAAAGAGACTCGCCCTAACGTTTGGCGGTCTGCAGGATTTGCTTGTAAGGAGAAAAAAAAGCTTGCACATGAGAAGTTTGAGAGTGTAATTTAAGTCTCCCCAGAGCACACAATGCGGGGAGTGGACTTGCATGTGATAAAACACAGAAGTGTATTCGTGTTATAGTGTAGCCAAGCCTCTTTACGTGGAAAGTTAACCTTAAGAAGGGGTCATTGTCTCATTCATCCTCTCACTGACTTCATACTCAGTTTTAGTGCCTCAAAGAAAAGTTGACAAATCTACTCCAACTGTTGCAACACGCTTGTAGTTGTGGTTCAAATCTTAAAAAGTAGATCTTTGCAGATAAAATGTTCAAAACTAAAACAGCTCAGTGCTCATCATCATGTGTTTTGCATCTCTCAGATTTTTAGCCTTGACCTGGGGGGTATCATGACGGTGGTGTTAAACGGATATGACTGTGTGAGGGAATGCCTTTATCACCAGAGTGAAGTGTTTGCTGATCGACCATCGCTTCCTTTGTTCAAGAAAATGACCAAAATGGGTGGTAAGATGATGAGATTAGACTGCAGTTTGCACCGTCAGCATGCAAATAAGATACCAGTTTCATGGAGTAATAACTAAACCTCTCTTACTCTCTCTCTCTCTTTACAGGGCTTCTTAATTGTAAATATGGTAAAGGTTGGATCGAACACCGTAAACTGGCGTGCAACTCTTTCCGGTACTTCGGCAGCGGACAGAGGCAGTTTGAAAGAAAGATCTCTGAGGAGTGCATGTTCTTCGTGGACGCCATCGACGAACACAAAGGGAAACCCTTCAACCCAAAGCACCTTGTAACCAACGCTGTATCCAACATCACCAACCTGATCATTTTCGGGCAGCGTTTCACTTACGACGACCGCAATTTCCAGCACATGATTGAAATATTCAGTGAGAACGTGGAGCTAGCTGTCAGTGGCTGGGCGCTCCTCTACAACGCCTTCCCTTGGATTGAGTACGTGCCCTTTGGGAAGCACCAGAAGCTTTTCCGCAACGCCTCCGAAGTGTACGACTTCTTACTCGAGGTCATCAGAGGTTTCTCTCAGGGCAGGGTGCCGCACGTTCCACGCCACTATGTCGATGCCTATTTGGATGAGTTGGAACAGAATGTAGGTGACCCGAGTTGCTCTTTCTCCTATGAAAACCTCATTTATTCAGTGGGGGAACTCATTATAGCTGGCACGGAGACCACAACCAACACACTGCGCTGGGCCATGCTGTATATGGCCCTTTACCCCAACATACAAGGTCAGTGAGGTCACCCAACAATGAGAGCATTGTACTCTTGATGGTGTACATCTGTTTGCAATAGAAATGTAAATGTGTTGTAATGCTACACATGGATAAATGAGTGAAAGTGCATTTTCTTTTTTCCTTTCAAAGAGAGGGTGCACAGGGAAATCGACAATGTTCTCACCAATGGAAGAGCACCCACCTTGGAGGACAAGCAGAAGATGCCCTACGTGGAGGCAGTTCTTCACGAGGTCCTTCGCTTCTGCAACATCGTCCCGCTTGGTATTTTCCGCGCCACTTCCCAAGATGCAAAAGTTAATGGATACACGATTCCCAAAGGCACCATGGTGATCACGAACCTCTACTCGGTGCATTTCGATGAGAAGTACTGGATGGATCCAGGCGTCTTCTCACCACAGAGGTTCCTGGACAGCAATGGCAACTTCGTGAGGCGTGAAGCCTTCCTGCCGTTCTCCATGGGTACGTCTCGTCTTTGCGTATCTCTTAAATCGCTCTGTATTCACATTATTGGGCCTGTGATAGCGTAACATCTTCTCACAGGAAATGCAGTGCCTGAGCAAGGGATGACTTTAAGGATGTTTGGGCACTGATTTGTCTTTTGCTCTTTTTTGCAATCAAAATTTGTTAAAGCTAATCATCTATATTAGTAAAAAATCTAAAAATCAAAAGTTCACAGGCAAAAAGCAAATGTCTGTATTGCATTGATTATATTGGCTAGATGTTCTCCATTGTTGTGTGAATGTGCTCGTGAGTATAATTCAAAGCATTGTGTAATTTTTCAGGGAGGCGCCACTGCCTGGGTGAACAGCTGGCCAGGATGGAGATGTTCCTCTTTTTCACCACTTTACTGCAGAGGTTTCATCTTCAGTTCCCTCCAGGAACCGTTCCCACCGTCACTCCCAAACTTGGAATGACCCTGCAGCCTAAACCTTACTCCATCTGTGCCATCCGCAGACAGCAGAAAAGTCCCTGCTCTGAGCACACTCCTTACCACATATAACAAGCAGGAACTTATTACAGCTTGTTCAGCTTTTTCAAGGAAGAATTGAAACATTTTGCACAGCAATGCAACCACATGATACTGGTGCACAAGACTGTATAACTCTGGACTGCAGTATCTAGTTCTGGTGCGCTACAGGTTTTTCCAAAGTGGGAAAAGTAGCTCTTTGCATATGAACATGAGATCCATTTATTCAGTTAGTGTCAAATTCTCTTTCTGAGGATAAAATGCTTTTTTTGCACAATACTTTTAAGCATCAGGAGATGTGACACGACTGTGTGCTGCAAGGGCATCCTGGGAGTAAGAGCGTGCTATTGATTCAGTTCTCAGAGTTGCACTGAGCCCAGAAAACGCAAAGTCTATGAACCTCGGTGCGGTAGCGATGACTTAGAGATATGTCAATGATTGATAGTAAGTACACCCATGATGGTTCATAGCCCTGCCTTCTCAGGACAGCTTCAGGTCAGACAGATGACACCACAGATTCATACATGTGGGGCGAAATGGGACTAACAGACTTTCCAAGAAAGTCCTGAACACTGTGTATTGGACCTGGACACGGGCCAAGAATTACGTCATCTCGAGTGACTGACCTCTTCTCCAGGGATAGTGTTTGATGGAAAAAATCTTTCTCTTGGAAGGCAAATGTAACCCCTCCTTGATTTCTAGAAACTGACTTTGCAACACGGGTTTCTGCTAAATGGTGCTTATCAGTACTAACAAAGTACTACATTTGTGTTTGAGGTTAACGTTTGTTTGTCCTTTTTTTAAAATACTGGTGAAATAACTTTTTTTTGTCTATTCATAAAGTCTTTCTTACTAAATTGAAATCTCATCTTGTCTTTTTTTAGCTGCGACTGAAGGGCTTTGACTCAACTCTGAATGGTGGTGCAAAAAAATAGTTCTTTTTTTTTTGTCTCCAACATAGTAAGACTCTGGCTATCTCAATCACTTTCAGAAAAAACCCTCTGCATAAAAAAAAAAAGTTTTAAAATCTGTAAAACGTTCATCAAAGTGAAAGCAGTGAAGTTTCACTCTAGTTCTCAGTCAACTTCTGCCCCTTTTCTCTAATATCGGTTAATTGGGAGTTTTATAAATTACTGATTATACAGATTTATGCTGAGGCAAACACAACACTGTATGTATAAAACTTCTTCTTAGTTCGTTTATTGTTATTTTCTGGGCAGTTGGGTAAATGAACGCACAGTATTACCTCAAATCAAGGCCATATTTAAAAAAATGTGTTAAATTTGTGAAGAAGATTGTGAAACTGAAGGCCGAGAAACCAAAACGATTAGCTGTAAGAAGCTACAGTGCTCAGCATAAATGAGTACGACCCTTCAGAGTTGTCAGAAAACCTTTAGTTTCCTTTTAAAATCAACATTTTCTATGTCAGACTTTACAACACAATATTCCCCCAAATGTAGGCCGTTGATTGCAAACAAGATTTTTTAAGTTGCATAATTTAAAATCAGGATGCAAAAATGAGTACACCCCGATCAAAGTTCTGGAAGCAAAGCTAAATTTTAGACACTATATCACCTTTATTTTCATCTTACGGTAAATAAAATGTTACGTTAAACTCAGCTTTGTCAAAACTTTAGAAATTGTACTTTTGCTCATCTAGATATTAAGTAATACATTACTTTTAATAGGGGGTGTACTGATTTATGCTGCGCACTGTATGTGCCTGCATTGAGTTTCACTGTTAAGTAGGAAGGATCTCTGTGGGTTTATTATGATAAGCAATTGGGTCACATTGCACAAAGATTTAGGTTTTCATAAAAACAAATGTATCTCTGCAGGTTTAAATACTCCAGACACCCAGCCGTGTTTTCAATCCCCACTGGTTGGACCCCTGGTTAGTGATGGGAATTACAGCTCTTTTTAGTGACCCAGATCATTCGTCTCAGCTCACCAAGAAGAGCCGGCTCTTTCGGCTCCAAAACGGCTCGTCATTTGACCACTTATACATTTTCTAATTCAGCCAAATTTAGCGTTGTTTGGCTTCTGAGTACGTACGTGTATACGCACCTCTTAAATACTTCAAAACATCCTTTGTACTGAAGTATTCACAAGTAGTATTGCTGTAGCCGATTGTTTTCATTGCATTAACAGACCCTTGTAACTCTCTGAAACAACCCAATGAATGCACTCTGCTACACGAAGCAGTCCTGTCATTCTGCCTTGTAGTTTTTTTCTACCATCTGTGAGGGGAAAGAAAGAGAGAGAAAAAGAAAAAAAAATGGCAAAGACGGGAGCCGGCTCTTTGAACCGGTTCGTTCATGACCAACACATCACCACCCCTGGTTACTTCAGGTAGGGTGCAGGACTTAGGCAGGCTATGGGACCCTAGCAGCAGAGACAAGCGATCTCAATCATTCACTTCATAATATAATCTTATCAGACTTGTAAAACTCTTGTAAAGGTGTGCAGTAGCTGTGTTTAAAGGTTGTTTTTCTGTATAGTCGGGCCGCTGAGGAAGAAAATAAACCTGAAGTGTTGTGAGGAGTATACCGTGAGTTCACACAGACAGACACGCCAATAAAAATCAATCACAACTTGTGATACTTTAGGGATGGTGTTTTATGACAGCTATAAATAACAACAAAAAATCAGTTGCCCCCACAATGTAGATAAGGGTGAATGGTTACATCAGACAATCGTACATATATTGATGCTACATGAGGGAAACAACCATTCATAGATGTGTTTATGGCACAATCATCAGAGGACACTGTGGTTTGAAAGACAGCACAGTGAGAAGCCAACAGACTTTTACAACTTAATGAGTCAGAGTATGTCGGGTCGGGAGCTACCAAGACTTTATAATCCAGCGTGGGTGGGTCCATGTGAAAAAACTGACGACAGATCTGTCAGGATGTGTATGGCTCTGACCTGAGTCCAACGCAGACTGTCAACACCGCTGCTGCTGCTGACGCTTAGAGCCTTGTAGAACATCCCCACCCACCCACCCACCCAAGAGTTTTTCTTGCATGAACAGTACTGGAGCCCAGAGAGAGTTACGCCAATCAGCATATCACAGCCCACAGACTACTGTATGTAGGTAAAGTTTGGCACTAGTCGGGTTCAACTGAGACAGCGGTGATAACGAGGATGAAGGATACAAGAGTGGTTATGATACAGAACAAGGAGACACTGAAACCAAGTGAAAAAATCAAAATCAAAACACCAAACCCCACAGTTCTACACCTGTAAAGAGAAGTAGATAAAAACTCTGGAAACACAATGGTAATTACAGGATCTCAATGTACAATATGTCAGCTGCGTGTAGAAAACAGATGCATTCATTTGATTATTTAAAAAATATATATTTATATGCACATACTCTTTTGTACAGCGGCTAAACACTTGTTTGGTATTAAAATGTGCACATCTGTTATCTCTATATATTTTTTGTCATTTTTAAGTATTACTCCCTTGATTTACACTGCTTATATATTCTAGAGATACTTATCCGATAAGTTGCTTACGGAGCTCAGCAACGACTCTGCCTTCCCTTTAATAAAACATCTTTTTTTTTCTAGTGGAATGCCAAGAGTTCTTAGAAACAAAAATAGAAGTAGTAGTTTTTATACCTGCCTCGTGGCATGACATAATATATCAACAAAACCAAAGTGAAATGAAACCCTGGATCCCTTCTTTACACACTGGCCGAGTTATGGGTTTGGCAAAACCAAAATAAATGAAGTGAAAGAAATGTCGGGTGAGCTTTAAATACGTCGAAAAATCCGTGTTAGTCTTCTGTTTGCAACACAGAATAGACATTGAGCTGTTTGTTTTAAAAAAAAAGGAGTTACTTAATGTACTGTTATAGAACTGCAAACGTGTCCAATGAGTGGCTGCAGGAGAAACGTTTGCAGTCTGCTGACAATCAATAGAAGCTTTTCTCCAGTGAGGTTGTAAAAAGGTTATGCAAACAGTGTCTGAATGGCCACGAGACGGCACATACTGTATGCTCTCCTCTCACAAAAGGATTTCATCCGCTTCAATTTGTTGTTCGTGTAGAGATTACAAACTACTTCAGCAACCCAGATTTTTAATTTCTTTCGTTTTGAAGTGTGTTTCATATTGACATAAAATCTTGCAAAAAAATGAATTATCCAACTTTGTGTGAATCCTGAGTAACCTTTAAAAAAATACTTTGAATCAAAATAAGGAAAGATGAAGAATCCATTCATCGGAACGGCACTCCTGATCTTGAATGCAACATGTTACACACCAGAGGACATTTTGCTGATTTAGAAGCCAACCATTACTGAGAGGGACACACAAACATACAAACATACAAATTACATACTAAAACAATTAAAAATGTGCTCTCTTTCTCTCGGCTCATTCTCTCCGTCACATTTCCGTTCAAAAAGTTTTTTCACGCACTCAGACAAAATGAAGAGAGGAGGAGAGTTAAAGGAAAAAAGGGAAAGAAAAAGGGTGGTACACATGAGTAAAAGCATCAAAAATGATGCAATATAATGCTGTTAATCAGTCAACATTTCAATAATGTCTCTGTGACTGAGTCTTATACAGTGTTTCGTGTCACCAGCAAGGAGAGAGAACTACACAAGCCTAGGCGCTGGGCCGATATAGACTTAGTAAAAGTTCAGACAGGCACATTTGATATATATATATATATTTATGTGTATATATCATCCAAAAATATACCTGACATTGAGGCTGAAACAGTCTCAGTCTCTAGTCTTTCCATGATTGAACTGTTCACTTTGGTAAAGGGTATCAATCACTTCATGTCGCTTCATTATTTTTCCTTTACCTCTCATTTTTTAAATAGACAGGAATCGTTTTGTACCTTTTAGGGAGGTGTAAGCGCTTTGCATTCAAGGCAGCATCACAGCCAGGAGGGCGCGTTAACGTCGGACCCCCGTTCACACTCCTGTCCCTGCACCTTTGCTTCTCAGTTCTGGTGCGTCTGTTTTCTCTTTTGACTGTGTGCACTTGGTTCTCCACGGGGTGAAAGTGCATAGGAGTTGGGCTCCCACTGATGCAGCAAGGATCCGCTCACAGTAGTAAGGCCTTTTTGTTTCTCCAAAAAAACAATGTGACTGCGAAAGCATCTGAGTGTCTGCACAGTGAATCTTTCAGTGGTTGTGTGTGTGTGAGTGTGTGTGTGTGAGTGTGTGTGTGATAGAAAGAGGGACTGAAGTATGTTTTATGTGCATTTATCTACTGTATGAATCATGTCTGTGTTCTTGTTTTTGAAAGGCAGGTGGACGCGGGACTCTCATTGGTCCTTTGACTGCCTCTCTTCATCTTTTCCACACATCTCTGCTCTCTCGTTTGTCCTCCTGCTACTGTCGCTCCTCCCCCTCCTCCTCCTCCTGGATCACCTGGATGTCATCTGATGGGGAAGTGGGCAGGCTGACTGGCAGGCTGTCAGGCTGCTGCTGTTTACCGAGCTCTTTGCTGCTCTTCTCCTCCTCTTCGATGACCTTCTTCCACACTTTGTGGTTCTCAGTCAGGTGCTGCATGATGCTGCAGAACAACCTGCGGCGCTTCTTTCTCCTTTCTGTCAAGGGGAGACATAAAGAAAGCTTTAAGAAAATCTGGGTATGATGAAATGTGAACTTACCTTCCCAAAACCAATTCAGACTTAAAGGGATATTCCAACATAAATTTAAGTTAGGGTCAAACACACCGTGAATGTTGCCGACCGCTTGCTCCTCTACACAGCAGTCTACATCTCCACACGCAAACCTCAACCAAAACGCCACTCTATATCCACAAATAATGCTGAGAACAGCACCTGACTTCATCAACAGTACATAAAGGGTCCCAGCCATAGTACTAGCCACCAAACATCTTTTTAACTTTGCCTGATTTCTTTAGCAAAGAGACTAAACACAACTCACCCACTCTATTCCAGGAGTTTGTTTGTGGCCCTGACGAGGCGATAACCGAGTGCAGCGGAGTTTCGCAGCTCAAGGAAGAACATTTATGATCATTTCTTCATGGAAATACAATCAGATTGAGATGCTAAGGTAGAAGAACTACTGCGTCTGCAGTGCAAAATGATTAATATAGTGATTAATACTTTATGGGAATGATCTGCTGCACTTGGTGATTGACTCGTCAGGGCTCCCCCACAAACAAAGGGGCTGCTGTAGGAGAGTGGGTGAGTTGCTAAAGAGACTTTTGATGGCTTGTGCTATGGCTGGGACCCTATATGTCCTGTTGATGAAGTTAGGTGCTGTTCTGAGTATTATTTGCGGTCATAGAGTGGCGTTTTAGTTGAGGTTTGCGCGTGGAGATGTACACCACTGTGTATTGCTATCATGCGGTCGTTACAAAAGTTGGTATAACTAAAGAAGCAAACAGTCGGCAACATTCATCTCTCGAGGGGGTGTCTAACTCTGTGTTACGGTGTGTTTGACCCTAACTTAATTTTACGTTAGAGTATCCCTTTAAGGTTTAAGAGCAAAAATAAACGCATCAACAGCCACCGCTAACAGGCTTCATAACTCCACTAGAGAAACGTAACTGAAGCTACATCCAGTCTATGGTGCTAACTCATTGCCCATTTTTTTGAAATTGCTTTCTTACTTGGTGCCAGCTCGTCTTCCAGCTCATCTTCTTCATCTTCGTCTTCATCTTCATCTGAGTCGTCTGAGTCCACCTGTCCCTCTTCCTCTTCGTCTTCATCTGAACCCTCCTCCTTAATCCAATGGCCAGGAAGAAGGCCAGCAGCGTCGTACGAGTGACAAAGAGGTCCTACGATGTGAGTGATGAAGGACTCCTGAAGCTTCGCTAGCTGTGGTGACGAGCGGTCCATGAAAGGGCTGATGGGTAATCCCAACCGAGCCTCCTCATCACCCTACACATCGGAAACCGGAATATTTAAGTGAATTAGATCTCACGGACACATCACAACCACAGGAAAGAAACAGATTTTGGACATTAAGAGATCGTTTTCAAAGTCATAAATATCTGGATATTGTTTTACTACTTTTGTGTCTTTTTTCTTTTAAGTGATTGTATTTTTTTTCGTTCATTTGTGATTTTTGCTGAAGTCTTACTGAAGTCGAATAGACCTATCTTAAATGAACACGCTCATCAGAATTAGCCTACAGTCTGTACCTGCTCATAAAACTCATTGACAATGCCTTCTGTCCACTTGAGGTGCAGGTCACGGACTTTGGCGGGTCCGTTGATGTCTGCCAGCTTGATACAGACTTGGCACACCAGCAGTCTGTCATTCTCATTGGTCCAATCAATTCCTGGACTGTTCACATCATTCACCTGTGAAAAAAAACACAGACAGGAACCTCATAAAACAGACCGACTGGTTTGCCCTGCATCCTATACGCCGAGCAAAAACTGCAAGAAATAAAATAGTCAATAAATGGATTAGGGTCTATTCTGGTCATATACTTCAGCGGTGTGTTAAGACCGCTACATGTCAGACCTTAGCATTGAACTCAGCCAGGAAGTCAAAGTGCTTCTTGAGGTCTGTGGCTAGTATGGCCTCGATGACGAGGAAGCGAAAACGCTTGAACTCCACATGGTCGAGGTTGACCAGGAAGTTGAACTCAGGTCGGGACAGGTAGAGGCTCCAGGCGGATGCGGCGTGGTGGTTCTCCAGCACTGACCTGTCGTTGTAAAGTATTGCCTGATGTGTTAAAAAAAAAAAGAGAGAGAAAGAGTGATCAGGAGAAGTAAATGAGATGAGAAGGACATGAGGGTTTTTGTTTATGAAAATAAAACGTAACAGGCTCAGCAGAGGGTTAAGAAAGGAAAAAGGTTAAATGCAGCTACACGGCCATATTGGATACTAAGAAAGGCTTAAAAGACCCTCTTCACAGACATGGCGGTTGACAGCATCATTATCAATCAATAGGTTCAGGGTTCCCTCTCCTTTCTTTTAACCCAATTTCCTGGGAATGGGACAAAACCCAGACAGTGTGAGTGCTATTGCTGGTCGTGTTGTGAAAATACAATATTTAAACTGGGGCGAACAGTTAACCTTTTCACCTCCCTTCCATGGCTGACCATGGAGACAGAGCACAATAGAAAAAAACTGCTCATAATTTAAGAATTTAATATTCTAGATGATCCCCATGTAAGACCATGTGAGGAGATGAATTATTATTATAATAAAAACAGGATAAATAATCTTGACATCAAAAATAAGAGCACCTTTATAAGCAGATACCATACATCCAAAAAGGCTTCCTGTTATCTAAAAAGCAATATGTATTGTGTGGTTTTGCTTAAAGATATGACGCATGTTGGGAAAAGTCATGTAAGGAAAATGTTGACTGTGAAGTTAAAGATTGACAGTCAAATCTGCAGCTATAGGGTTTCTGTAGGATTCCCATACGGCATGAGGACAGTGAACTGTTTTTAGCTCTGCAAATATAATGTGAGGGGGCAAAGTTGAAAAAAAAAATTCAAAAATCGGCACAACATATACAGCCAGCCAGTTTTGCGTGGCGATTGATCAATGTCGGTTTATTTTCCTTGAGGGGAAGTGAGGCAAAACACATCTACACCAGAGGCCACTCTGCACACCTGAGCTGTGCAGCTCTGATGCAGCTTCTGCACTTTACTGAAGCCTAAAAAACTAGAGAATAAGAAGCTTTCAAATATATTTACATGTTCGAAAGAGGATTAGGGCAACAAGAAGAGAAAAAAATAATTACAGAGGGGAGATTTTTTTAATTTCCAGGTCAAGTTTAAAGTTGGAATTTGAAGATTAATTGTCGAAGCCGTCCATGTGCCAGAGCGCATTGGGTCCTTAGCTCCGATAACTGCACCTCAGACGCCAGGCTTATCTGTGCGTCACGCCTTCAGGATCAATCAACTCGATCGGTTGTCTTATTGAATCTTGCGATACAACATAGCCTCGCTGTACAGCACGCAGGTGTAACCATCACGTGTAACCACACTGTGTTTGTGCGCTAAAAGAGAAAGGATTTCCTTATTACTGAATCCAATTCTAAAGTAAAGCTTTATAAACTCTTCTACAGAGGACATGTTGTCAAGTGATGAGCGACATTGCTGTTTATTCATTATCAATAATCTCAACATTACGACTTCATGAAATTTCGTCTTTATTTAAGTCGACATCAATCTCGTAATTTCGACCTTAATCTCTAAATTTTGATTTATTTCACAAAAATTCGTATTTATTTATGTCGACTTTAATCTCAAAATGTTAATCTTTTTAATCTCAAAATTTCAATTTTATTGACATAATTTCAAATTTTATTCTCGAAATTTTGACTTTAATGTTAAAATTTCAACTTTAATCTTAAAATTTCGTCTTTAATCTCCTTCCTGTAAATATTTCTTTTCTTCTCTTCCTGTGGCCCTAATCCTCTTCCGTATACATGTGCTAAAATTCTCGCAAAAATAAAATAAAAAAACATCAACATGTCCTGGTCTCCTATCACAGACACACAAAAAAATCTACTTTAACTCCCTGTGTATGTTTCTGATTTCTGTCTCAACTAAAAACTTATAAAATATACATTTAAAAAGATGAAACATTGAATTATTGATCATATTATGGGTGTAATCAAGAGAAAACTCAAATCAAAGAGTTACGAGAATTATTGCCAACAAGCTGTCTGTGTGAAGTTCAGCAGGTAAAGGAGGCAGCTGTCAGTCACGACTCTAACGTGCCACGAGTTTGGCCTCAGACCGTGTGATGTTGTGTTTTTATGCCAAGCTTTTCCTCGAAATGAATCTGTGGTAGCGTATTTGCATTTCATCTGTTGATTGTGAAAGAGCAAAGTCTGTAACCTGTTACAAACAAGCTCCTCATGGTAGTGGGAATAAAGCAGGTTACCATTCTACAGATCTGGATGTCACATCAAGTCGCTGTCAACATCCAGAATATGCAAAGTCCAGCACACGTTACTATAAATATATACACACTATATATATAAATCAGTGATTCTTTAAGAGATAATATACGGTTGCTGACCTGACAATCTACACCACCATCATTTAGCAAAAAAACACTCCAGGTTACCTGAGGTGCATTAGTGGCTACGAGAAAGGCATTTGTGCGACCAGGGTGGTCATAGTCATGCATTGCAGCTGCTACATAAAGGGCCATCAACTCGAGGGCGGGGATGTTCCAGGCCAGGCAGCCGTAGCTGTCGTCAGAAATCGAAGAGCTTTTGGAGGATAGGTACGATATCCTGCCTGGAGAGATCCCACTGTCCGAGTCTGGAACAAGACAAGACAGATGTCTGTGAGCGTCTGAAACATATCAAGATCTACTTCATAATGCAGTTTATATATACAGTACATAAATTCAATCAATTATATAACCTCTCTTAACATTAAACAGCTGTTCTGGCTGCCTGAGAGATGTGAGTGAGTGAGTGAGTCCAAAGCACTCTCCAACAAAACTAGATATTTTTAGCATAGATGAGCCTGAAACCCTCAGACTAATCAGGTTAAATGGTTTACATATCTTTGTCAGTCTAACCGTTCAGTTAAACCGAACACACCTAAATCAGTTCACCTGCTTATCTGAACACTTCAACAATATAACACAATATATCCATTGGGATTATCAGGCTTCAATGTCTTTACCCACTGAGCAACAAACGGCTATTAGACGTGTAGTTTTTTTAGACCTAATTTCAACCATCTAGATTCTGTACATTTTGAGAAGGAATTTAGACATTGCACTTTCACCCATTATTCGATAACTATTTATTTTAAAAAGATATGGGAACTGACCTCAAAGTACTTAGCCAAAATAATTATGATAGTCTTTGAGCAGTATACAGTCAGACCTCTGTTAGCCGGCTCGTCTAAACTTAGTCTAAATTTAAACATCTAAAAAAACTTTCATTTTTGGACCTGTTGTAGCCTGATTTTAGACAAGTATTCCAGGCTACATTTAGACATCTATTTGGCCTCTTTAAGATACAAAAATTTTCAATGAGTAACTAACTACAGAAGTCTAAATGATAAACCAGATCAGACCAATTCCCATGTATGACTCTGGTTCACATCTATAGGTCATTCTGAATGAACTCATCACTGTCGTGTGTCTGCATCATGAATCATAGCTCTCTATATGGTCGGTAAGAATGTTTCCTTACCTGTGTCACTCCCTGTCACGTGCTCACTGTGAATCTGCTGGAACCCAGGGATTGGTCGAGTGGTCAGGTACCAAACAGCGTGGAGCACATCAGTAGCATGGACCCGGTTATGATCTGTGAGTTTTAAACATAAAACTAATTTAACAGATTTCACCATATAAACGTAAACTCACTTTGAATTTGAGATAATTCTTGGGTTAACTAAAGCTGAATATTAGCATAGCCACAAATATCATATGTCACATTTTTTTCTATTAACCATATACTTATAATTAACTTCAATTCATAAAGTGAAAATAACCACTCACAGGGAATGTCCCTGTAGCCATTTTCCAGAGCACAGAAGTATGTCATGAACTCCCTTACAGGGATCTTGAAAATCTCAAACAGACATGTGTCCTGGAAAAGGGTGTACGTCACCTGAGGAAACACAAGCCACATTTACTGAAACACCAGTCAGAGCAAAAAATAACCACCACCACCACCATTACTCACACAAGGGAACAAGAGCAGGATTAGAGTAAACTGAAAATAACTTCAAGCGTATTGTTACGCAACGTAAAACATCTTGTATGTTGAAATACTGAGAAAATATTCAAGTCAAAAAAGGAGGATATTACAGGAATGCGTAAAAGCTCCGATCAATTCAATTTAGAGATAAGGGTTGTAAACTTGGGGCACTCTCAGTTATCAATAGTCTCTTTTTTCTGTACACATTAACAAAAATTCACTTAAACAGCATAAAAAGTCCTGGAACAATCATGATATTCATTGTAAAACCTTTTATGAAGATATTATCAGGAGTTAAGCAACTGCCTGGTAAAAACAGCTATTTGTGGAGCAGCAGGGGACGATCGGATGGTGGTTGTTGTACTAACATGGCTGAGTATCCTTCCCGCCTTCCCTCCTGTTTTGTCCACCAGGTCAAAGATCTGGAAGTTCCAGGTGTTCATCTTCTCCATGACAGCTTCATGGTCCTGCAGCATCAGATCGAGTTTGAACTCCTGCTCACCCTGAACACATTCCCCAAACAGACAAGTTGTGCCGGTAAGTTGGACAGGTTGTATTTCCTTTGATGCACATAAACAAATGAGTGCTGCCCTGAAAAATGGAGAACAACACACACACAAACACACACGGAAAAAGAAGAAAGCTATCATGTCAGAAGTAGAAACCCTCTGACCTCTGATTCCTGAGTCTGCTGCTCTGTGCTGGGGCTCTTTTCCTGCTCCTCCTCTGCCTGCCCCTTGTTCCCTGCAGCCTCTGGTGTCCCATCCACAGACACATCTGCCTCCACACTCTCTTCCCTGATCAGGGGCTCGCCAGAGAAATCCAGCCCTTCACCTGCTGCACACACGGAGAAAAGTGGTTATAATGATATTTTGGATATTTCATATGACCTTTATGTGATTTTAATCTAAATTTATAGAGATAAATCAATCAGAAATAGTGTTTTTACATTGCATTTTCATTTATTCAGTTTATCTTTGAAGTATTCACAATGACCTGGTGCTGGAATTATACAATAGCGGTTCCCATGGTTACAGTTGATCTTTCATTTCCATCAACAAAAAACAAAGTTCACTATTTTTAAGTTGATAACAGATTCAAATCTTAATTTCTCATCCATCTGTATTCACATAAATCAATTTGTCTTACCATTTGTGTCCACCAGAGGGCAGTGTTATCTTCCTAAAGTCTCTCTTTACTGAACGGCGCTTCAACAAACTTTGACATGTGCCTTAAATATGACGCTATGTACCTGAGCGTCTGCGTTGAACCTCACTGGAGAATGGTTGATAAGTGTCCCCTATGTCGCCTGAAACCCCCTTGAGCATCTGACGTCCGCAGCTTGAACGGACAGACAACAAAATTAAAAGTTAAAAATAAAAGCAGTGTGTCGTAAATTTGATAAAAACCTGACATTAACTGTTGTCTCACCTGGTGCACAGAGGAAAGGCGGAGCTACGGAAAGACTGCTGGAAATCTGGCGAGCTGAGGGTGTAGCTCAGAGGTTTGTGCAGGTTCAGGTTGACGCTCGGCTTTGTCAGGAAGTCAGCCGTGTCTGGAAACTCCACAGGAGGTCGTGTGACGATGGAAGATGAAGAGCCGGCACCGACTGCTAGAGGGCCGTGGATTGGGGAGGTGACCGGGCTCAGGCTGGGGGACGTGCCTGAGGAGGACAGAGAAGCGCACAGGGTGAAGACAAAATTAACAAAATTCTGAAAAAATAAATCAATCAATCAAAAAATTAAATACACTTTGGGGAAGTTTTATAGTGAAGTCTCACCAGCTCTCCTGGGCCCTGCATGGTAGGTGAGGGTGACAGATGAAGACCTCTGCTTAGGAATGGTGAGCAGGTTTGCATTGGGTCCATTGGACAGACCTGGGCTGAAGGTAGAAAACACACACAGAGGAACAGAATAAGCACTTTAAAAAGCTGTCTTTGTCAGGTGTTGTGTGTTTTATGGACAAAGCACATGGAAACTCTGTCATCAAACACCTCTGTGACAAACAGGTTATGGTAATGATCTGGAAGCGCTACGCTCTGATCGCCAGAAGCTCTCCTGAATTGTTAGACTTTTAACAAGTCTTCACGCCATTTTTGTATTCTTGCTCTAACCTTTACGTTGTTTTAGACACTTTTTAATCTCAGTCAGACTGAGATCTTTTACCTCTATCTTATTTTGGCTTTACTGTCTTTTTAGCTTTTGTTTTACTTATACTCTTTTCTTTATTGACCTTTTAGGCCTTTTATTGTTTTTATCTCTTGCTCATTTCTGTTGCTTTATTTTATCATTACTATTATTATCAGAATAACTTGTTATTAAACTTATTATTTTATCATTATTATTGATTTTGTCTTTTATTTCTGCTATCCTGTTTTCCACTTTCAACCCCACTTTTAATTGCATTTTCTTTTTTCTTAACTATTTTATGTTTTAATTTTGGTCCTCATGGTCTCATTTTATCTTGCATGGTTTTGTATCGTCTGGGTTCCTTATAACATCAAAATGGCCTTCAATTCTCTTTTTACTAAACTTTTGTTTTTTTTTTGTCATTATTTGTATTATTATTTTATTATTTTTCCATGTGCTTTATGACTGTATGTCAAAGCACTTTGTTAAACTTCTGTTTTTAAAAGTGCTAAAAAAATAAAGTCATTATTATTATTATTATTATTATTATTATTATTATTAGTAGTAGTAGTAGTAGTAGTAGTAGTAGTGGTAGTGTAGGGGCAGAAATCATGTGTATTATTATTATTATTATCTGATTGAAGCTGCTCATTCACAAATAGCTAATCTTCTACTGCCACCCTGTGGACATAGATGGGGACAACACCACATTTCTGCTACAAGTTTGTTGCACTAAAATGCCTCAAATGGGTGTGTTTACTTTTACAGAAACGTCTAAATGTATGTTTTTAAATTATCTTATCATATAATTATTCAAAATTCGCCTTTTTACTTTCCTTTGAAAAGAGAAAACACATCTGACAATATCCAAACCTTCATCCTACTTTTGCTCCAGGGCTCCGTTTTGATGTCAGCATAAATAACTTCGATTACATATGGCTGCATTAAAACTGAGTTAACTTTATCAATGATGTCATCTGTAAAAGACTACATTTAACGTTATAACGCCATAATTACATTTCCTGTTTTCAAGCTGATGACCCCTGGGTCTGTCAGTTTGGATTTGTGGGTTAGATAAATAACACTGCACTTCTCAGTCTGTGTGTGTGTTTTTTTTTTTTTTGAAGTGCCACACAAATAGTAATATGCTAAAAGAAAGCCAGCAAACCAACCCTGCGAGCAGCTGTTTTTAGTCACACTTTAAAATTTAGGAATGATCTCATGAATCCTGAGGGGGGAGAAGTTTCATGTTTACAAAAACAGGCAAATAACAAAAGCTTTACTTGATTATTCACACAGTCAAAAAAGGACACGTTTAAACAAATTTGTTAGTAAAAATAAAACCTAAGAAGAAGAGTTAACTTGATAAGTAGGAAAGTCTGTTTAGACTCAGTGAAATGATGTTATATCATGATTTATTGCAGCATGGCATACATGTGAACTGAAAAAGGAGGGATGTAACGTTTTTCAGATCTTAGTATAAATCTGATTCAGACGTAAGCTGAGCCACAATGACAGAGTGTGATAATTGTGAGTATGTACCTGGCCAGGTTGAGGTCAGGGTGGGGTCTCTTGCCGCTGTTACGTTCCCAGCGTGCTGAAGCGGAGTCAAGAGAAGGGAGTCCAGAGCAAGAGGAGGAGGTAGAGCTCCGTCTGGGCTGAGGAGTAGGGAGGCTGTTTCTGCTGCTCAAACCCTGATGGGAAGGGAAAGAAGTCCATATAGGTAAAGCGTCACGGTTTCATTAAAACTGAAGATGTTGTTACACAATTGGACAAAAAAATCAGCAGGCTTTATGGAGAAGGATAACAGCGCAGCAGCATCAAAAACACAATCTACATTCCACTCATTCCAATGATCTCAGCAAAAGGCTCCAGAAAGACGACATTAAGACGCCAAAATACTTGACCAGGGTCAAAGTTTCCCACAGTGCAATGCAGCAACACAAACATCTGAGAAATCAAGCTCAAGATACCAGGACTTGATCTAGATTAATTAAACGGTTGTTGCTTTACTTCCTTTAACACGTCTCTCCACTCCTGCTCTGAGTGAACTTGGATGGTTTTCTTGTGAATGCAAATTTGAAGTTTGAGTTTTGATCACTTAAAGATAATCTCGGCAAGAATTTGGGAATGCTGATCAGGACTCCTATCTCAAAGGTGAGGGGGGTTATGACCTCTCTCTGCTAGTGCCTGCAGGTAAAGATGGCACTGTTAACAAAAGTGTGTCCACTCTCCTTGTTTAGAGTTTTCTTAAGTCCTTGTACTTGTATCTCTTGCACAGCTTATACGAGTTTAATGCATCTATTATCCTTGTGCCCACCTTTATGGCTTTCCTGTCTCCCCTCTCGACCGAGTCCTCCACCTCGTCACAGGGATAGAAACCTGGGAAAGGGGTGAAGGGGTTGACTCTGGGGCGGCACGAGCCTGAAAATGTTCCCATGAGGCTGGAGATGCTGCGCAGAGAGGAGATGGTATGCGGTGACAGGGATGAGTCCATCAGCAGGTCAGACACCAGGTTCCTGGCCTCATTGATGACTGACAGATCCACGCCGTTGCCTGTCACTGCACCCTGTCGTGCACAGACACATCATCCAGATAAGAGATCACAGAAACAGAGCAACCACACAGTGAGATAAAAGTTTGGTGCATGCTGTGGGCAACAACTAGTATTTTAACTTGAAAAAGTGTTCAAAAATGAGTAAGTCAATATCACAATGTCACATAACACTTTTTTGATCCATGATTTCTATTTACTGTTGACTTACAGGGTCAGAAAAACGGCAGAAATCATCATAATAAAAGCATTTCTCAAAAGAAGTTTCCATGGTGTTCATTAAAATCCTTCATTTTAACAAGTTTATTTCCAAAACCATCATTTTATCCAAAATTAGTTTAAGATTTAACTTGAATTTAACTTGAAGTTTTGACTGACACAGATTTCCCAATGAAATCTGGGCCAAACGCAGATGTTCACATAATGACAACAAAGATTCACTGAAGAAATTCTCACTTTTGATCCACAAGTCTCCTGCTGTATTCTGAGCTTTTTTTTCATAGAGGATTGCACATTGGGCTGTTTTTTTTTAAATGTTTGCAGTGAAGTCATGTCTTCAGCACTGCTGTCAGCTAGCTTGATGCTAGAGTGTAGTGAAGTCGAACTCTCGCACAACTCAGGCCTGGTCTACACGTCACCAGGTATTTGCTGAAACGAATTTATTTTAAAGGCTTTCGCCTGCTGTCTATACGGAACCACAGGATTACCTCATTAAAAATGGTGTATTTGGAAAAATCCGACCAAAGTTGAGATGTTTGGAAAACTCTGGTTTTGCGTTTGGGTGTGGACGAAGATAACCAGAGTTTACTATGTGCCCTTGCTTATGTCAGGCAGTGAACAGCACAGATGTATACAGAATATATATTTTTGCAGTTGGTTATTCTACAACAAATAACCCTTCCTCCACCTATTGTATGTCTTGTTGAGTCTTATCATTATTATTGTTGATGTTGTTATTATTATTTTTTTTTCATTATTGTCATTATTATTATCACTGTCATCATTATTATTATTATAATCACTGTCATTATTATTATTTTTCTGTTTTAATCATTATTTTTATTATAATTATTATAGTTGTTGTTATTGTTATTATTATTATCATCATTGTCATTATTTTTATTATTATTTTATTATTATTATCATCATCATCATCATCATCATCATCATCATCATCATTATTATTATTATTATTATTATTATTGTTGTTGTAATTGTTATTGTTATTGTTATTGTTATTATTATTATTATTATTATTATAGTAGTAATGGTAGTAGTGGTAGTATTAATAGTAGTAGTAGTAGTAGTAGTAGTAGTATAGGGGCAGATATCATGTGGTAAATGTTCTGGCCTTGACCCCGTCTAAAAGGCACAAATACAGATTTTCGATGTGAGCGAGCTCAATTCTTCAATAGATTACAGAAATAGTTCAAACAAGGCAAAGAATGTCTACGTGAGATAAAATGTGCCATGATGACGAGGATGCCAAGGTCAGTGTATGCCAGCTTTTACACAATGTGTATTTTGCTCCACAAAAACTATCAGGAAAAGAACTGAATGTCCCAAAGGAGACTTACAAACTACTTGGACTGTAGGACAATAGAGGCCACAATCATTTTCTTTCTTTTTCTTTTTTTTGTGTGTTACCTCACTCACTCGACTGTGCGTCTTTACCTTTAAGTGTGTAAGCTGAGAATTGAGCAGTACTGACCTGATACTGGGGTTTGTACCAGTGTTTCAGATCCCAGTCCCACAGGATCATCTGTAAAACACAAGAGAGACACAGACTGTCAGTGAAGAAGCATCATTGTGTTTGTGTTTGTGCATGACAGCAAAATTTTCGTGTATTTACACGGGAGGGGGGACAGTCTTTGACCTATGCTCCACTTTCTGCACACTGTCTTATGACTTTACAGCGAGGCCACAGGCGGGTCAGCAACAGAGGGACGGAGCCACTGCGAGGCTATTCTGCTTGTTATCTCAATGCACAGTGTAGTAACAATTTATATTGAGGCTTTCCTGCACCACATGATGCACTGACTACTACAGGTATGCTGGTGCACGTTGCTTTAGCCACAGCAGACAGAGGCCTTTCACTGAGAGAGCGAATGAAGAAAAGCAAACCACTAAAACCACCGTGCTGCGTCGACAATGGAGCTATGAGATCTTATCAGGCTGCAACTACGTCAATCGGCAGCATTTCCACGCTATCTGTCGGTAACCAAACAGGAGCTGTCACACATTACTGCACCGCAATAGTCAAAGTTGTGAAGGTTGTGTAACACTAACTTGCTGAACCTGAAATGAACTAATCCCTTGTTAAATTAAGAAGAAATTAATATGTTAAGAAAGCAATAAACTTAGTTTGTCCCTCTGTCTTGCCATACTTGGCACATACCCAGATTTTTTTTACCTCTTTAACCTTTTTTCACTTCATACAGCCAAAAAAGTTCACTGATTTTAGATCTATCTTCATGTTTTAGAGGAGAGAAATACAACAGTTGTTCACATGCCATCCAGGCTGATTTTTTTATTTTTTCAGAAGGCAATAATGCAGTTTCACTCATGACCACAAGATGGAGAGGAGCTGAGGGTTTTTAATTTGAGAGGAACCATCCACTTTAGAGTCACATGTAAACAATCCACCTCATAAATCTTTCCTCTTTACATCTTGTCAAAAAATATCATTTTATTTGAAAAAAATTGTATATATATTGTAAATACTGCAGCCATTTGAACACACAAAGCAATTCTAAGAACCTCTATTACATTGTTGAGTGGATCAAATCTTATTTACTCCAGGATTTAACACCTTGGATTTAGTTTGATTGGCAGAAATTAGAAAAGGATATAGTTTTAATACGTCTGCTACAGATTTTTAAACATGAAAAATAAACTCATTTAAAATTTTTAGGACTGATATTTTTTCTATTATGACATAAAAAGCATAATTAAACAAAAAAGAGTCCCATAATAACTTAAGTATTAATTTTTAAAGATGTTTCGCTTGTTTGAATGTGATTCATACGGTCCATGAAAGCTTTAACTGGGTTCTGTTAAATAGATCAGTGCCTCCATCCCATCTCCTCTAATCAGTAACTGATTCATTGATCAAAGTGGGATGTTGGGTGTTTGTCATCAGCATCTGTACAATGCTGCCAAACATTTAATATGGCAAATAAGCCCTGCCATGGCAACCTGACATAGAGGCCAGCAAACAATGCTCCATACACCATGGCAACGGGATGGCGGGAGAATGGCCGGAGGACAGAGTTGTTGGCCTTCTGCTTGTTTACGGAGACACAGACACAGACACACACACACACACACACACACACATACACACATACACACAAATGGGCTGAAACAGAGAAAAGAGAGAGAGAAAGAGAGGAAGAGAGACGGGTAAACGCTGAAGAAGAGGATGCCATTAAGGAGGGGGAGAGAGATAAGGACACTGAACTGCAGACGGGGATAAAAAGAAAAAAAAAAGACTCAAAGACACAACATATGATGTGAGCTTGGCCTTCATTTGACTCAACAGAAGGATCATGTATGTATTTGTACTGTACTATTCATTTTCTGCTGACCCCAAAAATCCAGCGACACACACACACTGTAAAGGCCTCTGTGGAGTTTAATGTACGTAATCTCTGTAAATGACACATTCGCAGTTTACACCCCTCTTTACGTCAGTATCCACACACAGATACACAAACGTCTCTCCCGTCTCTCATGCGGCACATACATAAAAAAAAAACAAGTTAAATGGGCCAAAAAGAACATGTGCACCACCACCACCAACAACAACGACGACTTATTGACACTGAGGGCCTTGTGCAAGTGATGAGATTCAAATCCTTCAATGAACAGGGGACGTGTTCTGGACCGGTGTTATGAAAACACTATATGAGGGCAGACACAGACGGAGACACACACAAACCCAGCTGCTGCCGACACTCCTGACACCTGCACACATACGCAGATACTAGAAAACACTCACACACACACACACACCACAAAGCACGTCACATTCTTCTCACCTGGGACACGTATAAGTGGAACAGATTCTGAAGTGATAGATGAACATTACACTTCAGCATACCGTAAACTACGAGAATGAATGTATTTGTTTGCTACAGTTACACACAGCAGTAGGTGTCAGCGAAAACTTTACATTTGAATCATATGACAGACGAATGTAATCTGATCATCTCTTACATAGATCTTTTACTATACATTCATTATTTTTTTGTGACTTTAATTTGACTGGAGTATATTTTCAGTGTCCCACTTCTCGATCGCTGAACTTCTTTGCACTTGTTTTTCTTTGCCGAAGGGAACCTGGCATAAGGATGTATGCTTCAAATAAAGCTATAAACCAAATTGACAACCTAAAATGACATGTGTCAATAAATTAATTTGGTGTGGACATTTTTGCGATGGCTAATAGCTCACTGATACCACAACTGTTTACACACAGAATAATAGGACATAGCTGCAACAAGGTCAGACTGTCTACCTGTTCAATAACTGCTCTATTCTTCATAATCTCTTAATCTTATTTAAGGCGAGGTTTTTAAACAAACAGAAAGCGCTTGTTAGACTTGGACAATATCCAGTGTCTTTCACTCTGTGTTGCGCTGTGTGTGCACCCACATGTGCATAGATATGAATATTTTTCATGATGCAAATACGTCTGAAAGGGGTGACATGCACACCTGCATGTATAAAATGATACAAACAGGGAGAATTCGACAGACAACACCAAATATAGAAGTAAAATATTGGAACTAGCAAACACATCTCAAACACACAGTTATTTAACATGGGACAAGTCATAAATATTCCCTGACAGGAGTCAATAAACCTGTGCGAGCTATTAAGCGGCTGGTTTGTTACACCTGCGTGTCATATTAGCTGGGCTCTGTGCTGTGAGAGGTGCTAAAACTGATAAAAACACGCTAATAAGAAAGTGGGGGACAGAGAAAAGGTATTAATGGCAGACAGACGAAGACATTTGTATGGAGAGAAGCAGGGCAGTGCTGACGTCAGTGTGCAGCGACACACACAGCGTCAACAGCTCCCTGCTCATGCACACGTTGATAATGAGGGCTGGGCCCCGGCTGTCAGGACACGCACGGCGAAAAAAGATGATACAGAGTGAGGGAGGGAGGAAAGTACAGGACAGCACAACCTTTCAAGCCCATTCACATATAAAGGCGATTAAAAAAACAACCCAGAGATCTGCGGGGTGTTTGTGAGTGTGTAATATTGGTAAGATAGAACTAAAAGTGCCAAAGTTTAGCCGGGCTTAGAATGACATTACCAAAGCTCAGGCAGGTTAGCTGATAGTGGACCAGCAGCTGAGGCTGGAGGAAAAGCAGACAAGGATTTAAAATCTCTCTCTGAACTTTTGACCCGAGCTGACTCACTGAAAACACGTCTTAACCATCACAACAGCAAAACTTGTAAACCAAACGATACTACGACTATAAACTTCAAACTATGAGCAAAATACACTTTTATGTTCAAATGCATTTGCTTTCCGTCATTGTAATAAATCAAACAACCTCGGTCAAGCATTTAAGAAAATATTTACAAATAGTTTATCATAAATGAAGCAATTTTACTTCAAATTTTGCTAATTTATGAACAATTCTTGGTCCTTAGACATCAAACGGAGGAGCTTTAAAAAATCCTCCCTCATTAGTTTCTAATGATAGAATTAGTGAGAACAGTACTGGCACATATTTGTGATTATCTCTTCTGTATCATATGCATTTTAATACGGGTTCTTATGGGGATTCATTGGTCTTGCAGTCAGCCTCTAGTGGACCCCCTAGAAACTACAGTTTTTGCACTTTAGCGTTGGCTTCATTTTAAAAACAGTCGATAGGTTTGAATTCTTAACTAAAGATCAAACTTTCTAAGTTTAAGACAACAACAACAACAAAAAGAAAACAGACCTAGACAGTTGGCAAAAATGAGCAATAACACAAGTTTGGGATGAAGAGTTATATATATATGTACCCCTGACAGTGTGTACTGCTAAACCCCTTCACTTTTAAAACACTTCTGAAGATGCACCTGTTCACTTTAGCTTTTGGGGAGGTACAGCTACTTTTATTGGGTATTTTATTTATTTGCTATGTTTATCTATATTGTTGTTTAATGCTGTTATTGTTTTTATAGTTTTTATTGTTTTTACTGTCTCTGGCAATTTTACTGTTAGGCACTTTGGTAGGCCACTGGCTGTTTTTAAATGTGCTATATAAATAAGGCTGACATTGACATTGACATATATAAATTTTTTAAATCCCTGCTTTGACTTTTGCACCAATAGATGTATTCTTATTGATGTTTATCTTTCTTCGCCTGTTTCTGAGTTGGTGTATATTTTTGAATATGAAAGTTGTTTTATATATATAAAAACTATTAAAAAATAAATTACAATAAACACTACTTCAATCACATGACTATGCGAATTTGATTTCCAAGTTACTTTTTCTTTTTAAAAAAAGGAGGAAAAAAAACATCCTCAAGAAACAGGTATTTGCTTTATAAATTCCAAGCCAAAAAATCTCTCTAAGCTCAAGGGAAACAAACAAATATGAAGTGACTGAGCGTAACTTCCTCTCAGTGAAACAAGCGAGATCATCCACCAAAGACGTGTAAAAGTCTTTTGCATCTGTGTTGCTTGGCTCACCGGCAGCCCACAGGTCAACAGGCCCAACAGGAAAACTCACGGTACTCCAGATGGTTTGTCGGCCTATGGCTGTCACCTGTGTTGTCAGGGCAACCTGGCAAGAGCATGGAAAATTCTTTGACTAGGGAAAGGAGCTCGTGCAAAATGTCATCCCTCTCTTTCACACTCCTCTACCACTTCACTGTACTGGTGTTGTTCAGTGTCTGCCCCTGCAAAAAGCCACTTTTATAAGTGTCATTTGAAGTAATGTTAAGTGCCTGTAGGACAGCATAATATGCTCCTTTAGACACCTCTTCCTCCATGGAAAACTGAATCCAAATTAACACTCAAATAACAAAGAACAACTAACCTCTGAGTGTTTAACCTCCTTTCTGAATCTTTGGGAGTAGAGTTACAAAAACTACACCTAAAAGCGTATGACATTCAACAAAGTGACGGTTTCCACTGTTGAAAACTTTATGGGTATTTATAGGAGCTACAGTCTGCGACACAGGGAGACACCCAGGCTAATGAAGAGCATGAAATAGGCTTTGGAGTCAGAGTCACGACACGCTGCATTCAGGGGTGGGTCTTCCATATTTGTTGGCCTCAAGTATTTGTTTTGCATACAAAGCAGAGGACATCATAGGAAATATTACCACGAATTTTCAACCTAAAATACCCACAATAAAGAGGAAATGGTATCTTTTTTGTGGGTATAGAAAACAAGGGTTGTGGAGAAATGCCGCCTTGGTGACAAAAAGGCAGCACGATTAAGAATAGAATTGATTTTTCTTGAAGGCATGCTATTTTACAAGACATTCAATCTAAATGTTGTGTTAGGTTTTCTATTTTAAACGATCAACAAAGTAAGTTAAAGCTGAAACATTTCCGTTATCCTGGGAGGTGATTCAGCCCTATGGGGTCAAGAATTTCAGAAAACCACAAATAACTAATCAGTGCACTCTTTTTTTTATCAAACATCCAAGCCTTCCTGGTTTACTTCAGCAAAGGTTGTAGTTTGTGACAGCAGCATGAGCAGCCCACTCAGCTCTCTCATCTTTATCTCATGGGCATAGCATGTGGTTTAACCATGGCGTTTTGTTTACATGAGTCAGGAGACGTACAGCACACAGCCCATACACACACGCCCACTGATTTCTTTGAAGCAGGGAAAAGAGCGGTTGCTGTCTACTTCCTGAGTGTTTGGAGTTTGTCAGCCAGCTGTGTCCCAAGAAAAAATACGCAAATGGATCCAAGGCTGGAATAGAACTATCGGAGAGAGTTACGGCAGTAAAGTCGACTTATTGGTCGATACGTGCTCACTCGACCAGAATTCTGATTGGTCAACTGGATTTTTTTCTGCGTCAATTTACAGTCTATGGGTTATTTCATCAGAAGAAACGTATCAAGTGCTAATGGGGGTGTTTTCAGAGCACCCCCCTTTCACAGGCATAGTCTGTATATACTATGGACAACTCGGTTCCGACTTCCGCTAGTATACAGATTTGATGTCAAAAAGCCCTCAGTAATTCTGCGTTTTTCTCCACTTCCTGAAACCAACATTGCGCAGTAGCATTGTACGCATTTGGCGGGAGAGTCGCCAAGAGTGATGACGCTCAGCTTAAACAGCGTATCCTCCGGGTGGGCTACGCAATCTTCGTACGCCCATAGGCTGTATCAAGTGTCAATTATAGAAAACATGAACCCCCTAATAACTTTTAAAAACGGAGCTGTACAGATAAAAGAGGACTTGAGCACAAACCAGTCTTAGAGTAACTACATGTCAACATCACAAGCAGAGGGGAGAAAAATGTATATTCTGTTAAATTAATTTCTAAAGTTTGTCCACAGCTCCATAGGGATTGCTGGCGGAGGCGGGATTTATGACCTATACAGCAGCCCGTCACCAGAGGGTGCTGTTCTCGGAGTGGCTTCATCCAGCGAGGAGGCAGATGCTGTCTATTTTATATACAGTCCATGTTTACAGGTGTTAGCATGTCTAAAAACACCCCCCTTGTTTTGGATTTGCCCAATTTACTGGAGACTGAACAGCGTCCACGTAAATCAACATTCGGTGGTTTTCTGAATATTTATTTTAATTTTGAGCATTTCAACTTTCATGTGAGTCCTCCTTTACCATCCATGTCAAAGACATCGGCCGAGCCGTGCTCCACCGAGCTGCGTCGTCCCCCCGCTGCAGAAAGGTTAGTCCCCCCGTTAGTCAATTTTTGGTTGAAAATTTCAGGGTTTTAGTCGACCAAGAATTTCTTCAGTTGATTAAAGCCCTAAGGAGAATTATCATTGTGCCACAAAAACCGATTGGGAAGTGGCTGGGAGACCTTTGATGCCCATCTCAGCTTGATGGCGCTCTCTTCAGGTACCAAGCATTTGTCAAGAGATTTGACAAATCCATGGGACTGAGTCTGTCATGGTTTGTTGAGACAGAATGGTCCAAAGTTCAAGACAACTGGGTTAAGAAATCATCCAATTTACAGCTGATCATTAGCGATGCTGCTGGTTATTATGCTTATAGCTAGTCAGGTCTGATTTTAGCTCTTAGTGTAAAAGACGTTTGAGATTTCAAGTTGTATTGGAGCCTGTGACAGAGCAACAGCTTTGGTTCTGTGGACAAACGCTGGTTTTTGTAGTTACTAGTAGAGACGAAAGAAGCAGCAGGTGAATGAAAGCAAAGAAAGAGGTACAAGCAGCAGAAATGTTAGCATGGTTTCAAGATGAGGTAAGGCTCTGCGAGAAAAAGAGGACTAGACGTCAGTCAGGCTGCTCTGAGGCTGCAAGTGTGTCCTGATTCCAAGAGAAAGCATCAGAGGATATTTAAGGGTCCCATTCCACCTCCCACTCGGTTGGGTTTTCTTTGTCTTCCAGCTGACCTCCAATCATTTCAGTATCCTCACAATGAAAACACTGCTGGAGGAGAAAAAGAAACTCAACCTTCTACAATTTAAGTCTGAGACTTTTTACACTGCAAGATGGTTATCTACACAGAAGATAACTTAGACCAGATTCTTATGTTAATCCTCAAGAAATCTGGATGTCTGTCAACAAGGCATTCTGACTACCAGTGAGTACACAGACCGGTGTTTTCCCAGATGATACCTGGGCCTTAATCAATGATTTTCTACTAGTTTAGGTTTACCATTATTGATAAACTAACATGCACTTGCTCTACACCACTTGTGTATGTCTACAAACAGCATCTGTATGGCTACACTATAGCTAACTATTTCTAAATGACAGAATCTGCAGGATCAGGGCAGTGCAATCTAGTCAAAGTGGTCTCAGTCAGCAGTAAAGCAGCTCTCTCTCACACTCCTCTTGTCAGTGTGCACACAGTCCGGGATGAGCAAGTAACTATGCTCATATAAATGCTCTGTCTGTTACCAAGTTAAGTGCGGGCTCCATCTATTAACCAAAATCAATATCCCAATACATCTAAAACAGACCCACTTCTTTACTGCATCACCATGTGTCGAAGTAATGTGTCTCTTCTACGATGCGGGTGAGCAAAACTAAAGTAAATCCAACAATGTCATACAGGAGTCCACTGTATTTCAGTGAACACTTTTATCATTATTGAGGAGCAGTAAACAGATGTACACCAGAAGAGATTTAAAAAGAAGGCAGGGTAGGGCACAAGACAAATCTTTATCATAAAAAGAGGCAGAGGGGCAAAAACTGGTGTATAAGAAATAATCAGAGACGAGCTAAAGAGGTGTCTCCAAAGTGAACAAAGAAGTTAGAGAGCACTATCAGCTTTGTTCATCCCAGATGTAAGATTTACAGGATGCCACATTATACAGAGAACCAAAAGAGGAGAAACAGAATTAACATCTGCAAAACAAAAAAGAAAAAAAAAAAAAGAAAAAGCATCTACGCCAGCAGGAGGAAAGGAAAAGAGGTCATGATGACGTCTTTTATGAAGAAATGGGACAGCAGCCTCTTGGTGTGTGCCATGCTATACTGTACATCGAGTAGGATGTGTTTATGCTGCATTAAAAATACTAAAACATGCTGACCAGACAGACGGAAATACACTGACACCTAAAGCAATATGACGTCGACTTTACATTTATTATAGTTTTAATTATTGCCACTATTTTTCTATATCCTTGTCTACTTTTTACAATTTTAATGAATCTACATGAGGAGTAAAGTTTAAATTTTCACATCTTCTTCCTTATTATTTTTTAAAAGAAAGAAATAAAAATGTAACATCGAAGTAAACTTGTCAACCAGGCACTATCAACAATCAAGAACTGTCAAAATAACTTCAGTTTAAAGATTCAGTTTAATATAAATGGAGCCCAGGAGGTGGCACTACCTTTTTTTTTTTTTATTTGCACGTGTGATTTTGTATCTCTCACATGTGTTTAATTATAAAGCAGGTGCGATTTAACCATTTGGTAATAAGTAAAAATATCGCCGACAGCAAAGTCGCTGTGCTGTAAGGGTCCTGATGAGGCGTCTCCTACCAAATGTGGCGAAGCTATAGAGTATCTCTTTGTGAGTCATTCAAATGAAAGAAAATGTCGATAATATGCTCTTTCTCCATGACACTGTCCTTCTTCTCTCACAAATGAGATGCGCAGAGGATTATTTACATAAACGCATGCACAAAATACAAATAAAATGTATACGAGATACTAAATCGCAGTGCGAATTAAAAAATAATAATAAAAGTTCATATCACCTCCCAGACTCCATAAATATAGAAGAACAGAGTCCTCTTGAGCACACACACACAAAATGAGACTGGAGCTGTAAACTGAAGATAAAAAGCTGACTGACAAGATGGTATGTGTTGACAGGGGACGTGTAACTTAACAAGAAACAAAAATCTCAGTTTAGCTGTCAGCTTCGACTCTCACAGACGACTTTTGAGTCCATGCCAACACCACAATCTGAGTAAGGTCAACCCCCGCACGTCAACGGTGAACTTTTTCCCACAATGGTATGTTTCATGCTCAGATGGTCCGTAACTTTTGATTGTACTCAACACCACGACTCAGGACACGGCAACCCATGGTGGCAAAACAGCCTGCACAACAACACTTGAGGTGTTTTTAAGACCTGCAGAACCATAAATAGACAAACAGATAAAGCTGCAAATGTAAGTGACTGCGAACACGCATGCATCTGTTTTCATGTCCTCTTTTTCTGCTATGTTCTGAGTAGCAAATCAGAAAGGCAATAAAGCTGTCAGATTACAAAAATAAAACAAGCCGTATTTTAAAAGAAATACATTGTAAAGGGATTTAATCTATGCTTGACTTGGCTCCTCATTTACTGTACACCAGTCAGTAAATCATGCTTCTATAAATAGTTGCAGTGCAGGCTGTGTATGCAGGTTACATTTTATCTGAGCTTAATTTTTCTCCTGACCTGGAACACAGCAATTCATTGCTATCAGAGGAGACTGGCATGGAAATAGGCATGTCTGACCTTTGGAGAGTGGTGGCAGAGAGCCCAAGTGTAAATAGTCTGAATAGTACTTCTCAAAGTCCTCTCTGCTGACATTGATCTGCTAATCTGCAGGTTCATATAAATATCCCAGGTTCACTCATTGTTAAAACAGGTAATTATTAAAAGGATCATTGACCTCACGACACACAGGAGGTACAATCAAAGCCTGACGAAATGCTTCCCAGGACTTCAGAAAAACAGTGCCAACATCTGGTTGAAGAATAAGCTAGCAAATTTGCTCATAAATAGTCAACATGTTAAGTTTTTCTTCTCTTGAAGTATTTTGTCCCTCTGCCCTGAATGTCTAGTTTATAAAAGGCATTAAAAAGTTAGAATAATCCAACATATACTGGGAACAAATGGGATTTCAAAGCAAGTTGAAACTGTGAGAAATTTAAACCCTAAAAACTTACAGGTGTACACTTAAGACCCAACTACACGAATACGGATATATTTCAAACCGCACATATTTATGTCCGATTAGGCCTCCCTACCACACCAAAACGGGAGTTTGGAACACTCAAACTGGATAAATCTGAATCCGAAAAAACAAGTGGAGAAATAAAAAAATACCAGTATAAGTGGATTCGTGTGGTTGAACTTTTACGGATCGATGATGTCAATCCGCAGCTCGCGCATGCGAATTAAAAAGAAAACAACAACAACAATGGCGGACATACAGGGTATTCTTTACGTTTGTTTTGCCCTTTTGGGGCTAATTTCAGCCTTGCAAGTGAACCTTGTTTTATACAATTACATCCACCAGTCAGCCAGCTCACAGAGGCGTCTGCTTTGTTATAGCCACCGCACCGTCACATGGACCCGATGCACCAGCGTAGCTTCTGCAAACAATGCATGACGCATCACACTGTTTTGATTCATCGGCCAATCAGGTAGCTTTGTTACTGAATTTTTTTTAAGCGGCACCAGATAGGATTGAGTTTGAAGGCTACGTGTGGACGCAGATATTTCTGAGAACTAACACGTGTGGACAGATACATTTATTTAGACGGGAGTACAAAAATATCCTGATAAATAAATATCTATAAACGTGTAGTTCGGGCCTTAGTTTCTGGTTTCATTTTTCATTTAATAAAAACACTTGTTCACAATCTTTCCCGTTACATCGAGGCTGGAAACAAAATAACCGATCAGACTGAGGGGGGAAAGAAATCTACATGATTTCTGAGTCAAAATCTGATCTGTAGATTTGTAAACTCTTTAATCTATTAAAAAAGAAAATCACACAAAAAGGAAAAGTCTCATTAAGAGTTAAAAATGCGGCAAAGTTTTACGTCATCTGGCAAATCGCAAACGTTCAAGTGTGCACTCCAGGTAGATTACTTAGTGATGTGAACAGCATAGCTGGAGTGTGTACGTCACAGTGTATTATGTCAGAGTATTATCATCTGCAGCCATGTGGTCTGGCATCTGATGGGCCGTTGGTAAGTTATTATTGAGCAGATCTGAACCTGATAACAGTGAGGCCACAATCTGATGGATAAAAAGGGACTTTTGTTTGAGTTCTGTTCCTGTTCTTGGCCAGTTTGAGGAAAGTACTGAAATGACCAACACAGAACGCTCTTCTGCACATATTTCAGGGTCTGCTGCCGAGGAACTCTTGAAACTGCTCCAGTAGATGCTGTGAAATTGACTGCCAAAGCTGCAAAGTGACTCTTTCAGTCAACTACACCTGATCATAAAATTCCCTGATCATTTGCAACGAATGAAAAGTGAAGGATTTTAAAGGTGAAGCACAATTACGGCCAGTATTTCAATGGACATTGACCTCTTTTGTTCAGTGTTTTTACTTGGCCAGAAAGAGAAGTCTCACTCTGCAAGAATTCTCACTCTTAAATCTCGTGAGATGTGAGCTGCAGGAAGAATAAAGTAGACACATGCTTTCTGAAGTTTTGTCATGAAAAAAAAGAACAGTAAACTTTCGAAGTTCGGTTATACTGTGACGAATCTTTCTTTTCTGTTTGGTATTATGACATTTCCAAACCAGATAAGTCTGTTTCCTTGTTGTACTCTAATCTATCTCTCTTTCGAAGTGCAAACATGTATCACACATCCTTCACAGGCAACCTTTTTGGACCACTGTGAAGCCCAGGATTAAGCTATAGTTTGGAGGGTGCGAGGCCCGAGTACAACAGGAAGGTTATACCTGATATGGACATGAGAGCTCGATGAGGGAGGCTCAAAGCCTTGTAAGGGAACATCTGGTTTTATCGTGGAATCAGTGCAGGCTCCTCTCATAAACACAACTTAACGCCTGAGCCCTGGAGCTCTGGCCAATAACAAGCATGTGAACACAAACGCCATCCATCAAAGCCCAGCAGTGGGAGGAGGAGGAGGAGTTATCAGGGAAGTAGGGACACAAAGAACAGTGAGAAAAAAAAAAGATCGCATCAGAAATTGTGTGTTAAGTAAATCATTTACAAGCAAGTGAACAACGCTGGCTGTGGGGAGCTTCTCATTTCTGCGTCATGTAATACATCCACAAAGCTGCCATTTTAACTGAAGTGACAGTGGGTGAAATAAAGAGAAAAAGGGCTTAAGAAGCTTACAGTTGTACACTTGTCAAGTTAAAGGTCAAAATCAATACAGACTAAGCCACTCTGAAGCACTCAACATCTGTCAATCTAGCTGTTGCTCAAGTTAATTGAGAACACACTGAAAAGATTATACAGTATTACAGTAATTTAACCAAATTTGAAACACTCTTCTGTGCAAATTCACAATGAGAGTCTGTTTGTGTGCTCCATAGCAACAAAGGGCGAGCTGCAGCCTGTCCATTTCTACTCTTCTGATCCGGGTGTGAAGGCTTTGGTTAAGATAAGGAGGATGATAAAGGTCAGCATCATATAGAAGTCCTTCGCTTAATTTCAAACTCCCTAAGAGTTGATATTTATTTTTTTTACAGTAGGTTCTACTTCTATATGTATATTTATACACACAAAAGCTTTATAAAACTAAAATAACTAATGCTGCGTTCAAGTTACCTCACAAGTCAGAAGTCCGAGCTGAAAATGACGTCACACCCGAGTTACCAGGGTTTCAGTTACCAAGTCGGAAAAAAGCAAAGACAGGCCAAAAACAAGATAGCGACAACTCAGAAAGTTGTTTAAGCGCTTGCTTTGTCCGAATATAAGGCAAGCGCTAAAATAACTTTTGTAGATGTAGCTATCTTGTTTCAGGCCTCCGATTTTGCTTTTTTCCGACTTGGTAACCAGGACGCTGGGAACTCGGGTGTGACGTCATTTTCAGCTCCGACATCTGACTTCCGAGGTAACTGGAACGCAGCATAAGCACCGAAACAAGTCTGACTGCAGGCCCTGTTCCTGGTCCACCAGTTAGCGTCATATTTCTTACGTTTCAAACATTGAGGGCATGTGCTCTCTACAGATGACGTCTTCTCACTTTTTTTTTTTCTTCAATAATAGCAGAAGTACTGCTCAACAGTTACCATGGTTTCCTGCAAACACAGAAATCAGACAATATAGCACAACTGGAAACTGTGGTCGGGACGAGCGTAGAAATCGGATTCTGACGTTTTAAACGTTCTAAAGTTTTAAAAATCATCAAGGACACTCCAAAACGCAAGTATGTAGTCCTCATGACAGCGTATGGTGTAGCCTCAACATAAGACTTGACACAAAGTTTAGATCAGGTGTCAGCGAGCCGCTATTAGACAGCAGTACTTATAGGAACATGCAAGACTCACTAAATCACAAACAGCAAACCTAGCTTAACTCAGACAATTCAAAACAATAGGCTGAAATCAAGCTCAAATATTAGCATGGCGGCTTAAAAATTACTTGGTGTTACAGTCTAGTATTACAGCCAAAAATAGACAACAGTAGTTGGAAGAACATCTACAACTCACTAAAATGCTAACAGCTAACCTAGCTTAACTCGGACAATTCAAAACAACATGCTAAATCCAAGCTCAAACATTAGCATAGCAACTCAAAAATCACTTGTTGTTACAGTCTAGTATTACAGCCAAAAATAGACAGCATTGTTGGAAGAACATGTGCGACCCACTAAAACACAGATAATGTAGCTTAACTCTGACGATTCAAAACAATAGGCTGAAATCAAGCTCAAATATTAGCATGGCAGCTTAAAAATGACTTGGTGTTACAGTCTGGTATTATAGCCAAAAATAGACAACAGTACTTGGAAGAACATGTGCGACCCACTAAAATGCTAACAGCTAACCTAGCTTATCTCGGACAATTCAAAACAACAGGCTGAGTTCATGCTCAAACATTAACATAGCTACTTAAAAATGACTTGGTGTTACAGTATGGTATTACAGCCAAAAACAGACTGCAGTTGTTGGAAGAACACACACGACTCACTAAAACACGAACAGCTAATCTAGCTTAATTCTGACGATTCAAAACAGCAGGCTGAGTTCAAGCTCAAATGTTAGCATAGCGACTTAAAAATGACTTGGTAAAACAGTCTGTAGAAGTCCTGAAATCTTCCTTTATTTCAGCAGCTTCCTGTGCCTCTTTTCAAGCATGTTTTTATGGATTCCCATGATTCATGGGTCGTCTACGGGCCATAAATTTTGGACTTCCAGATAAATCTGGAAGAATCACATCCACCTGGAGGCATTACTAAACTCTAGCTCTGTAAGACATTCAGCTCTGATTCAGGTCAACAACACAGGTTTTCACATCTGCATATTTAATAAATGAAATGATAAACACTTATCAACCAAAACGCCATGATTTTGCCTACCCAATGGCAAGCTATCCGATTCGAGAAATACACTTCATGGCAAGAAAAGAAACAAGAAAATCAAGAGCAAGTTTGGCTACATTTTTTTTGTACTTTCTAATGCCTGCAACCGGTTTGAGGGTCGGATCTGACTAGAAAATCGACAGCATGCCAAAGAAACTGCCTTTTTTCTTTACCTATCCCACAGCAGACATTCATGCCAGCACAATTTTTCACTGTTAAAGACAGGAAAGGGAGTTTTTTTGTTTTGTTTTGACACAGACACAAAGTTCCCCATAGTTGCTTTAGATTCAGTGACTATTTTCTGGACATTGCTGAACAATAAATACTCTAAATTTATTTAATTTTTGACAGTACAATGTTTCGTGCTTATTCAGTGTAGCAAATGCAAAAGTCTACTCCCTTTTGTATGGCCAGAAAACAAACAACTGAACGCTTTCTGATAAAATGAGTAGACATATGGCAACTTCATCCTCGCTGATACTTCATAGGATTGTAACAGGTCAGAGAGTTGTACAGCAAAAAGCAGCCAAAAATGACCTTGTTGCTACACCCAAGAGCATTTAAACTGATGTTTTACGGGGATTATCCACCCTTTGCCTGACACAGGGGTGGAGCGTTTCAGTGTTTTACATTGTTGATTCCCTGGTGTCTGGCGCACACATAATAAAGCGAGACTGCCGCCGTGCCATGAGCCCGTATGCTCCAGAAAAGAACATGGGACACCAGCTGTCAGGGAAAAAAAAGAGAGGGAGAGAAACTAACAGAATGAGGTCACAAGTTTCATGAATCGAGGAAGAGTGAATGAAGTATGTGTCAAGGGCAGAACTTTTACCTCATGAAAATATGGAGAAAATCTGCATTTCAGTCGTTTTTCATCGAAGCCACATATTAACACAACTATTGATATCCATCAGCAAAATGAACCATTTTAAAGTTTTAATCTACTACTGCCAGATTGAAGACACACCTTTTCTTAACATGATGGCATGATTAATGTTCGGAATTGTTTACATTTGCACACAGTGTTTTAAAGAGGCTATTTAAGGGTGATCCTCCATCAACCACATGACTCCTATTTCAACAAATGAGCACAAGATTTCTCATTTATTTGTAGATAGTTATCTGCTGCTATTGGTGCATTGGACAAAAATAAATCTACAGCTAGCACTGCCTCTTAAACCAAGAGAAAAATAATGTAACAAAAGATAGAAAAGAGAGGTTGACTTATATGCATCTGCTGCTGTTTTTAAAGTGGCTAATGTACACTCCCTCAGAAAATGAATTTGCACAGTTTACAGTTTAAACAGAAGGCCATCGTGAAGGTGGAAAGGTGGATTTCAGAGTGACCAGGGTCTTTGCCTCCAACTTAATATCCCAAACTCAGCAGGCAGCGCTGACAGGTCCGAACATAAAGCTGGAACAGCCAGAGATCAGCATTTTACATCTGGAAGTATAAACTTAGAGCTCGGCACGCTCTGCCTGCATCACCTGAGACAGTTGCCATATGGCATAAATACTGGAACACTGGCTGACTGTCAGATGAGTCAGAGTCACACAAACAAACCTGAGCGAGGTTTACTAAACAGAGTGAAGGAGAGCAAAGGTGAGGCCCTACACGTCCCAAGATTTGTGTAGTATACAACCGATTTTTTTTGGACCGTTTTATTTTCTCAGTATTTTAGATGAGAAAAAACAGCCATTCAAAAATATAGTATACAGTTTGATTAAAGGCAGGGTTTGTTAAAAATTAAAAAAAAAAAGATGTGAGAGCTACAACATGATAATCTGATGATCATGTGTCTTTTTCTGTCTCAATCTGCCTCGTGAGAAAATTACAGTTTTAATGTTTCTTTAAAAGATATCTTAAATTCAAATTTTCATTTTATTCGACAGAAATCTGATAATTTAAGGACAGTAAGGACACACAAATACACACACACAAAAACTGAAATTGCAGTTTGTGCTCTGACATTTTTTAACTGTTGTTGCTGTTCTCCTGTGTCCTCCTGCCTGTGACCTTTACCTCGTATCTCTCGCTGCGCTGACATGTTACCAGTAAACTTGACTACATTATCTGCACTTCTGGCCTATTAACATGTCCAATACATGATAAATGATCTTCACTGTATACATAGCCTAACAGAGTGGCTCTGTGATACTTTAAGCCTTTGGTTTGAGGCTGATCTAATAATCTTTGCTTTGACAAGCAATTCAGGTCGCTATTGATGTTTCACATGCTCGGTCTGACACCTCAGAGCGAGACCTTCCTGACAGACGGCAAAATGTTGAATGACAACAGGTTTTTCTTGACAAGTGTGAAGCCATCGTACCTTTTTTTTTTTTTTATGTGAGAATAATTGTTTCTGCAGCATGCCAATTTGTGCCATTATTCCCAGATTAAGTCTTTTTGATATCATTCAGGGGTGCAGAGTCCTGGTCAAGATAATGGGTCGGGGGACACCAGATTTTCATTTCTTCTGTTGATGTTTTTTTAAGGTGTATTAAAAACAGCCGGGCTCGACAGTGCGATCATTTCACCCGCATTTACGACTAAAAATAGATGTGTGAGAATTGTAAAATATATTTAGGGGCAGGTGTGCGCATATAAAAACAATACGCTTAGGCAACAAATGTTTTTTTAATGTAAATACAGCGAGTTAGTTAGTTCAAGGTTGGATATCCAACAGACATTCACTGCAGATCTACCGGTGTCTTCTCACTCTCCATAGCTGGGAATAGCGACAGCAGCGCGGTTAAATCTACTCGGCATCCTCGCTGTCAACGTCGAATGTTGAATAAGGGACCGTCAATAAATTACTGGTTGATGTTCTCAAAAAGGCTGTTTTCTTTCAAAAGCTTCCATGTCATGTGACCAATTGACCTAAAATTGATTTCAAATAATAGTATTTATGTCAGCCAATAAGACATAACTCTTTATTTCCCTAATTTGTCCTCATAGATTTTTTGTGTTAAATTTAAAGGCAATTTTTTCCTTCAATAGCTTCCATGTCATGTGACCAAAAGACCTAAAATTGATTTAAAATAATAGTACTTAATAGTACTCACTGTGCCCCTAAAGTTCTTTGTGTGCTCCTTAATTTTCCAACTTAAGAGCACATGTGTTGACAAAAGCCCCAATTAATAACACAGATTTCTTTTAAAGTGCAAAACTTTTTGTGTGAACAGTAACACAAAACCGTCTACATGATCAGAATGCCAGGTAGAGTTCCCATTATGACGCAGATACTGTGCCCCTAATCCATCCCCAGCCAGCTACTGGCGTCTGCAGCAGAGCTCCCAGTGCCTGATGGTGACTGGTGTCTACAGTGCATATCCAGGTCGCCTGCTGTTGATATGTGGCATCAGGTCCACTGTTGATCCAGTTGATCCTTGGATACAGGATCAGGCCAGATGAGGACAAAGGAGGGTCATACTTGCATTGCAGATTGTATGACTGTAAGAAAGGGATAACTTTTTAAAGCTTTTAAAGAGCGTAAATACTTGCATGCTGAGCATCTTTATGGAATAAAAAAAAAGGTCTGACTTGCTCTCTTCTTCAGTGTCAGGTGTGCGCATGAAGCTTAAGGGGATTCAGATTCTTGTGTAAAAATACTTCCACCAGTTATCCCGTTTGAAGGAAAAGTCCCACTGGCTACTAAACCACTTTAAATTAGGCCTCAGTGGCTGAATATCACTCTTTTAAAAAGCTTACCAGCACATTATGTCAAGGCCTTCACAAGTATTAGCAGCCGTTTGGGGCGGGCCGCAGCTCTGACTGTATCTGAGCAGTGCAGCGTGCGTCAGCTGCAGAGAGAGTGTGCAATTAAAGCCCCGCGCTCGCTCCTCCTGCCATCAGCCATCTCCATACCACTGATGCAAACACCTATCTCTGCCCATGTACTGCCAGTGTCTGCTGGTGCGGCTTTATCTCTTCCTGCAGAACTTAATATCACAGTCCTCAGAGCATGCAGCTCACATGACTGTCTACTCCTGTATACAGACTTCTAAATTACTGTCATTTCACTGTGACTGTTCTCACGCAATTGATTAGATTAGGTTCAGAAATGCGCCACCACCTTTTTAACGAGTGAAAACGACCACTAAAGTAGCAATGAAACTAGTGTGACCAGGGGAAGTACGCTCCGTTTTTTTGTTGTTTTTTTTTACTTGAAATGCAGATAAGCGATACGCCCGGTCCACTCTTACAGGTCAAATTTCATGTGCTGCCACAGGACAGAAGAAGGCAGGGGGTGGATGGGGGATTCATGTCCCCGGGGAATTGATTACAGCGAACAATAGGGAGCAGATCAAGAGCGGCTTTGGTCCTATAGGGGAGATACCTCACTGGTCAGATACGAAATCTATCTACAAAATCTCACTTGCGTTATGTGAGGGGAAGAGGAGGAGGGGGGGGTCTGGAATTTGAGCCCGAGTGTGTGTGCGTATGTGTTGGGGGAGGGGCAGACGGGGTTAAAGTGAGAAAGAAAAGGAGACAGCGACAGACTAAAGAAAAAGTGAAGAAAAGGGGGTGTGGATTGGCTAGGAGTAGTTTCTCCATTTTTTTTTCTTCATGTCCACCTCATCAGTTCACTATGAGAGATTTTTTTTTAAAACACCAAAAGTCACTACGAATAATTTGTACCCAGTTATTGGAAATGGTCGATCCTGTTGGTTGAAGTTCGGGTTTTCATAGCAGTGACTAATAGTGCTTCTCAGTTTTGCCCTTTTCAGTGGGATCTGCCCTCAGCTGCTAAACACACACAAGCCCTCCTCTGTAGCTGCGGCTGACGTCAACCGTCACTTAGCAACAGCCTTTTGGTGTAAAAGCAGCAGTGCTGACACCGTTTTCAAAAGAGGCGCACAGAGAAAGACAGAAAGAAATTTCAGCATGAATGAGAAACTGAGATAGAGAGCACAACGAGAGGGAGAAGGTAGAGAAAGTGAGTTAAAAATATGGGAGGTTTACGGCGGAGGATTTAGGATTAAAAAATAGGAGCTTTGCAAAAAATTAAAACTACATATGCTCAGTCGAAACAAAAAGTAAAATCACTCCTGTGTGACCGTCTATTCAAATCATCACGTGGTCCTTTGAGAATACCACAGGAACAACTAAACTCATCTGGACTCTATTTGCAGTCAATAAAACCTGTACTAGTTTTAAATAAAACCTGCACTAACTAATCCCCCTACCTCTTTTCTCTCTTACTCAAAAGCCCACAGCAACATTGAAAGTCTGAGCTCACATATGTCACGGCAAACTCATTTAGCTATACATTTAACCATGTTGTCTCTCTCGCTCTTACTCTCTCTCTATACTCTGGGCCCGTCACTAGGCTGAACAAACAGTCAACACACGCAAGGTTCAACAACCTCATCCTGAACCTAAAAGCTCAGCCACCTTAAATGTTTGCATTGTTGAGAACCATGTGGTCCAATCCCTATTTTTTTGAGTCAGGGGAGAAAAAAGTCTACATCCAAACTTAACAGCTTGATTACGTTGTAAAAATGTTCGTCATTACTCGCTGAAGTGTTTTTAAAATGCCAGTTTGGGAGCAGGAAAAGTAGAAGAGGCTGTTTTAAGTTTGCAAAAAGAAAGGTTTAATTAGCTCAACTTTAACAAAATACAAAATCAGCAACAAGTAAGCTTTGTGTATACAATAATATAAGCAGACAGAAGAGGTCAGGACATCACAGCTCATTAGAGGAAAACGAGACAGAGGGGACACGCTTCACAGCTCTTTGCAGGCAACTCACAACATGGTATCAAAAAGCCATCACCCCAACTATGTCCTCATTTATTTTTAATTTATGGGCTTTCTTCATAAACAGAATTACGCAAAGCTGAAGACTGCCTTTGAGTATTTTGTGAACCTCTTCTGATACTGTCTCTTCAGACACCAGTCATTAGGCTAAGCTCTGGTAGACCTATCATGAAAACTAAAGAGCTGCAAGCTAATTGCTGGTGATCATGACGCAAACCGTTTCCAGGGTAACCCGAGTTTTGGAGTACCCGCTCCAGCATTTCCTCATCTGTTTGCACTCACACCAGCAGGCTGACAATGCAGTCGCTGCATCCTGTTTCGGTCTGCAGTCAGCCAAACACACAGCACCTCGCTCGACTTAACCCTTTCTACCTTTACTCCTGCTGCTGCTGAAGAATTCTGGGCAATTATGCAAAAAAGTTCAGGCATTTAAGAAAGCAGCGTGAGAAAATTTTTCACAGCATTTTTAATCAGTGCAATCCTGAATAATAAAACTATTATGTACGTCTAGAATATGTATGAAAACCCTTTTGAAAAACTGCTATATTTTTTTTCTGTAAGTGCTGATTCAGCTTCTGATTTATGATTCATAAAATGTTTTTCTCCCTACTATAAAAGCTACCTGTGGCACAAATGAAGAGTTGCTAAGCAATGAATTAGGACATCTTGGTCTTGATATCGCAACTGTTACACAAGCTCCTAAACACAGAGGTTAAAGTCGCAGGCCACTCTCCTTTAGCTAAACAACAGCTTGGCTCTGCTCACATTTCATCATAAAGAATTACTTTACCGTAAATCTGCTCAGTTCAGTCACTTTTTCAATACTTCTTTTTAAAAATTAGATAAGACCATTTTTGTTTTATTTGAAAGTCCAAGAAATTAACATACAGCATGTCTCAAAATATAATTGCAGATGCCCCTTTTTATGCTTTTTAAACAGATTTACTATTGAATTATATCAGATGAAGTCTCTTTAAAAAATGGTAAAACAAAACTGGGTTTGCACAAACACACCCACAAGCACACACACATCACACATATAGCCATTACCTGCAGATAACATGAGTCATTTAATGGCCTTTTGTCAAGGTGATGCACTTCTTCTTCTCCTCTCTCAGCATAGTCCAGATCCAGCTACGCTTAAATCATCTGGAGTTTTATCAAATGTATAAAAAGAACAAGAAAAATTAAGTTTTGCTCTGATTATTTAGATTAAAAAAAAGATTATGAGTCTAGATGCAAATTAGAGTGTGGTGCACTTAAGTGGTCATGATGCATCCTGAGCTTGTAAAAGGTCGCAAACGCCCCGAAAGGGTCCGTTAGATTATCCTCCGTACGTGGTTTTGTTAACAGCAGGATTTTAACAAAATTATCTCAAGTTTCTATGTCAGGCTTTAAATGATGCTTCATCCAGAGAAGGGATTAGTGATATTTTAGCACACACACACACACAAACACACACCACTATATTCAGTCTTACACAGCTTTTGACATGAGTGTAATTTTAACAGAATTAAATTAAAAAACAGTATTTTTTTAAATAACAGCTTTAGATTTAGGTTCATTATAAGCACTTTTCCTATCAGATTTTACAGCAGAAATAGAAAAATAGATTTGATACAGCTTATTTTCTCTGTGCTCTGCCATAATACTTATTAGTATTTGTGTAATTAAAGAAAAGCCTATGTAACTCTTTCAGTATGTTTACACTCCTGCACTGATGAGACGCTGACTACATTCAACATAAGAAGATAAATTATGAAAAGTGGAATTTATTTAAAAAAAAAGATAAAAATGTAAAATGCAGATGAATCCTGTGTTTCTGTAAAAGAATAGGAAAATCAGTCTGAACTGCAGTTCTCAGAGGCAACTTTCCCCACCGAAAGCCTTTTTCTTTCGCGCGGCGACTGCAGACAAAGAATTCCTCCCTTTCTCATCACTGCTGGAGGCAGACACTATATTCTACAGGGCGATTAATAAGACTTGGCATTTTTTTTTTCATCATTGCAATCACCCCGTGGTACGTCACTGGGTTGTGACGTCAATGTTATATCATTCCACATGGCTTTACAGCAAGCGAACGTGACAGCTGAGAGCTGCTCTGCGTTTTCATTGCTCTCCCTTCCAACCTTTTCTCTCTGCAGCCCGCTCCTCTGTTCTCATCTGAATGGGGGGTTAGTTAAGTGTGTTATTTACCCCTGTCTGCCCCCGCCGAGTGGTAACCACACAAAAAGAGGGCCTTCTCCTCCTGAATGCACCATCCCACTGCCAGCTCTGCCCCTGAGGTCTTAGTCATGAAGTAGTGAGCTTTCAGATTTCTGCTTTGAAACCCCCCAAATACAATAATCCTGCTTCAAAATGATCTGCCCTTTATTCTCATCATCTTAAAAAAAAAAGAGTCTAGGAGACACACGTTGACATAGTTTTGGGAGAGAACGGGTTGCCATCCAGGCTGGACAATAAAATCATTGTTATGGAAAACAGATATTTGAAATAAATGATTCAGAGGAGTGGACTCGTATTAAACTATTAAACAGAGCGCTGAGCGAGTATATTTCTTAAGTGAATTCTGGGTCTCAGTTTGTGACAGCTGGACAGTGTCAAAATACCATATTCATTTATATTAACGTCAGTACATCTAAATGTTTCAGGCTCATCCACTGTGTCACAATTATGTGATCCAAGGACCGATTCAGGCACCCTGCTGAGTTACAACTTTGTACCATTAACTACTGAAATTATTATGACAGGCAGACAATTCTGTCTCCAACTCTGAGTAAAATGTGTATCAAATGTACTCAATGGGATTTTTTGGTGTGATTGTAAATGTGTCACGTTCACACCTCTCAACAGAGGCAGAAACTTTGGCCCATGATTCATAATTTCTAAATACGTAGTCTCCCTGCTGCTTTAAATCATTGTGTATGTACATAAAAGTGACAAAGCCAGCATTATCATTAGACCTTCACATCTTCAATAAATTAAAGATGCTCAGCTACAGAGAGTCTCAGTTCTCCAACACAACAGCAAATAAAACTGAGAAAGTGACCTTTGGGATAAAAAAAAAAAACTAGTTTTTGACTCATGATGTGAACACCTTAAGACTGAAAATCCTAATCCAGTGTTCCTATTTTGGTTTGTTTCCTGCTTCAAGATCAAAAACACATAATATCAGTAAAAATCTAATGAGAACACACTCTCAAAAACTGTGCATCAAAGCTGATATTGACAAAAGACGACAAAGAGTCACAACAGCCCAGTGCAGACGACAATACTCACTGGAAAACTGTTCAAAGTCCACTAAGATTACAAATGTCGGGCAACTTTGCACTTCTACTAAAACTGACTTCCAGAAATAAAATAATTTTAAAAAGACAAGATGGAGAAGTATATGAAGAAAAAGACTAAACTGACTGACATGAGCGTTTTGAGCACATTGACAGTCAGGACAGGCGGACGGTGTGGAGTTAATCTCTGTGTGATAAATGAAGCTGATCAGTGTGACTGTTTTTAACACCGAGCTCACAGAAAGTTTTCTCTGTAACGCAGTTTGTTTTTCTGCCATTAGGTTGAAGAAAGAGAGTAATGATGACCCCAAAAAAGAGCCTGTCATTTATTTATCTATGCATCTTTCTTTCAAACTCATAAACTTTACATTAAGGGTGTTTTATTTGACATCGACTCGGCTGTGTTTACACTGGTTATTCGGATGTATTGAAAAGTTCTGTTTTCCAATTCTGCTTTGAGACTGTCTCACTTTCTATTCATTTTAAAACAGAAGACAGTCTTAAGGCAAATAATACTGTTAAAAAAAAGTGCGATCAGAAGTTGAGTTGCTTTGTTTGTATTTTGGGAATAAAAACAATGCTTACTCCTACAGTAGTTTTTTTGTTGTTGAAAGGGTCAGATAAACAACAGCTTTTGAAGTTGACATTGGTTTCAATGGCGAGCCAAGTTCAGAAATATTCCTGGCATGCATGCGCAACCTCCTACATGTGATCTGAACCAGCACAGGAAAATGTTGCTCTGCAGCGCCACCAGTGGCCAAAAACCCCCCAGTGTAGCTTTAACAAAAACAAAAACAAAGCAGTACGCTCTGTCAAAGAGAAAAGTGATAATGATCCACAGGTTATCAGCTCTGTCTCATCTCTTTGTCTTCACACTGAAACCTGTAGTAATTCTTGTTTAGCATCAGTTTATCAACATCTGATGTTGCACCAAGATAGTAAACCTTTGAGTGGCCCAACATTTCGTCATCCATTACTGTTTCAGGCTGAAGTTGTTGCAAATATCTAAATACTCACATCTGGCCTTAATTCGACCTCTCAGTTTGGATTTACAAACTGTAAACTGTTGCAGAACTTAGCAGTAGTTTGAAACTGGTGTTACAGTGTCTTACATGACAAACCCGACAGCCAAAAACAGGATACATGTTTTGAGCGCCAGCATTCAAACTCTGTCATTTTTATGTCAGCTTCAGCTTTAGCTTGTGGTCTTTTTATGGTTGACCACTATCTGTCAGTTCAACAACGTCTAGCTAAGGCAGTGATAGCGCTAAATTACCTGCAGTGTAACAAAATAAATCAAGATAAGTCTGTTTGTGATGTCGAGTTACCTGTTTTGAACGGGTACACGTGGGTAAATAAAAAAGCGGCGTTTTACGTATCCTTGGTGTGGCTGATCGGACAGTTATTTTAAGTCATATTTGAGTTGTTTTAAGAGCACCATTTTGCACCATAATTGTCACTTTTAACGTTCAACAGCAGGATATTGGAGCTCTGAGCACCAACTTCTCCTTGATTATGTTCGACTGGCTGTAAATAATACAAATACTCTCCTCTTTACACCTTTAAGGCAGAAAATCCGTTACCATCTCAGACAGCAGAAAGGGAAGCTGACTGGTTTGAGTCAAATCTGGTGAGATGAAGAACATGTGTGACATCAGCAGTGAACCCTGAGTGACCCCTGTTGAGATTTCCTTTGTTCCTTTTTGGCCTCCCTATGACGCAGAAACTTTGTCAAATATGAGGCTGACTTTAAATATAGAATCACTCATGATAAACAGAGAAATTACACTTTCTTAAACTTTACAGTTCCTTCGCGCTGACTGCATTTCCTGATTATCAAATCTAAGAGAGGAAAGGCTGAGTGCCAACAGCAGATAAAATTTTAAACATTTCCTATTTCAAGAAAGACAAAACATTTCTAAGAAAGCAGAACATCTCTGACAGCCTTTCCATAAATCATGAACCAAACAGCCATTACACTGTCCCAGCGAGTGGGGAAGAGCTATCCCAGCATGCACTGAGCACACTCCCCTGACAGGCTGTAAGTAAGCTTCATGTACACTCACACCTACAAATACACAAACGCTGACAGACACACAAACACACACACACACATAGCCCAACTTTTGCAACTCAGAGGTAATTAATTCCACAACATTTTTGTTTGTTTGCCCAAAACTTGGCTTTGAAAAAATACAGTTCATGAGTGGGTATGAGAGATAATCTGATTAATCCATCTGCTGATTATTGGCATTTTGAAACAACTGACATTGGCGCTTACAAGGCCGCTAACTTTACTACATGGTGGCACATTTTTTCCATCCCAAATACCGTATTTTTCGTACTATAAGGCGCACTTAAAATCCTTTTTGCTTGTCGGAGCACTGCAGCTACTGTAGCCTCGTGGAGTTATTGAATGAGTTAAATAAAGTTTGACTTATCTGACTGTTTTGTTTGGCTTAATGCGCTTTATAATCCGGTGCACCTTATGTATGAAAATAGACGCTAGTAGACGCGTTCATTGATGGTGCGAAAAATCTGTTCGAACAACAAATCAAATCCACAGCAGTTACCAGCCTGTGTTTAATATAAATGTGTTTATGGTTTAAAGGTTTTTGCTGTTTAATATATTGCTTCTTTGTCATGTTTTAAGATCTACAGCCTAACCAAATGTACTTTTCTGTTTTTCATAATTTAGTTAAAGATCCATCTGTGACTGTATATGTTGCTGGCTTCAATAACCATCTGTATCAGAATGTAAAGTGAACTGAATAGTGAAATTAAAGATGGCTTTCTTTTCTTTTCGTTATTTAGAACCCAGATATACACCTCGTCTTATTCATTTTTTAACTATAATAGATAGCTGGAAATGCACCCAAAGTCCCTTGAGGCAACATTTTACCAAGCTGCATATTTTTCCAACAACATTTATATTAGAAAATGTTTTCAACAATTTTGTTTGTTGGTTTTAGTAAATACTTTAATTTTTCAAATGCAAAATCCCTATGACAATGTGATATCAGCATTATTTACAAGTCATCAGTTAATTGTCTTCGGCTAATGAAAGAATGAACCATTATAAGATACCAGCTAGCAGGTGATGACATGGACCTACAACTTTAAACTCATCGTGACAGATATTCTGTTGTGCAGATGGCTCGGCTATTTACGATCCTCAACCTTTTATCCACATCTTTGCTTAATTCAACTTCTCGTCGCATATTTTCCAAATCTATACCTGCAAGTTCTGCTTGTTTAATTTTGCACGGCGTTGATAAGATTTAATACCGTCTGTCCTGGAGTATGGAGCGCACAGTAACAAGGTAATTGAACCAGATCATTACTGTAAATTAATTCAAGGTAATAATAACTGATTCAATTACACACTTTGCCTAATCATTAACGAACGCAATGTCCTGTTTAAGTTTTTCAACTAAAATTACAGAATTTGTATATTGCAGTTTATGTATAAGATGCTGTGTACCTACAATGAGACATGATGGGAGAGATTTACTCCACATTAATGTCAGTTTAAAGTCCTAAAGCACCAGTCAATGTAAATATGTCAACACTTTCGTACATCTAAGGTTTCAAGTTAAGTAACGGATCTGCATCTGATATTAGCTGAGTCAACTCTGAGTGTTGACAGCCCTGTTTTAATTAGGAACTGTAAAGGATGTCTTGTGTGTTTTGCTGTACGAAAATTTCAAGTTTTCAAAGAAACACTTTGTATAGTAGACCACCACACTACAAGTAAAAGTCAATATTAAGTCAGTCTCTGCTTCATTTAATTGTCTTGTTAAAGATGTTACTTGTTGATCATTTCATTCACAGTCTTCAGAGGCTTTTGTTCAAAGTGACGTACATCCAAGAGGAGATGTAGATCCAGCAGGGAGGAAATGCCATAAATAAGTGCCACAAACTTCTACAGCCCATAGGGTTAAATTTACTGTATATCTCGTAGGAAGGAAAAGCTTTAGTAGTAAAATGAGAGTCTGAGTGTCTCTGGGTGTATTTGTACAGGGTCTTGAATGATGCACAGTTGAAGGCCTAGTCTAACGTGGGCACTAATCTGCTAACAGCCTGAAACACAATGAAGAGGGAAAACAACTGCTGGAAATTGCACAACTGAGACAAACTGTACATATATTTTTAGGTATCCCATCATTTCTAACAGAGATTGAAGGACACAAAAGCAGTGTGTATGAACTGCACACTTCATTTATGAAAATACCACAGGCATTAAGAGTACATTTACTACAAAATTTAGGCCAATGGCTGGCAGCAGCTCTTTTTCCTTTTTTTACATATTGTTTTCAGCACTGTAGTCTTCTTTGTGTTTTGATACAGCCGGCAAAGGTGTATTGGTTTAAAACACTGGTGCAAAGTAGAGAGAAGAATGGCTTTGTATTGGATCTGTTAGCTGCTGTGTGTAAACAGACTGGTTTTATGCAGCTTGTGTGTTCAAGCTTACTGAAAGAAATAGAAACACACACAGACTGTGGATTTTGAATAATCCCTGTGTGTGTGCTCATCATCTTTTGGTTTTTGTTGACTGCTTCAGCCAGGCGGGAGTAGGCCACATCAATGGCTGTACTGCTGTTGGCTTAATCTTGCAGGATGATGTAGGCAGGCACTCAGTTTATTATCTGATACACACATTTTTTTGGTGAATATTTTCGACAAAAAAAAACAAAACTGCAACAACATTTACTGTTAATTCTCTTTGAGATTAAGAGATGAGTTGGTTGGTTAAAACACTTTTAAAAACTGGCCTGCTTATACACCATAGACTGTATATACCATATATGTATATATATTATATACATTCTATTTACAGTTTACAAATACTTTTTTGTCTTTTATATTGTCTTTTCTGAGTTGTTTTGTTTTATGTGGGACAGTGTATGGAACTGTGTATGTGTGCTGTCTTTGTGCATGTTTTTAACTTACTGCAAATGAATTTCCTCACAGGGACAATAAATTCAACCTACCTACCAACCAGTTTATGTTATGAATGCAGAAAAATGGGTCTTGAAATACTCTGTTTTTTTCCCCAGTCCAGGGATTTTAAGTGGGTTGTTAATTTTGCAACACAGGAGAGTAACTGGAGAAATAACCCTTAAGTTTTTCACATCTAAGAGGTTGAAATCACAGAAACGTGACTATTTTTCTTTTTAAAAATATGTATAAAACCAATGATCGTCATTAAAGAAGACTGAATTCAACTCCATTGCTACATAACAATGAATCAAAAGCACTTAAACGCTATATTGCACTGAATGCTCATTTCAAACAAAGTTCACATTGAGTGTTGATATTTAATTTCAAGGTGTTATCGGGTATAAAACCTACTTTAGGATAATTGGCTTAAATTTTAGAAATGCATTTGTTGAAGTTATTTTGTATAAAGTCATCACTCCATATTTATAGCATACATAACTCTATAATATGATAACAGTGACATAAATTGTAGTTGATAAATAGTCTTTTCTTTTACTTTATTTGGTTGATTATATGACTTTAAGCTGATCAAATGAATAAATAGCTCGAAGTTTTGTGTAATTTTGTGCTTTTTGTGGGTTTGCTTTGTGTGGTCTCTCATGACATAAGCCTGGGTGTTTTCTTCCTCTGATGCACATGTGCACTCGGGGTAGCTGTGGATGATCAGTGGGCCTACTTTTCTCAACAACAACAGCCGTGGTCCTGCAGGAGGAGGGGAGGGGGGGACAAAAAGACCTACCTGTTCTCTGGATATACAGGGTAACGAAGGTCTGCGGGGCATTTTGCAGCTGCCATAATAGCTGGTTGACGTTTCCCCCAGTGAAACACAACTGGACCTTCTCCGAGGTCTGATAACGGGGACCTTTTCCTCCGCGGCGGTGGAAATCCCACTCAGTGCTTCCCTCGTCGGGTAGTATCGGTCAAAACAGAGCCCCAACAGGGAGCCACAAAACCCCGCAAAGCAGGCGAGGAGCGGTCTGAGCAGGGCGGGCAGTCCGCTCAAACTTGTGAAAGAAACCAGCCACACAACGCTGGCGAAAACCAGTATGAGAACACTGTGTTTGAGTTTCAGAGAGGGGATGAGTGTGAGCAGACCCACACATCCCAACACGAATAACAACCTGCCCACCATTTGCATCTGGTGTTGGTCCTCTCCCCATTGCAAAAACCGCAAAACCAAAAAATCCCCGAGGTAACACGATGCTGGCAGTGACAAGAGCCAACATTTGCCGCTCTCCTTCCTTTTTCTCCTCAGGTAAAACGTCAAGAAGAAGAAAGCACATCCTATGCTGAATAAAGGGCTGATGGACTGGGAGAAGCCCGACAAAAAAGTCCGCAAATCCCACAACGAGTCACTTTGCAAGCTCCTAGAAATGAGAAAAGAGACCGCGAGGATTACAAACGCGCCGACGTACAAGGCAGAGACCTTCAACAGTTTTGAATTAAGTATGTCTTCATTGCAAAACCTGCACACATTCAACAAAAATCCCCTCTGATGGTCCTGTTTGAGAGGGGTGACGCAGCTCTTCACATAGCCGTTCCTGAAGCCCTCTGAGCTGTTTACACTTCCAGCTCCGTCGTGGTGGTGCCTTGTTTTACTGTGCAAAACCTCTCCTTCTTCCCGTGCAGCCATGGCTCGACTGTGGCTCCTCGTACCCTCGCTTAAGTCCCCGCTCTCCTAATATTCACGCCGTGTTAACGCTCAACTACATGACAGCAAACGCACTCCATGGTCACTCAAACGTGCTCCAAGCACTTGGACTAAAAGAAAAAAAGGTGAGATGTTGTTTTTACTGAAATGGGGCTCTCTGTCGCCCCCCAGAGGCTACAACTCACAACGCAGGGCTTCGGAATGTGGAGCGCTGAACCAATCCGAAACTGCTTTTGTAGAGTACGGTGGCCGAGAACTGCCACTGCTGCAAATAAAAAAAGAATGCAAAAAAAAAGAAGTCACAATGAAAGTTACTGATGCAAAAAAGAAACTGAAGCCCACTGCAAATAAAAAAGAGAACAGTGCAGATTTAAAAAAGCCACAATGGAAGTTAATGACGCAAAAAAGTGACGATGCAAAAAAAAAAGAAATCATAACAGGAGTTACTGATATAAAAGAAAGAAAGAAAGAAAGAAAGAAAGAAACTGAAGCCCACATAAATAAAGAAATGGTGCAGATAAAAAATGAAAAACCTCAATGGAAGTTAAAGACGCAAAAAAAAAGTGGCGATGCAAAAAATAAATAAATTTAAAGAATTAAAAAACTTTGAGAAATGCAATCGGCGTATAACCTATACATTAAATTAACTTCTTATGCTAAATTTTAGAATATAAGAGAGATAACCTAAAACATAAGGAATTTAATTGGACTTCAATAGACCAACTGGACGATCCAGAATTAATCTAGGATAGGCAGTTGACATGACGACAGTGAGAAGACAAGCAAAGAAGTGAGAGGAAAGGCTATTGTTTAATTTTGCTTCATGTGTTTTTCAATGTGGTTAGGCCATGTGGTGCCTGAGTCGGTATGAAGTTGAACTGAAGCTAACACTACACTAACATCCTCCAAATCAACTTCATATCGACTCAGGCGCTACTTGGCCTAACCAAATGACACATTGAAAAGCACATGAAGTGAAATTAAACAATAACCTTTCTACTTACTTCTTTTTAGTTCTTTTTTTCTTTTTGACCAAAACACGAACATATCTTTAGGCCCATTCATAAACTCAAACTTTTAAACTTTTATCACTATATTTGCTTCCAAGGATGGTCTTTTGTCACCTCGAAAACAAATGCTGTAAACTTGTTTTGCGATCACATGATTGCCCATCGATATTAATGCCATTGAATGGTGCTTCATCTAATGCTCTGCATTTGTTTGGTTTTGCCTGTCTTGTCATGATAAAATATATGATTTCCGATATCTTTAAAAATTGTCAACTTACTGACCATGTGTTCAGTTCTTATCATTTCCAGCTGCTTATTTTACAAATAATAGCACTGACTGAAATAACACAAGGCTAGTTTGTATCCCATATTTTTTATCTAAACCTTATAGAAGTCCATCTAAATAAACTTTGTCATCCATTGATTGTGTATACAGATGTGTGTTTATGTTTCTTTGTTAAGAAAACATGGGGTGACCTTGTTATCGTGAAAACTAAATAGGCTACCCCATTAGTCTGCTTAATGTACATATATTGGTGTCTAAATTGAAAAAAATATGTATACATGATTTAGACCCAGGTCTCTTTAGGCTTCACTGAAGTGTGGCGAACAAGCCTCTGAATAGTCTTTTTTTATTTTGCTTTGCCAGTTCTGTATTGCACTTGTTGCTTATTTTCAGGTTGGCTGTGAGTCAAATATACTTTCCTTTAGGGTAGCTGTTTTGTTTCTTGTAAGATATTTTAATACATCTGGTAAAATATGAACATCTTGGCCTTAAAGAAACACTACAGATCCTAGCAATCAGGATCCTAGCTTTAATTTTTGGAAATAAATACAGGCACCATGTTTCTGTGACTGAGAATTCTCTGAGTTGTAGATCAGTGTTGTTGACTCAACCCAGAAATCATAAAGAATCATAATAAAAACTTCCACTTGAAATCAAATGCCTTTTTAAAGATGAATGACTGAAGTATGTGTTTCAATACTGAATCATGAAAAGCATGTGGGACATCAATAATGTCAATATGCAATCATGAGGTGGGATAAAAGGTACAAAAGTTTGTCGCTGAAATCAAAGAAGTTCTTGAGAAAATTTTAATGTATTTATTTATGATTCAGGTACAACCTACACTGATAGGCAAAAAAGCAAACTCACACACCTTACCTCTGCGACCCATGTCAGAAAAGTTTTTCACTCTTCAAGAACAGCTGAATCCCTGAAAATGCTGACACCTGGTGGATAGATGACACCAGTGCAGCTTGTTTAATCAACCGCTGTGCCAGTATGAAGGTGTTTGTGGTGCAAAAGGTTTGTGCACCTGTAACATGTAATTTGTAGTTGTGTACAGTAATTGCGTATGTGTATTAGTAAATGTGAAATCCGCACTCCATGAGTTGTGTAATTGTAGATTTTTTGTGAGTATTTGTTATTATTTTTTTTCCACAAGTACAACACAAGATTTACACATTCACAAATTCCTAGTTACAGGTGCACAATTCCAATTTTACAAGTCACCGATTCAAACTCTGACATGCTCACATTTTTGCTCCAATTGTTGCAGCATAATTGGTGCAAAACATATTTGTGCACCTTAATGGAGCAATGTGAAGCTGAAAATTTCAATATGTGCAGATCTCTATGTGAACTTGTACATTTATGTACAATAACCTTTCACAAAAGTAGTGGTGTTGTCTAAAAACATAAACACAAATTGATAATACAACACACAAATGTGAAATCCGCACTCTATGAGTTGTGTATTTGTAGATTTTGTATGTGTTATATAATCGATTTGTATTTGTGTTTTAAAAGAATATAACTACTTACCTGAAAGCTTATTGTACATAAATGTAACATTTTTTTCCCATAAATTCACATAGAGATCTGCACATATTCAAAATTTGTCCACAGCTTCACATTGCTCCATACAGGTGCACAAATATGTTTTGCACCAAATATGCTGCAACAATAGGACCAAAAAATATGAGCGTGTCAGAGTTTGAATCCTTTTGCACCACAAATATCCTCATATGCCAGTGCTTCTATTTGTAGTATGAGGAAAGGAGTGAACACAACTGTGCAACTACATGTCACTGCAAGCACATAAACATACACTCTACAATTAAAAGCATTTGATTTAAATGTTTGTACTCGTATCTGTAATCCTTTGTGACTACTTAGAGTTTAAAGGGGGGATTATAATCAATTCACAAAAGTTGAGAACACATACACTAACAGCAGGATCGTCCTGTTTCATTGAAAACCCTCTTCTTCTTGTTGTTGTTTTACGGCGAATGGCAACCAACGTTATAGGCGCATTAGCGCCACCTACCGTGCGGGAGTGTAAACCAGCGGTTCCGACTCCCATCGGAAAATAAACTCATTTTTACTTTAAACCATAGACAGTCTATGCTTTAAACTAAGTTCTGTTTATTAGTTCTGTCACATCTCCCTGTTATATGTTTTCCAATGAAATGCATAGTTTTGTCTTAATCTTGACAAAACTGTTTGTTCCCTTATAGATTTTCCTATCATTTCCATACAACCCACTTTTCGTTTAATTCCATAAAGATGTCCTCCTTTATTACCTATCTCCCAACACTTTTGCCACTCACTCATGATTCTAATCTTTATTAATGTATTTAATGTAATTTCCATAATTCTGTTGTGTTTCTTCACTGAAAACCTGAATTTACGACATTTTTTGGGAGCACATAAACGCGACAGGGCTGTTGTGGCGCCAATCGAGTCAATGGATTAGCTACAAAGATGAATACAACAGGCTAACTCGGTGACTTTAAAATGTTTCAGCCCACATATTAGTTTAAACTTACTTTTATAGCGTTGTCAACTTAGATTAAAAGGTGTGAACTCAAGCGAACAACACTTTTCAACAAGCTAACAACGTTAAGGACAACCGGAGGTATGTTTAGGAGCAGGTCTGCCTGGTTTTCAGACAGTGTCCCCCAAGCACGTCAAAACATTTGGAGTAAGTATTTCAGGAAGAGATTTCAGACTTTTCTAGTCATTCCACTAATTTAGTCAATATGGTATGATAGAGCAGAGCTGTTTATTCCGAGTTGGTTAATGGTCTACAGTAGTCACATGAAAATACCCAATGAAGCTGCCACAATTCATAGGGGAGAGTGGGGTAAGTTGAGCCAACCCCGGTTGCTTGGAAATGGTAAGAGAAATTGACCATGTGACCAAATATTTAGGAGATGGGCATCAATTCATGGAGCCTGTGAGGGTTTGAAGCATATGGGTGAAGGGGTTCGATATTTATTTCCGAAAAATCATTTTTCACTCTTGAAAGTGAATTTAGTCTGTCATAAGTTTTATTAGAATTGTGTTCAGACCAAAAAGATCATTATACATTTGTTTTATGCATCAATTGCAGTATCTATGAGCTAAAACATCAGGTCAAAAACCTAGCCACCATTTTAGCTTGGAGGACTAATATAGTCCTAATGGTTGTTCTGGGGAAAATTGAGTCAGTGGCTCCACTGAGAAAGTAAAGGAGTCTGATGAGAGGATCAGAGTTTCAGTTCAGATTGTTGAAATGTTTTACTTTTTCTTTTCAAAAATACAGCTGTGAATGTTCTGAATCACTTAAAGGCATTCTTATGAAGGTGAGGGAGGGCTGGAGTGAAGAGTGGGGGGGTAGTAGGGATACGGCTCAACGAACCCGCTCCTATGGTCAACTTACCCCATACACGGCGTAGGTTAACCATAGTTATGTTACGTTTACACTCATTCTGTTGGTTTGCAGGGATGCACAACATCTTGAAATATATGCTGATTCACTAGTTAGAGACAAAACTATGATTGCCTTGATGTAGTGATCCAAAATGGCTCATCTTACCCCACTCCACCCTACTTCATTTTTGTAATAAATTGAGCTTTGGCTTCAAGTAACATACATTTTTTTTCTTGTAGTTTTGGAAGGAGGGACCATTACTTCCTGGAGTAAAGCAGATTACCTTTTCAGTGATGATGCTACATGTCCAGATACTCTGAGGTGAAAACAGCAAAGTTTTAAATGTTATCTGGCAGCATCATACTTCTAAAATCCTTCATATTCTGATTCTGTGATTCTGTGTCTTTATTTCAGGATTTTTGAGAGCAAGGATTTCCTCTGGGCTGAAGTGGTGGTTTTTCACAGCTTGTTTCTGTCCGTTTGTGAGACGCGCCAAAGTGTGAGGTCTGTGAGCATTGGTCATTATGTGCTGCCTCCAGTCTCTGTGCAGGAAGGTGAGGAGCTATGCATGTGTGATATTGTGATAAAATACTTGAACAATTAGTGCTTACAAACATTGGAGTCAGAATCTGCATTGATCAGTCTGAAAGTTTTCAAGGACAAGAGAAAAGGAGAAAAACCCCTGCTGATTATTTGTTTCCCCTCAAACCTCTGAATTTGCTACTTTGTGCCTCAAAAATGTATTCATAAAGATCCATCTTTGTTATATTTAACTTTGCACAACCAATATAATCAAGATGGAGTGTGAAAACGCTTAACATCTTTTCTTAGTTCCAAAAATTAGTACTTTAAAGCTTCAACACAGTCAGTGATAGTCTGATTTTTATTTCAGAAGTAAGAAAGGTGGTCGGGAGGTTTATTTGGGAGAGTGAAGATGGGCCCTCAGTCGTCGAGGTAGGTCAAAAGGTAAATGGGAATAAGAATATGTTTCTTACTGTTTAAGTCTTGACCACTATCTGTTTTTGTTCCCATAAGAGCTCTGGCTGCTGGAGAGATGATGATTCCAGTGAAAGCAGCACAAGGTGGTATTTTTAGGTTTTCATTGTAAATATTTTATATGAAATTCAAAAAATTGTTAACTGCAATTTACCTCTCACTGTTTTAACAGTTCTGAACCTTCTGACACAGAAACAACCGACAGTGGAGCCTCTCACTGCAGTCATTTTTTAGAAAGTAACAAGTTTACAGGTAAAACTTTTGTGGTATGGTTTACATTTTGATAAATTGCTTGTGGTCATTTCAAATAATTATACAAATTACCTGTGCCTCATTTTTGTATGATGAGGAAATCTTCATTAAGTGGAGGAAGGATTCAAGAAACTTTATTTGTCATACCCCACACCTTTTACAGTTTGGGAACGGACCTGGTTACGAAATTAGCACCCAGGTCTGTTTTCAAGCCAGAATAAGTTTCTTCTTTGCTTAACGCCTTTTTCTGTTGACTTGTTGACCACAGGGTACATCAGCATGGACAATCTGAAGAAATATTCTGGTGATTTGCAGGATTATCATCTTGGATGTTTTCGATGTGCTGACTGTAAAGCTCATTGCTGCCTGCAGGAGACTTGGGGGAGCAGATGACATAACAGCTTTTCAAAGAGAAAAGAATAATAGTTTTGTTGTTGTGGCGAGTTCGTTATTTTTTGCAAGCAATATATGTGTTCCTGACCTACATTTGCAGATGTAGTGTTATTAAAGTATCTACATAAAACAAACCCAAGTGGTATGTCTTGTCTGTTTTTCCCAGGTTCTAAGACATTTCTGTGTATCTGCATATTCTTGCATTCCTCTATTACCTCCTAATGAGGCAAACTTTGGGAACCGGCTAATCACAACTGGTCAGGTGATCCTTTTCATGCATAAGGATAATTTCAGCAGATAGACAGGGAAGTTTTTCCTATTGAAATTGATTTAGATCCTTGTATCGACGTTGGCATCCATAGCCAGTGAACCAACAACAATATCACTGAGAAAAGACTGTTACGAACAACTCTTTAAGCTTAGGTTCGTTGCACCGAAGAAGTCGGCAGTTACGTTCTGAAGTTGTGTAGTTTCGCGTTTGGACCTTCCGGCGCACGGTAGCTGTGATGTGGCTCAGAAAGTAATCTTCCACGTCACTAGGAAGCGGTGGGAGCCGAGGAGACAGCTCACCAGACCGAGCTACAGCTGCGGCCTTTACAGATGTAAATATCTAAAACAGGATTTCCAAGGATACCACAAAGGATAGCAGTGGTGCAGTTAAGTAGGTTATTTTGGTTATTTTAAATCAAAATGAAGTGTTTTTTTTCCTGTAGTGACCGTACAGCTAACTAACTAACTGAGGATACTGTCCTCCATTTCACTGCTAGCCTGGACAGAGACTGCGCTGACATTATTAACATTCACTCAATAGCAACTCAAAGATGATTTTAAATGAGTCTGACCAGTTGAATCTTTGACAGACTGATACATGTTCGCGTTTTATGAAGGTTTAGTTGAACAGCTGTTCGTGCTAACTCAGGTATTAGCATGGAAGCTAAATCAGAAGCTAGCCGCAGTAATGAATGTAAAGAGTATTAGTGCTGCGTGTCACACTCATCACTCTGCTTTATTTACATAGGGCATTATAACTTGTGCTACTTTTGCTGACCCGTTCACAGTTTTATCCTTTGATTTTGTATATAACCAAATTATACATTTATAGTAAAATGTTAGATGAAGTCTTTATGTTTCATTATATCACTCAGTAATAATAATAATAAAAGCGTTTATTTATATAGCACCTTATAACATCCGGAAAGATGAACAAAGTGCTTTACACAGGCAAATACAGAAAAAAAAGAATACATGGCAGGTCACAAATGTCACAGGATATCATAACAATGAAAGGTTAGAAAACACAGAAACAATCAAATAGAAAATGGCAAATGACACTAGATATTAAAAGCCTGTTTAAATAGGTGAGTTTTAAGATGTGTTTTAAAAAGTGCCAGGTCATTAGTAATAAGTCGTTCAGGGAGTAAAGAGTTCCAAAATAGTAGTACTACTTACTACTAGTAGTAGTAAGTAGTAAATAGCAGTAGTAAATCAGTTCTTGAAATAAAAAAATATAAATATAAAGACATTGTTTTCTTGATCTATAAAAAGCCTTTAAGTTTTCTTGCAAACTCTCTCAATATAGTTGTACAAATTGCATGAATACAGTGGTAAGATGTTGGTGATGAAATTGTTTTTGATTATTGTAAAAATAGGTGATTGCATGCATATTTTACAGTTATTAAAACTATTCCCACCTTAAAACAACGGGCAATACTGTTACCTCCATATGATAAAACCTATGTACTAAAGAAAGTACATATTTGCTCCTTCAAAAAATGACCTTATTCTTAAAATACTTAATATAAAACACCGTATAGAACTATATTGTAAGCCCTGGTTAGAATTGTGTTTTTGTAGTCACACTAGGGCTGGGCGATACTGGAAAAAAGTTTTATCACGATGTATTTTTTTTTTTCATATTAGTCGATATCGATATATATCACGATATAAAAAAATCACTCATCAATCTTAAATGTTCCCTGTTACTCTTAAATTTAACAGTGCTTATTGGTAGTATGTCTTTAGTAATATAATGAGCTTCTGCATTTATGAGGTCTTTGTGTCATTTATTCATTCATTAATGCTCATTGGCTGTTCGTATCGTTTACCAAAACATGGCAGGATGCCGACTATCGAAAAGCATATTGACCGTGTTTTATATCGTTTTATCGCCCAGCCCTATGTCACACTGTAACTTTCTGCATTCAGTACAAAAATTTGATGATGTGGATTACAAGAATTATGATTCTTGATTTAATTAAGACAGAATAAAATAATAAGAGCTGAAATATCACATTTTGTTTTTATTGTGACAAGGGGAGAGCTAATCTCTGTGTTTTTCTGAGTGAGCGTAACCAAGTTCCAGATTTCTGTACTTACCCATGAACCAAATGCCGACCTAGTCACAAGTCATTATGTCAAAAAAAGAGGAAATACTTAGGATCATCAGTTTTGCTGGATTCTGCAGTGCTTTATCCTTTTATGCTTGACAGTTCATGTTTTGTTTATCTCTGCAGTTTCACATGAGGGAATTCATCTTCTGAATCTGTTTTGTTTCTGTCTTCCACAGATATTATCTATTGAGCGACCTTCAGAGAGATTCTTTTGAGTGGGGACCAGAACAGCAGCACAATGACAGCTGCAGAGAACGTTTGTTACACTCTGATCAATGTTACATCTGATTCAGAGCCCCCGTCTGAAGTCAGCTTGAAAACTGATCTCGGTAAGTACTCTCAGTGTTAATTTGAAAAGCCATACGACTAAAAAAAAGGTTCCCTCACTTACTTCAATAGACCAAAGGCAAGTTGTCTGTGTCTAAAACCTTTTTCTTCAACTGTATACAAAAGTGGTGAGTGTCTTTTGAGTCATGGTATTCACTGAAAACACCAAGTAGAATAAAAAAAAATAATCTGTACTCCAACAATTCTTTCATGTAGCTGTGTAAAGCAGGTGAGTGTATGATTTTATAGAAATAACAAAGCAAACACTTACGTTTTTCATTTTTACAGAAAAGGGGGAGATCAAGGCAAAGACTGAAGCACTTAAGAAGGTCATTATCATGATCCTGAATGGGGAGAAGTTGCCAGGACTGCTGATGACAATAATCCGCTTTGTGCTGCCACTTCAAGACCACACCATCAAAAAGCTGCTGCTGGTCTTCTGGGAGATAGTTCCCAAAACAACCCCAGATGGGAAGCTGCTTCAGGAGATGATCCTGGTCTGTGATGCTTACAGGAAGGTAAGATAGCTAAGATATCTCATTTTTAGGCACAGCTATGAACAATTCACTTATGTGTATTCTTAGAAAAGATGTGCCCTTTTGTTGTTATAAATTTAATATAATATTTAATAATACAGAAAAAGATGCTTATATTATGAAAATGAAGAAAGAAAAAAGACGTATAAGAAAGTAATGTTCATGCATTTTAAGACCACACCTAATACTAGGTTCATTACCTGAGTGAATACCACTCCTTTTCTCTTAATATGGCTGAATTTCAAGATTCAAGCTTTTTATTGTCAATTTCTGCCCTATATGAGTACATGTGTAGAGGAGTTAATATTCCTTATACACAAGAATAGAAAAAGACATTTCTCACTACTCAACAATGCAGAAAAACAGAGAATAATTAAAAGAAATACAACAAGTACAATATAGAAAAGTATAATACAGTAGGAGAGTAGTATCTACCCTCTGTATATATACACTCTTATACAAGTGCAAACCTAATGACCAGAAAAATAGTTTCTGCTGTACATATTTACACATGACCTAAAGTGCAGGTGGTGGTTGCAACCTGCAGTATTTCTTTGATGTAAAGAGTGTGTAAACAGGAAGCATTCATGTAAACAGTGGAGTTGTAATGCAAAAAAAAAAAGATTATGAATCAGAGTTCTTTTTATTTTGAACCTCCAGGACCTGCAGCATCCCAATGAGTTCATCCGCGGCTCCACTCTGCGCTTCCTTTGCAAGCTGAAGGAGTCCGAGTTGCTCGAGCCTCTCATGCCGGCGATCCGTGCCTGCCTGGAGCATCGTCACAGTTACGTCCGCCGCAACGCTGTCCTTGCCATTTACACCATCTACAGGTATAAGCTGTGTTATATTTCATGTTCAGTCACCTTATCACAAATGCACGTTTTTGTTTTCCATCTGTTAGTCAAGAACAAGCAGCTCATGTTTTTTTAATCTGTTTTAGGAACTTCGAACATCTCATCCCAGACGCTCCAGAGTTGATTCATGATTTCCTTGTCAATGAGAAAGATGCCAGCTGTAAAAGAAATGCCTTCATGATGCTGATTCATGCTGATCAGGTACGTTGAAAACCACCTTTTGATTACCTTTTATTCAAATCGTTACTGTTATTTGCCACTTACATTTGCAGATATGACTCTTAATGGCCTATGTTCATAATTTGATTTGCTTCTTCACAGGACCGAGCTCTGGACTACCTGAGCACATGCATAGACCAGGTTCACACTTTTGGAGACATTCTCCAGCTGGTCATCGTGGAGCTGATTTACAAGGCAAGTTAATGTCTTTGCTGTTGTACCACTCAGCCCAAAGGAGACCCAAACTCACAAAAGAGACTTGGTAATGGCTGACCTGTTGCTGTTTTAATTCTCTTTCAGGTCTGCCATGCCAACCCATCGGAGCGTGCCCGGTTTATCCGTTGCATCTACAACCTGCTGCAGTCCTCAAGTCCAGCTGTTAAGTACGAGGCTGCTGGTACTCTCGTAACCCTCTCCAGCGCCCCGACAGCCATTAAGGTAAACCACTAAGGTCTTTGCACAATTGATAACATGCACACATTACTGGTTTTATTGTGGCAGCAGTCTTTGGTCTGCTTCAGCCTCTTAACCACCTGTGTGCTTTATTTTGGCTCCAGGCTGCTGCCCAGTGCTACATCGACTTGATTATTAAGGAGAGTGACAACAATGTGAAGCTGATTGTTCTGGATCGTCTCATTGAACTGAAAGAGCACCCAACCCATGAGCGTGTGCTTCAGGTAAATCAAGTTGTGATGCATTCTGTTGATGCTGTGAACAATAACAAATTTAATCTATAACGATATCTTCTCTGTTTTTATTTCAATGCAAAATGCTCAAGGCCAAGTAGGACTATTTTTACCTTTATTAGGATAATCATGATGTTTATGTTCCTTTTTTTTGGTAATTACCGTGAAAAGAAAGAAGATATAGGATTTTCAGTTCTCTAGTTGTTCAGTTATGTACGTAAAAGGGTTACAGATCTGAATATGACTCATGTAGGTCTCGTGGGAGACTGTGTCTGTTTGCTGCATCCAGAATTCATCATTTCTATTTTCAATGTTTCCTCACCCAGGACCTTGTGATGGACATCCTGCGTGTCCTCACCACTCCTGACCTGGAAGTCAGAAAGAAGACCCTGCAGCTGGCTCTCGACCTTGTTTCTTCTCGTAACGTAGAAGAGGTCTGTGTCACGTGTAGCACATCTGTGTTATGTTCATGCAACAACATTAAAAAAAAGACATACACTTCAATTACTCAAGTATCTTTTTGCTTTTTCAGTTGGTGATCGTTTTGAAGAAAGAGGTGATCAAGACAAACAACGTCACAGAGCATGAAGACACTGATAAGTACAGACAGCTGTTGGTGCGCACTCTCCACTCTTGCAGTGTGCGCTTCCCTGACATGGCGGCCAATGTCATACCTGTGGTGAGTTTCATGTTTTTCAAGCATACTGGGACTAATGTGCTCCTGGAATTCATATCTCCATTAAAGAAACCCTTGTTAAAGTTTCTAAAAACACAGAAAATAAGAGCATTTTAAGACTTAATCGTGTGCTGATACGATTTACAGCTGATGGAATTCCTAAGTGACACTAATGAGGCAGCAGCTGCTGACGTGCTGGAGTTTGTTCGGGAGGCGATACAGAGATTTGACAATTTAAGACCACTTGTTATCGAGAAGATGCTGGAAGTCTTTCACGCCATCAAAACCGTCAAGTAAGTATTTTTATGCAAATTAAGGGAAAAGTAATACAGTGTCACTTCCTGTGTTAATAGCATGTAAAATTTGCCTTGTCATCAAGTTTGTCACCATTTGTCTTATTTCAGGATCTACAGGGGAGCGTTGTGGATCTTGGGTGAATATTGCAGCACCAAGGAAGACATCCAAAGTGTGATGACAGAAGTGCGCAGGTCCTTGGGAGAGGTATATTTCTCCTTTGTTGTCAGAAATATGTGTGATGCATGTTTGGAGGATGTTTGTCACAAATATTTGACACCTTCCTGTTGCTTGACCAGATCCCGATTGTAGATAATGAGATAAAGAAAGAGACAGGAGAGGTGAAACCAGAGGACGAAGTGAGTGCAGCTCCCGCCCAGAAGCTGGTGACAGAGATGGGGACCTATGTAACGCAGAGTGCCCTCAGCTCCTCCAGGCCCTCCAAGAAGGAGGAAGACAGGTAGAAACAGTGTGTGGGGATGTGATTGGCTGATATCAAAATTCCTCTGATTGTATACATTCTTGACTGCTCAGCACTTCATTCTCTCGTACTAAAGTCTGGTTTTGTTGCTGCAGACCTCCACTCAGAAGCTTCCTGATGGATGGAGACTTCTATGTGGCAGCTTCTCTGGCCACTACGCTCACCAAAGTGGCTTTGCGCTATGTTGCTATCGTTCAGGATAAGAAGAAACAAAATGTAAGTTAGTGCAAGACAACAGCTTTGTAGAAAAACACAAATGAAAAAAACCTTTTCATCAAATCCCTGCTGTTTCTCTCTCTCAGTCTTTTGTCGCAGAATCCATGCTGATCATGGTCACTGTGCTGCACCTGGGCAAGTCCTCTCTACCCAAGAAGCCAATTACAGATGATGATGTGGACCGCATCTCGCTGTGCCTCAAGGTGCTGTCAGAGTGCTCTCCGCTTATGAATGACATTTTCAACAAGGAGTGTCGCAAATCCCTGTCACATATGCTGACCGTCAGACTGGAGGAGGAGAAGCTGTCACAGAAGGTAATGACTGATGCCCCAGAGGGATGAACTCGTATTTAACCTGCTGACAGTCAGGACCAGCTGAGACGTCAGCTCAGTGAATAAATAATCGGTGTAGATTACATGATTTTCAGACTGCTTTTTGTATCACACCTATGCTTGTAAAACTTATTTTGATGCTTCAGAAACTAAAAGTGTTTCTTTATAAGACTGTAGCACCCTACTTTGCTAAATCATTTAATGAAAATGAGACCAGCAGTTACTTGATGTCATAAAACTATGTGTTGCCGATTGGTGTTTACATATTTGCTTACTCTATTTCAGGTATATTTGGTGTGTTGATTTTTTTCATGGCTGGGATTAACTTTAAATAATAATATAATAATAATGATAACAGCAACAATAATAACAACAACAACAATAATAATAATAATAAGCAAAATAATAATAAGCAAAATAACAATAATACTAACAACAGTAATAATAACAGCAATGATACTAACAACGATAATAACAACAATAATACTACTAACAATGATAATAATAGCAAGGTTAATAATAATAACAACAATAATACTAACAACGATAATAATAACAATAATACTAACAATGATAATAGCAAGGTTAATAATAATAACACCAATAGTACTAACAACGATAATAGAAACAACAATAATACTAACAACATCAATAACAACAATAATACTAACAACGATAATAATAACAATGATAATAATAGCAAGGTTAATAATAATAACAACAATAATACTAACAGCGATGATAATAACAACTATAATAATAACAAGGTTAATAATAATAATGATAATAAAAACAATAACTGTGTTCCTTATTCTGACTACAGAAAGAGTCTGAGAAACGCAACGTCACAGTGCAGGCAGACGACCCCATCTCCTTCATGCAGCTGACAGCCAAAAATGAAATGACATCTAAAGAGGACCAGTTCCAGCTCAGTCTGCTGGCTGCTATGGGCAACACTCAGAGGAAGGAGGCTGCTGATCCCCTGGCTTCAAAACTGAACAAGGTACTCAGCTGCTGCTGCCGCACAGAACACATTGTACAGAAAAACTGGAAACTAACTGAAAAAAAACACTCCCGTGGGCGGCTCTACTTTGGGCCAAAATTAATGCCTGTTTTTGAAGATAAAATTGTCATTTATTTGAAAACTTGCCCATTTATTAATCTTAGGGTGTGGACATGAGAGTAATATTTGCCCAAGGATAATGCTGTTTCTTTTTGAATAGTGCAAAACAGGGGCAGTCGTATTTGTTTTCATTTTTGTTGTTTATTTTTTGATATTCCACTTGTCAGCTATAGAATTCAATTTTTGTGTTTTATTGAAGATTATTTTCTATTCAGCTATTAGTGGATAAAAGTTCATCACAAGGCCAGAAAGCACAAATCGTCTTTCTTTTTTATCCATCTGCACAGTATCCTTATTGCAAACAAGCACCGCTGTTACAGCCATGTAAGAAAGTGACTGTCAGAAAGAAACTTTCAGTTACTCTGTGAAAATATGTGTAGGTTTTAGAATTATTGACTAAATATCATTTACTTTGTCCGATCCAGGTGACCCAGCTGACGGGCTTCTCAGATCCAGTTTATGCGGAAGCCTATGTTCACGTCAACCAGTATGACATTGTGCTGGATGTGCTGGTGGTTAACCAAACAAGTGACACTCTTCAGAACTGCACTCTGGAGCTGGCTACTTTAGGTGAGTCTGGTTTGTTTTACGCCAAACTGGAATAATGCCTATCTATAAATATGCTGGTAAAGCCAACCACATTTATTGTATTGTATTACTGGACTCTCAAATTCTTGAAATGTATCCCTCTGATAGGTGATCTCAAGTTGGTCGAGAAGCCTTCACCCCTCACTCTGGCTCCCCATGATTTTGCAAACATTAAGGCTAATGTCAAGGTGGCTTCGACTGAGAACGGCATCATATTTGGCAACATTGGTAAGAAGCTCCTTTTTTTTTTAGTTTACCATTTGAAGTACACATATGTTGCTTTTGTAGTTTGTGTTCTAGCTTGTTGAAATGTGCGACTCTGTCTTCTCAGTCTACGATGTGTCGGGGGCTGCTAGCGACAGGAACTGTGTCGTCCTGAGTGACATCCACATCGACATCATGGACTACATCCAGCCAGCCTCCTGCACTGATGCAGAATTCAGGCAGATGTGGGCAGAGTTTGAGTGGGAAAACAAGGTGAGCTTCTCTACTCTGTGTTTCAAAACCCATCAGTACAAGTGTTCCAAGTATCAGTGCTCAGCATCACTAGTCAGGCATCCATTCAAGGTCTTTTGTTCTTACCTCAATTCACCTTCCTTTTTTAAAGACATCATGTGTGTAATCTCTCTCTCCTGTAGGTGACAGTCAACACCAACATCACTGATCTGAATGATTATCTTCAGCATATCCTCAAGTCAACCAACATGAAGTGTCTGACTCCTGAGAAGGTTGGTGTTTGAAATTAAATACAACCAAATAAAAGCAGTAGGAAGTTTGTTTAATGGTAAAAAAAAACACTTGGTTAAGACAAATGTTTGATACTTAAATGCTGTTTATGTTTGGAAAGAGTGAGTTAGGTTTAAGTGTAGCTTAAATATAACTGCTATTTTATTGTTGTATTTATGTAACTTGGCCTAAGTCTTCACCTCAACAATACTTTGTTTTTGTTATGTAATAATCTCAACTCTCTCCTTCCTGTTCACCAGGCTCTCTCTGGCTTCTGCGGCTTCATGGCTGCCAACCTTTATGCTCGTTCTATCTTTGGAGAAGACGCGCTGGCTAATGTCAGCATCGAGAAGCCCATCCACCTGGGGCCGGACGCACCTGTCAACGGACACATACGCATCAGAGCCAAAAGTCAGGTGGGTCACAGCTGCTGCCCAGTGGAGCCTAAAGCACCTGAGGAGTGGAGGATTTACTTTCTAAAGCAATGCCACAAAATCATGCTTGGAAACAGTGAAAGATAGTCTATGAATTATTGAGTTAATGCTACATTCTGGTATCTTTTCAGTATAAATGTCTGTTGTTATACGTCTTTCCTCTTTCATTTCACAGGGGATGGCCCTGAGCCTCGGTGACAAAATCAACCTCTCCCAAAAGAAGACAAATGTCTGAATCACCTGATCCCTCTGACTTTGTAAAATCGCCCGCTGTTTCTCCTATCGCTCATCATCTTACAGCTTCTTCAACACAGCGAATAAAGAACTCTTTATGTTGAGTTGCTTCTGTGCTTCTCTTTTGTTTGTTTTTTTACGACACATCTGTCTAAAAACTACATCATCTCGATAATGTTTTTTTTTCCTGTCCTGTTTAATTTTCAATAAACGTATTAAAAGAATGAGAAAACTTTGTTACATGCATTGTTCATTAAATCATATTTAAATAAATTCTGGACACGTCATAGTCATGTTTGTCCAAGTTTGATCTCTGAAATTACTGTGGGTGACTGTCAGTGCTTCAGCTTGATTTGACACTGTATGACAGAGAAAGAAAGCAGGAATAAAAGAGTCCTGTGTATCTTACAAATGTTAAAATGTTAATCTACTATTCAAAGGGTGACCTAAATGGTTGAAATGTGGTTAAATAATCTGTAATACTGTAAAAAATCTACAGTGTGAGAGTCTTTCCCCAGATCGCTGTCTGAACTCATGATCCCAGATGTTTGGTGAGTGACTTCAGAGAGGATTGTCACGCCATTACCCAAAGGTGTTTGTGTCCCAAAGTGAGGTGACTCCTGCTGGGTCCAGCTTCATTGCTTCAGGCCCTAATTAGAATTCTTCAGATGCCTTGTGTGATAAGCTGCACAGTGTGAAACTGACTGGAATTTGCTCTGTCACCATCCCCAAATTGATAGTGACATTATGCCACCTTTGAATTATAGGTAGAGGGCATGGTTTCTTATACCTAAAGTATGACATATTGAAGTCATTTCAAAGGCACTCTGTGGTTTTATTGTCTCTATTGTAATGAAATGGAGATGGATTACAGCTGGTGTAGAACTACACATTACATTTGCCCTCCTCTTTATAATTTCTAAGGGAGTGGACATTTCTGGGATATTGCCAGATTAAAAGGTCACAGCCCTGGTCATACATTTACAATATCTGTGAAACCGGTCTCTCTAGGGGGTAAGATAAAGACTGGAAGGTGGCTTTGAGGTCAGAGCTTCAGCTGTGAAAATAAACAATCGGCTGACTCCGAGGCACTGTCACAGCCACTGTCCTCCTGTGAACATTGTTCAGGTGCTTTGGATTCAGGCTAAAAATTACTCATAATTAAAACAATCACAGCCTAATTCCAACACCTGAGGTGCAAGATTTAGCACCTCGAGTTTTTGTATAGATTCTCATACAGTCATGGAGGCATTAAGTAGTTACATGTATGTTGGGTGTACTCTCACACTATTTTCTTTAAAGTCAGTGTTTAAATAATACTTCATCATAAAAGTCAATTTGTGGTGGTATCAGTTTTTTTGAAAGTGAAACCAGTATCAAGGTATTTTCTACTGTACTTCATTTGACATTCTGAGTCCAGCTGTAATGACTTTATATGGTACTGTATGATGCAGTTTATATCAAGATGCTTAGGTCAATGAAATATGCATTTATTCAAAGCCACTACCAATCTTCACTACAACCCCCAAACCAAACAGGTGTCGCTGAAGCTCAAGCTTACTTACAAGAAGATAAACTGAATTCGGCTGAACTACTTGTATGACATTTTTGTTTGTCACTCTTGATAAAGACCTGAAAGCACTCTCAAGAGCAGAGTTTAAGACTCCACCACATTCCTCCGACACTAGGTGGCGCCACAAGTGTCAAAGCAGACTGTAAAGGAATTCTGCCCAGCATTATATTTATGGATTTTGTTATGACATAAAAACTACATGTTAGACAAAATTCAGGTCACAGTAAAACACACAGAACCTGTTAAATCTGACAAGTGTGATCATGTAGTTTAAGCTGATGAGCATTAAATCACTATTCCTACTTCAATAATGAGCTAATATTACAAAATTTTAAGGGAGCGCAATATGGAAGACTCTTAAAGACAGAGATCATAGATTAGTAATCACAAGTTAATCATCCATAAAACAATTTACACACTTTCTCAAGAGTTGAAGAAACGTGGAAACAGGTGGTTAAAGATCTCTTAGTCACAAGAAATTCTCATTATGATGAGGACAAGAGAAAGAAACACATTTTATACCATTGGGGCAAATTTTGAAACATTAATATAAGAAACAAAAGGGTATATGTGGTTGACATTTTGCTTGTCTTTTGTATAGTCTACTGCCTGTAAGTGTCTTTCACTTTGGCTGATAGTTTACCACAGCAAATCTTTCTATTTTACTACACATAGACAAAACTTGCCCACAGTATATGTGAAGACAGTATCATACCTACTTAAAAATATCGAGTTTACCCAGCTGGGGGTGTTTTAACAGGAGGTTAGAGCTACAGCTATTACTAAATTACTGCTTATAATTAGAGTAGGCATACTCGGCTTTTGTTTTTAGATACAAGATTGACTGCAGGTGAGTATATTAGTCTGAGGACAGAGCTGCAGAGTGGGGTTAAGACTATGTATGTACGTGCTTATGTGTCTGTGTTAGTCGGGGAGAGTGGGGTAAGACGAGACATTTTTCATATTTCAGATCACTACATCAAGTTAATCATAGTTTTGTCTCTAACTAGTGTATCTGCATATATTTCAAGATGTTGTTCATCCCCACAAACCAACAGAATGAGTGTAAACATAACTGTCTTGATAATATAGCATGCAAAAAAAATGGTTGAGTATACACACACACACAAAGTCACTACACACACACACACAAAGTCAAACATTTCAACAATCGTAACTGAAACTCTGATCCTCTCATCAGACTCCTTTACTTTCTCAACTAACCCCGGAACTACTATTATGACTTAATTAGTTCTCTGAGCTAAAATGGGGGACTTTTATGAGCTGTTCTTTAATTGTCTTTTCAAAGATTGTTTATTGTCTTTCCATATTGTTTTTTTTCCAACCATCTACACTGTTGGCCTTATCACTCAACATTTTCTGTATTTTAAATTGTGTTCATTTTTGTAAAACATCTCTAATCACCTCTATTTTTATTATTTTATGCCTGGTTTTTGACCTCATGTTGTAGCTCATAGATACCAATATTGATGTATAAAACAAATTTAAAATGATTTTTTTTGGTCTGAACACACTTTCAAGAGTGAAAACTGTTTGTTTGTTTTTGTTTTTTAAATAAATGTCTAACTCCTTCTTCACCCATGTGCTTCTAACCTTCACAGACTCTATGAATTGATGCCCATCTCCTCAATATTTGGTCACATGATCAATTTCTTTTACCACTTCCAAGCAACAGGGGGTGGCTCAACTTACCCCACTCTCCCCTACTCAATATCTGCTTATAAACGGTGTAAGCATACTTTGCTTTTGTTTTAAGATACAAGATTGACTGCAGGTGAGTATATTAGTCTGAGGACAGAGCTGCAGAGTTGGGTTGAGACTATGTATGTACGCGCTTATGTGTCTGTGTGAGTATGCGTGTTGTTGGAGTGGTGGTGGTGGTGGGGTGGAGGGGCGTTTAAGGCAGTCACACGCAGCCTGTAGAAGGGCCCCTAGCGCCAGACATTAGTACTGGCCTGGCTGCTCACTCCTACCATCGGAACCACAGCTTGAACATCGCACTGCTGTCGAGGCTGAAACACGGTCAGGCGTATGGACAGGCGCCCATAGCTCCGGGACCCCCCTCATCTATCCGTGCACTGAACGGACTACACTGAACGACGAGTCATTTCGGCAGCATACCTCCCTCCCTACCCTGGGCTGGTTTTTCTTCTGCTCTCCGCTGCAGGGCCTCTTCAGTTTACAGGAGAAAAAAAAGTGGGTGTTTGCTGCTCATTGGTGTTCAGGCAGCGGCAGCGGCGGCGGTGAAGTGTCCTCGATGGCAGGCTGGAAGGACGGCTCGGTGCAGGAGAAGTATCGGCTGGTTGTGGTCGGAGGCGGCGGTGTGGGAAAATCAGCCCTGACTATCCAGTTTATCCAGGTCAGTAGCGGCGTCCAGCATTTCCTTGAATTTCGCCCCTTTGCTCTGATTTGCAAAAGCTTATCCGAAAACACAGTGAAAGATTGGGTTTGAGGGGAGGCCGGAGACGGGAACCCCACATAGTCTGTCGCCTTCTTCTTCTACTTTGTCGAGGCCTGCAAATATTTACCGAAGGAGCCTTATTTTTGTGAATTAAACGAGGAAGAAGGACGGCTGTCACTTTGACACGCAGAAATGTCGACGGACCCACTTCCACTTTGCAGTTTACAGAGAAAAGAAAGTGGGTCTACGGAGCTCCCGAGTTGTCCTGTTTTGTGAAGTTTGCTGCAGATTTCTAACGATCGTCCGCGAAGTTGTTTCAACTGCAATGATAATGTCTGCAATGGCCTACAAAGCCATAAAGTTAGAGAAGAAGTGTATTGAAGCTTCAGTAAAGGGAGGAAAGGTGTTAAAAATCGTTTTATTAAGACATAGAGCACCGATGAAAAGTAGTGCTCCAGTTCTGAGAACCATAGTGAAGCCACCAATCTGTAAACATAAGCAGCAGCAGCAGCAGTACAAGAAGAATCCAAATGAACTTGTCTGCTCAGATGTAGACTCTAGTTAAGTCAAGCACCATAAGTGGAATATTCTCATACACTTTATTTCAACCCACGTGAGAGATAATGTGATCTGAAGTTTTATTGCAGTCCACTTGAACAGCATGTAAACACCTCACCCCTCATCCACCCCAGCACTCTGCAGACATACTCTGCCTAGTGTTGACCTTCCAGGCTTTCATAATGGTCATCTAGGCAAGGGCTGCTTTCCGGAAAGCCCACACACACATAAATACACACGCACACTAAGGCTACACATACACATTCACAGTGTATGAAAGAGATGACAAACTTTGCCCTTTGCCTTGTGTGTTTCCCCCTGGTGTTACTGACCAGACTGCAGGCAGCTGCATGTCTCCACACTCTCAGACAACAGTAGGCTGGCACACGTTTCAGAGTGGGGGTTAAAAGCTTTTCTGTGTGTGTGTGTGTGTGTGTGTGTGTGTTTCGGGGGGGAGTTGTGTCTAATGAGGGTTCAAAAAGCTTATTAACTGCATACCAAGAAAAAAAAGGGATCAGATAGCCGTGGCACAGATTTTTGCCGTAGCCTACTGACCCCCACTGACCTGGAGCTGAGAAGCATCTAGAGCTGAATCTGACACACACACACACACACACGTTTTTTCACCCCATTTGATATGCAGAAGGTAACACTTGAACAATACAAATTTGAAAAAAAAAATTTTATTCTTGGTATTCTAAAATTAGCATTTTTATTATGCCAGAATTAGCTTAAAGTTTGTCAATATTGTTTTTTTTTAGCATTAACACTGAGGTTGATTTTACTTTGGTAACATTTACTTAGCAGCATGCTCAGCCCGTATGCCTGACTAACTTAAAACATACTGTGTTTGTTGGTGAGTGACTTCAAATCTACCTGTTCAGATAATACAAAACTTCCTGCATCTTGCCATACAATTTAATCTAAGGAGTAAACAAGAGAGAGAATGAATCTATATTTCCATTTTTACAGTATTCATTTGGGACTGGGCTTGAAAATCCACTTTTTATATACAGTATGGTCCGCAGTTAATTTCCTCCCATTTCCCCCAAAGCCTGCTGGTAGGGCTGGGTGATAATAATAACGATATTTATCAAAAATTATTTCCCCTTAATATCAATATAAAACATGGTCAATATGCTTTTGGATAGTCGGCATTCTGCCATGTTTTGGTAGACTGTATGAATAGCAAATGAAAAGGGGACCATTTAGTTCGCTTTCTCTAGCGAAACACCTTACGACAAAACGTCAAAGAGACACAAAGACCTCACAGATGCAGTAGCTTATTGTATTGCAAAAGACATGCTACCAATAAGCACCGTTAAATTTTATTTTTTATATCATGATATGTATGGATATCAACTGATATGAGCAAATATATCGTGATAAACTTTTTCTCATATCATCCAGCTCTACCTGCTGGCATATCTGGTGTCCTTAAAATGAATAAGATTAAGACGTTGACAGCAGGAGGAGGAACCTACAACTTCATCAGAAGTTTCTAAAAGTTGCCAGCCAACAGCTGGTTTTGAAGTGGGGGCTTACCCCAGAACTTTATGTTGGGTGTTGTGGGAGGTAGTGAATTTGGAAGGGTGGGGGGTCTGAGTCAGCCTGGGTGGGTTAACGGTCATGGACCATGTGGAATTTGGCCCTTTAGAAGAGGAAGTCCCCTCCACTGCTGCTCTGAAGGCCTTCTAGTTTTTGTATGGAAAAATATGACCTGCTTCCTGAATCACTGGAGCTACGTGTGTGTGTGAATGTGTTAGTGGAAAGCTTGACACAGTGTTAGATTTAGTGTTATGTGTTTTGCCAAAAATATTAAGTACCTGATGTTATTTTCAACAAGAATTATTGCTCTATTACTTTTATTATATGTGCTATAAAATGTGGCCCATTTTCTGTTTTAGAGCAGGCCTGAAATTGCTCATTTAGATAAATCAATGTGTCACTGCATGGGTCAACATTTTTATTTACAACCCTGAAAAGCTTGGTGGGGTTGCAGATTTCTTAAATCTTAAAAGGCATCTTGCTTTTTTTATCCAATAAAAGAATTTACTTTGATTTCAGGAGAAGAAAAATATGTGGAGGAAAATTTCCAGCTTTCAATATTTATACAACACATCAATTTTAATTCATCACAGATTTCTTTGCTTTATTTCTTATCATCGAAATCTATAGATTTTTTGAGGTTTCAGTTCCTTCTGCTAAGACAAAATGAGCCTCTGGTATAGAGTGAGAACCAGATGATGTCGCTTACAGTCAAAGAGCAGCAGGTCTCTTGGAGCCGCTGACCACCCCGATGCCAGGCAGTTGACTCAGGCTGAAATAGCACTGACATGACATAATATTGAGTCATCTGACAAGAGTCGTGGTGCACAGCGTGTCGTGTAATGTGACGTCTGTTAGGGAGGAAGCATCCCAAGAGAGGGAAAACATGACTCACCGTGGCCATGTGAAGACTGCGTGTGGGGTGATGTATGATGTGTCTGTAGGTTTGTTTTTAACCCACAAATAATTACTTCAAACACACACTTTATTTACAGAGTCACTCAAACTATTACTAGGATGAGATGACTCTGCGGCGAGTTTAAAAGCATGATGTCGCTTAAGTCATGTGCATACTGACAGTTTCTTCTGCGGGTTTCTTTTGTAGACGTGTGTTTGATTTGTGACTGAACGTCCGAAGTGACCTTCTTATTCCTCTCTTTATTTGCACATATTTCCTGGCATGGTGTTGATTCCTTATATGTGAGGTAATTTGGGAGGAATGTTGCCATAAGTAGCGGTTCAACAGAATACACATGAATTATAAGGGCGGCCTTGCACGGGCATGTGGAGACAAGGTGCAGTAATGATAGTAGAGCCGGAGCTGAATGCAGTGTGGGCGCCATGTCATGAGCATTTCTCAGAAACAGCCACAGGTGGTTAGACAAAGTGTTTGCAGTGACGTTTTCGAGCACGTTTGTGATTGTAGTTTTTCTTGCATGTCTAACTTCACACCCACATTATCAGTCCATTTTTGGATTCAGGCAGCTTGTAACTTTCTGGTATGTGACATGCCATACCACTGAGTACACTTTGTAAACCACACTTCCCTAGGAATTTTATATCTTTTCCAAGCAGTAGAATAATCAACCATATGACATAGAGCTCTTAATAAGTGAGGGCTTTGCGTGCAGGTGTGTGTGTGTGTTTGTGTGTGTGTGGGCCTGTGAGTGCAGGTGATGAGAGTATGTTTGTTTAGCTCCGTAGGAGGCTCACCTGTTGATTTCTCACAGAGCACAGCCACAATTAGGGTAAATAAACCTTTTAATAACCACAAAGTAGAAAAAAACACACACAACAAGCATTTAGCATATAAACAGCAGACCTTGTGTTCAAAGCTGCAGGTGACAGCTTTTTCGTTGCCTTTGTTCATAGTAAGTGTAGTTGCTTTCACACATCATTAAACTGAGAACAATTCTCGTAACTCAGTGTTTTGTGAATGGTTTCACTATACTTGTGAATCATCCAGCCAGTTCACAAAAATGAAAGGAAACTACTTGTGTTCTGTGTGCTTTGAACCACAAGCAGGTGTTTAACAGCTGCATCCAAGACCTATTTAAGGGCCAAGTACTGGACTCCTCTGTAGTAACTTAAACAACAGCTCTGATACCACCAAGTCATTAAACTGCATTGCTGTCTCTTACCACCACCACCCTTTACCTCTTTGTGGTTTTTGCATTAGTCACTGTCATAGAAAGGGGGTGTTGTGCATTTTTTTTTCCCAGACTCTATACTTCCTTTCTGATTCCTCTTTAATAGTTTTGAATGATTTTCAGATTTAAAAAAGCTGTTTGTTTTCTTAATCTGGTGTATTAAAATATCATTATTTCAGCCTCTGTCTGAGACACTTTGTTTTAGCTGCTGTCTCTTTAAATGCCTACTTTCTTCTGATTGGCCACCTCTATGAAGGGCCAAGCAAGATGGTTCCACTTTGCTGGAAATGTACTACTACGAGATGATTTATTAAGAAAAGCCTATTGCGACGAGGTCAGTAGCTTAGTGAATCTCGTGTGAATTTGCAATGTACAGTTTAAAGCAGTTTTCATCTATTTTCTAGGCTAATTTAGGGCTTGACACTAACTTTTTCACAAGGAGCACATGTACTCCTGAATTGAAAAAGTGAGGAGCACACAAAGAACTTTAGGGGCATAATGAAAATTGATCAAATAATGTGTGTCTTATTGGTCAACATAAGTACTATTATTTGAAATCAGTTTTAGTTCTTTGGTCACATGACATGGAAGCTATTGAAGAAAATGTTCAGAATTTGCCTTTAAATTTAACGCCACATTTTTTAGAGGACAAAGTAAGGAAATAAAGAGGTGTATCTTATTGTCTGACCTCAGTAGGCTACTATTGTTTGAAATCAATTTTAGGTAAATTGGTCACATGATATGGAAGCTATTGAAGAAATGGTTTGTTTTTTTGAGAACATCAACTGGTAATTTATTGATGGTCCCTTATTCAACACCCGACGTTGTCAGCGAGGGTGCCGAGTAGATTTAACCGTGCTGCTGTTGATATTCCTGGTAATGGAGAGTGGGAAGACACTGGTAGATTTGCAGTGAATTTCTGTCAGATATCCTACCTAGAACTAACTTCACCGCAGTATTTACATGAAAAAACATTTGTTGCCTTGGCTGATTTTTTTTTTACGCCCACATGTTCCCCTAAATGCATTTTACAATTCACATGCATCTATTTTTAGTCGCAAATGTGAGTGAAACGGTCGCACTGTCAAGCCCTGTGATTACATCATACATTAACCTCATGATTTGAAGATTTCCAGTTCATTTGTCTTAGATGGACACCAAACAGTGTAACTTTACATTTTTTTGTTGTAAATGAGGAAAAGCACAGCACCCCCAATCTTTAACAAACATGATCGCCCGTTATTTTTTTGCTGCTCTGTAACAATGCAGTGTGTTAAAACTGAAAGAGGGAAAAATGGTGTATAGGAGTGCTCCAACTCGAGCTATTCCAGAGAGTCATAGAAATTGCTAAAGAATTTAAAAGTTATATTTACTGTGTTGCTATGAGACATTTACAAATCCCTTTGTCATTCATCTGAATATCTATAATTGTTTTCATTATTGAGCTGCTACAACAGTAGACCCTCCTCTTCAGGGATCAAGAAAGGTTTCTCTGATCTCAATTTATCATTTGGTCTCTCTTCTTAAACCAAAACGCAATAATACAGGTCTATCATGGGACCCTGTGTCGTTTTTATAGCTCTACGTTTATAAAAACAAACAAGCAGGAGAACCATTAACAATCCACCCACAAACTGGATCATTTACATTATTTTTCTGTAGCTGCTCTTCTTCAACTGTGAAGTGCCATTTTGCGTGCCATTCATTGCCAAACTGACTTCGTGTTACACAAGAAGTCAGTTTTGAGTTCAGCAGGTGCTGTGGTTGAGGTAAGAGTGGTTGTCGTGCATAGATCACGTATAGCTCTTCACAAGGTTATTTTCAGTTGTTGGTCAGCTGTTTGGCTTGGCCTGCAAAGTGTTTGAAATTTTGCGTAACATAGCAACAGCAGTAGCAAGTCGATATTTGTCTTTTGAGATGAATCCCCACTGAAACTGGAGTTTTAAAGTGCATGTAAAAATGTTAGTCTAACTAAAATTGAACTTCTCATAGTTGGATTAACTTACTTGGATAATGTAGTTGGAGATCAATCTTTTCTGCCATATTGGCTACTGCTGGATCAAACTGAAGCTGGCCTAAGTGTTCTGCACATGCTCCAGAGTTTGCATGCCACTTCTGAGGCGGTGGTTAAAAAGCATGAATATGTTACAAGGAAGACAGGGAGCAAACAAAACCCAGGACTTTCCTAACTAACAGCACAGAGCTGTAAAAGCAACATCCCGTTAGCCTCTCGCTAGTGTGTTTGGCCGGCTGTTTTGATACGAAACATGTCAACGGGATAGTAATATGCTGGAAGGAGCCATGTCACCATCTACAATAGTAAAGGCGGACATTCTTGTCTAATGCATGTAAAATGGGACATCACTGACATACCAAACAGTATGTATGAATGTGCAGTTTGCTATGACATATAACCCCCAAACTCAGGCCACCCTGAGGAAAAACTATTTCAATTAAAATCTCGACCCATTTCTATCCAGTTTCTTCCTTAGGTTAAAAATCTTCCGACAAGCAGGAACAAGATGCCTTATAATACTATGACCTTGTTAAAGCGATATTCCGGCGTAAAATTAATTTAGGGTCAAACACGTAACACTGAGTTAGACACCCCTTGAGAGATTTCCACGAAGAAATGATCATAAATGTTCTTCCTTGAGCTGCGTCACCCCGCTGTAGTCTGTAATGGACTGGCCCGGAGGTCTTGCTACAAACAAGCGGCTGCTGGAAGAGAGTAGATGAGTTGTGTTTAGTCTCTTTGCGAAAGGAATTAGGCAAAGCTAAAAGGATGTTTGATGGCTAGTACTATGGCTGGGACCCTGTGTACTGTTGATGAAGTTAGGTGCTGTTCTGAGCTTTATTTGTGGCTATAGAGTGGCTTTTTGGTTGAGGTTTGTTTATGGCTCCTCAGACCGCTGTGTATTGCTATTGTGCGGTCGTTACTAAAGTTGGTATAACTAGAGAAGCAAGCGGTCGGCAACATTCATCTCTCGAGGGGGTGTCTCACTCTGTGTTACGGTGTGTTTGACCCTAAATTGATTTTTACGCTGGAATATCCTTTTAAGCCTTGAGTAAAAACATTTGAATTATAAAGACCCCTCCTTGAGTACCACTCAGGAGGAAAAAATGACACCAACTCACAAGTTCACCCATTTCCAACATCTGAGGGTAGTTACATGCTGATTCAATGCGGGTTAAAGTCTAATCTGAATATTGTTTTTGCCATCCATCACTTGTTTTTTTCTTTTGTGTTGTGACAACTATTGCAGCTTCAAGGGCCATCTGTAAGGTTTCATGTTCTCTGTTTTGTATAAATACATTGATAATCCTGGCAAAATGCCACACAGCACACCGAAAGAATGCTGATTTAAAGGGGGAGTTCAGGATCCGTAAAGACACCCACCCACCCATCTGGGAAAGCTCCAAAGACGAGTAGCTCATCCCTTTTGGAGGAATGACTTAAATTTGTCGTATTTCGTGTTTATCTCATCCCAGTTACACCTGTTTGACAGTGTCTGAAAAAGAGGATCTAATGTCAATAAGGAGAACTTCACCAAGTAGATTGATGTCACACAGATTATGCAGACGCATTTCACTACCTCTTCACATTGTTAATACAAGTAGACAGAAGTTGCTGTGCATCCCAGCTTTATTTGAATGCACTCACCTTTTACGTTACTTGCTGAAACTTGCTCACCTTCCTCATTTAGTGTTTGTTTGTCATCATAAAATATGTTTGAGATGATTTAGTTCTCTTTACCCTAAATGCTCCTTTTCAATGAAAGATCAACTTTGCTTCTTTGGTGCAACTCTTCCATTTTCATAGCTGACACCTCTTGAAAGTTAAGAAAAATTCCAGTGACTGTGAGAATTTACTCGTCCAGCTCACTCACTTAAATCAAAGACAGCTTAGACATATCCATAAGGCAAGATCTGCGTGAATCCACTTAGAGGAGAACTCAAGTGAACTACCTGCGGTTTGGTTGAGGCATCTACTCTGCCATGTGCAGCAGATTTCTTTGCTGGAGGCGAAGGTGTGATCCATTTTGGTTTGTTGCCCACCAGACGTTTACAGGCCTGAGATCAGTTGATTACTTCAACCATTCCTATCTCTCTCTCCCCCTTCTTTGTTTTGGTATCTCTCCCCATCTGCCAGAAGAAAGGACAATACTAATAAATGCTCTGGCATGTATGCACAAGTCAGTGAGCGTCAATGAGGGACTCAAAAAGGGCGAATAGTTGAATCTCTTCAAATCAAAGGGTTGGCTTTCATGCATTCCTGAAGCTTTTTGAAGTGTACACTTCAATCTGAGATTACTGAATGTCAGTACTGAAAAAGGTTTTGTCATCATTTTATCTGTATTCGCTGACTTCAATGTAAGAGCACAAGTTTCTTTGGAAGTCACATTACAACCAGATGCAGATTCTGAAGAAGACTAGAGTCTGATCAGACATCAGCAGTGGAGGGTGAAATTGGTAAATCACATCTATGAGTACTGCTTTCTGTCAGATAATTACTCATTCAATTTCATGAGCTGGGGGAATCGAGCACTTCCTGTGAACAAATATGATTCATTTCTAAACAGGCAACTTGAAATTCATTCATCAGTGAAACAATCTGCAGTAAGTGTCTTTGCATTGAAAAAGATAGCAGTGAGTATCACAGAGCTACCTTTTAGGCAGGTTGTGTTAAAGTCTGATTTCGTATGTTGTAAGTCGAGCCAAATAACCACACTGGTAAAGCTTAATTTTAGCTAGGCCTGCAGGATATTAGAGGTGGCAATCACTAGTGGCTCCAAGATACGATATTATCACGATACTTGGGCCACGATACATTAGCATTGCGATTTTTTACATTTTGCAATACAGTGAGTATTGCGATACAATATATTGCGATTTATACAATTTTTTCAACTGTTTAGCTAATTCAGCATTTGTCCTTCCTTTATGTTTGTCTTATTTACGCTGTATTTTATTTTCATGTAGCACACCTTGCAAACCTTATGTATATATTTGTTGTACTAACTTTCTCCTGCTCTATAATGTCACCTCTGCCAACCTCACTGGACAAACAGTTGATTTATTTTTTCCATTATCATAGATTTGACTTCATATTAGCAATGAATTTGAAAAAAAAGGGAATTAGTAAATGAGACGATACGATATATATCACCAGACAAAATATCTCAATACTTTGCTGTATTGATTTTTCTCTCCCACCCCTACAGGATATTGGAAAAAACTGACATGGCTCTTAAATCAAATCATATAAAATGTTTTCTATTCCTTTACAATTCGTGACTTCAATTCTGTTTTCCTGAAACAACAAAAAATACGTCTCATTTAATCACACTTGATTCAGAAACCTTACATGAACCTTAGGCCTTTTATTTTGATGCCCTTAACTTTTCCAAAAAACTGCATGTGTGTTAGGCCCGGTGGAAAATTAACCCTAACCCTCTAGCCATTTTAAAAACACAGCCCCCATAGTTTTACCTAAAAACATGAAATTTTCTACCTTCAGAAAACGCCCCTAATATTTTGGTGAAATGTCCACAGAAAGTGTGTACATTTGAAAAACTGCTGAAAATGTGTGTTTTTTAAACCATTTCCTGGGCTTTTTTAGGGTTAGCTCCACCATTCATTTTATCTAGTTCAAACGTGGTTTACAGCTGCATGAAACATAAATATAAAAAAGTTACCCAGCTTCTTCCGGGAAGTTAAAGGGCGTGGCTGTGGCGAGTTTTCAAAGCTTACCGTTTCACCCCAAAACAAGAAGTAGTTTTTATCCCAGTCATACTCAAATCTGACCCAAATGTCTCATTTATGTTTCGAGTCCTGGCCTAAACACATTCAGAAGTTTTTTTTTTCATAATCCACATTTATCATCACAGTTGAAGCACTGCCTTTAGACAACTTACATTTCTTTGCTGTCACTTTATGAGCCACAAGTTCAAGCCAAGTGAAGCATCGAATTTTCTTTGACAACCCCTGAGAAGTTATTCTTGATAGGTGGTAAAATCTGTGAGTTTTTGCCAGAGGGTTGGGTCTTGGTGGTAAAGCAAAGAAAAACCAGCATGACTCACCATAAAAAAACAAACTGTCATTTTTCTGATGCGGACAGTAAAACTGCAACGAACTGTAACTGCACCAAACCTTGACTTGTGACGACCTCCAGCAACCCTCACAACTCTTTGACGTTTGTACGATAGTTTGAATTTCAATTATTTCGTTTTTAACCTCTTAGATTTAGTATTTCTAATTTCTCAGTATATTTTAATATTCTCTTTTGGTTGAAATATTTCCAGCAGTAGGCTGGAGTGTAGGTTTTACATCTAGAGATGAGTAACAGGTAACCATGTACTGTTTATCAGAAAGGAAGCCAAAGTCAGACTCTGAAAGTACCTGACCATTTATGTCCACATGCTTATGACAGTGACTTTCTCAAGTTTAAATTTGGCTGTAAATCGATGTTCATTTCCATTATAGAAGATCTGGGTGTTTCCTCCACTCATGTTCAGCTCTGTTGAAGACATTCTGTTAAGATCTTTGTCCATATGATCCAGCTATGTTAAACCATGTTCGAACTAGGGATGGGCGATATGGGCTGAAAAATTTATCACGATAAGATTTGCCATTCTGGCGATAACGATAAAAGTTCCGATTAAAAAAATATTATAATTCCAATCTATATTTTTGACACGTTTCATCATGAGAATACCTGCTGGAGTTGTCAAATAAGAAACTTAACCACAAGTTTGAGTGGAAGGTTATGGAGAAAACTAATGACATCAAACAAGTCTCAAATGTGAAAACATTTTCAATAGGGCTGGGACGATATCCTTTTCTCCTGATTCGATTCCTCTATGATTTTTTTGGGTGTCGATTCGATTTAAATTGCGATTCTACGATATTGTCGACTTTCTCGAAATTCAGGCTGCATCGTTAACACCAGTGAAACAGTTGAATGATTATGATTGTCTACTGACTATTCCAGGAACCATATTTCCCCAAAAAATACATCACATGTAAGTCAGTTTTTATGATTTATTCTAAAATTTGAAAACAAAAAAATAATTTTTGAACATAAAAATCGATTTAAAAATTGTAAAATAAAAATTTCGATACTTATGTGAATCAATTTTTTTCTCCCATCCCTAATTTTCAACATTTGTTGAAAACTCTTGTTGCACAGAGTGAACAGCAGCAGATCCACTGTCTGCTGTCAGGCATACCTGCCTGCGCCCATCTAAACCCAGTCTTGAAGGAAATCCCTCATGTGGAGCCTCGTTCAGTAACCAGCTGCTCAGAAACGTCTTCTTCTTTACTTTCGGCCATGTTTGTTTGTTATTCTGCTCTGTGTGTAGCTATGGCTACGAGTCCGTTGCTCGCGCTTATGTCATCAACTTGGATAAATCGTATTTATCATGAGATGGCAAATATTTATCATGGAGGATTTTTCTGAAGATATATCGTGAACGATAATTTATCACCCATCCCGAGTTCGAACCATGAATGAATGGGTGAACCTGCCGACACTCATTATTAATGTGCATCTGTAGTTTGATGAAAACCTCAGTCTGCAGTCAAATGATTGTGCAACATTGAAGAAATCTACTCTTACTTGAATTTACTCATTCCAGCACCGCAGCTGACTCTATCTTTAAGAATGACTGAAATCTGCATTAAAGCTGTTGGCAGCACATCCAACCCCTGTGTTTGAATCAAACCGGTATTCTCATCTTTACTCATCAGAGCACAAATTGTTAATGGTTGGACTTTCTGACAGATAAATCCCCCCCAGTCTGTCTTTAATTATACCCAAAAGTCATCGTTTTCCTGTACACACGTGTGTTGTTTACATAGACAACACAAAGAGAGCTGAACAAAGAGGTCCCGCAGGTAGACCTGAGTGTAGATACAAACTTGCAGCTTCATATGCAGGGACAGCAGCCGGAAAATACGTATATATGAGTGTGTGCGTGCGAGAGCTTGCTCGCAATTTCCACTTGAGTCGTCAAATACAATAATATGGTCGCTGTTATACAGATATGCAGCAACAAATAAAGTCACAACAGATTCTGTTTATGTTTCCATGAGCTAGGCATGTAATCACCACGGTAACCTGCTGAGCATCTCACCGGGCAATACTGTATATACAGGAGATTCAATCTGACAAGAAACTAGAGTGCATGGATTTTATCTCACAACATTGCATGTCCCCTTTTTGAGGACATTTTTGTTGAAGGTTTGAGGTATTTGATATTTTTTAGATACATTTGCATTCAGTTCAGATGTTCAGATCAGCTTATTTTCACGACTGGAGTGAATATGATGAAGATATACAGAGGTTTGATATTTTTAACATACTCTTAATAGTCTTTATGATGAAATGAAACCAATTTGATGTAATTTATAAAAGTTAGAATCATCATATAAGCTGTGGTTGTTTTCTCTTGTATTAATAGAAACAAAAGGATGACTCAGTTACTACAAACAAGCTTTTTTTTTTTAGTTTTGCCTTCTGCTCACTATTTTTCATTTCATAATACACAATCATTTAAAGCCACTGTGAGAAATAACTTACTTAAAATGTGAACTTCCCCTAAACTTCTGTAGGTATTTATTGTAGTACTTTTAGGGCTGACAATGATTGTGCGTACTTTCACACTTCCCTCAGACAGATAAAAAAAGGAGATCATATATTCACCTGCGATTTTCCTCCCCCGCTTGTTTTCCGGTCACTGCCTCTCGGATAGTCAGACAGACAGTGAGGGCAGTGGGTTCCTCTCTGTTGTTTTTTGGCCTTTGTTCTGTATTCACACATGTGTCTGTTTCAGAATAACTGGCCACAGTATCAGCTCTCGCATCTCACAGCCGTATAACAACATCTCTGGCTATGGGAAACAGACAACTGCTTATTTCAGCTCTCCACTCCCACCACTACACACAAGAAGACATGTGTTATACGTTCATTTTGTTTTTTTTGCGTGAGGAGTTCATATTTGATCAACATCCTCCTGATGCAGACACTGATTTTATTAAGTATATAGTTGTGTATATATGTGCATTACTTTATGAGCATCACTTATGCTGCTCTGCAGACATTTTTAATGTCATTGGATGATAAAAAAACAACGAGTGGTTCTTGTAATACATCTGTGCTTGTCCCTGATGCAGGGCCCTGTACTGTCTGCCAGGCAGCTGGTGCACATTTGGCATGTCTCATGCAGACAGTGTCCAGAGGCCTGCAGGGCACCTGCTGTCCATCAGGGGGAGGTGAGGTTTGGAATGAGACAAACCCCTCAACAGGTGACGGCAGCCTACAGCACGACTCACTGTCCAAATGTGCTGACGACAATGGCTGTGTGTGACTCGTGCTCCTGAGTGTGTCTCTTGATGATCAGATAGCAGATGATAATCAGGGTGGCTGTTCAGTCAGCATCAGGTACATGTGTAGTTCCATTATGAGATCTCCGAGTTTTGTTGAGTCAGTCACACAGCTGCTGTCTGACTGTTATGCTGATCTAACACACGCAGCAAATGGGACTGTGTCCTCAGCAGCAGTTGTTGCCCAGAATAATAAATTGGCACACGCCAGCACACAACCAAGCCAACAGCTGTCTAAGAAAGTGTGTTTGGTATGTCTTACCAAAACATTGGACTCCTTCAACCAAGATGTCCAAGCTCCAAAGCTCAAAATTACAAATCAACTCAGCCACACTCGAATTAAAAGATGTCCTCTCAAATCTAAGAGTGCGGGTTTTACAGATCCTCAGTCGGATACAAGCTGCAGGTAGATGATTTTAACATGAAAAACAACCTTTAAATATCTGATGGACAAGTATTGCAATGAAGATCTTTTGAAAGCAATCACAATGTGTGATATTGATTGAATTAGCCAAGTGAGACCCTTTTAGCTGTACCACCTATTGTGACAAACTTAAGATAAGATAAGAAGAACTTTATTTATCCCTGAGGGGAAATTCTAAAGAGTAAATCTGACCCCTGAAACAAACAATGTACCTAAGATAAGATTTTTCTTTATAAGACCCACAGAGGGAAATTCCAAATGACAGCAGCATAAAATTCCAAAAAGAGAAATTACAGGATGAAAAAACTTAGCTGTACAAAGAGTTAGTTTTACACCTGAAGTGGAGATTTGATTTAACTCTCCTTTAGAGTTAAATTTACCTCCAATAAAGATATTTACTTTTTACCATAAAGAGTTGATTTTGACTCCAACAAAGATCCAGCATTAGTCTTTACATAGACTTAATTTAACCACCGTGTAGAGAATTATCGCCTAATACCACTCCCTCTGAAATGAGTTAAGTCAACCACCAACATAATCTTTTATCTGTTATGCTGAGTGGGTGAGCAACTCGCGGAGTAGTTATCATCCATTTATCATTATCGAAGTGAACTGCTCAATATATTGTGATATTGATTTGAGGCCTTATTATCCAGCCCTAATATATACATATACACACATACATAAATATACATAAATATACATATACATCCATACATACCACCAAAACCTGCAATCAGAAGGCTCCTGCAAAGTTTGAGGCATATGTTGTATTCAATGTTTGTTATTATTAATAACTACCTTATAAGTTTAAAAAAAGATTTTTGAAGAGATGTTGGATGAATCGGCCTTGAGGAGTCAGCAGGGAGAGAAAAGAGGAGATGTGTCCATTAGATTGTATTTATGAGGAGCTGTCTGCTTAAACTAATAACATTCTCTGCTGCCTGTGTTGTAAGACTGCAGGCCTAAAAGCACACAACAGTAATGATGCTGTGTATCTGACATGATGCCAGTGAGTGGCCCCATTTCCTTTGACATATCACCCCATGCGAAGAGTTATAGTCTGCAGCAGAGTACACTGGTGCAGAAACACACACTCAGCATTTGGAGCAGAGGAGAGCAAAGAGATGCTGGAGGAGATAAATCCTGCGTTGCTGGTGATCCACACTGAGATCTTTTGAAAAGCGAAGAGTTTCTCTAAACGTGGCATTTGTAGAAAAGTTGTGTAACATCTCTGCCACTGGCATTTCTAGATTTTTTTTTTGCATCAGTGTGAATAATTAATCTTCTACATGTAGTTTTGGTTCCAACATTTCAGGTCCTGTGAACTGTCTTTGTCGTCAGTGCTGATCAGCTTCCCATTATTTGGTTAGTCATATGTTTTCCTCGAAAACCAAAGAGTACAGACTGTGCAGCACCCTCGTTGGGTGACTTTGTATGGGTTTTTTAAAAGTCACACAGTAGTTTCTCTGTCCTCGCGGCCGCTGCAGTGGCTGTGTCCTCTCTCTGAGCTGTCTCAGTTAAGCTTTGTGAGCGGGAGCATGTGCACTAGCTTCTTCTGTTCAAAGACGAGCAGAGGAGGAGGAGGAGGAGGAGGAGCTCAATAAAGCGGAGAATCACCAAAAAAGTCATGTAAAGGCATGAATGCTTGTGGTTTTTGGAAATTAGCCTCTCTTTCAGGCATTGATTTTGTCTCCTTAACTATTTATTTTTTATTATTCAACCCATGATTTATATCCAGGAACTTTATGGCCACATCCCTCACTGTTTGTCATTAGCCCTCAATATCTTTACCAGTTTGTGTGGATTTTGATATAGCATCTCAACGACTCAGGTTTAATTCTTACACAAAAGCCAGCATTGATGAAGGCTCATTAGGGCATTAGATTATCAAAGGTTGCCCACTGTGGCGTAGAGCATTTACAAATAAAGTCTTTATTTTCCCAAAGCAAGAAGGAAAACAGGAAAACTGCATCGATAACCTGTCTGTGGCTGGGCTCATGTTAGGCTTAATGCAGCAAAGGGGAACGTTAGTTAATGTCACATGATCAGCGGGAACAATACCAGCAGTCCACACAGTACTCCTCTTTGTGTTGTTCTGGTTAATCAGTTTGACAGCTTTTAAGTATTCACAAAAGTCTCTCCACTTAGACTTTAACAAAATGTATTTATAAAATGGAGAATAGTCAGTCGTGTGGTCACTTTAAAGCACACAGGAGGCTTTGAGCTCAGTGATCTGCTGCTGCTGCAAAAAAGGCCTTTTAAATGGCACCTCTTTGATTCTGCGTCTTTGAGCGGGTTCAAAAGTGGTCAAAGTCCGGCACACATTGATATTTAACAGAGCGATTGAAGTCTTAATGCCACAAGAGGTTAGAGGGGAGCAGGGGGTGGACTGTGTCAGGAGCTGGCCTACTTGGTGGGACATTTAACCTCTGCTTTATTCTCTGCGTGTGCACTCGCCCCAACCCTACAGCCACAAGTGCTAACAGAGCCATTCAGTACCTACTGTAACTGTAACTGAATTTATGACAATTTTATATCACGATTATTAAAATTGTGTGATTTGTCATCTGCATCACAAGCAAATTTAAAACCAAAACAAACTCTGACTTCTTCAAAAAAGGGGAAAACTGTCAAGCCTCCCTTCTCTGTTTACCAAAGCATGTGTGTCTGTCAAACTGAATGATATCAAGTCATTTGTACTTCACCTGAAAGGGACCACACACCACTTCTACGCTTATTTTAATTTGGTGATGATGCTCATGAAATTAAATGATAGATTTTTGAGTGTTGTAGTTTCACCTTTTGTCATAAATAACGGAAGGATTGAGCTCTGTTACCCCTCACATTGTATTACAAGCAGATCTAAAAAACCATCCAGTCATTTCAAGCTTTTATATGTAACCTCTTTTTAAACATCAAGCCTGTATTTGATGATGATCTTGAATGATGTCTCTCTCTTGTGATCGCTGTAGCCCCTCTCGTCATGCTCGCTGTGCCTCTCAGATTCATACTCCTCGCCTCCTCCTGCTCCTCTCCCTGCTCTCCTCTCCCCACCTGCTACTGCCTGATAGTTTGTATCAGCTTCCTGATGCTCCTTAGCTGTGTTTACATGGGCACAAATAATCTGAATAAATGCCCGATTGGATTAAAAAAGCATCATGTAAACATGCCGATAGGAAAATTCTGATCCAATTCGACTCAATCGGAAAGAAATTGTATTTCGAACAAGAGAGGTGGTTTATACAGATTGTTATTCCGAAACGCGTCCATGTAGACACTTATTCTGATCGTGACTCTTTAACCTGACTCGATCGTCAGTACAGGAGGTTTTGTTATTAACACTCTGGCATAAAACACAACCGCAGGTGCCGTGTCTGCTCCTCTGATAACATAACAAGGCAAGCATACAGCGTAACAATGTCACACCTGCACACACAGTACAACCTTTGACAGAACAGTTAATTAAGTACGCAAGGGCGCCATCTAGTGACAACATTTAACAGGGGGAAAACTCCTGCATTGAATGAACTGAGCCACTACTACCGCATTTGTTGGTATGTTGACAGCACAGGCGTAAATACAACTCTTCTTCTCCTGCTGTTGTTTAACAAAATTAGACAACTCTGTGCATGTCCAAATGCTTCTAATCTGAATAAAGCTTGGTGCATGATAGTCATGATCAGATAATTCGATTTTGCACCCATATAAACAGTAGATTCAGATTTTCTGATCCCTCGAATTTTTAATTTGATCAAGAAATTTTGCCCATCTAAACATGACTAATGATCTGAGCTGCTTATGGTGAAGTGAAAGTGAGAGCAGTTTGAGGAGAGGAGCCACACCCATGCTCTGCTGTGGCTTACACACAATGTATGAAGAACACTTTGGGTCTAGTACAGTATGAAAAATATTGATAATTCCTTTAAACAACTACAAATTCTGGTGCTGCGTCAATAACACGATAGGTGTGACATGTAGAAAACTATCTGGCGGATGTAAAAATTTAGCTTAATCACTATAAAGGTTCACAACAAAATATAACACAGGGAACAGTTAGACAATTAAAAAGGAGAAGCTGGGACCTGAACGAGATTAGCTTGCTTAAAATCAACACAACTCGTACTTTCAGTTTCCTCAAAAGCCTGTATCTAGCAGAATTACGCTGCAGTGTTTACAAAGACTATGAATCTGACTCACATACTTAGATGTATTATTTTTTTGTAGTTTTGGTCATTGCTTCTGCAGTTCACAATAAACATTGAATTACCCTTTAACATTAGAGTGGTAGGGTGTGCATTTCCAGTAAATTCATGAGGCTGGACGGATGAAAGCATTATACCGAGGGTTTATCTGCTGGGGCAGAGTTTCACTGCTCTGCTGGCATTTGAGGACAAGGCAATGATTAAAGGGACAGGCTATTGATCTGTTTCGCATTAGGATGAAATGAGCTTGTAGGAGTGATGTGCATGGGTTCATTTAATTCGGCTCAAAGCCAAGATTCAGCGCTACGTACGCCCAGACCGCAATCTCCGACTGTAAACATTCAATGAGAGTCTTACAACTGTAGATGATGACCGGCGTGCGCTACGGCTCGGAGTTTTGAAAATGTCACTCAAAGCTTGGAGTAATTTTCAGGTCAGTGTGAATTTCCTGCGCGGTGAACAGTCTTAAACCTATCCCAGCTTTAGCTGAAAGCTCCCTGGTGGCCCTTTAAGGCGGTGGACACATTGTGTGCTCTCTTTCTTTCCTTGTGTATTAGGTATTGAATAAGTGACCTTTCTGGTTTGTATGAGCTCATGGGAAAAGTGGGTGTTTCCACAGGAAGTCAAAGCCTCTCCCTCCCCCTCCGTTTCTCTCGCTCTCCCTCTCCATGTAGCCCACACTCTCCCTCCCCCTCAGACCTTTCATTCTGTCTTATTTTTTCCACTTTTTCTCACTTCAAGCACTCTTAAGTGCTCAACCAAACAATACTCTGCACACAAATTCCTGTGTGAACGCCGTGAAGCATGAGAAGAAGGCTGATGATGTTGGGGGGGACTGACGGTGTAGAAATGCAAAGAAACGGGTCTCCTCGTCCATCTGCTAAACATTAAACCCTTATGGTGGCTGTGTGATTACAGACAGCTGCTCAGGGTTGAGCCCCGGAGGTTCTGCAGAGGTTAAAGCTGCGTGTGTCGAGGGACAGGAAGTGATGCACAGATGCACTCAATCAAATTTCTCCATGCTTAGATCAATGGTTTATACTACAATACTTCATCATGTGGAGTTTTGGTCATACAAAAGTTTGGACAAGGTTGAGATATCTGTAAAGTCAGAGGCCTGTGATTTACCCTGCAAGGTGGAAAGTGCCTCAAGTGTTTTGATTGACGTCATTATTTCAGACTGTTTTAATGAAATCAGATTTAATTCATTCAAACTCCACATGAGGTAAACAGAACTCGTACTAAATGAAGTAGATCTAAGTGTTTATTTATCGACTTCACGATCTGTGACCTTCAAAAAGCGTTAAAGCTGCTGTGAGCGAGCAGGCGGGTGCAGACCAGGTGATAGACAGTAAACTGGAAACATAGCTTTGCATCCATGAACACAATGAGGTGATATGTTTCTTCTGTTCAAAGACAACAGGATAACAGGACAAAAGATACAATTACTTTGTCCACAGGGGGCGCTAAAATTGGTGCCAAGTAAAAGTTCCTCACAGCAGCTTTGATCAAACTTTTGTGGTTAGTTTCTCTCCTGATCCTCACTTTTTTTGTTGACAAAGACGTATTAGAAGTCACACTAGGGCTGGGCGATATGGTATCGGTAAATTTTCGGTTTATCGCCCAGCCCTAAATCACACTCCTTGTTGATTTTGACTGATCTGTGATGGTGAAATGACATTGAGGATCATGGTAATAGAAATAGAAATGATCTATTTTCAACTGAGGGCATTTTTGTGCTTAGGGTGCTGAGTGTTGAAAATATTGAACTGCATTGATTTTGTGTGAAAAAAGGAGCTTTATTCATGAAATTGCTGTTGATGGACAAAAGCCCTAATGCTTTCCTCTGTGATAAAACATGTGTTGTAACTTCCATGGAGGCTCTTTATATAAATATATAAATACAAGTTACCTTAAAGCTCCTGTGCTTACTGTTTATCTGGTCATGAATCAGAAGGGCATTACATTTGATGCAAACTTTGTACTCTTATGTACAGTTACGGTTTATACCCAAAACTGTGGCTGGGGAAGGTGTCAGTAGAACTTTAGTCTTTATGCTGCTAAAAAGCTTATTTTGTTTGTTTGTTTGTTTCCTCAGCAAAGATTTTTGGTAAGTTTGACTACAACAAACTTACCAACCATGTCCAACATAACATGTCATGTAACATGTCCACAACAAAATCGGCACGCTCCAAAAGTCCCTTACAGTAGCTTTAAGAAGAAATTTAAAGCATTCGTATTAAAGCCATTCTGTTGCTGCTGTATTGATAATGATAATGCAGTATGTGAGTAGTTTTTTTAGGTTAAAATTGGATCATCATCATCCCCATTCATTCTGCTGTCGTCCAGCAGAGGCTGTGACCTGAAAGGCTCCACATTGTTTGGCACGGAGTCTGCGGTGTCCTTAATTGAGACTGCTGAGCTTGGCACTGGCCCACTGAACAAGTTTTACAAACAGCGTGTCTCACCTGTCATCCGGAGGGCAGCTATCACCGGCCTACCCTATTTGGTGTGTTGGTCACATTTATCCAGGTTTTTTGTTGCTGATATCTCAAGTGTGGCAGCTTAATGTTGCTCCATCAGCAGCTCAGTAAAGCCTAAGCTGAACACTCACTGTAAATAAATTAGAGCTGCTACTCAGTACTTTTCTGATTTCTTGTCTGAGCTCTTAGTCTAGAGTTGAAATGATTTATACAGGTGATATGTGTCTTTACAGCGAAGGAGAGTCTCTCTTTCAATCTTTCAAACACAACATCAGTAGGAAACCAGAGCTGAGTCTTCCTGTTTCTCTGCAGCAACATTTTACACACTCAAAACTTGTTTTTGTCTTTTGATGTCTCCTTTTTTTTCATGAACAAAACTAAGACAAAAGCTTGCGTAAACAACAACTCTCACCAATCTCAACTTTAGTTTGATTTTCACAAAGCATGAAACCAAGTTCAGCCCATTTTTGCCACCCACACCTTCCTCTAGAAGTTGGTAAGCATCTTTTTATGTTTTGCTTGCCCACAGTTTACACAAAAAGTGAGTTTGAGTGATTGCTCAGTGTCATAGAGAAACAAGTTTGGTTTTTATTGATGCTTTTACAGAAGATCATATGGTTAGTGTCATATATATACTAGGGGTGGGAGGAAAAAATCGATGCAGCGTATTATCACGATATTTTGTCTTTTGTTATATTGTATTGTCTCATTGACCAAGTATCGATTTTTCAAATTAATTGCCAATATAGAGTCAAATCTATGATTATGAAAAAATAAACAGGAGAAAGTTAGTAAAACAAACAGGGATGCACCGATCTGTTATTTAGATCGGATATCGGCTCCAATATTGACAAATTAACCAGTTCCGATCCAGTCTTTTTTTTCTTTTAATTAATATCGTACACAGCAACACAGTGATTCCGTTCGCTCTATATACTATGTGTGTCTATCCTTTTGCACTAAATGTTCATATGGAAGTCCTACTTCTTTTTGCTGTGTGCTAATGTGCAAATTGTTATTTGTCAATGAATAATATTAAGTACATTTATATCCATGTTAATTTGTTCCCTTTTTTTAACAAGGTTAATGTCAATGATGCCTTCACTCACAAGGCAAAGTATACAGTTCATTCAACAGTAGTATTAGATCAGTATCGGAGATCGGCCAATACGCTCAGCCCAGGTGTCGGTATCAGATTGGATTGGAAAAAAATGGATCAGTGCATCTCTGATAATATATATGGTTTGCAAGATGTGCTATAGGCAAATGCTAAATTAGCTAAACAGTTGAAAAAATTGTATTAATTGCAATATATTGTATCACAATACTCACCGTATTGCAAAATGTTAAAAATCGCAATAATATCGTATTGTGGCTCAAATATCGTGATAATATCATATCGTTGGGCCAATAGTGATTCCCACCCCTAATATTTACCTGTATTTCTAATATCCTCTTGCCCATATTAGCTCTTCGACTAAATTGTGGTGTTTCAGGCTGTCATACTTAAATATGAATGAAGAGGCCTGGGAATATTACAAGTCTGCGGATTCAAACAGAGTTTTTCCTGGAGCAATTCACAAGGATGCTGATTTATCTTTAATTAAGGAATAACTAGGGCCGATGATTCTTAAGTCAGGGTCTGTGAATCCTCATTTGGCGTGAGGCCATGCTGAAGGTAATTAGCTCCTCACAGTGTTTATGACTATTTGTTTAAGCTCTGCATTCTCATTATGACAGTTAAGTCGGCAGACACACATTCTCCCTCCTCTGCATAGGTGCTGCTGTGTGTTTTTATTAATTAATCTCCGTGTTTCTGCAGTTAAAATCTCAGTTTTCTCCATTTAGCTGCTGAGTCAGTGGTTTTCTGCTCTGTGTGACTAATGATGCTTTATCTGTCACAGAGGATGTTCTAACCAAACAAGTAGGATGAGTGACAGAGATGGAAAAGGATCTATATTTAGTGTGAGTAAAGCAGTTTGTGTGGAGAGGAAGTGGGTGCAGAGTGCAAGCGTGATGTTGATTACACACCGACACACATTTCACCCATTCTTGTTTTTCTCGAGGTGGAAAACCAGCAGATGTGACAGACAGGATTCAACCGGGTTATGTCTTAAGTCAAACATTTGTGAAGGGGAGAAGAAAGTGCTCGAAAATGGGGTGCAGGGAAGTAGTGAAACAGCTACGGAAGAAGATAAGGGCCACTGGGGGGACAAAAGGTCCAATACAGTTTTTTAAAATTATTATTCTGAGTTTAAAGTCAGAAATTCTGAGATGAAAAGTAAAAATTCTCAGAAAAATCTCAGAATTTTGAATTTCTTCACAGAATTCTGACTTTAATCTCAGAATTCTTTTTTTTCCCCTCTAATCAATCATTTTTAATAAAAATTATATTGAACCTTTTTTTGTAAGTGGCCTTAAGATTTCTTAAGTTAAACATTTGTGAAGGGAAGAAAAAAAGTGCTTGAAAATGGAGTGTAGAAAAGTAGTAAAACATCTACGGCCACTGGGGAAAAAAAACAAAAAAGGTTCGATATAATTTTTTTAATTATTATTTTGAGAATTCTGAACTTTCAGAATTCTGCCTTTAATCTCACTATTTATTTCCCAGATTAACAATTTTTAAAAAATTATGTCAGAACTTTTTTTTTTCAGTGGCCCCTATCCTCTTCCGTAAATATCAGACTTTCCCCTCTTTAAAAAAAATAACAGAAATTTTAATTTTTTTTGTGGACCCTAGTTTCATGACTCCCTCTTCTTTGTGTGTTATTATCCTGGTCAGTCCGTCTGTGTTCTCTCGACCCAGAACAGCTCAGCACAAAAAAGCTGTCCTGCAGCTGCGACTTATCCACCACCAGTCCCCGAGTTCACGCTGAAAACAGGCCTCTAATGTTTTCCTGGTGTAAGCATGCATGAGCCGTGTATGTGTGTGTATGTGGGTGGAGGGCTGGGATGTATGGCTGGAATGTTGGACGGGAACTGAGTGACAGGTTTGGACTTTGGTAGGTAGGCGGGGTTCGGGGAACATGCCGTCTGTGACATCACCACCACCCGAACGCGAGGCTCAGCCGGGCCAGCTGCCTGTTGCAGAGGTGGAGTTTCCTTCCGGCTAAAGCTGACCAGGGGCTGAGTGTGGCCTGACCCACCTCGCCAACAACGTCCAAACTGTACTGTAGCTCCGGTCTGCGGGGTTCCTTGGATTTGTGTTTCTCCCTGTTTTCATAGAGATCTACCAACTTAGCTGCTCTGTACAGTTTGGTGTTGTGCTTGTGTGGTGATCAGCATTTTTCTATTTTTCTTTCAAAGCTGGACACCATGTTTGACCCCTTTAAATAAACTTGACTTTCACTGCTGCTGCAAAGGCTTAAACCCCAGGAAGTAAATAATCCTGTTTTATCAGCCTACAAAGACACGCCCACAGAGACGGTCATGTCAGTACTGGTCCAGTAATTGTTTTAAGTGGAGCTCTAGGATGTTCAATTTCTTTTTTCTTTTTTTATTTTCTCACATCCACTTTCACAATAATAATTCAACAGCCATTAGAACATTTCATTTTACAAGTGGTTTTAGTAAACAATCACCTTTTGTTTTTCTTTTTTTTGTTATATATATATATATATATATATATATATATATATATGTACAGGTGCAAATGAATAAATCAAAAAACCAAAATTTTCGAAAATTTAAGAAAGAAGGAAAAGTAAAAAAAAAAGACCTTAAAAAAACAACAAAGAAGGCGAAAGAAAAAAATCTAACAATAAAAAAAAGAACAAGACAAAAACAACATATCAAAGACAATACCAATCATCGGTTATAAATTCCCTTTATATAAAGATCCTTCGTCGATTCATAAAGATATTCATATCTTTATCATTTACCTCTGGGTATTATTTACGATCTCGCTCAGTGCCAAAAACAAACAGACAAAAAGCTTTATAGGTTATCATTCCATTTGTTCTCCCACCACCTCCATTAAGGATGTTCAATTTCTTTGCATCTTTACATCCTCCATACAAAGTGCAAGTTTGATAACATTGACTTTGGCTCGGTAGTTTGTTGCGCAGACTGGAACAAACTTGCTGACTTGTGTGAGTGTATGTGTGCAGACTCACTCTCCAAGAATGGAGGCCCACTGGTTGACCCCACTGCGAGTGTGTGTATTTACAAATATTTTTGATGTCAAGTCAAGGCAAGCCACGTCTATTTTTAGAGTCCTATGTGACATAACACCATTTCCTCTTGGGGGTGATCTATAAAGCAAACAGGTTTTTTTTCCTTTTTTGTGCAAAAAAAATGTTTCATGATCTACTGTGATCATCAGATTACATTTTTAGCTTTTTTTAATAGGGAACTACGAGCTCTTTTAGATAGACTATGTGACATTTGAATGTGTAATAGAAGGTTCGAGTCAAAGTTGGCATTTGCAGGTCTAGAAACAATCTCAATAAGACAAGTTCAACCATGATATGTTCATTATGGGCATCTGTTATAATCTGATTTAAAAACCAAGATATATGACTTCTATCAGGAAGTATCTGATCTAATAAACATAAACAACAGAAACAACATTTGATGGTTTTCTTAGGGTAGTTTTCTTGCTCGACAGTTTTTGTCATTAGTCAATAAGGTAGAGAGGTTTGATCCAGAGTTGAAGAGTTTGGACCGTCAGTTTTTGCTTCTTCAAACTCTCAGGCAGCTCCTCTTGACTCATCCAGCCTGAGTCATATACCTGATGAAGTCACGGACTAATGTAAGGATTTAAAGGTCACACATTACTGGACGTGACTCAGGCGGGCTTATGTCACACAGTTATTGGTAGTCCTCCTGAGTCATGCTACTTGTTCTGCTGGCCCATATGGCTTTGCCCAGGCTAAGCCTCAGCCCCCCTATTAGCTCTGGCTCTGGCTCTGCTGGCGCTGCAGAACAGCCTCATCTATCACGGGAAACGGCTCTGAGAGAATCAGCTCAGTCAGAGCAGCGATCAGCAGCTCGCCACACCACACCACACCACCCTCGCATGTGCAGGGAGGAAGAAGAGGAGTAGCCAGAGGAGCCCATGCTCAGTGCGGCTGTCTGGGGGTTGACAGAATAAGAATAAGAGGGTGATGGGAAGCTGAGGTCACGTGCTGATGAAGCTACAAGAGCAGGCTGGGAGAACAGGGATAGAGGGAGGGACCAGTAACACAAGAACCTTTTTTTTTTTTCTTTCTGTCTCCGTCTGGGCGTCTGGAGGCACACTGGCAGGGCAGTTGCAGAGCAGTGAGGCACGTTCAAGGATACACAGTATACTGATGAATTATTGAGCAGTGGTGAGTGGATGTGACACAGGCCAGTATACTTGCGTGCTGCAGAGCAACTAGAGGAGTGGAAGGGAGAGATTACCTGCAGCAACACAGAGCTGCAGGTGAGATGAAGCTATTTGTATGCAGAGGGTACAAGAGATACCTTTAAATGGTCACACACACTGAGGAACTAGACCAGCTGTGATTTTTTTAGGCCTTTTAAAAAAAATCAAAGAAATCATATAAGTGAATAAAACAAATGATAAAATGTCAGAAGGGATAAGGGGTGAGGAGAGCGGCCTATTTTAATGCAGTGGAACTGTAATAAACATGAACAAGTAAACCCTGCATGTCAGTACATTACAGATAGCACAGACAACAAGTAGGCTGTGGGTTCGAATCCTTGTAAGGGCCCTTTCATGGACAGCCTCTTAGTCCTGGGTTCTATGATGGGTACAAAGCAGAAAAGCCTGTAGAGGTAGATCTTTCATAGTGTCACCGAGAGCACTATGTAGATTCTAAAGCCGAAAACATACAGGATCCGTACTGAGCGCGTTCAGTATTTGCTCCGTAGAGCAGCATTTGGTTTCACATACAGGATGCGTATTTGGAGCGTAGCAGCAGCGTAGTGCAGCCCCGGTCAGCTGGGTTCAGTATAGAGGAAACAACATGCTCACAACAGGTTGTTTTGCCTTTTTGTGGTCTATTTCCTGCTAATTTGGATATAATTCAGTGACTGTTGAGCTTGTACTGTATGTGAAAAAGCAACTCGTGTTTAATAAAGTAAACTATGTTCCTTTATGGTGTGGTGTTGCCTTCAGACAGAGTCCTGATGGGGTCCACATGGATCAGGGATTGACTATCGGATTGTTCTGTGTCACTGATAAATCCATAGCTAGTAGGTATTTCTCATCTACACAAACTGATACACAGTCGGGAGTCTGCATATGGTGTTTTATTTTAAATACCGGATGACATGCCCGGTTTTCGTGCTTGACTTCCTGTCTAGAACAATCTTCTCTGTGTGGATTGACGCGCATTGTAAGCGTAGAGCAGCAAAAATAGACTTGCCACGTATCTTTAGCAGTGCTACTCTTGATACGATGCTGCGACGGAGCTGATACCCGTCCTGTATGCTTTCCTGCATTGATTAGAATGGCAACCTATTTGCTGCTTGATATGCGACGATGCTGCCACGCTCCAAATACGCATCCTGTATGTTTTAGCCTTAACAGTATGTTGATTCTGGGTTCAAATCCCAGCAGCACTAACTCATATGAAGCTAGTATGGCCAGGATCTCACCACCAGTCTCCAAAATGCCTCCAACAAAGTGCAATGAAAAGGAGATAAAACTAAATAAAAACATGCGCCACAGCAGCACTGTTTAACGGCAGGCGGGATTTGGGTTCAAATCCCTGCATTTCTTGTATAGCTAGAAGGTTCTGGCTTTGCTCGAGTGTGAACTTGACTGACTTTTAAATCACCGGCTTTGGAAATAAAACTGTTGAGATGAGAATAATGAGATGAAAAGACCTACAAAAGCAAGCACTGGTAATGAAAATATCCGGTGTTCAAATCCTAGAGGGGTAATGCTCGTGTCTCAGGTGATTTTTCGACATGTCTTGGCCTGTAGTAGCCATCTCTCAATAATACAAAACAGTGTAATGCAGTTAATGCAGCATCAAGTGTCAAATGTACTCATACTGTAAGCTCCCTTTGTGTCCCTTGCAGGCGGTTAGTCACTGTGTAAAACAGCTCACACTTTAAGACACCAACATGTCTGTAACAGTAAAAGTTTAATTTGGCTTGTTGTTAGAGCAACAGGAAATCTTGTCTGGATTGAGTGTCCTTGTTTTAGGGTGTTGGTTTGACAGCCCCAAGCACTCCCCTCAGCTGTCACCACTTAACTAGTCCCCGAGGAGAGCCAGAACTACAAAACATGGGAAAAATGTAAAAAATGCATGACTCCTACTCCACCTCCACCTCCTCCTCCCTGGCTCTCTGCCCCCCCCCAATGGCCCCACCCGTCCAGTTTTGGGTTACTAGGAGACCAGAAATTGTCTCCAGAATGAGGGAATCAAAGCCTTCAGGATTGAGCGATGTGTGTTGTCGCTGAGGAAACGTCCTGTAAATGTGTTATTAGCATGAAAACCAGCCTGCCGTCTGAACTTAAGCAGTAGGTGTGGTGGTGTGAGGGGATATTTTCTTCAGGGTTTTTGTGCAAGTGTCTGCAGACAGCGTGTTTACCTCCTGTCTGCAGAAGGGCAGTAAAGGTAGAGGTCAGTAAGAATGTTTGTGCTGTTTTCACCAAAAACACAGAGACAGAGTGGCTGTTTGCACTGAAGCAAGCTGGTCTTACTTTCTCTTTCTTTACCTGAATTTATAGTTTTTTCCAAAAAGGATTTCAGTATATCTCTGCGGAAAGTGCTGTTAAGAAAAACAGTTTAGTGTTTTACTCTTTAATGTAGATGGACAATTTTGTCTCAGCATGTAATGCACAAAGGAAATGTAAGGACTGCAAAAACAAAAAATAAAAAAAAGGATTATGTATTTCTGGTGACAGTAGGGCTGGGCGATATCGGGAAAAGATAGGGAAATGTATCATGATATAAAAAATGAAATTTAACAGTGCTTATTGGTAGCATGTCTTTTGCAATACAATAAGCTACTGCAACTGTGGGGTCTTTGTGTCTTTTGGTGTGAGGCGTTGCGTTAGAGAAAGTGGACTGAATGGTCGGCTGTTTCGGCTGCACAGACTCCATGGGCTCCTTGCTCCACTTGGGGTTTGTAACCTTTCGCATTGCGCGTGGTCTGCTGCATGGCACTGCTTCAGTGCTGTCGGCTTCACGTGTTAAAGTACAATGGTTGCATGTAGTTGCAGCCTGCTACTACACAGTTGTTTGCAACTTGATTCTAATTCAGCACATGATTGGTTCAGTGTGAAGCGGACCGGGAGAAACTCTCCTTTTCATTGGCTGTTTGTATAGTCTACCAAAACATGGCAGAATGCAGACTATAGAAAAGCATATTGACCATGTTTTATATTGATATTGAGGGAAATTAATTTTTGATATCATTATCGATTTATCGCCCAGCCCTAGGTGAGAGTGTAAAAAAAAAACTCCAAACACCTAAACTAACTGGTTCAAATCTGTTTATTCCTGAGTTAGATCATTTGGGGTGCATGTTTGAATGAAAGGTGCTTTACAAACTTAATTTCAATAAAAAAATAATATCAAATCCACAGTTTTACTCGTTTAAAAGACACCTATTATGTGTGTTAAGATTAAAAATGCATTGTACCATACTTGACCACGCAAAAGAAACTCAATGTTGGTCCCTCACTTTGTCATAATTTGCCCCTCCATAAAGTAATATTTGAGCAGGCCCTGCTCTATACTGTCAGTATTGAATTTTTACATATAGCTTTGAGTGATGTATTGTCCCCAGAAATATTCACATTTTCCTCTCTCTTCCTCTTCTCTCTCTCTTCTACAGTCATACTTTGTCACTGACTATGACCCCACGATTGAGGACTCCTATACTAAGCAGTGTGTGATCGACGAAAGGGCGGCCCGGCTGGACAGTAAGTGCACTTTGCTGAACAATCATCACCACACAGTCAAGGAGAAATAACACACATGTGGCCTTTCAGTATGTCTCTAAAGCACTCAAGGAATTGATCCCAAAGTTGCTGCAAGTTATTCTATGTATGCGTGCGTGTGTGTGTGTGTTTGTGTCACTGTGTGTGCCTACGCTCTCTAGTCCTCGACACGGCTGGACAGGAAGAGTTTGGAGCCATGAGAGAACAATACATGAGGACAGGGGAGGGCTTCCTGCTCGTCTTCTCCGTCACTGACAGAGGAAGGTGAGTGACACTTTCTTGCTCTCTTTGCGCTCACTTTTCTTCTCTTTGCGTCTCTCTGTCTCTCTTTCCGTTTGCACATCTCTGTTTACTCCTCACAACTACTGTCTCTCTCTCTCTTTCTCTGGCCCCCTCCCCTCTCCTCCCCTCCCTCTACTAAAGGCATAAATCTTACACCCATACTCTCACTTGTTGCCGCTTGTACTTCCGGTCCCTGCTGCTGTGTTTCTTGTTGTCATTTTTGTTTTGTTCTCAACACTACCCTCCCTCATCCTGTTCTCTTGAATTCACTCATTTTATGCACCTTAGTTTCTATTTAAAGGGATGTAGAAAGTTTCCACTTGTTGTGATGTTGCAGTCATACATAAGAGCCTTGGGTTTTAGTGTTTCACTCTGTTAGAATATACAGCGCCCAGCAGAAGTCTGTACACCCCCCTAAAAGTAATGTATTACTCAGTAACTAGATGAGCAAAAGTAGAATTTCCAAAGTTTTGACAGAGCTGAGTTTCACATAACATTTTATTTACCATAAGACAAAAATAAGGGTGATATGGTAATAAAAAATTTGCTTTGCTCCCAGAACTTTGATTGGTGTGTCCTCATTTTTGCATCCTGATTTTAAACTGAAAAAAGTAATTTTTTGTATGCAGCTTGAAAAGTCTTGTTTGCAATCACTGACCTACATTTGGGGGAGTATTTTGTTGTATAGTCTAACATAGAAAATGTTGATTTTGAAAGAAAACTAAAGGTTTTCTGACAACTATAAAGGGGTGTACTCATTTATGCTGAGCACTGTACATCTAAACTTCATTTCTAGGATTAAAAATTGCATGAATTGGCTTTTAATATACCCTTCACCCAAAAACAAGGTGCCTGATTCCATTATCAGCATATAAACCTCAAGATTCACTGTTTTAACTGTCATAGAGATGATGTATCTGCGCTTAAGTCACCTGTTTTATATTTGTCTTACTCTACACTTGAGGTATTATCCTCTTAGTCAGTCTGTCACACCCTGTCGTCCCAGCCCAACTGTTAAGTTCGCTGTCTCTCCCTGCCCCCACCCTCTGTCCCCTCCCAGTGTTTATGTTGTAAACAGTCTTTCCTTCCTCCATTTATATTAGTCAAGTCTTTCCAGATTTACTATGTGCGCACAAAGCCGTCTGCGGGCCCGTGGCTAGAATGCCATCTTTGGTTTGTGGTCACATTCGGTCTCTTTTTTCCTCCCTCAGATTGACATTTTTATTAGCTCTTTGGTAGAAAAAGTGCACATGGCATTTGTATTATTGTGGGATAAGAGTAAGGTCAGTGCACAGAGCTGAGCCTCAGACAAATACACTTTCATGTTTTTAGAATCGTCCCCTTTCTTTCAGACTCACAGGGGTAATAGTGACCTCAACTTCAGGGTGACGGGTGATATCAAGTAGTTATATAACCAGTTTGTGTAAAACACCAGCTAACACCATGTTTTGTGTTTTACAGTTTTGAAGAAATCTACAAATTCCAAAGACAAATTCTTCGGGTGAAAGACAGGGATGAATTCCCGATGATCCTCGTAGGGAACAAAGCAGATCTGGAGCAACAGAGACAAGTAAGTCCAGCAGCAGAGTGCACGGATCTGAACCCGCTGAATGACAGAACGTGCACCCTGTTTGATCCTCTGATGAGATAATATCAGTCAGTCAGTCAGTCGAGAAGAGTCACATTTGCATATGTAAAAAATGGAAGCAAGCGTTTGCAGCTGCAGCTAGCTACTAAGACACAACAGGATGTGAGTGAAAGGATAAAAGAGACACTGTAGAGACGGTGTTGTCAGGAGGGGAGGATGGATGGAGAGAAAAGGGAGTGTGATGAAATGATGAATCCTGTCTGTTGGCATGCAGAGGCTCATTGCCTCCTGCAGTGAATACACACTGCCCCCTTGTGGTGTGCAGAAGAGTTTCATGTAGATGTTGCTGACAACTGTAAATGTTATCGATCCTTTTGATATGGAACATGTAGATGCCCAAGACATTATGTAATCGTTACTGCAGAACTTTGTATTGCGATTTATAATGTACTGTTATTTATCATGCCGTGTGTTTTGTATATTTTGTCTTGTGTGCTCCTGCTTGGGGACAAATATAGATATTGATTAATTGATTGATTGATTGATGGATTAGCTCCTGAGGGAATCTCTGCAGTATTCAAACAGAAAAACAATTCAAGTGTAGGTAATGGTGTGGGCATCCTTTTACATTTGTTTTACAATCACATGTTCCCCCACTATCAGAAATGATGAGAACACAACCAAACAATCTGATGGCGAGTTTCTCTAAGTGTTTGGCAGTATTTTACATCTTTGAAAATTTATGCTAATTGAGTTTTTTGTTTGTTTGTTTGTTTGTTTTTTATAAAGGGGGCAGACAGCAATTGGATCAATTACTTGTTGCATTATTCAAATCCAAATTACGTGCACAGCTGTTTAAAAGAGGAGGATGGGGTTAGCCTCCAGCTGCGTCTCTAATGTATACTAAAGAAAATGCAAAATGCACCACTACTAAAATGTTTTTGTATATAAAATGACTCTGACTTTGGTTTGATAACCACGGTATGAAATAATTTTGAGAAAAGGGCCAGAGGAAATGTTCTGAACAAATGGACAGTTGTGGGCGTGGATGAAATTAAAATGAGAAAACATTTGTGGGATACAATACAAACTGAGCTCTGCAGGCAAAGGCAGATGCATTCAGAAGGTATTGCAATTATTTACTATTGAATTATAACAGCAGAAAACACAGCTATGTTGTTGGTTTGGGAAACTGGGATCTTGGACAATAAAGGAAAAAGTATTATGATTAAAAATTGACACTATAGATCCCTCCTGAGGAGGGACTGTAGTTATCACCAAGTAACGGCACAGATTAATGTTTATTAGTTATTTGCTTGTAATGGTACATTAACATGTTAATAACTGTGTGTAGTTGTACAATAGTTATAGTTACCTTTATATATACATATAAATATTCCCAAATAAGTATTTATGAATACATGTGTATATATACAGTACATGTGAGTATGTGTTTGGATATCTAATCACACAATTGACTGTAAAGATAAATGTGTATACATGTATCAACACATATCAAAACTGAACTTTTACATTTCTGAATTTATATTCAAGTATTGTTACTAACCTTATACAATTTATGATAAAATATTATAAAATCAGAACATGTTTAAAAGAGATGATTATCCTACATGTTGGTATTTAAAGAGAGAGGCTTGGCTGGGTCTTAAATTATTTATTATTGTTAAGTAACAGAGAAAGGTTAGTATTCAATCAGTGTGTCTTCCTCCCACCCTCTTTTCAGATATGTTAACAAAACATCTATCAGTAATGAAATGGTTTTCTGCATTGTTTGTGTATTTTGTGTGTATTTTGTACTTTTTTATTTGTTTGAAATAATTCAATTCAAAAGAAGAATAGTTAATGAAAACCTAAATAAAGCATCTGATCGATGAGCTGAGATCAATATTTAATGGGAGCGACGGTGTAAGTAGTTGTAAAGCAAAGTATAATGCAAATAAATAGGTAGATATGTCGATTACAATCAGAGTGTTTTGAGTTGGAGTCTTGTCTTACCGAAGACAAGTCCCTCCAAACCCACAGTTAGGAGCGCTACCATGGCAACAGATTCTAATTTCCCCTCTTTCAGCACAAACAAACATTAAACTAAACATTTCAATCAAGTTGACACGAGTATACAGTAGTTAGCATTTAACTGGACATTTACACAGAAGCTTATGATGGGTAAGGTAAACGGGTTCTCTACAGGAATACAAATGTTGTCTTTGTCCTCATTCAGCTCTTCTTCTTCTCTGATCTTTACTGTTGACATGCCTTTGAAGATAAAAATGGGGCAAAAATACCACCTTTCAACCCTTTTGTTTACTAAGTCTGCTGTCATTGCCTAGACTGTCGATAAAGATCGAGTTGTTTAGCCTACCAATTAAGCATGCTAACAAAACTAACATTTTTAGCTCATGTCTGTTAGTAGGAGTGATTTGGATGCTTGGAGCACATTGATACTGTGACAAACAGTGGGGTTAGGTTTTAATCCATGCAAAGAAGTTAAAAATCTGGATGTTATATTTGATTCAAATCTTTGTTTTGAGCCACACATACGGTACGAGATGTTACCAAAAAGGCATTTATCGTTTAAAGAACATCTCCAGAGTGCACCAATTTTTCTCTCAAGCCAATGCAGAGACTTTTATTCATGCTTTTATCACCTGCAGAATTGACTATTGCAATTCTTTCCTCTCTGGTCTTCCTAAAAGGAAAATTTCACAGCTTCAGCTTCTACAAAATTCAGCTGCACGCATGCTGATGAAGACCAGGAAGAGAGCCCACATCATGTCAATTTTAAAATCTCTGCGTTGGCTACCTGTGTCTCTTAGAGCAAAATACAGCACTTTCTACTACATTCTATGTATGAAAAGTGCTTTAAAAATAAAGTTTGATTGATTGATTGATTAATAAGCACATCACAGAGGTGCAGTAAAGCCACTGTTTGTGTTCAAATGTTACAAAAGATTATTCTCTTTTGTATTATTCACACAAATAGCAAGGTTACTCCTTTTTGTGGTTCTACAATTGTCTTCATCGTTATTCACTCCATGCTTACAAGACTCCTTAGGAGGTATTGTCAGCAATCCTTTGACATGAATCCCTCATTGTTGTCACATCCCTCTACCTCAGGTAACCCAGGAAGAAGGCCAGCAGCTGGCTAGACAACTGAAGGTCACATATATGGAGGCCTCAGCCAAAATCCGTATGAACGTAGACCAGGCTTTCCATGAACTGGTTAGAGTAATCAGGTTGGTGAGTTATAAATGATTCCTATACACGTCTATTTTATCAGTTTTGTTGAAAGGTTAGCAAATAAAATGTGCAAATTACACCCCAGAAGTTAATGTATTGTATTAAATTAAATTAGTGCAAGTACAGACCACACACACAAAAAAACCCAGCATGATTAGTGTTGTAATGAGATGAGACTCTGCACGTGTTCCCAAGAAAGTACTTTTGCTTTCTTCATACTCACAGGAAATTCCAAGAACAGGAATGTCCACCGTCGCCGGAACCTACGAGGAAAGAGAAAGACAAGAGCGGCTGCCATTGTGTGATCGTCTGAGTCTGCCTTATCACTGTAACTCATGCAGCTACTCTGTATCGCCCCCACCCACCCACCCACTCTGCCTGACATCACATCCTCAGAGGATGACTGACCGCTGCCTTCTTCACGTGCATGACTTCAGACAGCCTTTTCTGAGATACTTTGACCAGGAAGCGCTGTCCCCAGGACATCACTAAGGACAACTGACAACGCCAAATTTTAACACCACTCTACCTTCAGTTGTAATCTAATCCACACAAGAGAGTCCCAACACTAAACATTGCCTTTTAAATCAGCCTGACAGATTAATGTTTTGTACTCTGAAGGACTTCTCTTGCCTTGTAGTGACATTTGTACTTGCTACCGAGATTGAATGAAAACTATATATCCAGAATGTTAATGAGTTTCTTTAGTTTTTCAGAGTCTGAGCAGAGCAGAGAGATTATCTTATGAAGCTTTGTGTATGTTGTGCCATACCCACCTTTACTCCCATGTGCTAATCTGCTACTGTACATATGTGACATTTGTTGTGATTTTCAAAGTGTATTTCTAATGAATTATTAAATCACCACAGTACAGTGTGTGAGGTTGACTTTGGTTTTACATATATGAAAGTGAATATATAAGTATGTATATAAATATAATGCCTAGACAGCCCTTAAAGCTACAATGATAGAACTTTATGGCATTCTGCAGTGGATTCTTTACTCTTTCTGTGGTTTCTGCTTTCATCTCAATTGCCAAATATGAACTGTCTACTGTATTAGGTTTTTTAAAAGTCTTATGGATTGACAGATTCCCATCCCTTGCTGTTTCATCGATGTACTGAAAGTAGCAACTCTGTCTGTCTTTCATAGAAGGTGGCGACTCCATCAAAATTGGGCGACCCTCGTTTTTTTTTTTTTTTTTTTTCCGGATTTCCGAGGAGCTGTAGATGAATTTATTGGTAGTAAACTGTATATCTTTGAAAAATAACAAGATTTAAGCTCAAACACTGAACACTGTATGCTCTATAATCAACTTGATGTTATCAAATCCATTTGCTGCAACTCAAGGATCATTCCAATGTGATGCACCTGTCCTGTCTAAAACGTAGAATTCAATACAGATCCGATACCTGTTAAATCATTCCAACAACACAGCTGCAATGTGTTTGTTTTGTGTCTTTAAATTGTTCTGTTAGATAACTTTGACCCCAGGAGAGAGATGGAAACCAGGACGAGAGGAAGCATCGAGCGCACATCGTGATACAAGCGCTCTTCTTTAGGACATGAACTGACTGGACCTGCCACCTGTGGAGCTTCATCACCACAGACACAAAACACTGTTTCTGCCTTCTTTCTCCACCTCTGTACTTCTGTTCAGGCATACTAGTGAAGTACTGCAGTTTGTTTTTCATATCATCATCTTGTAATATAAACTACCAGAAAATCAAACGATGGAAGTGATGGACTTGATTAAATGTTTCTACTCTACTTTTATACATTATTTTCTTATCAAACTAGTTGACAAGTATTTTTATATGTTTATAAGTGAATACACCATCACAGCACAGCTGTGTATATATGTAAAGAGGAATATTTAATGCTCTTGATTGTGTTCAGCCGAAGATGACTGTTGGCCCAAATTAGCAAAATTGGATTCTTTCCCCGGATATGACTAAGAATGTACTTTTTTTAGTTTCCTATTGTGGCTTAATACTCGAAGTAATCTTGTGGTGTTTGCCACCAGCTAAGAGTGTAAAGCCCCAGGTCACGCGGTAGAGGGTTTGAAAACTGCTCCTGGTCTTTACACAGAGCTTCAAAACTTAAAAATGAATGATTCAAATCTCTGATGTATGAAAAACCAACTTCCCAACTTATTGCAAATTCAAGTGTGCATCCAAATCATCCGTTTTTCCTTCTTTTTTTCTTCCATATCAGTGTCTTTTGCCCTGTGTGTAGCTTTTGGTGCTAAAATAAAATCTGTCATTGAGCCAGTTGGGGTAGAGAATCTTTTCTTTTAGATGTAGAAAGAGTAGAGCTGAATCTTAAATACTGAGCCTCCATCTGTGAAGTCTAGAGGAACTATCAACCTGTAAGTATTCACATTATTATTACTCTACAGGATTTTATTTCATCATTACATTAATAACAGAGACGCCATCTGAAGTGACAATTAGATATCCTCTTTCGTTGATTAACTAAACGTCTGAGTTTTGGCAGAACAGTTCTGGAAATAGTCCAGTGATTGATTGGTGGCATGTCTAGGTGTGCAGGGAAGGTTGGCTGCGATCCACATAACCCTCTAATTGATAAACTGTCAAAGCCAGTAAAAGGATGGGTCATCACATTCATTGTATTTTCTGTATTTCCAGAGACTGCCGCTGCTGTGGCTCAGCTGCAGAGCCGGTTGTCCCTCAGTGTGACGGTTGGTGGTGTCATTTGAACCCTGTGGTCACATGCGTAAGTGTTTTTAGGTAAGACACTGAACCCCAAATTGCTCCTGATGGTCCCCTATTAAAGCAGCTTTTGATATCTGTGTATGAAGTTGATGTGAAGGGTGAATGTGACAAGTTGTATACAATTACCTTATACAGTTTGTACTGTGCTATATCCTGTAAATATAAGTCCATTTAACATTTACTAACAGACTATGGTTAAAATTTCTGCCTCGCAGTATAGGTCTGATTCAATGTGCTGGTTTTCAAACAGCCAACTTGTCCTCACTCTTTATTTTTACATTATGGCCTCAGGGATACAATAAATATGTATACATATTTGTGCATTTAAAAGTGCCGCTAGAGGCAGGCACTGACTGCCTAACACCACTGATCCCCCGAGAGCTGCGGATTAATGTTAAAACAAAATTTCAATACTTACTAAATTACAAAATCGACAAAACATGTACCTAGTGCTACCACGTGCTTGGAAAGAAAAAATAAAAACATCTTATCACTGGGTGGGTTTGTCAATCAAAAGTAATTTTAAGCTTCTGAGAGGCTACAATCTTTATAATCCATATACCATAAACCAACAGTTTGTCTCTGTATAGAGGTGATTCCAGTCCATGCACACAAGAAAACATAAATAAGACAGATATCTAACAATGACAAAGACTCTGATATATAAGACACAATAACACCTGAGTTCATCCGGTGCTGTAACAGTAGCAATGATTGAATACATATATCCTGCGAGTAAATGATATCCCTGACAGTGCACAGTGTGAAGAGAGAGAATAAAAACTCACGATACTGATGACATCTTGTAGCTGTGACAGACTCAGAAATATTCTGGCCTTCAGCACAAAATCAGAAACACACTTTCAATGTGAGTGACTCAAAGAATGTGCAAGGACTACACCCAAATGATACGTGAACGTGTTATTGCTGTAAGCTATCATCTGCGTCTTTTGTATGGATACAGATTAAAAAAACACGCAAAAAGAAGGCTGCATCCTGGCTTTGCTGCTTTAGATTAAGACAACATCATCGACAAGATACAATTAGGCATGTTTGTGGTGGTTGAAGTCCCTCCGCACCTGCCTTATCCTTATGTTCATGTGTTGACATGATGAAATCACAGAAATTGGAGTTCGAAGTGTTCCTATTGCAGCCCAAGAGGATATCCCTCATGACCTTTGCCCTTCTCCCACCTCCCTATTGGCTCACCTAATGATAAATTGTGTCCATGTTTCAACAAATCTACTCCCACTCAGGGTTATGAGAGAAGCTGCAGTGTTAACCTGAATGCTAATACAATGAGTCTACATCTGCAAATAATATATCTGACGCATTTTCAGATTTTCTCGAATTGACAACCACAGCAAATTACTTATTGATAATGCCCGACTCATTTCCAGTTTCCTGTTTTGTGGGTTATACTATTAGCCTTTCTGTATTGATTGGTGTTTACTATTGGCTTTTAACTCAAGAACACTATCGCTAAAATTAGTAACACCATCACTATCACCGGATCATTTTTACCCAAAATAATACACCCAATAAATTACACTTGTCATCAAAATAGGACAATAGGTGACAAATTAAAATAGTTTTTTTTTTATTAATCTTTATGCAATGAGGAACTTTATAAAAATGCAACAAAATAACTGAAATTAGTCATTCATGAACAAAAAATCCTAAAATAAATTTAAAGAAACTGTAAACTTTTCCACCCATTCCTGGGGCATGTGAGTCTTCCCTGGTGAAGACTCAGGATCCTTGGCACAATAACAGCTGCAGGAGAGAGAACCAAAATATGGCAGATTTTGAGTGAGTAAAAATGACCAGCTGACTAAAGTATTTCTCATCACCAGAGCCGGCCCAAGGCATTATCAAACTCAGCGCCTGCTCAGGGCCCCACGGCCAATAGGGGGCCTCCAAGAGAAATAATAATAATAATAATAATATTAAAAAAATATTTTTTGCATGTATAAGTGATGCCTTCTGTATGATCAAATATATATTAATAAAAAATATATAATACAGTGAAAACATTTTAGTGCTGCTGCTGATGTAAGCCTATGATTCTTACTGCTGATATGTCAAAGCTCCACCACCATTATGTGCCTTCTGCTGTGCAATGTCCACTGAGCATCCAAAGTGCAGGTAGGTGTGGGGCAAAACAATGTCGCAAAAAAGGACATACTGTATCCTTCAGGAGCAGAGAAAAGAAAGAGGAAGAAGAGAAAAAACGCCAAGATAAAGGTATGTTTGCATGTCAGGGAGTGTTAAAGCGATTTGTGAAGGTGTGGGAATGCTCAACAATCAATATTATTGGCAGAAATAGAGGCCCCAAAATCAAATTATGTTTAGGGCTCTGTATAGAGCTCTTACTTATCTCTTCATTTAATATTATTTTCTTTTTTTAGTCCATCAGGTTTTACTCTTTCTTTTTACCATTTTTATTTTTATCTCCAGTGTTTCTCAGAGGTAACTCTTTCCTCAGATAATGTCTCAGTGTCATGCCGTGTCTCCTTAACAATATATCTTAAATTCTCACCTTATGTGTGTGTATGTGTGGGTGATCGAGGGTGGGTGTATGTCTGTGTGTGTGGGTTGGAGGGTTGGGTTTTATTGTTGTTAATTGTTGTTTTTAACCTCTGTGAGACACTTTGAACTGCATATTTTTGTCTGAAAAGTGCCATACAGATAAAGCTGAATTTGAATTTAAATAAAGGTAGCATGCAAATTCCAGGACCACCCTTACTGACCTTATTCCCCTACATGCAGGTTTTGGATCAGGGAAACAAATATGCCTTCAAAGATGTCAAAGGCAATGCTGAAGATACCCAGGGACCCATGATACTCAGACAAGATAGTGTTCTAGGGTTCAGCAGTCATGGCATACCACTAATCAACATAATAATCAACATATTCAAGTATTGATACGGTCCCTTAAATTAGCTCATAATTTCAACACAGTCGTTAAAATTAATCAACATTCAGTGTCCGCGAATAAAACAGGCTGCCTCAGCATCTGCGCGTGCACAGCGGTGTGACAGCTCGCGCTCCCCTCTCATTGGTTGGTGGTATGGCCCATAGGAGAGAGCGTCTGGCTTTGCACAGCCTCATTCACATAAAACGACGATTCCTGTGGTTCGTGTTTGCACTAGTGAGGAGGAGGAGGACGCGGAGAGGAGCGGTTACTGTTCGGGGGTTTTCGTCTTCTCACCATTCAGTCCAGCCCTGCCAGTTCACCGTAAGAAGACATGGAGGGAGTCGGCAGCAACAGGAGCATGTCTTACAGTAGATGGAGTTATGACAGGTGAGGCAGCTTCGTCGTCATGGCAATTGGACGTTTATAACGCCGACAGTGTGTTGTTGCATGAAGCTACATGCTGAGTGATGTTGTGGCTTCATGTTGTGGCTGAGGCTTGATGAGAAGAACCCCTCCTGCGCAATTAGTTGACAGGTGCAACACATTTGGAAACGAGGGGGGATGTGAAATGAGAATCTGCAGAAGCGAAAGCATCATGCAAGGTCTGCTGGTAGACAGGATGTCCAATTCCAGGATGTTTGTCTAGGTCCATGATGTGTTTACCTTTTTCACCGTCCAAACATCCACATAGGAACAGCTTGAGTGGTATCTATCTATCTATCTATCTATCTATCTATCTATCTATGTGTCTGACTGTCTGTCTAATCTATGGCAGAAGCATTTTGACAAAGTTCATTTTCTGTACAACTTCCTTCATGCATTTTTAAGTTAAGCTAACTAAACTTCATTACATACTTTGTTAATGAAGCCTACCCAGTCATAATGGTCTTAAGGAGGACAGTAAGCCACTATCTTCTTCTGTAACTATTATTTTGACAAAGAGTTTAAATTGAGAATGATTGCATCATTGTTTTTCAGAGGTAACCCGTCGCTTATTTCGATTTGTTGAAAATGTTCATTTCCTGCAAGCATGTCATCATCAGCATACAGTAGTATCTGATAATTGTGATTGTATCATTCAGACCGAACTGTTATGACCACAGAATGTAAAGCATGAACTTGTTCTAGTTACCTCGGAGGTCAGAAGTCCGAGCTGAAAATGACGTCACAACCGAGTTCTCAGGGTTTCAGCTACCAAGTCAGAAAAAAGGCAAAATTGGAGGTGGAAACAAGATGGCTACATCAACGAAAGTTATTTTAACGCTCGTCTCAATATAAGGCAAGTGCTAAAATAACTTTTGTAGATCTAGCCATCTTGTTTCTTTTTGACTTGGTAACTAAAACACTGGTAACTCAGGTGTGATGTCATTTTCAGCTCCGACATCTGATCTCCGAGGTAACTCGAAGTCAGCATTATTCTCAGCTACGTCACTAATTGGTTGTTGGTGATTGCTTGGTTGCGACATGACTGCTTTACCGGCAATGCGTGCTTAACTTTCAGTCAACAAAACAAAAACAACAATGTGGAGTTAAGTTTGGCCTTTTCACCTTGTTACAAAAAGCTACTGGGTGCGCACTTGATTTTTAACTCATCCCTATCCCAAGAAGTGCTAAAACCTTCTATTTTTGAATTGGACTGCCAACATGTTTATTTATGCTCTACAGTATGGCTGTTTTGAATGGGTGTGTATGTGGCCTCAAATGCTTTTGCAGACAGCCTCAAGAGGATGCTTGAGGAACTGCATTTATCCATCAGACTCACTTATTTAAGACTTATTTAAGAGTTTGCCACCCACTGAGCAATAGACGGCTATTTGACATCGAGTTTTTTTTAGACCTAATTTCAACCGTCTAGATTCTGTATATTTTTAGACAGAATTTAGACGTTGCACTTTAACCCGTTATTCGATAACTATTTATTTCAAAAAGCAACTGTGAGTTGCATAACCGATCTTCAAGTACTTAACCAAAATAATGATGATAGCCGTTGAGCAATATACAGTTAGACCTCTGTTAGCCGGCTAGTCTAAACTTGGTCTAAATTTAGACGGCTAAAGAACTTTCATTTTTAGACCTGTGGTAGCCTGATTTCAGTTGTCTAGGCTACATTTAGACGTACATTAGACCTCTTTTAGACCAAAAAATGTTCAGTGGGCACTTAGTCCTGACACGTAAAAATGACCCTAACATATAAGAAACACATACAATGGGTGGTGTATTATAGGATATCCCTATATCAGAGGTCAGATTTCAATTTAAACCTCATAGGTTGAATTTAGCTTCTTTTTTAACACACAAAGAATGGAAAGAAAGGGGACACATTAAAGTAGGTTTAATTATAACAGCAATGGTAAGTTAGATTCTTTCAAACGTACACCATGCTAGCCTTGAATAGGACAGTTGAGCCACCTCAGTCAAGAAGCTATCATAATCATTGTCAAAATATAGAGGTAGTTAATTCGACACACACAAGAGTACTCAGTTATTGTCCTCAATGTTTGATAGCGCCCTTATCTTGGCACATGTCAACACATACAAACCATGTACAAATGAGCTATATCCAGATCCTCTTGGAGTCAATCTCAACCAGTCAATTGGGAATACAATAGATGGTTAGAGATATTGTGTGGCAGAATTTTTGATCACCAGAGGCACAATCGAGGAGGTTTTACCTTGACAACACTGTACATGTAGCCTTGGACAATATAATTGGTATTCTGAATCAGTGCTTGGACATCCCAAGGGACGACAGGCAGCCAGAGCCTGTGGTTAGCTGCTGCTGAGGATTTCTTGCAGCGCAGTGAAATTATGTTCACCGTGTTCAACCATTAATGAGGCAAACATGTGAAGTACATGGATTTGTGCTATGAAAAGGAATAGCTTGTTATTTGATTTAGCAGCAGCTGTTTCGTAGAATATAGATTTCCTCCAGAAAGTCATTAGCGTTAATCAAAACGATTCACATATCCCCAACTCTTTTCATCACACCGGTAAACAGATTGTTGTGTCGAGAAAGTAAGTATCCTTTCCTGCTTCAGACACACAGTCACACTGACAGTGAAATTAGAGGAGACCAATTTAAACTACTTCTTATTCATGGAGGAATAAATCAATTCAACAAAGACTGCATTAGGATGTTTATGTAAAAGTGTAAGGATGCAAAAAATAGGACTCTGGTATTCATGGTTTCTTCTGAAGTACTACACAGTAAGAAAAGAAGTCTGCTTTTAGTTAGACTTTGAAGTATTCAGTGAAGGACACCTCTGTGAGTGCAATGCAGGTGATGCTGGCTGTGATTGCCAAGTATATTTTCTATTACTGATATAAAAAGAGAAAAAAAAAAACAACAACTCTGCTGCATGTTCTGTCAGATTCCACCGGAGTTGAGGTTGAGTACATACTCACTGCAACTAAGAGACTTGTGCACGTGTCTGCAGGGCCGGTTTTCACTGACAAAGCCTCGAAGGAAATATTCATCATTATTTCAGACTTGTGGTCCACCCACACAGGTTTCTCATATTTCGCCTGATTAAACCTTGACTGTGATGGTCTAAGCACTGAGTGTGTCCAATCCTTCATTTCGCCTGAAGCACCTGATCGAGTAGGAGAGGTCTGACATTAATCACCAATCTTAGGTAGAAATTTTCCCCATTTTGTTATCGGATTATTAACTTCTTTAAAACCCCGGTTTGTAGACTACACCAAGGCTTTAAGGTCTGGCTTTGTGTTTGATGAAGTTTTATTTGCAGGGATTTAGCTCTTCTATGACCAGGGCAAATCTTTGATAAAGGACAGACTTTTCCCAAAGGCAATATTGCTGCAACCATTCCTCACCAAAGACAGTTATTTATTGTTTAAAGAAAGAACAACTCAGACTTGACACTGGTGAGGCTATTCTCCATCTTACTGATTCATGAATCATTTTGGTCTTAAAAGAAGTTAGTGTGTGAAATATGTACATTTCTCATACAGTACACAACAAAAAACTGCTTCTTGCTTCTTGCTATGAAATTACCACTGTGTAGCAAAGTCCCTTTTTCTTCCTGACCCAACTGCGGGCCAATCCAGTCATTTCCTTTTGCTCTGAAAGTCCTTGTGTGATATGAGTTAGCCGATTTTTCAGTCTAGTCATGTCTTTTGGATGTGTTTTTGCAGGCGATTCATTCATGTTAGCGCCTTCTGTAGTTAGACCTATAGCATGTGCAATCACATTGTTGTGGCACCAGGTCAGTAAACACCGTCTCCTGGAGATGGAGGGGCAAGGTGGATAGACAAGATAAAATTCAGAGCCTATAGAGCTCAGTGTATAACCTCATGTTTTTAATCAAAGGGAAAGGTAGAATTGAATTTCTATGTGCACGGTGTGTTCCTCTGTCACACTGCAGAAGTGCAGAAGTAGGTACAGAAAAGAGGACACAGTGAAACTTCTACAATGTCAGAGCCTTTATATTCTCACATTGCTTGGTCCATGAGATGATTTGATACAGGAGCTAAAGCTTGAATGAGGTCAAAAAACAAAAGCCATTCATTTTGGGTTTTTGGTGTCTGTTATGAAGGCCATGTCATCAGGTTACAGAATTAATCGCTTTTTTAATTTCCCTTCTAGGTAAGCGATTTCACAGTGCACTGTGCCAAAGAGAGAAAAAAGGCAGGTCTCTTGAATGTTTTTGTTTCTTGATAAAAGCTCAGTGTCTGCTTGATTCATTTGGGATTGTGAACTGTCTGATAAGTAGCTGCTGAAAACAACCACCTACTCCTTTTCCCCTTAAAATACAGTGAATATTCTTAATTAGAATATGTTGGCCATTTTGTATGGGCCACCAGACATGCAAATAAAGGATGCAAATAGTATTTTTTAATAAAACAGTACTCTGTTCCTATTATCAATTAGATTATCAATGTTTTTTCCTGCTTTATGCACATCTGAGGATAAGAAAGGCCAAGATTTAGTGAGCAAATATTCTCAATCCTGAAATGAATATTGTTAATACAAAAAAATCAAAACAAATAACAGGTTTGACTCTTTGAACGTTTTATTTTTAATGGTAATTGCAGAAATCTGTACGTGCAATAATGGGGTTTAAGTCTTCATGCAGCCATTGGGCCTTCAAACTAAGAATACTCACAGGACCTACGTTAGAAGTCCATATTTCCATGGTGAAATTTATCAATATTGACTTGTAGGTGATAATATTAGTATTCTGCCTGACTACAACCTTGGTAAAAGCTGGCATATGAAGCTCTTTAGAAATCAATGGCACACAACACCAGTCTGCATAATACAGCAGTCATGACATGTTCTGTCGATTTAGTTTTTCACTGGTTTGTTATTTGAGTGCATTTTGTGTGTGTTTTCCCTAGTGTTTCTGTTCCCCTGTAGTCCAGTCTTGTGAGTTTTCAGTTTCAGTTTGACCCTGTGTCCCTCCTGTTCTCTGTGTTTTATTCTTTATATCAGTTTTCAGTGTTTCCTGTTTTATTTTGTGGTAGTTGATTCCTTGTGGCGGTGTCCGAAATGAATCACTCAATCCCTAAACCCTAACCCCCATATGGGGTTTTACTATATAGTTGACTGTGTAGTGAACTTAATCACCGGAGGTTTCGGACACTCCATGGCAAGACGCAATCCATGACGGGATGCCCACCACCAGTAAGTGACCATCGGATGGTCACTACATTTTGCAATGCTTTATGGGAAATTTTGAGTCGCCTATATAGGGCACTGGAATTGATCACTGAGGTTTTGGACACCCCTCAAAATGGCGCTAACCCCCATGTAGTCACCTATATAGGAGTTAGGGATCCATTTCAGACACAGCCTGTGTTTCTAGTCTGGTTTTACTTCCCTTGTTTTCCCTCCTTCGTTAATCACCCATGATGAGTCTCACCTGTTGCTTGTTTCCCAGTGTGTATATAGTCCCTGTCTTCCCCTCTGTCTTTGTTGGTTTATTGTGTGTGTGCGCATGTCTGCCTGTTCCCTCTGATCTTTGAGTCCCTAGTCTCCTTGTGATTTTTACCCCAGTGTATTTCGTTGGATTTTTTTCTTTTGGATTTTTTGAGTGGACATTTGTAAGTACGTTTTTATTGCGCTCTTTTTAATAGATCATTTTTTGTTCTGCATTTGGGTCCCCTATCCCTTTTGTTAAACCCTGGCTCATGACAGCAACAAAATGGCATATCATCCTTTCTCTAAACGCCTACCATAAAATGCTGATCAAACAGCCCAGAAGCTTTCTATGGTTTTTGTTTGACATCTGCTCAGTCTCCAAACATAAAACCAGTCATAAAACATTGATCTGATCATTGAATTTGTCTCAGCAGCATAAAGAAGCCGAAGGAACATGTATTGCCTAGACAACCATGTGATTTCTAATGCTTCAGAAACATCCGCAAAAATATGCTTCGCAATCAGTTGAACCACTGCATTACAGGAGAAAATCAATCTAACAACATCTATGCTGTTTAATCTGAAAATAAACAGCAAAACAAACTTCTCTTGGTCACGGTTTGTGACTCATACTCTGACCAGGATATTACAATTTTTCCTGTTATTTCAGCACAAGTATAGATCTTAACAAAAGATGCATGCTAATACAGATTGGACACTGCATTCACATGGTTGTAGTCTTTCTAGATTTTTCTGAATTGATGTAGAAGGTGTCACTGTCTGTACAGTATTTGTTTGGAGGCTTTCATTGTTTGCTCAGTGGTCATGTTGCTGGGTCTGTGTTATTGTCTGTGTTTATTTGAAAGCTCTGCAGCTGACTGAATTATATTCTTATAGCAATACTTTCTGTTTTTAATCCAGACATAAAGTTCTTGTAATCGTGGTAGCTGTTGTTTCATGTTATGATTACCATCTGTGACTTTGGTTTCAGGTCAGATGGGTTTATCTTAGGTGTGTCCCTGTTTGTTCAGCTTGTGATGTAGGTGTGAATTGGCCTCAGTGGGAACCGTTGACAGTCAGCCCTAAAAGTGTGTTTATGTGTATGCTCAGGAAAGCTCTCTCTGCTGCTTTATAAACGCAGTAAGGTAAAAAGAGGCCAAAGCACCACACTGGTGAGAGGTCCTCTCCCCATGAGTGTGTATCTAAGACTGGTTGTCAGCTACAAGTCACACACACTAATTGCTGTTAGCTCCTTAAGTGGGAATTCATGGTGTCAGTGGTCATTGTGGGTGGCTTTCAAAATGAGTCAGAGCCATGCACATGAGTTTCAGACTGCAAGAAACGAAACACAGGTTTGAGATTGGTTCAATAGTTTTCATAAGAAAATTAAAGAAGTATTTTTAAGTGTCTGAAATAAACTATAAACAGCTAAACAACACTCCTTTACTCTATTAATATATGTGTTCTTCTCAAGCACAGCATCAAAAGCTTTTTAAAGGTAAAAATGAAAAAGTGGTGACACCTGTGACAGCCTGTCAGCAGTCTGTAGTCAGTCAGGTGGCAAAGCAGATGAATATAGCAGGAAACCCTCAACAGGGAAAGAGCCTAACAGCGAGAGAATCACTGAATTCATTCAGCATCAATACCCGGCTTTTCATCCTGAACAAATATGCAGGCTTTGGCAAGATAATGATGTACCTGCATTGGTATCATTTTTGACCAAAGTGAGTGATCATATTATGACAAAAATCCAACTGTGCAGTCTTGGTTTAGACTTTTTGGGGTCAAAGACAGTCCGCCCCTTTCACTGAGTTATGAGGAGGTGTTGTAAAATCCATGATCCAATGAAGGTCAGGATTTTACTTTGAGACCTCTTTGTTACAACATAATTTTGTACCGTTTGATTGAAAAATTCTTGACTCTGTTTATTACCTCGGCTTAGTGAAACATTTTTAGGTCAACTCTCTCTAAGAAGCACATGGCCGGGTTGTTTGAATTTAATTTGGTTCTGCCTCTTCAAAGTCTTTCATATTCTTCACCAATAGTGTTATAAAACTCTGTGTAACCCTCTCCTTCTGTGGTGTTAGTATATTTGATTATGATAATCCTCAGATCCACAGGACCCTGCACTGCCTACTGCAGATACAGCGACACCAGTGTCCAGTTCGTCTGTACATGAGAGAGGACGCTATAAAACTAAATATTATTGAGTTTATGTGGTTCAGTGCCCTGGGATGATACATTAGTACGCCATAGCATCTTCAGTACAAATTGCTGTCAATAACAATAAACTATTGCTGTCTATGTTATGAATACACTCTCTATAAACTGCTATTGTGACAGGCTTGTGGAGCATTTCATCTGTGGAAAATGCCCAGGTTTAAGAAAAATGCCATACCCCATTGTTTCGTGATGTGGCCTGTCATGCCTTATTCATCAGAGCTTATGACTCTCGAGCTCACCAGCCCCCCAACTGCACTGTTGTTATTATGCTGCTCATAGCTTAGTCACTGTCCACCTGTTTCTGTAGAAACCACAGAGAGAGAAAAGGCAGGAAGGCAAACTCAGTCTTGAGGGCTTCGTCCACTCTGTTACACTTGTTTCTGCCTGTAGCAGAAGTGGTCGAGATGATTTGGAGCTTCGACACATACTGTTATGAAATTAACTTTTCATATGTAGCCTCTTGATATGTACACAACATGTATAAAACTGAGAGTACCTTAAAAACAAAGCATCTATTCTGTATATACACATATTCTTAAAACAAGTAAACCTTGGTTTGGAAACTTTGTTGTTCGGACCAAGTTAAAGACTGTAAAGGGTTTGGTTTTGATGGAGATCTCAGGGTCTAAGCATGCGACAATCAATGCTGTGCAGTCTTACACATTATGTTTAGCAGTGCTGTAGTGCTATAGTCATCATTAAGAGGCTCAAACACATACACCCACACACACACAGAAGCACAGACAGTGTTAGCTGAAGTATCAATTTGTTCTCGAAGCTATGAACACAATGATTATGAACCTGGAACTGAAACGACTGGAGACTATTCATCAATAGCCGCAGCCCTCAATACCTACCCTGAGGACAAATCTATACTGACAGATGAATAACTGCTATATGTGGTTTGCGGTTGTTCTTACAGAATCTATGTTGTACTCTTTGTTTATTTTCAATGCCTTTCAGTTCATTATGTGCCATTGCGATGAGCAGATACAGCGGCCAAATATCAGATGTTTCCATAGAAGGAGATGACCTGCAGCCATTGTTCAGAGTCAGGTTTTACTTTGTGTCCCTAGAATATTAACAATGAAGATAATGGCCAGCACTACGGCTGAATGCAAATCCTGTTGTCACACAGCGCTAAGAGTGAAGTAAATTGAAGTAACAAAATAAAAGCCAGGCGGGCAAATTGAGATTACAGAATGCATGATGTGAATAATGATTCCCCAACGAATGACACGTTTTGTAGTATTAGCCAGTCAAATTAGGGTCCTACATGGCATGCATCTTTGCATATTGATCTGATATTGGTCAGTTAGCTGTTTGTGAGGCGCTATCTGTCTCACAAGGAACGTCAGTTCAGGAAGATGGAGGAGGAGAATTTGCTGAGCAGAAACTCGTGTTGAGATTGAGATGAAAAAAAAAAAAGAGTGCTTCAGGGTCTGCAAAGGTGAAACTCCGAGATCTTTTTTGTGATGATAGCATTGCAAGAGTGCAGAAAACCTGTCAGCCCAATCTTTTCCTCTGCAGCCCAAAAGGAGAACTGTATCACACAGCTGCTGCTGCTGCTGCTGTGGTGAAGCTGTAAAGGCCTTGAGCTATAAAAGAGAGGTGAATGTAGTAAGACAGAGGATAGCTGATTTTTGGTGTTTTCTGGAATAGATGCTCATTGCATATTTGGTGAATGTGGTAAGAACACGCATGGAAGGAGTTCTGATGTGCTGATCCTTGATGGCAAAGGCAGTTATACAGCATTTGCAGCTTCGAATCACAACGAAGGACTTACAAGAGCTGTGAAATAAACAATGTTAATCACTGACAGCATATAGTCCTTGAAATTACCTTTATGATCAAAACACACAGGCCTTGTAGCTGTTAAACAAAAATGGCTGTAAATTGAATCTTAGAAAAAAGGAAAAGTACCTGTGACAACCCCTCCTGCTCCTCCCCTGCTTTCTCCCCTTGCATGTGTCTGATTCTGCTCTGTGTTGCAGCCTCAGGGAGATGGTGGAGGGCGGAGCTAGGAGGGTCTGAGTTACCTGCCCAACAGGGCAGGGCCAGAGAGCATAAAAGGCCTGGCTGAAATGCTGTAGCTCTCTCTCTCAGCAGGGCCTGCAGCTACCACACCAGCCACCACCTGTTGGGTTTGATCATCTAACATCCACCACACACATTCTCACACATCCAACATTTGCTGACACTACTGATCTTAATCCTGATGCCTGATACTGATTGATAATCATTTTTTGTTAAATAAAAGATCTTGGTTAATGGTTATTGTTGTGTGTGGCCTCCCTTCTTGTTATCTGCCTTGAGCCAGGCAGTAACATACCTTTATTATAGATAAGGAACTGCTGGTTCCTCATAACAGAGGCTGTTGTCCTTATGACAGTGGTTGTTGGCTCGAATCCTGGCCATCACCCCCTGATGCATGTCTTCCCCCACTCTCTAATTCCTAAGTTTCCTTTCTCTCTTTTGCCATCCTTCCTCATAAATGCTCAAAAATGTAACTTAAAGAGTTTAAAAAAAATCATTAACAGCTTTAGGTACAATACAGTTCAATAAGATATAATACAATACAACAGAATATGATATTAGGGATATGGTCCCATGTCAGAGACGTGACTCCACCCCATCCAGTCGTAACAAAGAGGGAAAGACAGGTGAGGAGGTGGAGGACTGTACAAAAGTTGTAGCAGCTGGAGCGGCGGCTGAAGTAGACAAGGTTAATGTGGGAGGGGCTGAGCAGCCTGTGGAGTAGTTATTGTCAATTTTATCTGTATCGAAGTGAACTGCTCAGTATATCATGATATTGATTTGAGGCCATATCGCCAAGCCCTATATGATATAATACAAAATACTGGATATGTTGTGATATAACTTTACTATACAATACTGCCTGCTATTGCAATTGTTTTTTTGTTTTTTTTTTACAAGATTCTGTCATGATATGGTTTGTTAATTTAGTTTTTTCCTCGTGTTGTTTATTTATCACGGTGATCAGCTGTGAGCGTATTTACTCGATCAAACATACCGGAAATGTGCGCGACAACAGCCAATCAGAGTCGAGCTTTTCCTGCTCACTTCTGAAAGTTGCCGGAGAAGTAAACAGAATGACTGAACGTGGAGCAAAACCCGGAGCTGAGGGCAGAAAAATAGATGTCAGCCGTGACTATTGAGTCATCCTCCTAAGATGCCATTGTTGAGGAGAAAAGTTACTCGACGTCGGTTGTTCGGTTGTCCGGTGGTGATTCGGATATCTCCAAAGTGACGTCGAGCAATGAAGCCAATGTGTAAGGTATGTCAGCGGTCTGTGCCCTCAAAAACCAGCAACACAACAGATCTGTTTAATCATTTGAAGAAGTATGAGTGATTATGCGGAAAGCATGAAAATGTGAGCGGAGTCTGCACAGCCTGTCACTGCTGTACGGCACTAGTAGCATTAACAGTTTAGCCACAACTAGCGGTGCAGCCCCCAGACCAAAGCAGCAACAAATCCCATCATCTACATTTACAACATCTAATGTTTACATTTTAAGACGTCGATTTTTTAATTTATTTTTGGTCTTGCATACCTGCAAAAACACTCAAGACTGTCAACTCATTTACTGTATTATTTAGTATTTATCTACATTTGTTTTACTGTTGAGTTCTAATTATTTTTTTTAGTTTATCTTATTTAATTTGCTTTGTGATTTACTTTGTGTGTTGATAAAATGTTAAACTAATCTCTAATTTATTTAGTTTTTAGTACAAATGCTCTAAAACTGACAGTCTAAAAAAATACAAAAACATTTTAATAATAATCGTGATAAAGATCGGACGATATAATAAAATATATTGTGATCTTCTTTTTTTTTTTTTTGCCAAAACTCCCAGTCCCATGTCTGACCCCGTTTCTCTCATGTTTTCAGTGTTTCATTCTGTTGATCAGTTTTTATTTCTTCCTGTTTTATATTGTGATAGTCCATCCTTGTTTGTTTCTAGTCTTGTTTTACTTCCTCAGTTTTCCCTCCTCTGTAATTGTCTGCACCTGTGTCTCAGTGCCTCACCTGCTGCTCGTTGCTCATTTCCCTGTGTATATACACTCACCGGCCACTTTATTAGGTACACCATGCTAGTAACGGGTTGGACCCCCTTTTGCCTTCAGAACTGCCTCAATTCTTCGTGGCATAGATTCAACAAGGTGCTGGAAGCATTCCTCAGAGAGCTTGGTCCATATTGACATGATGGCATCACACAGTTGCCGCAGATTTGTCGGCTGCACATCCATGATGCGAATCTCCCGTTCCACCACATCCCAAAGATGCTCTATTGGATTGAGATCTGGTGACTGTGGAGGCCATTTGAGTACAGTGAACTCATTGTCATGTTCAAGAAACCAGTCTGAGATGATTCCAGCTTTATGACATGGCGCATTATCCTGCTGAAAGTAGCCATCAGAAGTTGGGTACATTGTGGTCATAAAGGGATGGACATGGTCAGCAACAATACTCAGGTAGGCTGTGGCGTTGCAACGATGCTCAATTGGTACCAAGGGGCCCAAAGAGTGCCAAGAAAATATTCCCCACACCATGACACCACCACCACCAGCCTGAACCGTTGATACAAGGCAGGATGGATCCATGCTTTCATGTTGTTGACGCCAAATTCTGACCCTACCATCCGAATGTCGCAGCAGAAATCGAGACTCATCAGACCAGGCAACGTTTTTCCAATCTTCTATTGTCCAATTTCGATGAGCTTGTGCAAATTGTAGCCTCAGTTTCCTGTTCTTAGCTGAAAGGAGTGGCACCCGGTGTGGTCTTCTGCTGCTGTAGCCCATCTGCCTCAAAGTTCGACGTACTGTGCGTTCAGAGATGCTCTTCTGCCTACCTTGGTTGTAACGGGTGATTATTTGAGTCACTGTTGCCTTTCTATCAGCTCGAACCAGTCTGGCCATTCTCCTCTGACCTCTGGCATCAACAAGGCATTTCCGCCCACAGAACTGCCGCTCACTGGATATTTTTTCTTTTTCGGACCATTCTCTGTAAACCCTAGAGATGGTTGTGCGTGAAAATCCCAGTAGATCAGCAGTTTCTGAGATACTCAGACCAGCCCTTCTGGCACCAACAACCATGCCACGTTCAAAGTCACTCAAATCACCTTTCTTCCCCATACTGATGCTCGGTTTGAACTGCAGGAGATTGTCTTGACCATGTCTACATGCCTAAATGCACTAAGTTGCCGCCATGTGATTGGCTGATTAGAAATTAAGTGTTAACGAGCAGTTGGACAGGTGTACCTAATAAAGTGGCCGGTGAGTGTATATAGTTCCAGTCTTCCCCTGTTTCTTGGTTGGTTTGTTGTATGTATGTTGATGTCTATGTCAGCATATGCTTATCTTTCCTGTGAGTCTCAAGTGATTTTTGGTTCTTTGGATTTTGTCTCATGTTTTTTTGCCTTTGGGAATATTTCAGATGGACATTTCATGTAAGATTTTGTTGCCTTTCATTTAGTTCATTTTAAATAAATCCCTTTTTTATGGGTCCTTTCCCTATTTGTTTAACTCCAGTCTGTGACAAATTCGTTATGATACTGTTATGATGTCCAGGTTGCTATGAAAGAGACTCGATTTGTGAATGCAAGAACTGCCGATACGTCAAATAGTCAAGTTACATACCCAGTATTTTTACAATGAATTTAAAGTTAGTGTACGCAGAATTTCATCTATATCCCACCAGTCTCTTACAATTTCAGTACATTGATTTGTTCATCTTTTTAGTCTCCTGAAAGTGTCTTGGCCAGCTAATGTTACCCTTGCCAAGGTTTCTTTCGAGGCCTCAATAGAGCTCTGCACGCTCTGAGAACCCTTTTAGTTTGCACGGTAATTTTTCTCATTTTCAATCTTCAGTCAGTGTCTGAAGGCAGAACATAAGTGATGCAGATGAGAAAGGACAATCAGCCCCGCAGCCCTGATAGAGCCTCTCAAATGTCCTCCAGGGACGTTTACTGATTATTTATGTTCAGAGGAGAGAGAGAAGATGATCTTTGGAGTCTGGCAGCATTGCTGGATGGGCAGTCTGGAGATGAGGAGGTGTTTGTGTGGGACAACTTTCTAAGGCACCACAGTGTTTTAGTAATGCATATCCAGTATGTAGAGAAGTGACTACTGACTACTTGCCTTGCCTCTCAGTCAGCCATTATTTGCAGAGCCTCAATTTTTGAGTGAGCCTTCTCTCAAAGCTGAAGGTTTCCAATGTACACTTAAAAAAGATCATACTTATGTCACCCAAAATGCTCTTTAGATTCTGTTTTATGTAGGGCTACTCTGAATGTGATTGCACTTGTTAAGTACATCACTGCAAACAACCCCAAAATCATTTTTCCTGATAAAAACTCACCAAGTGCCATTGCTATAATCACGTCTATTCTCATATTGGCGTTTTTGACCAGAGAAATCCTGTATCTTCAGAGTTGTAAAGGCAGTTTCATGATAGGAGTTCAATTAAATAAGGACAGCTTTTGTGGCTCCCCTGATTCGATACCTTTACTGTCTTATTCCTACAGGAGAGCTTGTTGCTTCTCCTTCACATCAAAGTTGATTTATGTTGACTTACCCTTTAAGCAGCAGGTGTGCATTTGGATCAAGAGTCTGAAGCATATCAACCCAGCTGTGTCCATGGCTAGTATAGATACACAAAACACATTAAAGGGTGTTGGTATATTGGCACTTTTTTAACATGAGTGGTCACTAGAGTAAATAAAAACCTTTTGCTGTTCCCTGGTAATGAAAAGAGAGAAAATACATGTTCAGTTTCTGTGTGGTGGTGCTCCAACAGAGTTTCAGTGCTATTATTTTGTTGCACAGATATACGGCATTGTTTATTTTGTGTTTCAGTAATGGTGTCAGGGGGTTGTGTCTTTACTTTGGAGGATAGGATGGATAGAGTTGGAAATGGAGATAGATCAGGGAGGCCATCTGCATAAAGAATAGTCCCTGTATATGGGACATGCGCTTACTGTAGACCTCTGGGCCAGCCGTGTGCCATATCAGGATGTTTTTTCCCTCTCAGGAGTAATTCTGTATCATCGTTTCTATGAATATACACTGAACCCTTCCTGCAGATCATACTTTGACCACATGTAATTTTTGTTGTTTCTCCTCAGTGCAAATCAAATCTGTGAGACTGTGAAATGTGAGTGTCACAGACATATCTGTAAGGGTTAGAGTCATACATTTATATAGGTAGTGACACACTCTTGTAAATACAGTCATTTTGATATCTGATACATGTTTACATACATATGTTCTTGTTTAGTTGCAGGGCAACACAAGAGTACACATATTGTGTTTGCAAGGACAATTTCAAGCCGTAGCAAATCGATTTTTTGCAGCCAGTGATCAAATACCTGTCTGCCTCACTCTCTGCTTTATCAGCCCTGTAAACATGAGAAAAGAGCTAACAAACACAGAAAAACACTCACTTAAAGATGGACAGTTTTCATATCAAGCATATTCAATTTTCTGTTTGTGCCTCAGTCAGCTGCTATTAGCTTAAATATTTGGGTATCTTCCTTTTTATTCATACTATCTTTTTAAATCTAGAAGTTAAATAATGGTTTCTTTTTCTTTTAAGTTTATGTGTTGTCATTTCAATTTTATGTTTTGTCTTAAAAATCTCACGCTGGCCAACTAAGACTTCAGGGCATATAAATCATGCATTAATATTGAGAGGAGAATAAGACGGTTTTGAAATATGCTGAAACTGGAGATGAGCATCTGCAGAACACCTTCTCTGAGCTTTAACACCAACAAGAGCTCCTTTTTCAGTTCACACAAATCTAACCTTTTCCTTGCACTTTCTGTATTTTATTATCATAGGTTATTTGTAATTGATTTCCCAAAGATCTGTGATTATTATTTAGGAAACCACATACTTACATAGGCTATACATGTATAAGATACAGTATGTTTATCCTGCTCGCTCGCTCTCTCTCTCTCTTGTTGTTGTATTTATCTCCCTCCTCTCCTCTGTGGCTCTGTACTGCTGGATGGTGTTGGAAATGGCTTTGAGGCTGGTTGCTATGGTGAAACATGATGGCATCAACTGAGAGGTGGCATCAAGTTTTTGAGGAACCGGGTTGCCAGCGTGTGTATATTTTTCATGTGTGTATAATTGTACACCTGTACATCCACAAGCGCACTGTTTGTGTGAACGTACGCTGTCCCCTCTCTTTCTGTCTCGTCTCCACCTGTCATTGTCCTGATTGGTCTGATGGAGAGTGCTGTTTTGATTTAGTTGAATAAATCACAAATGGACTGATATGGAGTTTTTTTAACAAACCCGTATAGTGAGTAGGAGGAAGAGGAGACAAAAACATGATAACAACAGTTTGACAAGTGCTTGTTGTGGAGACACAGAAATGTGTTTGTTGAGGCGAAAACTACACTTTGCAGGCACCGGCATCTGAATGTTAAATAAAGTAATAGAACATTGTGCAATAAATAAATTGTAAATAGAGACACACTTGAAAAAACTGCACATTTTTGTCCGTTTTTTTGATACAACTTCATTTTTCTTATGATGAATATTCCATCTTTTAATATCGCTGTGAGCATTTAGCTTTTCTTTGTAAGTGATGTAAAATAGAAAAAAGAGAGAGTTTGCAATTGTCTTTCAGGTGAGACCATAGACTGTATATAGAATGGACGCCGTCTGCCTCCTCGCTGGGTGAAGCCACTCTGAGAACAGCACCCTCTGGTGATGGGCTGCAGTATAGGTCATAAATCCCGCCTCCTTCAGCAATCCCTATGGAGCTGTGGACAAACTTTAAGAATTAAAAATTAATTACATAGAATATAAATTTTTCTCCCCCCTGCTTGTGACGTTGATATGTAGTTACTGTAAGACTGGTTAACTCCATTTTTAAAAGTTATTAGGGGGTTCATGTTTTCTATGATTGACACTTGATACAGCCTATGGGTGTACGAAGATTGCGTAGCTCAAACGGGGATACAATGTTTAAGCTGAGCGTCATCACAACGACTCTCGGTGACTCTCCTGCTGAATGCGCACAATGCTACTGCGCAATGTTGGTTACAGGAAACGGAGAAATATCACGGAAATACCGAGAGCTTTTTGACTTCAAATCCATATACAGTTGAAAAGCAGAACCAAGTTGTCCATAGTAGATACAGTCTATGAGTGATACCAAAGCAACAGCCAATCACATAACTTGTTTGCACTGTTAACTTCAATCTATTATGTATCATTGGTTTATTTAGAATTAAGCAGTATCACTCATCCGTATCTGGTAATATCATTATTTTGGAGTTCAGCATGTCTTTTAACAGACTATCACCAGAAATAGGGTTCGAATCGATTTTGTCAATATACAGAAAATTCCTTTTGATTATTTTCTTATACATGATTGTCAATTATAAAACAATATTTGGTATATTGTTTTAATACTTTACGCACATAGACAGACCATTACCACTGTGTCGTTTTTTTTGTCCCTCAACGTCATTGTTTATCCTATTAATGCAGATTAGTGTGAGGTTGAAACATGACCTCTCAGGAGACAAACGTTCATTGTTTACATCTCTTATTCTCATTCTTGCCTGTCTCTGCACAAGTACTCTTTATAATTAAAAAGCTGTCAGGGTGTAAATGAACTGCAGGACCAGACACATTGAGAAATGAACACAAACCGTGTGCCGCACAAAGCAAGAGTACAAGGTGTTTCTGTTCTGTAATTGCTGTTGTTCTTAATTTTCCTCGGAGCTGTCGTCTTTTGTTGACTCTCATTCCTGTGATGAGTTTCTCACTGTATGAATTGAGGACCAAAATTACAGAACACACTGCCCTGTTATGACTCAGTGGATGAAGGATTTTTATCACTGAGCGATTGTGTTTGGTTGTTAGGCGAAGGGGGATACAGACACCCATTTATTTATTGATCTGCAGTTCATCATCATATCTGCTCTTTGATATCATAATGTCAATATCCAGAATAGTTCATGCGTTTTGTGTTTGTGCTACAAGACTGATCTTGATGAAAGCTTTTATCCTCCCTCTTTTAAACAGACAAGGGTGTAATTATCCCCTGAGTGAGAATTTTTGGTCTTATCTGCCAAAATTTGTCAGATTGTATTTGTATTTTACATCCACTGACATCTTACATCTGGTAGTTTTATCATAAATTCCAAGGTGTTTGATATATGTGTGAACATATATATAGAGTACAACTCAGAGATACTAACTGTGCACATTAGAGCTGCTGTCAAAATGTGCAGGACTTGTGACTTAGCGCGACCACATAACTCCAATTTTAGTGACCCTTCATTGGCTCCCAGTCCGCTTTCGCATTGATTTTAATTTTTTGTTTTGTTTTTAAAGCCCTCAATGGTCTTGCCCCTGTGAACCTGTCAGAGCTCCTGTATCACCACTCCCCAGCCAGAGCCTTAAAGTTATATTCTGGTGTAAAATTAATTTAGGGTCAAACACACCCTAACACTGAGTTAGACACCCCCTCAAGAGATGAATGTTGCCGCCGGCTGGCTTCTCTACTTATACCAACTTAAGTAATGACCACACGATAGCAATACACAGTGATCTGAGGAGCCATAAATGAACCTCAACCAAAACGCCACTCTAAGGCCACAAATAATGCTCAGAACAGCACCTAACTTCATCAACAGGACATATAGGGTCCCAGCCACAGCACTAGCCACCAAACATCTTTTTGGCGTTGCCTAATTTCCTTAGCAAAGAGACGAAACACAACTCACCTACTCTCTTCCAGCAGCCGCTTGTTTGTAGTGAAACCTTGGGCCAGTCCATTATGGACTACAGCGGGGTGTCACAGCTCAAGGAATAACATTTATTATCATTTCTTCATGGAAATGCAATCAGACTGAGACGCTAAGGCAGAAGAACTACTGCATCTGCTGCGCAAAACGGTTAATATGGTGATTATTATTTCAAGGAAATGATAAAGAAATGATAAAGCAAGCGGTCGGCGACATTCATCTCTTGGGGGGGGTGTCTAACTCTGTGTTACGGTGTGTTTGACCCTAAATTAATTTTACACCAGAATATCCCTTTAAATCATCCTTATAGACCGACCTTTTCTCCCTTGCTTTTATTCTTTTACTGTCTGTATTTTATTCCACTGTTTTTAATTTTATTGTTATCTATTTATTTACTCCTTTTATTTATCTCATGTACAGCACTTTGTTTGACTGCTGTCTTCTTAAAGGTGCTTTATAAATAAACTTGCCTTGACTTGACTAGTCCTCCTCATCCAGAGAGTGAATCATGCACTGAGGGCTCTGAGGAGCCAGAAACCCAAACCAACAGCTGATGCACAGCACCTCCGTGTGTCCATGAGTGATCATTACACATACTTGTCACCGTTCAATGAGTCCCCCTGTTGGTGTGAGAAAATAAACCCTGTCAGTCACTGCAGCATTCGAGTGATGTTACTGAACGCTGCAGGTGCAATCAAATCAAATTAGTCAATCACAGAGATGCCAACTGGGAAGACGGTCATGTGCCCGTGTTGGTTCATGCGTCTTTTTCCTGAAGCAGATATTCTTGTTTTAAAAGCCTTCCAGTGAGCTTTTAAATGATAATTAGTCACTGCTGTTGCTATGGCCACGAGAGCAGAGGCGGCCGCGTGATCACTGCCTCCTCGCGAAGATGCTGAGTTAGGATGCAAGTGTTGCACACACACCACACTACACATCTCAGCGCCGCCTCGATCTCTCATCTTATATTAAATGAATTATAAACAGTCACCAACACCGCACTCTCATCCATAAAATGATGAGATTGCCAGAGTGACGGAATCAGCTGTATTTTCCGCGTAAATTCAAAGAGAAAAGCAGTTTGACTTCTGATGTAACCGGGTAACTGTATCGTTTAAGGCTTTAGTCATTTTGATTTGATATAAACCATCTTTTAGTTCGTGTTTTCCTGCCTTACTGAGGTATTTGCTCATCTGAGTCATAGCCAGTAATCGCTGTGAGCTTTCCAAACTAATGAGTGTGTGGATCTGCGCAAACAAATTTGAGAACTGCAGAAAAAACGAAACCAAACATGAAGAAGGTCAATCATTATGAGCAGTTCCCAAACAGTGAGTCACATCCATAGAAAGATCTAAAGATAGACAAGATTTCACCCACTGTTCAACACCTGACAAGATGACTCCCTTGTTTAACATCTCTGTGCCTCTGCTGTCTTTCTGTCAGTAAGGTGTGAGGTACAGTGTGTGTGCGTGAGAGTGTGTGTCAGATGTGTGGGATGTAGGGGGTTCATCTTCCCCCTGTTTGAACAAAGTGCAGGTCATTGACCCCTGAAAGGACAAATTATTACTATTTTTTATTTTATTTTCAAACTCCTAACCTTATGGAAATGTGGGAGAGAAGACTGTAGCTGCGTTTACATGGGCACAATTAATCAGAATAGACTTGATCGGAATAATAATGCGTCATGTAAACATGTTGATCGGAAAATTCTGATCCAATTTGGCTCGATTGGAAAGAAATTGCATTCCGATTGAGAGGGATGGGTTATGCCGATCGTTATTCCGAAACGCATCCATGTAAACACTTATTCTGATCGTGACTCTCTAACCTGACTCAGTCTTCACTCTTTCGCCTTTGGTTTATTTATTGAGGTCAGTACAGGAGGTTTAATTATTAACATTCTGGCATAAAACTCAACCGCAGCTGCCGCGTCTTCTCCTCCGGTATCGAAACAAGTCGTACATACAGCATAATGATGTCACATCTGTACGCACAGTGCAAACTTTGACCAACAGTAAAATAAGTATGCAAGGGCGCCATCTTTGTTGGTTTGTTAACAGCACAGACGTAAATACAACTCTTTCTCTGCGGTTGTTTTAGCAAAATTAGACAACTCCGCGCATGTCCAAATGCTTCTAATCTGAATAAAGCTTGGTGCATGTATACGCACGTCATGATTGGATTATTTGATTTTATAAACATTGTATTCAGATTATCCGATCCCTCAAATTTTAAATCCGATCAAGAAATTTTGTACATGTAAACATGGCTTGTGACAGGGCAGCAGTAAATTATAAATACAGCTGCATGCTTCCTGTGTAAAGACTGTAAAATTGTGTTTTTAATACAGTTTAAGAAAAAGCAGTTCTTCTCTTATCATGTGGAGGCCATAAATTTATACAGAAATACTTATTAGCATAAAAGCTTAAGACTGAATATTGATGGTTTCCTGGAGATATGATGAAGTACAGATAAATTAACAGCAGATATCCTGGATCCGCCGCAGAAAAACAGAGGCTCTCTGCCTGTTTATCGTGGACTGTTTGTGTTAGAGTGACACATCCAGCTCTTTTCATGCATCTCTAATACAAATATGAATATGTTAATCAGTAAGCACCACAGTAACATGAGGAAAAAAAGGTAGTTAGGAGATTAAAAGACCAACTCTGTGGTCACATCCATTATTATACTCTTAAATTTGTTAAGGGATATGAGTGTGTCTAGATCTCTAATAGGAGGTGACACTGTGGCTGTGGAGCATAATTTCACCATAGAGAAAAGAAAGAGGTTGATAAAGAGAGAGGTGACTCATCAGCCCTTACAGAGTTTTCTGCCTCTTACTATAGAATCGACCGCCATTGTTTCCTGTGGATATAAGTGGTTTCATAATGAAAATGCTGCCATTAACACAAATCTCAAGACATTTACTCTTATAAAAACGAACAGCATGTTGGTTTCAAATGAAATTTAGTTGAAGGATAAAAAACCTGTTTAGTTTCTAACCGATCTTACGGCAAATGAAATAAAAAAAAAGAGGAATAATAGTTGTTTCAGTGGAGGTCTATGCTCTCTCGGTGTCCTTCTTACACAGTTTTCTGCTTTGAGTTCATTTGGTTCAAATTTCTTAGTTGAGGCTGTCTATTTTTTTTTCTACTGTCTGTCTGCAAACCTTGGATAATATATCCGATCTATAAAAAACTTCTCTAATTGAATTGGTTTTTAGTATTTGAAGTATTTTGTGCTTGTTTTGTAATGTTGAAGTTTTAGTTGTTTTTTTAAAACGTTTTTTGTTTCGATTTGTCTTTAACACTCATTGCAAAATTATAGTACGTGGTGTACAGTTTTACAAAGGTCTATAAACACTACCTTTAGAGACCTGTAGCCTATCTGGATGAAATCTTTTCAGGGAGACAAGGTTTCAAAGTAGCTTGTTTGTCTATCACTGCGTGTGCCCATATTGCTCATATTCCCCTTGCATAGGAAACTGTAGTATGGCAGTGTCTGCATGTTAAGTAGTTCTGTGAAAGTGACGACTCTGTGATACACCTGCCTTTTACTGAGTCTGAGTGCGTTTGTTTAGGTTTGATTCACTATGAAAAAAGCCGAGTTGATACTCAGCACTCACCTGACAGTGTCTATGTTTCAAACTCTTTCGACGTAGATTGAAAAGCTGGAGGAGATTTATTTTCTAAAGTTGACTTTCTTTTATCATGATGTTTTGTCGTCATGGCTGATACATGGTGCAGGATTTGCAAAAAGACACTTTTCTGTTGAAGTATTGTGTCGGATAAATAAACTCTACAATGAGGGATTTGCTTGATAAAACAACAAAATGGCCATCAGGAGGATTTAATGTTTGTGTCTAGGGGTGTCCCGATACAACTTTTTTACTTCGATATGATACCGATATTGTAGCCTTCAATATTTGCAGATACTGATATTGATCCCATATTGGCACGAAATTGTGCATAACAAGTTTTGCTCTCAGCAGCAAATTGTTTTTCGAACTTCAACATAAAATACTGCCACACGGCCGACATCACTCCTACTCCTTGGTACTTCGTTAGTATCTTAGTACACACTGCTGTTGTGATTACGTGGGCTCTGCATGCTGGATCCAGGCACCGCTAGCTAAAGGTGCCGGAGTTGAGTCTGGAATGGACTGCTTGTATCACAGTGCTGATATCGGAAATTTTAGATGCAGGCCGATATATATATATATATTTTGGCTGATCTAGGACCGATACCCGATATCAATACTGTATTAGGACACCTCTATTTGAGTCTGAGTGTAAATGCTTCACAGCTGTTTATATAATATTTACATTTCTCTACCATTTATTGTGATAGCAGAACACGCCATGCACCTTTTCCGAGCTTACCATCAGTATTAAATCAGAATTGGATAAGTTTTGCATTAATATTTAGAATTTTAAATGCACAACTCTATATATTGTCACTCTTTGAATGAAAATGTGTTGTTTCAGGTGATAGCAGCACACACAAACACACAGATAAGATTGCTTTCAAGAGGAAGGATGCAAAGGCACTTGGGTGTATTGAAGCAGTCCATCTGGTTGCCTCACCGGGACACTGGAACAATGTTTCATCCAGCGTGACATTTTCTAATCCAAATCATGTTTTATGCATGGCCTCTGCTGGGCCACTGAGGGATGAGATACAGGGATTTTTGTTGATACAAGGACTGCGTCTGTGTGTGTTCGGGAGTCAACTTGTGGCAGATGCCTCAGCATAGTTTCAGACAGTGCTATGACCAGGGAGATACAGGGACAGTCTCAGATCTCAGTCGCAGTATAAGTTCAAACATAGGAAGTTATCACATTAGTTTGGCATACCTTCATTTTTTTGTCCTTTTCCATGTGTGACCCCATGCATTCGTTTCGTATTGCTGTGAGATTTATTACTCAGTCAAAACACCAAGTTCCTCTCTTTCACTCCTTTCTTCAAAATAAGGATGCCACACCTCACACCAAGGCTCAGACCTCAGACCTAGGCTTTTGCCATCACTCTAAAATAGATTTCTTTGACTTTTTAAGTGAAGATATTGTCCAAAGTCTTGATGGATGGAGCTTTAAAACATCTGCTGATTCCTCGTAATTCTCCATTGGCCTCTTTTGGCTGAAAGTTTGTCTTTTTCATCAACCGCTCCAAACATGTAATGAGCTTTTCTTATTCTGCTCCACACAGGATGATGGGTTTATTGTGAAATAATAGAGCTGTGCTGTTGCCTGTCACTCCAGTTGGAATGATAAAATTCAATGTTATCTGATTATGACAGAGATTTGAGAGAGATTTTAGTAGACTGTCAGGAGTGGTTGAATATGCAATGTAATCACAGTTTATGAAAAGGCCTGAAAACAGAATAAATAGTGGTGCTTCTGAGGCAGAAGATAGAAAAGCAGTGGTCCCATTAGCTATAAGAAAGGTTTCCCAATGAACACAAAACTACGAATCAAGCACCAAGTTTCTAGTGCTTATTTGTCCTACATTAATCATTGGTAATGTTAAGTATCAAAGAGGATAAGACATTCGAGCACTATGTAGGTCTTTTACAACATTTATTTCTGTCCAACATTGGGTCGCAGCAGCTCTGAAGTGAGTGCTCCATCTTTTCCCACCAATTAATCCCTCTGATACTGTTTTTACTCATAATTAAGAGTTGATCATCAACTTACACCAATTTATTGCCTCCCTTGGCTCGCCTCCAGTGCCTGTGAAGTACATCATGCTCCCATGTGTGATGTGACGTAATGTGGATCAGAAGTGACTCACTCCTCAGTTTTGTCCTAATTGCTGTCTTGGAAGCTCTGACTGAAAATAAAACCATTTGTAGAGGGAGGCAGAGAAAAGGAAAACGTATCTGATGTAACTGTTGTAGTTTGAGACCCTGAGAAGTATCATATTGTGAGAACAAGAAACAAGGAGGAAAAAAAACCTGTATACTTTGGAGTTTCTTTTCTTTAAGCATTCTTGACATAGTTATAGAATGTGACACAGATTCCCAAACCATGAAATGTGTAGCTAGTTTTCAAATTTAACAAAATCCAACAAGACAATGACTCCAGTTTTACTGTAGAGCTCAGATGTCACGGATATGTCATGAAACTCTTTTTCCCCAACCTTGACCTACTTACCCTGGTGTTAAGTTCAGAATCCCCCCAACCACATTTTTACTGTACTCTTGACCTCTACAAGATCAGATAAAATTCATATCCTTAGTCGTCTGATTCTGGGCTTCATCACGCCCCTGTCCCCTCATGTACTAATAGAGTGTAATACTGACCATTTTTCCAAAGGCACCCCTGTTTGTTGTGGCATGTGGTTTTCTTCAAGAAATGGTATCAGGTTTGTAAGGTTTTCAATACTGTAAAAACAAGAGTCCCACCTAGGTTTTTGAGGGAATTAGTTTTGTGTTACACCTACAACGAGCAGCGGAGTTTCGCAGCTCAAGGAAGAACATTTATGATTATTACTTCATGGAAATGCAACCAGACCGAGACACTAAGGCAGAAGAACTACCTTATCTGCAGTGCAAAATGATAATTAAGATGATTATTACTTCATGGAAATGATAAAGTAATGATCATAAATATTCTTCCTTGAGCTGCGAAACTCTGCTGCACTCTGTGACATCCAGTGATAGCCGGAATATTCCTTTGCACTCGGTGATCGACTCGTCAGGGTTCCCCCACAAACAAGCAGCTGCTGGAGGAGAGTGGGTGAGTTGTGTTTAGTCTCTTTGCTAAAGAAATCAGGCAAAGCTAAAAAGATGTTTGATGGCTAATACTGTGGCTGGGACCCTATATGTACTGTTGATGAAGTTAGGTGCTGTTCTGAGCATCATTTGTGGCTATAGAGCGGCGTTTTGGTTGAAGTTTGCATGTGGAGATTAAGACCACAGAGTATTGCTGTCGTTACTAAAGTTGGTATAACTAAAGAGGCAATCAGTCAACAACATTCATCCCTCGAGGGGGTGTCTAACTCAGGGTTACGGTGTGTTTGACCATAACTTAAATTTACGCCGGAATATCCCTTTCAGTCGAGCACTAGGTAACATCTTAAAGTATGTTGAAACAAAGCACCAAACACAGACTTTTGGTTCTGCACAGGTAAAGAGGACTCGTCCTCATGGTGAAAGTCTTGCCACCCTGATATGACCCCTCACACACACACTGGACCAGCTGAAGTTCTTGTAAGTCTTTAAATAACGCCATCGATGGGTAACATCAAAGCGGGTAGCCTTGTGCAGACATCGAGAGGTAGGTTGTGGGTCAGTATGAAAGCCCAACATGGTGTGACAAAGTGTCAGTGTGGTACAGCCTCAGAAGGAGAATAGCCTTGAGTATAGGAGTGAGAAAATGGTGTACTCTAGGAGGAGGAGCAACCCATGAGCTGTAAGAGGTCTACAACTTCTTAGCCCTATCCCTTTGAAGGCAGTGCCCCTTATTTGGGATGCATAGCTGTGCAAAGTTGCTCTGAACCGAGTTAATCAGAGGTAGAGGAATCATAGAAGCGAGGAAACTGGGGAAAAAATAGGGAGATGAAAAAGTCGCTCTGATGCACAGCCTACTACGAAGTAAATTTAGGGATAAACTGGGGCTTCACAGGTTGATTTGATGAAAATATACAAGTATCAAACACACAGACTCACTCATACAAAGATAAACGTCGTTCAGCAGATGTCACATGATCTGTGTGTTTCATGAAGGCTGTTCGCTCTGCAGCTGTGCTTCAAGCCAGCCTGACCATGAGCGGCTTCAGACACAAAACAGAGATCCATTTTCATGTTGGTGTGCGCCACAACCATTATTGTAATTACTGATACTGCTGGCCTCCTGTTACCAATGATAAAATGCCTCTGGGAAAACTCTGAACAAAATTCTGGACAGGAAAAATCAAATTTGTTGAAGGGATCTAATCATTTGCCCCATAATGCTGTAATGGCTATCAGACCAGAGGGATAAAAGGAGGAGGAAAGCACTCTGTTTTCTGAGGAGGATTTACTGTACTTGTGTTTTCATTTGATTACATGAAAGTCAGTCTCCCTCCTTTTGTCTAACTCTCATATGACCAAAACTCAACTTCAAAGTCCTGCCTTCAGCATCTAATATTAAGCAGGGTACTGTGCTTACACCTGTTCCTCTGTGGAGAGGCTTGTTCCATTTACTCCTGCTTTCATCACAGCAGGTGTTACGCAGGATACAGACCATTAAACACAGAGGCTCCTCACACTCAGTGTCAACTCTTGCATCTATCTCCAAAACTAACCAAAGGTTGTAAAGTTCTCAGTAGGATAACTCTGTTGCATGACGTGATTACGGCTGGTGGGAGTCAGTGCAGAAACAACGATGCAGTTACAGAAGGTCTCTCCGTAATTACCGAGCCATCTTGCTTCTTAAAACCCAGGGAGAATTGACCATGCAGGTTATTTTCCTGCAGATTTTCATGCCTTGATTGCTTGTTGAAACAAGCGCATTACAGTATGAATTACAGAAACCTTAAAAGAACACTGCTCTCCTGGGTTTCGGCACAGAAACTCGACCATCTCTTATGTACTAGGATTTCTCTCCTGTGGGGGAATAATAGTTCCCTAAATTGCAGAAGAAAAAGCAGCAGAGGTGTGTAGGAGGGACTTCTGACTTTACCACCCACTCTAGTAAAATACAAACTTCTGCCAAACATGCTTTCAGTAATTTAATACATTTTAAGTTGACTCATACTTTCACAGAGTTGAATAACACGGCTCTGAAGTTATTAAATAGGTTACGATCTATGGCTGTTAACATGCAAATATTTTATTCTTGACTCCTCCTCTTGGGGTTTCATGAAAACTGATTTATTTCATTGCAGTTGATAGAAAAATCTCAGTAAAAAGACACAAAAATTCAGGATTTATGATAAATGTAAATTTTATTCTCGCAACCAGAAGTGCTCCCTGATTGTGAGGTTTTAGAGTCTTTTGTCCTCGCTTTCTCAGCCTTCTCCGATCCTCATCATCGTTTCCAAATATGGTGAACAGGCAATTCAAACAAGTCACAGTTGCACTTGGTTTTATCCTATTTGTTATGCTTCTGCCGTCCTTGCATAGTTTCACTATCACAGTGAACCTATACTCCACCTTATCTCCTACGTGAACCCACACTCCTGGAATTTTACAACCCTCTGCGCACAACTTGAGTAGTATTTTTCCATCAGCAGCCTGCTCTGTCAATGCTCTCTTTCTCTTTGAGACAAGTGAAACACCTTAGTGACTTGACATTTTTAAAGGCCATACCATCAGAGAATGCAATCGATGTGTCATTCTGTTTTTCAGTACCTCAACAGCAGCAGGTTGTGAAACTTAAAAAAAAAAAAAAAAAAAAAGGATTCAGTTCTTGGCAAATTTCATACGCTTCTATTTAGTAATTACAATAAACTTTTGTTTTATTTTCTTACTTGAGGCAATTAACTGCATGTATTATCGACAACTATATTTGTGGGAAGCAGAGGAACCAGATTAAAGCCATGTGGCGAGCACAACACCGCTGAAAAAATGCAGCCATAGACTGTATATAGAACGGACGTTATCTGCCTCGTCGCTGGGGGAAGCCACCATGATAACAGCACCCTCTGCTGACAGGCTGCAGTATAGGTTATAGATCCCGCCTCCTCAAGCCATCCTCATGGAGCTGTGGACAAACTTAAGAAATTTATTACACAGAATATAATTTTTTCTCCCCCCCTGCTTGCGATGTTGACATGTAGTTACTGTAAGACTGGTTTGTGCTCAAGTCCTCTTTTTTTCTGTACAGCTTCGTTTTTAAAAGTTTCATAGAGGGTTCATGTTTTGTATGATTGACACCTGATACAGCCTATTGGCGTACGAAGATTGCGTAGCTCACTCGGGGATACGCTGCTTGAGCAAAGCGTCATCACAGCAACTTTCGGCAACTTTCCCGCCGAATGTGTACAGCGCTACTGCGCAATGTTGGTTTCAGGAAGTGGAGAAACAACACGGAAATACCGAGAGGTTTTCACCTTCAAATCCAGATGCTGGTGGAAAGTGGAACCAAGTTGTCCATAGAATATACAGTCAATGGTTTAGTCCTAGAAACACATCAACTGTGATTTTAAACCGTTAAGGTTATTTTCAGCAGCTACTCAAATTCAGACATTAAGTATTAAAAAGCAAACAGCAACAATAGATAAGTATTTTGATTATTTTATTGTTTAGACCCCCATTACAACTAGTTTCACAACTTGTGACCAGTTCAGGGTGTTACTGATTGATTGATGTCACTCATCCAGTCAGATGCCTCGGTTTGGACAAGTGATGAGCGATATGGGCTGAAAAATGTATCACAATAAGATTTGCCATTCTGGCGATAACGATAAAAGCCCCAATAAAAAACATCATAACTCCAATCTATATTTTTGACTTATTTTGTCTTGAACACCAGTTGGAGTAGTCAAATAAGATACTTAACCTGAAGTTTGAGTGTTAGGTTATGGAGAAAACTAATGACATCAAACAAGTCTCACATGTGAAACAGTGAACAGCAGCAGCAGATCCACTGTCCGATGTCAGTCATACCGGATTACGCTCATCTAAGCCCCAGTCTTAAAGGAATTCCTTCATGTGGAGCCTCGTTCAGTAACAAGCTGCTCAGAAACGCTGTTTTCATCACCTTCGGCCATGTTCGTTTGTTATTCTGCTCTGTGTGTAGCTATGACTCACTCACCCTTATGTCATCAACTTGCATTCATTGTATCTATCATGAGGTGGCAAATATTTATCATGGAGGATTTTTCTGACAATATATCGCAAACAATAATTTATCGCTCATCTCTAGTTTGGACTAACCAGCACAGAAATATCTTCATTTCACTGGTATTTCACTGTCTTCCTGCTTTACTTTGGCAGTCTACCGTTGCACTAATGCATCCTTTTTGGTGTGTGATAAATAATTTAGAAAAGATGCACAAGGGAGCACACGAGGGACTCCGGTGTGTGACATGTCTTCTTTAAATAACGTTTTGATTGCTATATGTCATCTTTACAGTTCACTATGTTTGTGCCTGATCTGATCAGTTCAAACACGAGTTCTGCGCTGCACTGCATTCAAATGCCCCAGTAATAATGATTATATGTGTTTTCAAAAGTGTGTGAAAGTGTTTTCATAGTTTGGACTGGTCTTGCTGCATCGAGTGTCCTAAATCCGTGGGAGTTGGTGCAACACGGGAATGATGAAATACTGGAAATGCAGTTTTGCCTGAGGCTGTTTAGTAGGGAGTCAGTAGACGGTTTGATGCTTTCATCTGTGCCCACAAGCAGTAGATTTTCTCCCCCAATCTATCTCAGAGGATGATGAAGAGGAAGATTTAACTTTCTAAAAAATGCAAACCTCTCTTAAGACTGTAAAAATATTTGCTGATGTTGACAGAGCCGGATTTAACGGACCCCCTTGTGAGGCACCTTTGTCACAAGAAGTCCGCTCGCTCGGACTGTGTATAGATGGACTCCTGACTAACCCTGGGAACACAGTGAGTGATGTGTGTGTTTGTGTGGTGACAGTGAGGGGCGGCAGACGGAGGGCGGAAGCAGATGTGTGTGTGAGAGCGGTTCAGAGCTGTGGCACTATCACAGGGAGCCTTTGTCTGCCTGCAGAGACCGTTGAATTAAAGGCTGTTAACACTAGACTGCACAGTCGTATGCTAATGCCTCTTACTCTGAGCGAATAAATAAATGATGGTTTCAGAAAACACATCAGAGTCCCTGCTTTACATGCCTCATGAAACACAGCGTGTAAGAAAGATATAGAAGAGATTGTGTACAGTGTTTGTGAAGAGGAAAGGATGGCACTGTAGAAAATAAAGGACATCAAAGAGGAGAGACAAAAGGGGTTTCTCCATCTTTTTTTCGCGTAAAGCTTCACACTCGATGCTGATGTAGGTGATGCACGGGAGATAACGAGAGATAGATTGGGCAGAGAAGCACGGAGCGAGATTTGGTCAGAGAGGAAGGAAGGAAGGAAGGGGGAGGGGGGATTTAAAGGGCAAGAATAGGAGGGAGATTTAGATACAGAGCGAGAGTGAGAGAAGCAGGAGCATTGAGCAGAGGCAGTGGATGGGAGAGGAGAGGAGGAGAAGAAGCTCATACTGGAGGCGTCCACATGGGAGAGAAGAAAACGGCTATTTCATGCACTCAGCGTGCATGACTGAGGAGTGCTGCTGACTGTCTGGATTGTTAGTCATCTGCTGGAGGACATACTAAGAAGAAAAAAAACAAGCGGGTTGGGGATATTACAGAGCTGTGTGCAGAGGATGAACAGGCGATGTGGGCGCTCTGGCTGTGATCGCTGTCCTTCTCAGACCCCATAGCCACTTGTGCACTGGTGCTGTTGCAGGCCGTTAGCCTCGCAGTCAGGCAGCAGCAGCAGCAGCAGCAGTCAGGGTGATTGATACAGAATGAGCTCCAAGCACTCCTCCGACTGGATCCCCTACAGGTACTGTAGCACATTCCTGAGAACAGTTGAAAGAGCACAGTGTTCATCTTTTTTCCAGCAGTGTGTGCATGTTTGTGTGTTCAGTCATGTGTCTGACAAGGAGATCAGATGGATAACGGGGACATTGGATTGACACAATAAAAGACAACACAGTGATATGAGAGCTGATTATTATTTTGGTGATGTAATGTTTTATGGGGATTTTTATATTACTGGAGTAAAGAGAAATGCACTTAGAGATTAGATTCAGGCTTTAAAAAAAAAGGACAACCTCAGAAAAAATAAAATAAATTATGCAAAAGTGAAACCCAGAATTTCAACTGCAAGTACTGAGGTCTCAGTTTGGCCTAGATACAAATTCTCTCCTTTTGCATTACATGAAACTGAAAAATCAGTCAAAGTGAATTGAATTTTGATTATTTAATGGATTTATAGAGGATTGTTTTGCTTGGAATCATTCTGAATGAAGAAATGGAGTTTAAATTTGTTAATATTCTCACTTGAAAAATCATGAGAAGTTTTTGTGCAAATGTGCTTGTTTTATGAGCATGTCCATCTGAGCATGAAAAATTAATTCTTGCTTTTCTAACCAAGTTTTTTTTTTCTTTTTTTTTCATTTGCAAATGTCAGGGTTTGGTGCACGTTCAAGCATTGAGTCCCCCCGCTGTAAAACCCATATCTGCTCTCATCATTTCAAGTGCAGCACTAACGCTGCTGGCTCGCTCCTCTGATTGAACATCCATTGCCATGGTTCCCTGCTTACTTTGATGCTATTGGCTTACGGTTGCTATAAGTTACTGAGGCAGTCTATGAATTTCAGAATTAGACTGCATCAGGGCCACAGCAAGAAAGTCTGCAGAGTACAATTTATATGAAACTTAAGGAACAGATGACAAAAGACATACGAACTTGAAGTGATTATCAGGAAGAAAATATCACCCTTCCAACCCCCTCAGGTATCCCATTTGTATGTCAGTACGGGAGGGGGCAGCCAAGGAGAATGGTGCTTTCTCAATGAGCAGTTTTTTTCTCATCCCGTGAAGCTGCCATGAAAATCGCACGGGCCTCTGTGCAGAGCTGGAGACAGCTGCACCGTGTGGCTCTCTCATCATCTCATTAGATACACACTGTGCATGCCTTCACAGAAAGAAACCCTCAAAAATGACGGAATCATATCTCACCAACACACACAAAGAAACAGCCGTTTTGCAGTTTCCTCTGCTGGGAGCAGATTCAACAGATAAGCATTTCAGGAGTGGAGTAATTGTGAAAATCGCATATTCTTTCACTTTTTCTCCAACAAAGAAACCCAAAAATGGGGACAGAGAACATAAGGAAATGTGGGAAATAATCTGTGGTTGAAAAAGTGTTTATGTCAAGTTACCTTTTTTTCTTTAAGTGTTTCAGTTTTAAACCTTATGTGGTGTATTTCCCTCGTGTGTAACAATACTATCTGTACTTTTTGCTGTTAACACAAAAGATATAATTGGCTGTGTGCAGAAGTCATCAGATTATGAGATATTTTAAACTGAGATAAGATATACCTTTATTAGTGCCACAGGGGGAACTCAAAAATTATAGCAGCATAGATACAAATACAAAAGAGAAATTAAAGGATAAAGAAACTTATATACATGTCTACAGAATATACATATAAATATGGTTTATTGCACACTGAGGTTTCTGTTGTGGGGTCTGACAGCTGCAGGACGTCATGACCTGCGATACCTCTGCATCACACACGTCAGGTTGAGCATCCTATCCCAAGTTACACCAGATTAATAGAATTTAGTTTGCTTTGAATACATTCTTGATGGTCCTCTGGTTTTACCTGCTGCTGAAGTACCAGCCAATGAAGGTCACAAATCTAAAGTTTGTCCAAGCACTTAAGACTATTTCAAAGAGGATTCTTACAGATGATTATGTTATTGGAAGACTTCTTTCTCTTGTCTAAAGATTTCTAAGCTTTTTTCTTGTCAGATACTAGTTTGTAAAGTCAGTACAAAATCTGAGTGCAACAGCCTGTAAGGCTGAAACTGTCTATGAACCAAACTTCAATAGCTTATTTGACAAAACCAGTAAAGTTTAAGCTTCATGAATTGATTATTTTCTGCTTTTATAATGTTAAAAATGGTTAATAAATTTCACCCTCTTTGAGATCAAGCAGACTGTTTAAAAAAGAGAAAGCGTAAAAAGATGGGTTGCTTTGAGGTGTAGTAGGATTTTTAGTTTATTAGAGAAATATGTGAGCAAATTGATTCACGTAGATCTTCAATATTGAATATGAGCTTTTATTTATGTGATTTGCATAAAACTTGTAAAAAATACAAAGATTTTTATTTAAAATTGTCCTTTAATGTAGAAATAAAGCTTTTAATTGAATACTCTGGTAGGATCAAGAGAGCCTGACGTCATTCATTCATCCTTTAATTTTCCAATTTAAACATGTTACTCCTGTTTTATTTTTGAAAGTCTTAAATTAGCTTGTGCGGGTAGAGGTCAGCACATTAGCGGCCATTATACGGGACATAATGGTGCATGGTGGTAAATAAATCTGTTATTTTGACCGTTGTTTTAAAGCCTCCTGTACACCCGGGTGTTGGTGTGCTGGAGGGCAGGAGTGATCAGAGACTCTTCACAGTAATGAGCCGTTTGACCTCTGCTGGAACAGATCTGTTTGTGTCATTATCCTCCTGTGTGATGCCTATTCATACACCTGATTACTCTGATTGCAGAGATGGAGTGCTTTGTTTGTATTTCTGACCCAGACTAAGAGGTAAAGACATTTTTATTGCATGAGTGTGTTTTTTTTTTTTGTCGTCTAAATACAGTGGATAGTACAGAAATATAGGAAAATGGATGACTTCTCTAACGCGGGTTCGAGTATAAATATACTCTTCAGCCTTATTGCAACACTGACTGTTGCCTGTATATTTATTACGCACTTAATGGAGAATGAAAAGTGATTTGCCGCTGTTGTCATTTGTCAAACTGGGAGAATATGAACAGACAAGTGAACGAGGGAGAGTACAATACTGAGAATAAATTTCTTTTTTTAACGATGTTGTTTAAGTCAGCACTGCAATTACTAATCCACGCAGTAAGATCTACCTAATCCATTATACAAATACACCTTTAAAGGTATTTGCCATTTTGAGGACAAATTGTTTTGTATCGTTCAGCAAAATGTTGCATTAAAAATAAATCCTTCTTTAAAGGCCTTTTTAAGAGCATGCGGAAAATCATAAAGTGTCCATTTTAAAAAAAAATAAGGCAGAACATAATTATCCTTTTGTCACAAAGTCTAAGTGCATACAAAGCAATTTTAGTCATCATTAAGAGAGCTTGAAAAACAAAGTAATATCCTCTCTTATCACAAATCAGCAAACCCCTCTCTCTCTCTCTCTCTCGCTCTCTCTCCCTCTCTGTCTCACATCCTTTTCTTCTCTGCTGTAGCTCATTCTCTACAGTTTTTTGCAGAAAACATACCCTGCACTCTAATTAGGAACGATTGAGGTTTCTCAGGGGTCCCTGAAACTCCTGTCACACGCGCTTAGGGTACAATGAGTGTGTCTGCGGGGAACACGAGTGCTTTTTAAAGATATAAAAAATTATCACTGCGCTCATGGAGAGAGGAAATCGACACATCCTCCACATTCTGAAGCCAAACCTGAAAAGTAGGACTGAGGGGGTAAATATTCTTGCTGTTATGAAGCCGATTTCTCCTGTTTAGTGGTGATTTGGCAATAAGTGTTTTATACCTTTATGTCATCTGGTGAAGTAGTGAAACAAATAATTACACAGAACATGTAGACAGGATGCTTTCGAGTACTTCCTGACATTTGTCTTCTATTGATTTACCTTTGACCACTGTGAATCTGTTAAGACAGTGTCTCAGGCTTTCTAGGAACAGCAGACGAACGCTCATACTCTGTTAATTCAGCTGCAGTCAGTTTTGTTGATAAGCGTTGAAATCATTGATGTGCCTCAGAGGGCTTTACAATCATGAGGCTGTCTCTGCCAGCCTTCTGCTTGACGCCATCGTCCATATGTTCATCAATACACTTTCTGGAGTTTAACTCAAAGTAAACTGATCACAGAGTGGTTTACTGCAGAACAACCATGTTGGCTTAGTTTATGAAGCGTTTCACTTTGAGAGCTCCCTGTCAGTTTTCTGTAATATCTCTACACTTATTCTTCCACAGAAATCTGAAATTAAATTGAAAATGACGACGATACAGATAAATAACATAGGACAGAGTATTAGGGACACATTAAGGAAAAAATATTAAGACTTTGAGATTTTGAGATACAGATAAATAACATAGGACAGAGTATTAGGGACACATTAAGGAAAAAATATTAAGACTTTGAGATTTTGAGATACAGATAAATAACATAGGACAGAGTATTAGGGACACATTAAGGAAAAAATATTAAGACTTTGAGATTGAAGTTGTTAATTTACATAAATAAAGTCATTACGAACGAAAATTAAGTTGTAATAAAGTCATTTCTAATGAAAATAAAGTTGTAATAAAGCAATTACTTACCAGAATCAAGTCGTAATAAAATCATTATGATACTTATGATAATGTAGTGCTGATGTGCCAAAAGATTAAGTACCTCCTTGCTTGAGAAACCTATTTAATAGTACGTTTTCATGGCTCCCATTTCAATAACTGTCATTTTAAACAACAGGTTAGAATATAAGGACTTTATTCTGACTTCAATCTCATAAGTAATGATTTTATTACAACTTCATTCTCGTAAGTAATTACTCTATTACGACTTTATATTCGTAAGCAATTACTTCATTACAACTTTATTCTTATTTATTACTTTGTTACGACTTCACTTATGTTAGTAATGACTTTATTAAGACTGTATTCTTGTAAGTCATTACTTCATTAAGACTTTATTCCCATTAGTCATTACTTTATTGCAACTTTATTCCCATTAGTAATGACCTATTCTCGTTAGTAATTACTTTATTGTCGTAAATTAATGACCTTAATCTTGAAATCTCAATTTTTTTTTTCTTGATGTGGCCCTAATATTCCATCATGATAACATGCTGTTTGGGTTATGGTTTGTCCAAAACTTTCAGTCTTTTGTTTAATTTAGCACCTCTTGTTTGCTGTACACCAGTGTTTAAAACAGAGAAACATATCACACACTCAAAAACTTGCGAAATTTAAGTTTTAAAAAAGCCGTTTTGTAACCGTCTTCACAACTCCTACACCAGCCATTTTAGGCATGATTAATAACAGAAATAACTTATCCTTCGCTAATGATTTTGCCTGTTAGAAATGGTTAAAACAAGCCGTCAGTATTGAATTCAATTTGTTACCTAACCAATTAAAAAACAAAGAAACCCTCAGAGGAGCATTGAGGGATAATTTCAAGTATTAGATATAAATTAAATTGTGGTAAGAAAGCTTAGAGCTCGGTCCTTTGGCAGGTCACAATTCATTATATAGACATAAATCAAAGAAAATAGGATATGTTGAAGTCAGAAAGAAGGATATGAAAGAGCAAGGACAAAATGAGGAGGTCACAGAGTTGTGTAACTTTCAGCAGATATTTAGTCTACCATCAACGTTATTTGAACAACACGAATCAACAAATATATCAACGTGTAGGTCATTCAGTGACTCATTCTCCCACAGAATATGACTGAATTCAGATAAATCTCTAAAAGAAGATATTTCTAAAGATCAAGAAAGAGTGTTTCAAACTAAAGGAATATTTGAGAATGTTGTGTTGAATTGATAAGGAAATAAATTACGACCATCCTTAAAAACAAAGGCTGGGTCTTCATGAACAATAGTGTTTCCATCAACAAATCAAAAGTAGAGTTCAGTGCTGAACATGTCTGTTAATTCAGTGAGACAAAGACTATTGTTCTGTCCCTCTTCTTCACTAATGACCCGGGGAAACTTCAGAACTCATTTTCTCCCCTCAATACTGTGATAACTCCAGCACAATCATGTTCAAGTAATGCCTCTGATTATGTCCCTGTTTTACTCACTTGGAAAAGCTAATGGCAGCTCTGTAAGAGCCACCTGGCTCTTATTATTGAAGAGGTTTTTTTATGGACTATAGCTCCCACCAGAGATTAGGTTTCAATACAGCTAATTTGAAAAAGCAATTTTGGGGCCAATGTAGTGCCTACTCAGATCGGTAATTTGGTTTTTGTGCTTTGTGACATATGAATAAAACTTAACAGAAAATCATGAAACCCTTTTCTAATATCATATTTGATTTGTTTGCCTTCAAAATGAGCAACTTTAAATGCCACTATCACATTTCCCAGCCTGGTACAGGATTTGTTAAATGTCCAAAGTGATGGCTGTTAATTGAGACAGGAGACATAACATCTGAACACCTGAACCACAGTGCCACAGCTGCCTTAACCTGATCACAGACTGCAGTGAGGGAATGATCCCTGAACGTTACATGCTTATAATTTCCTCACCACCTCCTGATGACTCTGTTGCAGTCTGTGATTGTAGTGTTTTGTTCACTTATGCGTGAACGTTCGCCTGGCAGTGGTTTCGTTGTTACCCCGTAATTATAAAAGCAGTTTGGTAATATTAAAAAGTCACTTTGAGGAGATAGGGTCGCTGTTATAGTGAACATGTTCTAATTAAACTGAAGTGGAGCTGTTTGATGAACCCTTCAGAAGATATATACACATTTAACCGAGCTGTTAGGATGCTGTTCACTCAGAAGCCCATTTAACACCAATTCTGCAATTGTCCAGAGTGTTTTTGTTTTTGTATTCAGACAATTTAAACAATTATGCTTAAAATGAAGCCAAATGATACAAGTGGTCGTGTCATTATTTTAATAATCTCTCCCCTGTTTTTGCTCTTGTCTTTGCAGCACTTTAGACGATGAAGGCACCAACCTGCGACAGCAGAAGCTGGACAGACAGGTACGTCTTTGCACTTCTGTCTGCAGGTCTGATGAAAGAGTTAATGCTTAGGAAACAAAGGGATGTTATATGGCCGCACAGATATCTGCTTCTCCTTCTCAGGATCACATGGGGTCAGCTGGGGGTTGTGATCTGTCTGTGCTCTAATGAGCGAGTGTTTATGAGGCGCCGAAAGATAAAGACAGAGTCGTGTAAAGCAGCAAGGTGGAATAAATGTTGAAGAAAGTGTGAACCTCATGATCGCTTTAACAAGATAACAGGCATTATAACACAAATTATAAAGGGTACTCCTGTAGATTCTGTGGAAAGTTATCACCTTCTGAACAAGACATTATGTTAAGTGGGAATATAAAATTATCATGTGAATAAATATGACAGAATTGAATTGTTGTATCTTGGTTGCCTCAGACTATTAGATATGGGGATGGTCTAATTGCAATACTAAGACTATCCTGCCTGGGATCAAACCTGTCTCTTGTTGACTGATATTAATTTCGTGCTATGTTTTCGTTTGTTAAAGAAGTAATACCGTCATGTTTCTTGAGTTAAAGGTGGTGTTAGTTGCAGGTTGATCAGAGGTCATGGAGGATCCTAACACAGTGACGTTTAGAGTGATTGTCTGACTTATCAGGCTGCATAGTGTTTTGTTGAGACCTCAGCATCATAAAAATAACATGAGCAGCTTTTATTGTTCTGCTCAAATTAACAGCATCAGATTTATCCTCTGTTTACATCTCACTGCTCATGTTCTGAACAAATGTTAAGCTTGTCTTCACTTTACAGAGTGCACTCGTGAATGCTAAAAATTTCCATCAATGTCAGAAAACACTTTTGCGAAACAATGATTTTGACAGTATTTCTCAGCCAGATTGCAGGATCCATCAGTCCAGCGGAAGTTGGCAGCTTTGAGCGCTGATAACTGATACTCGTGCTGTTGCTATCGTTGTTATTTGCTGTCAGCAACACTGTAGCCAGGCCAAACAAACAAGACTGAGCTGTAATTCAAGAGTTTGCCTTTCGTCTTTGCTCTGTAAACCTCATTATTTCAATTCCTTGAAATAATGTATATCTGAGCAAAGTGGCATTGTGTTAAATTAGGTCAATGCTATTGGATAAGACATAATATTATTGTGTTTACAATATCAGCTCTAAAAATACAATCTATAATAATATCTACTTGCTTCCAGGAGATAAACGGCAGTTGTAAAGATTTTTCTGTACCAGAAAGACAATCTACGTATTTCAGAGACTTTCCAGATCTAGTCTTTTAAAAAAGAAGGAAATCTGACAATTTATATATAAATTTAAATTAGAAAATAACATGTCTATTGTTAACTGGCTGGGCTAGGTGGAAGCTGGCATTTTGTTTTGGTCTGTTGGCCAATCAGATGCTGTATCTGCAGTCAGGTGACGTGTAAAGGTCCATAAAGAAATCAGATGTCACAGAAAGTTTACAGCTATAGACTGTATATAGAATGGACAACGTCTGACTCCTCGTTGGGTGAAGCCACCACGAGAACAGCACCCTCTGGTGACGGGCTGCAGTATCGGTCATAAATCCCACCTCCTCCAGTAATCTCTATAGAGCTGTGGACAAACTTTAGAAATTTATCACACAGAATATAAATTTTTCTCCCCTCTGGTTTTGATGTTGACATTTAGTTACTGTCAGACTGGTTTGTGCTCAAGTCGTTTTTTTTTTCTGTGAAGCTCCGTTTTTAAAAGTTATTAGGGGTTTCATGTTTTCTTTGATTGACACTTGATATAGCCTATGGGCGTACGAAGATTGCGTAGCTCACCTGAGGGATACACTGTTTGAGTCGAAAGGGTCCAATGCTACCGATCAAGTGGTGGTTTCAGGAAGTGGGGAAAACCCCAGAAATACCGGCTTCAAATTCTTATAATGACAGAAGGTAGAGCCATGTTGTCCATAGTATATACAGTCTATACTCACAGCACAGGAATACAAAAGATAGAGCTCTTTAAATGGAGTATCAGTTTATCTGTGCTGTCTCTGTAGAGCTATACTTTCGCGTTTCATTAACACACTCGATCATTTTATAGTAGATATTGACAATTTTACTTTGATTTAAACATGTTGCAACATCAACATATTGTTTTATTCAACATGTTCAATTTAGTCGTTATTTTTCCATTAGACTTGATTTTAGTATAAAAAAAACAAGATTTGCTCTTCAGAAAGCCTTTACTTCAAAACACTTGGGTAAAAGGATACGACTCTGTAAACATCAGGCTTTGACTACAGAGATGCCTCCGAGACTTTTTTAGTTCCTCCTGATCAATCATGGAGAAAACCTAGCAGGTGGTCTATGAGTCAACTCTTTTTCATCAGGCTTGAGCGATTGAAAAATATCATTAAAGCAGCGTCAAGGGTGTAAACGTCCAAAGTGGTTAATATTGATTGATAGCTTTTTCAGTAACCAAAGCTTGATTAATGTTGTGATTGATGGTTTATTTAGGCATTAAAACGAATTTCTTTTAAATTGTATTATTTATCTTACCACCCAGCTGCCTTGGGAAATTTTAAAAGCTCAGAAGGTTTTTAACGTCCCTCCGTCACAGTTTAAGGAGCTTTTTTTGAAGCCGTGCGTTTCAGACTTAAAACATCAAAGTTCGTGTAAAGTGCATCCTGTAACCTGTAAACCAATGCCCCACATTAATGCGCCAACTGGTGTTACCATCACTCTCCTGACAGGGATTTGAACTTAATAAGTGAAACTGTGGAGCTGCGATTCTCTGCAGCAGCCTGAATCCTCCACTAATAGAAACCTTCAATATTTGATGAGCTCTGGTTTGAAGACTTGCATATAGCTGACAGCTGGTCCAGATGAATAGCTATATCCAGCCATGGGGCCAAAGTGGTTTGAGCAGCTCTTTCATACGCATCTTCAGGTTTCTCTCCTGGCTTAGCATTTGCACCTGAGGATTTGTCATTGCCTCTAGGTTTTACAATCTAAATCTGTCCATGCACTCAGAATATACAGCTTGTTCAGAAATCTGTGATACCTCAAAGGAGAACAGTTTTGTATTTTCTTTTATATCTGAAAGTTGTGTTTTCTACATCGAGAGGAGAATGAAAGCTTTGCCATTTTAATATGTTTGTTGAAGTGATCATTAACAACTAAATTATCATACAACCACTAAGTGAGATGATCTGAATTATAATATATTCTTAAACGAAGTTACACAAAAGTTCTTTGAATTTGTAACCAGTGCATTCTTCACTTACCCGAGTGTCACTTTTTGTGTTTTATTCCAAATAATGATGTATCGTAGGTAGGGCTGGGCGATATGGGAAAAAGTCTATAATGATATTTTTTTCATATTAGTAGATATCGATATATATCACGATATAAAAAATTTAATTTAGCAGTGCTTATTGGTCGCATGTCTTTTGCAATACAATAAGCTACTGCCTCTGTGAGGTCTTTGTGTCTCTTTGACGTTTAGTCGTAAGGCGTTGCGCTAGAGAAAGAGGACTGAATGGTCGGCTGTTTTGGCTGCACAGGCGCCATGGGCTTCTTGCTCCGCTCAGGGTTTGTAAACTTTTGCATTGCGCGTGCTCTGCTGCTTCAGGTGGTGAAAAAGATTTGAGGTATTCCCCGACTTTGCGGGAACATGTACTCAACATAATTTGCAGTGCACATTACTCTGCTTCATGTCCGACCTCAAAAAAACAAAATACCTCCCCAGTATATATATGTATTTCTGTCGGGGGTAGCACTCATTTTCTTTTTTCTCACCAACAGTTCTGTCAGCTTCACGTGTTAAAGTGCTATGGTTGCGTGTAGCTGCAGTCTGCTAATATGCAGTTGTTTGCTACTTCGTTCTAATTCAGCACATGATTGGTTTAGCGAGAAACGGACCCGGAGCAACTCCCCTATTCATTGGCTGTTCGTATAGTGTACCTAAACATGGCAGAATACCGACTATCAAAAAGGATATTGACCATGTTTTATATCGATAATGAGGGAAATTAATTTTCAATATATATCGCTATTGTTTTATCGCCCAGCCCTAATCATAGGTGTTTCCAGACTGTGCCACTGAGCATGTTTTGATTTGTGTGTGTGTGCAAACATTAAACCTCCACAACAGCGAGCGCTCCTGGAACAGAAGCAGAAGAAGAAGAGGCAGGAGCCTCTGATGGTGCAGTCCAACGTGGACGGGAGATCTCGCACTCGCCGTACCAAGCAGAGCGAGGAGCAGGCGCCACTGGTGGAGTCCTACCTCAGCAGTAACAGCAGCACCATCTACCACGGTGAGTCTGAGTGACACTCCCCTGATGCAAAATCTCAAATAAAGTTAGCTTGCTAATGAAACTATCTGTCTTGTATAAAAGAACTTTTTATTCCAAGGCCAAATGGGATACTCTTCTGATTACTTTTTTCTTTCTTTTCCTAATGAACTGTACACTCCAATTAGCAAAGCTTTAAATCATGTAACTTAACTACAGAGCTGTTTCTCACATTTCTCTTTTATCCAAGCGCCTATGTAGTAGCAGTACAGCGTAGGATCCATAGCAGGAGCTTACACCGCGCTGTAAATCTGTACACTTGAGAGCTGGATTGGTGTCGGGATTGATAGAGTCTCTTTATCTACACAGAGACCAGACCAGCCATCTAATCCCCAGTTCTGATGGCCAGTTTCTGGGCTCAGAGCCATGAACTGTCGCCATTTCCTGCAGAGAGAGGAGAAAACAGATTGACAAACTGTTTTCTCTGCACCAGTCTCACATTCTGATGGGTAGAAATAGACTCACAACCTTTTTCTGTCCTTGTCATTTCATCTACCTCCCTAACCCTTCCTCTCTGTTTTTTCGTGCAGTGCAAGAGGCTGAACAGGAGGAGGTGAAGGTTGTAGCAGACACGCAGCCGCCTCGCTCAGCCAAGAAGGGCAAAGCATCAGCTAGCTCCACTCCGCAGACGGGCAGCGACAAAAAGGAAAGGAGGGGGAAGCACAAAGGTCAGCCCTTCTGTATTGGGTAGACAAAATAAGGCTGTTGTTATTAATTGCATCATCCTTATTCATGTCCTGTTCCTGTTGAAACACTAAAAATACAGTTTTTACAGTCAGCAGTGCAGAGTATGAAAGAGAAGGCAGGATCCGGCAGCCCTCTCTGCAACCCTCAGATAATGGTTTCCCCTGCTGATTTTTCAAGCCACATCTGGCAACAAACGCTGCCCTCTTAGCCGCGTCTGTGGTGCCGCACTTGTCAGAGCCTGGCTGTCTGTAATGATGTACGACAGCCTGAGTGCTGTCGGGCTGCAGATATACACACACCACAAGCAGAGACGTAAATTCCTCATTAGCTGAAGGAAGAAAACTGACTGTTGAAGTGGTGTTTTCCATCCTCGGCGCTTTGATCCTTCTCCTTTGCTTTTTCTCTCAAAATAATCCACAGCATGTTGTCACAGTCTAATGTTTGTGCAGTTATACAGTCAAATTTGTGCAGAAATATTAATCTATACAGAACAGTTAATACAGAAATAGAAACCTATCCTTTATGATGGATAATTTTCTCAGCACACACCGCAGCCGTTTGTCCTCAGAAAGTGCACGGTGCAAAAGAAGCTTATCCATGTCCTTAAATAAAGCACAAAAACAAACAAAAGGTATTCCACTGGGTCAAAAGAAATCAGGTCAGTAGCACGAAGCTCTCCTCTGATGGACTTGTCTCACTTCCTCTTTGTCTCTCTGAAGTATTAACACACATTTCAGATGAGCTGTTTTCAAATACAACAGTACATTCGCTAAAACAATAAAAAATAAGTAATGTTGGTTAATTCCAACTGCTCATACGATCTGGTATTTGTGTTGACTGGCTTTTACATGATGCCTTATTTATTTATTTATTTTTTTATTTGCAACATACCTCTTGTTAAACCTTGTTGGTCATTTCTATTAATCTATATTATCTGCATTTATATAACATACATTTACTTTTAAACTACTTTTTATTCTTTGTATCTGTCTGCCTTCTTCTTTTCCATCACCTGATGTGATGCTGCCAATCGTCAATTTTAAATATCGGTTTTCCTTCGTTTGTTTCTGCCTTTGTTTCTTTCATCTGTGAAAGCACTTTGTAAACAGCTGTTTTTAAATGTGCTATATAGATAAAGTTATTATTATTCTTGTTAAATACAGTTAATTATGAGGAACAGGGTTGCAGCTTGATGAACATCCCCTCCTATAATTGTTTTCCAAACTGATTAAAATTAACAAATCATGGGTGTTAACTGTAAATGTTTCAAAAAAGGTTTTTTTTTTTCTTCATATATCCTCGGGCAGATGTAATTTCTCCTTGATATTATCATGAATTTGACATGAAAGCAAAGCCAAGGGAATCACAGGTGATGTTTGTCCAGTCACTTTCTGCTTGCACTGATTTGGGGAAAACAAAACACTTTTAGCTACACAATGAAAAAGAAAAGATTAGACCTTCATTACATTTTTCATGTTCCTGTGAGAAACCTTTAGTTCATGTCAGTTTTTGTGCCCCCACTGGACAAAGTGATATTTCTTTTTTCTTCACAGTGATTCCCAAAGAAAGCTCCTCCTCCTTTCTTCTTTTAGTCAGATGTATCTCTCATGCCTTTAAAGATGTTTGAAAAAAGTTTGGTTGTCAGGGCACAGCGCTGTCACCTGCTTCACCTGGGGAGGCAGTTTTGAGCATAGACCTTATTTTTCCCTGTCAGAAAGATTTTTGAACTCATACAGCCAGCCTGAAATGGAAACCAACAGTTTTTTTGTGATGTAGAAGGCAAATGGAAATGAATGCTTCTGCCACATTGACAAATCTGTTTAAAGTCCCACTCTGATCGCTTTATTTTTACTACTGAAAGTGTTCTCAGTGGTCTTTAAAATGTGATTATGAAGTTTTTACCAAAATCGCATTACCTGTGTCAGCTCTCGTACACTCGGACACTAATGTCTTCAGGGACACGATAAAAGTTCATATCATTATTAGGTTTCTTCTGAGCATTACAATCCGCCAACGCACGCGCTTGTTCTGCAATCCTCCTCTGTATTTCTCCTCTATATGTAGAGTCTGATCTGCATAGTGGGGCTCTGGGGGCGGAGCTTGGATTGGTTACATAAGAAATCTCACTGTGTCTGAACCTGCCGTTTGGGTCTGTCAGAGATTCTCAGTGATTTGTATGAAGAAATATCCAGAAAAGCAATTTCGCATTTAGTTTTCTCATGATATGTCCTGTATCATCAGAAAAATACCATATGAACATATAAAAAAACAAGAAAAATGTGATTTTCATCAGAGTGGATCCTTGAAGGATCTGAAGACAGCTGGGGGTCATAATACAGACAGGATTACAAATACAGACTGAATTACAATAAATTTAGTTCATAATCAGCAACTGTATACTTTAATATATACTTTATGTTCTCACAAGTTGAGATCCAGTCTACATCTAATACATCAACAATCATATACATCGTGTTCTTTGACTTTTTCAAACATCACTGTTGAGTTTGATGCATCTTCACTGAATAAGTAGAGGAAAAGGTCAAGCTTGAGTAAAGCTTGTCTGCTGCTCTGAAACGGCGTCAAATTGTGCTTGAATGTGTCGAGCAGTATGGACATTATGTTCCTCCTTTTATAGAAGCAATTTAGTCATACATATACAATTACTTCAACATGAGACACAAGACAGTACACCCACACATGCATCAAGGAGATGTGGAAATAGTGTTGCATCTTCTCAGACAAACACTGACTGTATACCTCAACTAATGGTCACTTACTGCTCATCATTGTGACTGTTAGACAGAGGTTGAGCTGATTTCTAACGGAGTTTGTTCTTATGGGATTGTGGCTCTGCAGCAATCGATGGCCTGGCTTCCCTGCAAGATGACGGTCAGATCCAGATCCTGACAGTGGGTCACAGCACCTCAGAGGAAGGCGAGGCAGAGCCTGTCATGAGCTGCACTCAGTCACAGAGCAAACAGGATCTGCGCGTCACCATGCTCAAGAAAGGTACTGTCAGTATTCGGGAAAGAGTCGTCTTTCAGCGAATTCGCAAGAGTACAACAACCACCGGTCCAGTTCTACACCCACGGCATTTCGGTCCAGTGCTGTGGTGTGTTGGCAGAGCGCTGAAACATACTGAGTCATGTTAGAACTGCAAATAGAAGCTCCATTTTAAGACCCGGTGTGTACATGGTGTAATTAAACCACTAATGAGTTAAGCCGACATATTCTTCTGGCTTGAAAATCTGTTTCTTTAAGTTACTGTGAACATTCGGCGCACTTATGTATCGTTCCTCACAAAATAAAAACACAACAGTCAACAACTGAGTGAGCTTTTGGGGACATTTTGCATAAATCTGACAAAAACTCACCAAAACCCTGCAGACACTGTCCTTTTGGTGCATCATCCAGTGCAAATTATATAAATTCACATGAATTTTGGATGCTCACACAATGGCAGTGGGTAAATATAGTACACTATTGTGGGTAGAGCTATTTCAAACACAGTTTTGTTTTTTTCCTTTTAGCTTGAATTTGCGAATCTAAAAAAAATGACATAACAGTTCAAGGCTTTTCTTCTTTTCTGTTCTTTATTATATCAAACTTTAAGAACAACAAAAACAACGACAAAAAAACAACTAAAAACAAAAACTTAGAGCAAAATAATACATATGTTGATGAATCCTGATAATTCATCTAACAATGAGCGTGGTCTAGACCTGCTCTTTTTATTTGGAAAGCGTCTTGGGACGATGACGACTGATTGATTGATATGTACACCAAACATCTGTACATGTCAAACATAAATTTACACTTATGTATGTTAAAAACAAACAGTTTGGGAAGGAACAGAATGAGGCAAACAGCTTATCTAGTCCTGCCCCTTCCTTGCAAATCAGGGCCAATAATGAATGAAAAAAAAATCCAATTGTATAAATTACAAAGATCTCTGTAGATATCTACATATATTACACAAAGATATCTAATAATAAATAATAATCAGTGTTATAATAGAATTAATATTACTTCTATCCAATCAAGTAAATTTAGTGTCAAACCATATTTTTGTTAGTTTGCGTATATGAATCTTTTAATACTTCTCTATAGTGTGATTTAAATATTCATTTTCAAAGTGACATCCAGGCTGTTCCAAAGTTAACACCCCTTAGATTATAGCCCCCCAATCTTGAACCGTTACTTTCTTTTGGTGACTCAATATCTCAGTGTAATAAATTTAGATAAATATAGTTTTACCCTTTCTTAAAAAAAACCACATTGGCTCATGCAGACCAGCTTGAAAATCAGCGCTCGCTCTCAAATTGTTGTTAAGCCTAAAATAACAGTAATTGTGCCTCCTTCAGATGGATGGCTGGAAAACCCGCTCATATTACCACAAGAACATATTTTTTAAAGCGCTGTATTAAGCATTCAAACTGCAAGCATGGGGCAGCGAGAGACCTAAAATAATGAGACGTCGCTTTCACACGCTACAAAGACACGGATAACAATCAGCTGAAAGCCTATTAAAACCCCTCGTGGGTCTCCATTGACACCTGGTTTTATCTATCACTTAAAGGAAATGTGACCTTGTATTCAGGCTCGGTCTGCGATGATTGCTTTTACAGAAATCTAAAGCAACTTCTCATATCAATTATATGACACTGAAGATGTGGTGGGCATGAAGGTTATTCAAACTGTAACAGCGGGGGGAAAAGATGAGCAACGCTTTTATTCCTTTCCTTCTTTCTCCCTCTCAATGCAGGCATATCCAGCAGTATGAACTTCGATGAAGAGGAGGACGACGACGATGAAATCAGCTCCAGCTCCTCGCAGCTCAACAGCAACACAAGACCAGGCTCTGCCACAAGCAAGAAGTCATGCAAGGTGAAAATGAAGTCAGAGCTCACATTTATATCCCCTGCAGAATGTTGCTTTAAACTGCCGAGCATTGTGTGCTTTTTAACCGACCAATCACATGCAGAAAAGATGGAGACTCACTTTTGTCGCTCAGATGAACTTCTATATAAAACTCTATTTATCCCCTTTGGCCAAGTTCAGTAAAATAGACCATAATGGCTTAATGTGATAAAAAGAAGTCATGTTGTCCTTTGTCCTGAACTGTTTTTCTACCAGTGGCGGCTGCTGGTCTTTCAAGGAAGGGAAGCTCATTTTTCTGGCCTACATCATAATTGTGTTTGTTTATTTGTATGTAACAGAACAGAGTCGCCAAACACAACGGCAGTCGTTTTTAACAAAGACAAAAGTCGCTGAGGATCGGTTAAGTTTCCGGAGCAGTTAAGAACAACGGAATGAATAACTTGGAAAATGCTCTGGTAGATGTTTTATTCTTCAAGATCGCTGATTCGCTTGTTTAGCTGTCAATCAAAAAAGGACTTTGCCTCAGACAGCTCATCCAATCATGGAGGCAGAAGCTCAGCGTCGGCGAGAAAGTTGGGACCGCCCTCTCGTCATAGAACTCCAGAGAAGCTCAGCGTCCGATGGGCGGGACAAAGCCCAGCATTTATCCAATGAGCGTCTAGTTTCGCTGCTGGAACAACCCACTTTGAGCTTCCACATTGAAGTCAGCAGACGCTGAGCGTCCGGCTGTGTGAAGCGCTGAGGCGCTGCGAGGATGAATGAGAACGAAGTTGTGCTGGTTACCTGTGATTATCAGCTTCTTATCACAGTGTGATTCTGAACAAAAGATGAAGGCTTTCTAGCGCGTATTTAGTTAATGAAATGTACACACAGCAGTACGTATTTCACCACTCTTTCTGTTTTTTGGGGGGGGTGAAATTTTTCCGGTGCAGTCTTAGAGCAATCGCCACTGTTTTCTACAAACATTTGAGAGCTATTCCTGGATACACCGATTTCATCTCAAGTAAACTGTGTTCTGTGTGTTACTATGCAAACGTTCCTATATACAGGTAGTCTGGTAATAATCATGTAGATACCCACTGTGACCTTCGGGTGTTTGAAAGACCAAAAAATGTTTTTTAGTTGGAAATACACTAGAGGCAAAGAACGTTGTATAAAGGGAAAGTTATTTTAAGCTTTTGTGTTTAATTCATACGGGCAACATGCCTTTGTGCATTTCAGATGTCTGTGTTATTTTCAAGCACAAAGGTTTGAATGTGGTCCAAACTGGGCTGCAGAGCTTTAGACTGTCTCGGTGCTGTTTGCGAATGTTCACACGATCCATTATTCATTCATTTGGGCCAATTCGACTCCTTTCTATGCAAATGAGCATCATTAAAGAGAGCAAGGCGAATTCACAAACATCAGCACTAACAGCCAAGCACAGTTTAAATGTAATTATTGCAGTCTTTGTAGGCTTGGTGGTAACCTCACAGTGGTATTAATAAGCAATGTCCTGCTCCATTTTTGTAGTCATGACAACACCTCATTCGAACCTGTCTAAAAAATCTCTCAATAGAGTCAGTCAGAGGCTCAACACTGTCAGATTGGATGGGTTGCCCTGACAGCATAAAGCTGCATTGTAAGTAGATGAGCAGCAAAATTTCAAAGACATGTTTCTGCTTGAAGTCCCACTCTGATTATTTTTTGTTTACCACTAAAATTATTATCAATGATCTTTAAGTTGTGATTATTAAGTTTTAGCCAAATTCACGTTACCTGAGTCATTTTCAAGAGCTTTTCTTCCGCAGAGCTCCAGTAGATCATTAGCAGTTCACCTCTGAGTCATGGGTGGAGACAGCGCTGCTCCGCACACTCCTCGTCACACAAGCTTGTAGCTGAACATTGCCGTTGTAGTAGAAGTGGCAGGTTATATAGGAGCTATTCAGCCCTCGGACACTAATGTCTTAAGGGACATGATGAAAGTTAGCATCATTATTAGCTTTCCTACGAGCATTGCAATCCGCTAACACACACGCTTGTGCCGCGATCGTCCTCTACTTTTCCGAGTGCGGTCGACATAAATAGCGGGGCTCTGAACCTGCCGTTTGCGTCTGTGCATGATTCATAGTGATTTGAATGCATAGGCTGTATATAGAATGGACGCCGTCTGCCTCCTCGCTGGGTGAAGCCACTCCGAGAACAGCGCCCTCTGGTGACGGGCTGCAGTATAGGTCATAAATCCCGCCTCCTCCATCAATCCCTATGGAGCAGTGGACAAACTTTAGAAATTTATTACACAGAATATAAATTTTTCTCCCCCCTGTTTGCGATGTTGACACGTAGTTACTGTCAGACTTGTTTGTGCTCAAGTCCTCTTTTTTCTGTGAAGCTCAATTTTTTTAAAAGTTATTAGGGGATCCTTTTTTTCTATGATTGACACTTGCTACAGCCTGTGGACGTACGAAGATTGCGTAGCTCAACCAGGAGAATACGCTGTTTGAGCAGAGTGTCATTAAAGCGACTCTCTGTGACTCTCCCGCCAAATGCGCACAATGCTACTGTGCAATGTTGGTTTCAGAAAATTGAGAAAAAATGCGGAATTACCGAGAACTTTTGGGCTTTAAATCCATATACTGGCGGAAGGTGGAAGCAAGTTGTCCATAGTATATACAGTCTATGTTTGAATGCAGAAATACTCAGAGATTCAATTTTGCACTAATTTTTCTCATGAGATGTCCTGTAGCATCTGAAAAATGCCGTATAAACATGTAGACAACAAGAAAAATAGGATTTTTATCGGAGTGGGTCTTTAAAGATCTTTACCGTACTCTGCAAGAACTGATGTTTTGACAGGGTCTATCAACAGGTGCAACTCAGTCTTTGTGATAGTACTTCATAGATTTATTTACTTTTTCAAATCATTTCAAGTGTGACAATGCCCCAGGACAGATAACAATGTACCCCTTTTAAAGAAAACACCCTCTTTGCAGCTACTCGAATCCATACAGATGGAAATCCTGTACGCCATTGTTCATTTCTCTTAGCTCCTCATTCCAGCCTCATCTCTCTCTCGTCAATACAATCTTCTGTCTCCATCCTTATTTTAGACACCGTGTGCTCATTCTCTGTCCCAGTGGAACATTTGATCTTCAGTCTCATTATTCTGCCCTGATGAAAGTCAACTTGAATGCATCGCTCCTCACTCCTCTATCTCATTGGAGGTCTCCCTTTTAATTTTTTCACCTCACAGGAGGTAGCGTCAGCGCCCACTCCACCAGTCAATGATCCTTCTATTGATGTGGATGACCTCGAAGAGTTTTCCCTGCGGCCTGCGCCCCAAGATGTCCGAGTGAAATGTAGAATTACCAGAGACAAGAAGGGCATGGACAGAGGCATGTACCCTACCTACTACCTTCACCTGGAGAGAGAAGACGGCAAGAAGGTGATAAACCTAAAATTACTATCAAAGTACTATTATGAACACATATACAAACACAAATCACTGTAGCTTGTAGCTTTATCTCCCAAATTGTAGATTTTCTTTCAGTGTGCTGGTGAAACGCTCATATCGACAATTGAGTCTCTGGTGTGTCTTGCCACAGGTGTTCCTGTTGGCTGGCAGGAAGAGGAAAAAGAGTAAGACATCCAATTACCTCATCTCCATCGATCCAACTGATTTGTCTCGAGGGGGAGAGAGCTTCATCGGTAAACTGAGGTGAGTCCTCGGTAGCTTTGCTGCATGAAACATTTTTCGCTGCCCACACTAGGATTCAAATAGACCGAGAGCTGATTTAAAATCTGAGCGTGATTTCTTATGCAACTGTTGTGTCTTTACGTGTTAAATTCTGCTGTATTCTGATTAAAATGTGTGTCCTAAAAATGTAACATGGATAAGAACATGTTACAGAGTCTACTCTAGCTGTTTTATTTGGCAAAAATAAATGAATGAATGAATGTAAAATGATTTATAGTTATAAAGGAGATGCGATTAAGGTAGTTCAGGTTGGCACTGATTTCACTCTTTCATCCACTGGTCCATTTCAGCTGCGAGTACAAGTGTTCATAAGAGTGTACATAAGTGAATGAACCCCTGTACGCTACATCAAAATATTATTAATAATATGAGCCGTTTGTTATTCACCACTCATTTCAGAACTTCTGAAACCTCCTTCACCAATGAATACAAGCTTTGAAATTCCTACAAGGTTGCAGGAAGATAGGTAGGAAGTGAGGAGCGACATAATCCTCAGAGACAGCTTCAAGGCTGTGTCAGTGGCTCCATGGAAACTCCTGGGGAGTTTAATCAAATATAGCTCTGTGTAGCCTTTAATCTTCAAAGCCGGCCCCCGCCATTGGTCTGTGCCCTGCAAACCTTTGCAATCACAATCCCTCCTGATTGATGGAGATCTAAATTTAAATGAACACTGACCTTTCATCTAGTGCTTCTTGAGGGTCCTCGAGGGGTGGCCCTAAGTGAGGTTTGGTCTAATACAGGTTACCGTCTTTTGTGTGAGGCTGGGACTTCAAAACACCCAGCAGACCATGGTACTATACAGAGCATGCATATGTATGTACACCTTAACCAGTGGGCAGAACTTCTCGCTGACTGAGCGCCTGTGGGAAATGGAAACGATCAGTAGACAGTGTTAGAGTTCATATCATAGGGATAAGTTGTTATGAAGTGTAGGGGCCACATTTTACAGTAGTAATTTTGATACAGATAAAAAAAGAGTCTAATTTTGTGTTTCAGACACTGGAAATCTAGGGTTTAATTCACACAAGCAGAACTGCATGTACGTTTATACAGTAAACGCTTGTTTAAAAAGTGTTATATCAATGGTTTCAAATGGTCAGGACAAGCTGTTTCCATCTTCATTGAGGGTAAAAGTCAATTGAATGCAAAGCACAAGCCCCTGGCAGCTTGCCTCCCTCTGTGGTGACATGACTCACTGTCATGATCTGAATCTACAAAGCCTCCTACTGAGAAGCCAGGCTATCGGTCCCTGCTGTGCAACAACAGAACATAACAACAACATTTATCCATCAGAGTGACCCGAAGAGAGGTTCAAATGGAGACTGCGCGCTTCAAATGATGATATACATGGGCACTAAATGAAAGGCTCTTACCGCACAATTTGGCACGCTTCATATGCTGACATCAGTGTGAGGACACGAGGAGGACTGTGGTACAAGAAAACGTCGGATGTTCATGAAATACAGCAGGATTTGGCATCTTCTCGCATTGAATCAGTGGATTGGTTAGCTGGCAAGACGGAGGGCTTTTCAATGATGGCTGTTGCTAGGTACATTTTGTATCTAGGATCAGGCAAAAGCTTTTTTTAGACCATCATGATTAATATTCAAGTCAAAATGTGGAAGTTTATACCTTTTTATCTTGAGCCTTTCAGTTTGCCATCCATGTACTTTCATCTAACATTAATAGTGAAACAGTGGGATAAAAAAAACATGTTTCTCAGAACAAACACACACACCAGTAAGTAAAACTTTTGGTCTGCTTGGTTGTCTTTGCAGGTCTAACCTCATGGGAACCAAGTTTACCGTGTACGACAGCGGTCTGAACCCCATGAAGAGCACCACAAGCCTCGAAGCTAGCAACCTGCGTCAAGAGCTAGCAGCCATTTGCTACGTGAGTTGATTAAAGTGTCTCTTAATCCACTTATCCCGACTGAACTTGATACTTTTCAGACAAACCCTGAGAAGAAAATACATACTGTAAAGCTGAATAAAACCTGTTTTTTGTAATTTACACTCTGCTATTTCATTGGACACACATGCTTAATGTGATTATGTCATCCTAGGAAACCAATGTCTTAGGATTCAAAGGACCTCGCAAGATGAGTGTCATCATTCCTGGAATGAACATGGACCATGAGAGAGTTTCTATTCGTCCACGAAATGTATGCTTGCTTGACCTGGTTTTCTTTGTAGCCGTGACTGACTGACCAATACAGATACTTTTTTTTAATACTTACATAAATGATGGGATGAAAAACACCACTGAAGCTTTTCTATTGCTCTTCATCACAGGACCATGAGTCACTGCTGGCCAGGTGGCAGAACAAAAACACAGAGAGCGTGATCGAACTTCACAACAAGACGCCTGTGTGGAATGACGACACGCAATCCTATGTGCTTAACTTCCACGGCAGAGTCACTCAGGCCTCCGTCAAGAATTTCCAGATCATTCATGACAATGATCGTAAGTTCGATACGTCTTTTTGTTTTCTTTCTTTTCTTTAATTAATTTATTTTTTATTATTAAGTGATGCAAAACACAACATGACAGGTGAGGGACATCAAACTAAGAAACAGATGGGGGAGAAAAGACAAGACAGACACAAACTAGGATAACAGTTTTTGTGTGTGTGTGTGTGTGTGTGGGTGTGTGTGAGTGTGTGTATGTATGTATATATGAGTGCTTGTTTTGGAGAAATAGATAACATTTGAAAATGATAATACTAACTTATAAAAGTAAAAAGAATAATATGACAGAACAAAGCAAAAACTAAATAAATGAAAAAAAAAAAGAAAAAAATATATATATACATGCATACCTTACCCCTCCTCCTTTACCTTATTGGTGCCAATGCTTCATGCTCGATACCTCTAAACTGTGAGAATATTATTCTTAGATTATAGTAACAGAGTCATGTTTTCTAGATTTACTGTTTGAAAGGGATCCTTTTCTTGAAAAAAAGCCCAACTAGACGTGAGATAGAGTACAATATGAGTTATTGCTCAGGAAAGGAAAAGGAGAGCTAAATGAACCAAATGCTGATAAAGAGAAATGCTGGAGTTGATCATTTTCCATTTACCACGAATGACTGATTGGAGAATAAAATTCTTAAAAACAGAACTGGTGGAAGGTAGAAGTAGGAAGAGGGGGAATTACAGAGTCTCCAAAAAAGCACAATTTAGCAGCGCTCACCAAAGAACAAAGGATCAGATTAAATTTGTATGTCTAATCTGCTAATGAGGAACTGAGCTTCACATGCTGAGAGGGTTATTAAAGCCAGGCAAAAGGAGTCAGGTGATTTCAGTGATGCTGGGCAGATTGGAGAGGCAGGAACGTGAAGAATAAGGAAGCTGGAAGGGCATCTAGTGGACTGATGAAGAATAGGAAGGGTCCCTGGAGAAGCAGACAAGTGACAGAAAAGGAAGGACAAGAAGATTAACACCGCCAACCCCTCTATACACAGAGATGTTTCTTATCTTCTCATTTATCTTGTGTTTGCATCGAAAAGTGGAACAGAAATCAGAAATCCTGAAACTAAAAAAGGTGAATAAATTCAAACAAATAAGATTAGAGTATACAACACTAAATCTGATCTGAAAAGTTAGAGAGAGGAAGGCAGCAGGTGAGAAAAGACAGCTTTTACATGATGATGATTTTACTTGAAAATAAGGTCACTTCAGCTCTTCTCAAGCAGCCTGTCGGAGCAGCTGGCTACAGTTTCAAACATTGATTAGTTTAAATGTGAATAATGACTGTGTTGTGGTATAATAGGGCACAGAAAAATAACTGTACGTGTCCCATGGATGAGTGCAACAATGTTAGCTTTTATATGTGCGTCTGGTAAAACTACATTTTAACAAACAGCATAACTTTTTTCTCATCACTTGATTGCGACTTTGAACCCAGACATCCAGGAGACTCCTGTATATTCATGATCAAGGTTTCAGTAACCCTGAACTCACAGGACTTTAAATCACAGACACAGTCAAAACCTGTTTGCTTTCATCTGAATCCAATCACCTGGAGGATTGGTTATATGCTTAGCACAAGGGAAGACTCCACCTAGTGGTAATTGTCAGAATTACAGACAAAATATTCACAGCACTGTTGTTTTACAGAGACAAAATTATATTAGTTTGAGCAGAAATTTCAGCTCCAAAACCAGTGAAACCTGATCTGCGATCACTGTTTATATGAAAAGTTTCCTGATTTCTCCTCTGCAGCCGACTACATCGTGATGCAGTTTGGCCGTGTCGCAGAAGATGTCTTCACCATGGACTATAATTACCCGATGTGCGCCCTGCAGGCCTTTGCCATTGCCCTCTCCAGCTTCGACAGCAAGCTGGCGTGTGAATAGATCCCAGCCTGACGTTCGGCTGAGAACTGGTCCGTTTGTCCCTCTCATCAAGGGCTCTTAACGATTCACTACGGCTGGTTTGAGATCTTCAAATCACCCGGAAGTCCTGCGTATCCCAAAATGCTTTATGGGTTTTGTGCGTGTGTGGTGCGTGTTTGTGGGGGAGGGCGTGGGTGGACCTTAGGCTGGGTCAGTGGAAGAAAACAAGCACAAAGAGTGGTCCACTTGCAAAATCAGAGTCATTTGTTTTGATACTCTTGTCATTTTGTAATGTAATGAAATGATGAAAACAAAACACTGTTCTTTTACCTAGTAGCTAGAACAATTTAACCTTTCTTTACCTGTAAATGAAACAACACTAACAATGACACATCTGTAAGTTCTTCAAAGTTAACAGGATTTTATGTAATCTGCCACACACGCAGAAAAAAACACAGGTCACACTTTTCCTCAAGCATGAATACCGGTGATATAATTACTGAATTTAAAATAACATGCACGCCACAATATGTATTTATTTTCCTATTTATGTATTTATTACATGTTCATTTTGTTTTCTGTCATCATTTGCCACAATGTCTGCTGTACTGGCTCCCGCGACAAGCACATCCATTCGCATCACAAGAAGAAATCTCTCCCGTATCCCACCAAAACAATTGAATTGGACATAAAAAGGGAAAAGACTGCTGTGTTCCAGATATGAAACCGTGTCCCAGTGTCATGTATGTGAATGTAAAGGATGATGGTGCACTTTACTTTAAAATTTGAGATATAGCTGTACATACTTTATTGTGCCTTTGAAGACTAATTCCAGTGTTTTGCTTAAAAATGAACTGAGCTTGAATTAGTCTCTGCTGATTTTACCGTCTTCACATCCACCAGAGATATTTCCCTGTAGCTCTTTTTTTTTATTTCGAGTGTTTCATCCTGATTTGATTTAGACTAATAATTTCAGTTGCGTAACCTCCAAAAGATAAAATTGCATATCATCTGAAGCATTATTACATTGCTTACAGAGGGTAAAAATGATTTTACATTGTACTGTAAATCAGGCTGCAGATGTTATATCATAACACTCAGGCTTACAGTTCTGCTTATATCTCCTGATATTTCTGATTTCTCCAAATAGGGAAAAGTGAACTCAAAATCACAGATTGAATTACTGCCAACAAACAGAACCATATGACTCCCCCTGCACATTTCATTTCTCCGTCTTCTTCACAGCTTTGATTTTTTCCGCTCCTCTAAGGGGGTGTGTGGTACGTCCTCATTTTACTGGTTCTTTCTATCTCACATAATTTATCGCTCTTTGGATTTCTACTCAAAGTATTATTCCTCTTGCTCGGGAGGCAGACTCCTTTCTCAAATATAAGACAGTATTTTGTATGTAATGATCTAAAAAAATGCTGACTGGGGGCAAAGAACAATCTCTGATACAGCTACTGTTACTGTGGGGTCTGAGGAAATCTTTATCAAATGTGCTATTCTTGTACTCAACTGTGTTCTCTAACTATTTCGAATTTCTATTTTAAAATTGTTGATACTCTTGCTGTAAAGTCTGCTTTTCATACATGTGTCCAGGAACCAAAAGTTCTTTCACTTTCTGTTGTTAGTGCTCTCGTTGCTCTGTACTGTAAATGGTGTACAGTTTACTGTGGTGGTATGGACGCTGTCCTCCAATCATGAAAAACAAAATAAAAACTTGAGTTAGACAAACTCTGAGTCCTGCTCTCTTTCTATCTCGGAAAATATGACAAGTTACCACAGTACACCCCCTATTAAAAGTAACATATTACTCAATATCTAGATGAGCAAAAGTACAATTTTCAAAGTTTTGACAAAGAAGATTGAACATAACATTTTATTTATCATAAGATGAAAATAATGGTGATATAGTGACTAAAATTTAGCTTTCTACCAGAATCAATCAATGGCCTACATTTGGGGGAGTGTTTTGTTTTATAGTCTAAGAGAAAATGTTGATTTTGAAAGGGCAAAGGTTTTCTGACAACTTTGAAGGGATCTGGTCATTTATACTGAGAATTGTATGCTAATTCTGAAATTTAGTGGGAATATTTGATTTTTTTTTTTAAATAATTTTGAGTCAATGAGATGTGACGCATGGAAAAACTAAGAGAACGCAAGAATAAACTCACAGTTTCTAAATTAAGATTAATTCTTTAATGAGTGTTTCTGGATTATTTACAACACGCTTCAACGATAGAGTCTCTATAATAAACACTGGAGAAACTAGGGGTGATGGTGTGGCATACATACAAGACTAACGGTGACATTCTCAGAGTTCACAGTTCAAACCTGACAATGTGATGACAAAAGATCAGACTGTCTCTCAAGTGAATTTACACTATAAAATGCAGATTTTCCTTCATTGTCTTCCTTAACAAACCTTTTTCTAGGCTTTGAATTTTACCCAGTCAGGTTTAGACTTCAGTCAATGTTTTTCCTTAGTCATGCAAGATTTTTCTCTCAGGCAGATCTCTGGTAAAGCTGGCTGATAATATGAATTAAGGCTTAGATAATTAAAGCAGTGAGTGAAATTCATTATTGAATCGCTCTATTACCGGAATAGCTTGATGGATTGCGTGTATCATTAGTGTGATTGGTAACAGCTGTGTTTTCAGAATCAAAATGTCTGCACCGAGGGAGGTCAAATGAATGATGGACTGTGTTTGTTAAACTCTCTGACAAATTTACGACGATTTCTCATAGGTTGTATTTTAAAGAAGCAGTGAACAAACAGCAATCACTCGGTAAATTTTCTACTTAAGGACTGAGGCTGTGTTCAGTGTATATCACATTTTATTAAGAAAACACTTGACTGACTTTGACCACCATTTGACATCCATTACCCCACTGACTATTGGATTAAGACCTCTGACCCATCTTTGCTTCCCGTTGGGTAAACAGTTTGAAAGGATCTATTTCTGTGGACAGATTATCCAGCAGGGTTTAAAAAGATAGGACTTAATACATAATACCTTAATGCGGGCAGGACACCTAAAGTGGAAGCCGTGCTGCTGTAGGAGTAAACAGATAACCACCATATCCTTCCCATCATCCTCCATTTAAATTATAAAATGTTCATGCCTCTCATGTATGAGAGCGTAAATATCTGCTGATAATAACTACCGTTACAATTTTTAAAAAGGCCTAAATGTTATTTATCATTTTGCTGAATATTATATTTATTTTTATTGAGGGAACCTTCCAAAAAAGATAAGTAAAGTTTTATCTAATCTAATCTGATCTCTACTGCATTACTCTGAGGAGAACCATACTGCAACACTAGATGGAGCCAAATATCACAATGGCATCATAAAACAATGTCTTCTCTGTTTGTTTAACAATTTATAGCCTCTACTAAACCCAAAACACATTTTAGTCTCGAGGTACAAACAGGAGCATCATGTGGAAAATAAATTGGGATTATTTTAAACATGCTGAGACATTTCTTCTTTTGCAGACTGTAATCCCCAAAACAAATATTACATACTAGTAAATTAATAATCTTGAGTTTTTTTTTTTTTTTTTTTACCAGCAACATAAATTATTTTTAACATATATTGAATGGTTGAGCTTGGGTTCAATAAGATGTTGGGCAGTGCTGTGATGAGAGCTGGCTATGTTGAGGATGGTGGCCTGTAAGGAAAAGAAGCTCCTGTGATGCATGACAAGTATGATTCTCCATTTGTCACGATTTTCCTATCGAAACACATTAAAAATATTTATAAGCTTCTATTATTCAAAACGACCACTCCTTTTCTTCTTTGTCTTCCGTATTTATGCATATATAACCAGTTTAACATTCTGTGCTGAAGAAACACGGCACTGCAGGACGGTGGCCTCCATGGAAGAGAACCCTCTTCTATGTAGACACTAAAGTCCAATTCAAATTACACATTTTTTAACTTTCAACATACTTAAAATTTTGGATATTCCTAAATCTTACACACTGCACTGTAAGTATAAAATCTACCACACTTAGCTTTAACTTCATGGTTTTTGGTCATCATTTCTGCTCAAACGAAGCAATCTCCACTGCAGTGACCTCCAACTCATCAGATCAGTGCCCAGAATTTGAGCTCATCCTGTGGCCATCCTTCACTCCCGACAACACAAGGGTACCTTATCCTACACTTGTTTGAAAAAGGTCTAAGTTTAATGAATAATTATGTACTTCTCTTTCTAAACCTGTAGAATTAATGAGAAAGAAAAAGAAAGAAAGAAAAATACAACTGCAACTACAGGAACTTGTTTTTGATTGTTTGAAATGAAAGTTGAATCAGGAGAAATGAAGAACAGGTGATAATTATCTGAAGCCCTAACTATACTGATGTTTTGACAGTTTTTTAAGGGTGAAATAAACCTGTTACATCTTTATTTAACTTACCTCTACTCTAAACATACAAAGGATCAGTAAAAGTATGATCACCTGAGGATTAATGTAACTATATTTTCATAAAGTATTTCGATAGAAGTCCTTCACGTCTCTCTCCTGCTCCTCATCCTCAGCCCGCTTACTTCTTGAGGCAAGTCTGTGTTGATATTACTGTCTCCCTCCACAGACCCTGACCTCAACAAATACTCCTCCTCATCCTCTTCTGCCTCCTTCTCTGGGTTAGGACCTCCTTCACAGCTGAACAGCAGGCTCTCTGCTTCCATCACTGGATCTTCTTCATCAGCATTCTCCTCTTCTTCCACCTCTTGACCCCCATCCTCTTCTTCCACCTCTGTCTCTTCGCCCTCTTCCTCCAACTCCATCTCTGTCTCTTCCTCCTTCTCCTCTTCCTCCTCTTCATAAGTATCCTCTTTAGGGTAGTGAAAGACGTCACGGTGTTCACTGAAGCTGATTTGCTTCTTGCCTGGGGTGTGACACTGAAGCTCTCTGCTCACCTCTAAACCAACTCTCTCCTGTTTCCTCTCCACACTACGCTGGGGTGAAGGTAGGCAGAGCAGCTGTTTTTTCTCTGCTTCCTCTTCTTCGTCTTCCTCCTCCTCCTCTTCTTCAATGTCTTCTGCTTCTTCCTCCTCGTCTTCCTCCTCCTGTTCCTCTTTCTCTTCTTCATCCTCTTCCTCTTCATCCTCCTCTTGAACTATGGAAAGTTTCCTCGCCACAACCTCCTCCTCTTCTTGCTCCATCCTCTCTGCCAGAGCTTCAGCAGTGGGCTGGTTAGAGGGCTCCTGCAGCGTAAAACCTTCAAATGTACATCTTTCGTACGATTCACCATAATCTGGGTAAGTCTCCTCTGGATAACCTGCAGTCGTATGCACAAAAGAAAAACACAACTTGTATTATAAACTTCATTCTTTTGGTTTAACTTCTCTTCAAGACTGAATTAACTCGCTGTTTATCAGAAGAGTTTCACTTTCCGGTGAGTACCGTACCTTCCCAGTCTGCACAGTAGGGCACTTCCTCAGCTTCCATCTCTGGGGAGGCTCCCTCCAAGCGGCCCTCCTCTATCAGTTGTGTGAACTGTCGGAGCTGCTTGAGTAATTTCTCCTCCTTCTTCGAGGGTGTAGTTTTACTCCTCCTCCTTCTACCACTAGATAGCAACAAAGATATGGAGAAACGGGTAAGTTGCGTACATCACTCTGCAAGTTCACTTTTCTAAACATTTCTTTTCTTACATTAAAAAACTACATTAGAAATTCAGACATTGCATATTGCATAACCTCCATTAACATATTTGTACATCCTCAAATAATAAGATAGTAATCATACAAAATCATACTATCATAATAAAATACTTAATGTAGAGTCTGTGATTTTCTGTATTTGACGGATTAATTAGGTGGGTTGGTTTAGCTCAGTGGTTGAAGCATGCACACCTCAGTCAAAGAGGCTGTAGTACTTGTTGTCGTGATTGCTGTCTCTTTTTTGTTGTAAAAAAAAATACACACACAAAAATCCCCAAAATGTAGCTTTGAAAAGGATACCAATTTAGCAAAGTGCAAATAAATACAACTATTTAAACTTCCAATTCAGTAAAAACAAAAAATCTGCAAAGATATCAGTTTAGTAAAACACAGTTCATTTTCCTGTTGTTTGAGGACACTTTTATTTGCATGCCAGATCAACAGTTATCTATCCCGTTTTTGTTTGTGGTTTCTGTGTCCTGATTGGATGTTAAAAAAAGGGAATAAGTCTTACTTTGAAGAGCTCTGACCCTTTCCAGAGACAATCTTCTCCATCATCCTCTCTGTTTGCAGTAGTCTCTCGTGAAGCCTGGCAAGCTCATAATCACCTGCAAGATTTACACCAGAAACCACGCAGGTGTGTTCAGGAAAACAGACATACACACTAATGATAAAGGGTGTGTGATTAATTTTTACTTCAGTATACTAGAGGTGCTACTCATTTGGTAAAATCCTGTTTACAATTACAGGCAATTTCCATACTGTACATTTGAATTTGACTATTTTTAAGAACACGTGCATGAAAAAAATAAAATAATTAATACTATCTGCCATTTAATTAACAATAAGGAAAGATTTTAACTTGCATGAGGCCTGAAACTGTTGGAATAAATGAGAAAAACATTGCTGTTGAAATGGAGCTTACTTATCTGATTCTCCATATTTGTCTTGGCTGCTGGAGTGCAGTTTCCTGATTTGGAAGTCTTCCCCTTACATGTCAGCTGTGAAGATCATAATTAGAATTAGAGTGGTAATTTACTAAATGTGGTTTGCATATAGTGGCCAGTCACTGCAGTATTACCTTAAGAATTAGCAGTACACGACATGCAGTACAGTGTAGAATATTACAGTACAGGACAATGCTGTAAATACTGAGGGAATTACCTTATAGATTATATATAAGATGTAAAGAAGGATGCCAAACCCATATATGGGTATGACTTGAGACATCAAGTTGTATTTTTTGCCTCGTCCAGTGATTTTAACTTTAGCCATGATTTCAGCGTTGTGTGCCATGGCGTAGGAAGGGTCCACATCCCAGTGCTCTGGGTCCTCTTGCACAGACAGCTGGTGCATCGCAGATGGGTAGAACCCGGGTCTGACTGAAGGAGACAAGAATCAGTCAGTCAACATGAATTAATGAATAAAAGATTTAATAAATGAATGGGTTAGTTTGAAGTTTTGTTGCCAGCAATGTTTGTTCTTAGATATTCAAATTATGGTGATACTGTTACTGTTTGTTTCCTGATAGATTTTCCTTTAATTTCCATACTATCCACTTTTTGCTTAATTCCATAAAAATGTCTTCCTTTATTACCTACCTCCCAACACGTTTGCCATTCTCTCATGATTCTGCTCTTTGCTTCTGACTTACTGAATGTAATTTCCGTAATTCTGTTGTGTTATCGAGTATTTGGTGTCCCTAATATTTAAACTTCCTCTTGAGTCGTTTGTCCCGCCCACTCTGCACCTCCACACTAATCATATTCTGCTGCCTTTGATTGACAGCCCGTTCCCCCAATTACAAACAAGCTCTTTTTAGCGCCAATCCAAAAATCACACACAGGTGTGGTCGTCTCTTTAATTAGTGAACTGCAGGTAGCAGTCGTTTTGTGGCACACTGTTTGGCTAGTTGACACACTGGAAGTTAAAAATTGTTGGTCTAAGTTTTGCACAAGCTTTCAAAACTTACCAAAGTACTGAAATTCACCGCAAACACTTCTCATAACCTTATTAAAGTAGGTAAAAACACGCCATCCGTCCGACCTCTTAGGACGCTATCATGCTACCAGTTTAAGCAACATTGGTCAGGATTCAACCCCTGCAGGTGAAGAAAAGTCTCGGTTTCTTTTGGACCAGCAAGACTTGGACAGGAGAGACTCATCCATGGAGTCAAGAGGTAAGACTGCCATGAATATTTTATCCCTTTTTGTAGATTTTGGAGGTGCCGCACGGTCTGAAGTTTTAAATAAAGTTTTGAGTAAAGTAAGACAAACATAGAAAGCAAAATACAGAGCACAAAATGCACTCAGTCATCTTAGATTTTTAAATAAAGTTCCCTCACCATATCCAACACACTAATAATAACAACATGCACACTGGAAACAGTTTGTTTTACATTTCTATATTAATATATCGACCATTCATGTGTAAACTATGTTTTAGAATGCAAAGTTTCGCATGTATTTCTTTAATTAATATGGTTTTATAAAATATTCTTGTGCATACAGAATATGCACTGCACGTTTTAGTCTTGTATTCGTTACATTATGATGAACATGTGTGCGCTACAATGGGGCCTAGGCCTGCTACAGTCTGTATACAAGACTAACAGCTGGCAACAACAACAACAACAACAGCAGCAGTCGTAGCAAAAAAAAAAGAGCATCGCAGTAGGATGGAGATGGATGGATGGCTGATGATCTGATAAGCCGCCTTACCCTCAGGCTGCCCCGTCTCCTTCCTACCCCTGGGTAAAAGCATTCTGGGCAGGAAGAGAGAAACGCAGAGAACAGAGCATGATATCAGAGTCACCTTCTGGCAAGTTGTTATAGACATTTTGTCTCTGAAATGAGAGCCTTGCGTTTGTTTAACTTGAAAAGGCAAAGCTAGTGTCCACAGATGTCATCTGGTGATGATGATGCACAGATTAGACCAGATTATACCAGCTGCTTTCAAGTGCTGTTGGAAATTATGACTACAAATCCAGAGAGGGAGAGGGGGAATTAACTGGTGTAGTGCAATACATTGTTATGATAATTCTACCCTTGATTTTTCAGGATTTCTCAAAATATGACAGTCGCAGGTGCAGAATTAAGCAGACAGATGAGCTTATCCATGACAACAGAAATCAGCATCAACTCTATGTTTGATTTTTTTTGGCAAAGCACCCGAAATGAAACCATCCAAATTCAAAACGTTTATTTTTTTATCATTATATATTTTGTCCCAAACAAAAGTGATGCTGTGGTATTAAAGGGATATTCTGGTGTGAAATTAAGTTAGGGTCAAACACACCGTAACACAGAGTTAGACACCCTGTCGAGAGACAAATGTTGCCGACCGCTTGCTTCTCTAGTTATACCAACTTTAGTCACGACCGCAGATAGCAATGGAGAGAGCTGTGCGCTCAACCAAAACGCCACTCTATAGCCACAAATAATGCTCAGAACAGCACCTAACTTCATCAACAGTACATATAGGGTCCCAGCCACAGCACTAGACATCAAACATCTTCTTAACTTCACCTGATTTCTTTAGCAAAGAGACTAAACACAACTCACCCACTCTCTTCCAGCAGCCGCTTGTTTGTAGCAAGACCTCGGGCCAGTCCATTATGGACTACAGCGGGGTGATGCAGCTCAAGGAAGAACCTTTATGATCATTACTTTATCATTTCCTTGAAGTAATAATCATTTTGCACTGCAGATACAGTAGTTCCTCTGCCTTAGCATCTTGGTCTGATTGCATTTCCATGAGGAAATGATCATAAGTGTTCTTCCTTGAGCTGCATCACCCCGCTGTGGTAATGGACTTGCCTGTGGTCTCCGTACTAACAAGCGGCTGCTGGAAGAGAGTGGGTGAGTTGTGTTTAGTCCCTTTGCTAAAGAAATTAGGCAAAGCTAGTAAGATGCTTGGTGGCTAGTACTATGGCTGGGACCCTATATGTACTGTTGATGAAGTTAGGTGCTGTTCTGAGCATTATTTGTGGCTACAGAGTGACGTTTTGGTTGAGCGCGTGGCTCTCTGTATTGCTATTGTGCGGTTGTTACTGAAGTTGGTATAACTACAGAAGCAAGCGGTCAGCAACATTCATCTCTTGACGGGGTGTCTAACTTGGTGTTACGGTGTGTTTGACCCTAATTTAATTTTACGCCATAATATCCCTTTAACCTTGGTGGACTGTACAGTGTGTAGAACTGGTCATTTTGTAACCCAAAGGCCCCCTGTAAAATCAAGAAGTTGGATTCTCCAACTGTCAGCTTCTTATAAATGTTTTGCCATTTTCTAGGAAAACTGCAGCAACAAGTCAAAGCTGGATAATGAGAGCCTGCTGAGGAAGAAATACCTGGGCTAAGGTAAGGCTGCTCACTCTGTTACTGTGTGTTATGGATGGTTTAATGAGATGTGTTTGTCAGGCAGGTCAGCGCTTTGCTGATTGACATGTGAGTTTGTGTTTGATTCCACTGCGAGACTTCATGACAGCTCCTGGCCGGCTGTAGTTGTAATTCAGGTTTGATGAAAGGGGCAGACTGATGGCTTTGGATGGATGATTTGTCAGAAAGGAAATAACAAGCAGATGTGAGGTTGTAAGGGATTCACAGGTGTGTGGGTCTAATTTGATACTGGTAAATTCTCTCCAGTTTGCATTAGTATTCCTACTCGCTGACAGCTCTCATTGGGATTGGCTTGTTGTCATGTTGTGGTCTGCTCTAAGGGTGTTGTGAAAAAGTAAGGAGGAGCTGAGTTTTCACTGTGATAAAAGCCAATGCTGCCAAATATTTGCTGCCATTACAATATATGAAATCTGTTTTGTTTTTTTTCGCCTCAGGTGTGGAAATTTGTTTTGTTTTGTAGCAAACCTTTCTAATATTTAGGAGGGAAATAACTTTCAGAAAGAAAAGTAAGACATTGAGAAACTTCACCCCTAATGTGATAATCTTTCACAAACAAAAATAGATGATGCCTCTCAAGAGAAATATTTCCTACAAACCAACACTGCATCACGTGGAAGTTTTTAACACCCACTCAAACAGTCGTATATTAACTATCTGAACAATATTCCCATGTATGAGCCCCAAATATATCACTTGGGTTTGCAATTTAGATATTTACATAGTGACCTTGAATGCAACACATGACCTACCAACCCATTCGCTCAATAGACCCTTTTGATGTGTGTTTCATATTGTGGAGCAGCAGATGGCAGTGCAGGCTCACATACAGAGTTATGACATATGGAAGAAAGAAAATCAGCTGCACAAAAATGAAGGCACTAGTATGATATGTGTGCTTTAAGAATTAAACCAACAGCTAAGATATCTAGGAAGCTGTTTTTTTTTTAAATTTTATCAGCCCCCCAAAATATATTGATCAGAGTAAAACTCAGCTCTTGTGCCCGATTAGGAAATCTCATAAGGGAGATTATGGGTGCTTAATACACTTCGCATAAATGTTTGCTGAATAGTAACAGTTAGTATTTTAAATTCTACTTTCGTTCCTATATAACTAAATATCACAATTGACAGTTGTCACCACTTACTATGCCACACAGTTCATAATAACTAACCGTGTTATGATGTTATTATCAAACTTAGTTAATGATCTAGGCATGAAGCCTTTCAATGTTGTAATTTAAATTAGGGAATATTGGTCCTAATTTCTTCCTCAGTGGAAAGTATTTTAAAATATGAACATAACATGGACCTGTCTGAACTTATTAGCAAACACTTCATTGCAGAATTGCTAAATCCCTTGTGCTCCTTTCAGGAGTCTATTTTTGCTACTCATAGTTTTGTGTAAAACCTGAAGAGACACCCAGCAAGTAAAGTGGTGCCATCAGGCCTTCACGGGCCTGAAAACATTGAAACCTAGATAAACATGATGAAGAGCTGTTGTTCAGCTCATTGAAGTAGAAGACAAGGAGTTTATGCAAACATTTTTGGAGACTGTTGAAGGCTGAAGAGAAGTGGAGCAACACGAGTGTGATCTTTGAGCTGTGCAGATAACCAGCCACATACAAAGTTTTCTGAGTAAATTGATTTAGAATAATCTACAAACCAGTTAAAATACCATTTAAAGTCATTGCAGTGAGATCAGCATGATATATATATATTTAAATTGAACAATATTTGGATATTTGTTTGTGCTTTTTGTTATTTTCTTTGGGTAACAGGTACCTCCATGGATTGCTAAGTTTCTCAGTACGAATCATTGCCAATTATGACTCAATTTGCAGTTCAGTGTTGAGAATAGTGTTGCACATTGTTCTGAAATTTCAGTACTTTTTCCTACTTTCTATTCTTAACAGCATGGTATTAAAATCTACAGTTGGTGACTGACAATGCAAGCATTTAAGCTGCTGAGGGGATGAAATATTAATATCTGCATCATCACAAGGTGGCAGTATCAGCAGGGAAGGCATGTCAGACTATCAAAGCCATATTTATTGAGAGAGAAAAGCAATGCCTCTGCCCCAGCATGTCCACTATGAATGTAACAGCTCGTGATATTCTGATAGATTATCCCAATACACTGTGATGGCGAACAAAACATGAGAGGCTCGATTACTTGCATGCTAGTAGGATTTTGATCAAATGTATTTTATGAGATAGCTAACATCAGTGTATTAGTAGATGTCAATGTCAGACCCTAAAGAGCATCCGACTTCTTGCTAACATTACTTGTCACATATTCTGTTGTAGCTTGGCAGCATCAGAGAATACAGCCAGTAAACGAGGCACACCGCCATGTAAATTCCGCCAATTTACTAGAGCCCATAGTAATATCAGACCAGAGAGAGCAGTTTCACAAGGCTGCCATTAAATTTACTTTATGGTGTTAAGATTGATTTTGGGGCTTATCCAGTTGTTTCACATTGTTAGAATATTGTTAATTAACTATAAAATCCAGACGTGACCAACCCTTGTAAAAATCCTGCCTCTGAGCTATCAGGTACAGAGTATTGATCCAGCCTTCTTTCAGTTTCAAGTATCATTTCAGCATTATAAATCATGATGTTAAACTTTGTACTGGTATCCAAGTAGAAATTTGGGTATTCTGACAAAACTAGTTGAGTATTTAAGTTCAGTGTTTCGAAGAGGTCTCCCTCCTGTAGGATGATTTGTGGAGTTCCCCAGGGGTCATATCTAGGTCCATTACTAATATATATGAACATGTCTTTTTGTGACCCTGCATCTTTGGGCCAACACCCTCAGTGTTCTTTATTATGTAAATGATATGCAGCTTTGCATATTATGCAACATTGGAAAGCCACAGGGGGATTCACCCTGATCATAACAGAGCCATCATATCATTATCTCTGAGACATTCAGTCCAAGATGGCTCAATATTTCTGCTTGATCCACAATATTTGACATTTATAATGAAAATGGAAATTCAGAATATCAAGATATGGACATTCATTTTTCTGTATTATAGGGTTTATGGCTGTGAGAAAGTATGAATGTATTTTCAAAGTTAGTCCCAGCCCAATCTTCTAAAATTAGCAAAAATCCATAAATCTTCTTCTGCAAACTGTTTAGATAAGGTAATCACTCTAGGTCCGTTCCTTCACAAGGTACCTATAGAATTGATTTCGAACTTTAGAGCACCAAAGAATCCATATGGAGAGCACACCTAATGAGGAAGTGCTTCAGGAAGGTTTTGTTTCCACATTAAATGTCTTTGTAGCAGCAAAATGCAGCTGGCCACAAAGGCTAAGAATGCTTCAGATTGAAGAGCCATCTGCTAATTAAATGGTTATTAAGTGGTGCTTTTCAGCCTGAGGCCTCCTCTCTAGTACTTAGTACCTTAGTGGAATTTCTACCTTTGGATACCCTGTCTAAATAT